TTAAGGTGTATTTTAGTGCTATAGACGAAACACATTCCTCATATAAATTACTAGGCGCTAGCATTATAGCGTACTTTTTTAGTACGTTGGGGGCCAAGTAAATTCGGTATTATATCGAATCTTCGGTTTCAGAACGTTTATTCTTTCGTCAAGGAATAGATTTCACGTATTTTACCATCACTGCCCATAGCATTCATCGAGGCTGCCGTCGCACGACCCGACATAACTATCGTTAGTCCATGCCATCCAATTGAGCATAGGGTTCAGCAGTTGTGCGCTTTCATTTCCCCATCCACCCGCATTGATAAGCGCTGTGGCGTTGGACTTCATGGCGGCATAGCTGGGCCACAGAAGAGTGTCAGAGCTGATGTTTCCGCAATAGTAGCTGAATTCTGGACTATTGACGGCCGGGTCCCAGTTTCTCGACTGCCACCAGCCGACTCCGCCTGAGGCAATGTTTGCCAGATCATCATTGTGCGTAAGAGTTTGCATACCAAACCCCTTCTTGAGCAGTGCCACTGTCTTTGCGTCATTCTTCTGGAGAATGTTATCCATAATGTTGATCAGCTTCGTTTGTGCTGCGATACATGCAGGTGGTCCGTATTGGCGAACCGGTTCATAGTACTCCCAGTAGTCATAGATGGCCTCTGTGACTCCAGATGATGATATTGCGCCCCAGTAGATCTCAGGATACAGCTTGCGCAAGAAGGCAGCGATTCCGCCAGAATACGAGCCACCGTAAGCGAGATAGGGCGTGCCAGGAGCGGTCAAGTTGAGGTGCTCCAGCCCCGGAAAGACGATATGAGAGGCAAAGTATGCTTGATCAGCCACTGCCTGGTCCGTGGATAAAAACCGCAGATTCTCGGTCGAGAGGTCGGGTGTCGGGAAACTTTTTCCATAATACCTGTGTTCCAAGACCACGCCGATGCCGTTGAGAGCTGACGCAAGCTGGTAGACAATTCCTTTCTGGAGGTACGGTAGGCGCGTGCTGGCATCTGCCTCTCCGCTCTGCAGGACTATTACAGGGCCCCCGGGCTTGTAGTATGTTGCGTCAAAATAGTACCGAAGATTGAAGGTTTTATTTGAATGTGGCTCGTATCGGGACTCATTGTGGAAGTGATCCACTGGCATAGAAATGTAATGTGCGGGATACAGCTCTGTTGGGTCAACATCCTGTCTCACACTCAACCTGTGAGGTGCAGGCGCCAAATTCCTACCTCGTGTCAGTAAATGCTTCGATACTAGCTGATTAACCTACGTCGCCTGTGCCAACCCTGAGAGGGTGGCTGCTAGGAAAGCACATAAATTTCTCATTTTGCAAGAATGAAGACTACAAAGGAGCAAAAGAGAAAGAAACAGAAATAGAAGAGGAAGAAAACTAGACGGCAGGAAGTTCTTTTTCCCACGCACAGGTCCCTCGTGCGACCAACCTGTTTTTTGCCGCTGAACGCAACAGTCGCAGCATACGGAAGCTCTTTCAACCCCGCATGAGCAAGGAATGACACCTTGACGGCGACGCCTGGAAGTCGTTATCGGGAAGCCCAGAAGCTTGTTGGCCATGATATATAGGAATGCAACGTCGACTGGGGAGAAGGGCAGCAGCCTATGACCCAAGGGGAAGGTGGACAAGTGATCATCGAAGAATTGTACACGGATCAACCAATATCGATGTGCATTCAGGTGGAACGAAGGAAGGACGCAGATCGCAGATATACGGCCACCAAACGGAAGCCAGGGCGAGTTGGAGAACGCCCCCCGAGGTGATGCTGACGAGGTGATTGGAGATAAGGATAACAAGCACCTCGGCAGTGCAATAAGCACGTCAGATCTCCCGGCCACCCGCGCACATGTCCCGCGTCAGGGCTTGAGGTCTGGGTGTAATGGCGAACCAATGTGCGCTGTATGTGCCAACTCTTGTCAAGGCTGTAGGAGACGGATACGAGCGAGGCTGACCTCCGGTGGACATTGAATCCGAGAGACATAGGTAGTGGGAGAGACGCACAGTGACCCCGCAGAGAGGGAATTGTCACCATCCGCAAGATGGTGTTGGGAGAAGGCGGCCTCGCAGCTACACGGAGGTGGACTTTCGCCGGAATACAAACTCGTGGGAGGGTGGCAGTCGCGTACAAACTCGAACTGGAGCATTCAAGGGGCCAAGGGGGCGAGCGGCCCCTGTATCAGCCGAGCTGGAAGAAGCTGGCTGGCCACTTCGCTTGTTCTTGTACCTCGTGCTTGAGTCGAGGATAGGACATCCCGCCGCTCTAATACCATGTGCCAAGCTTTTCCGGGGTCAGCCAGTCAGAGACCCCGCGATATGGAATGACGTCGATGACCACGAACGGCAAAAATCTCTCCTTCCTAAATCGGAGTTGAGAAGCCAAGACACTCGATGCTATTCCCCTTTGGGACGTGGCCTTTGTATCAAAAAGCCATGAGATTCACCGACTCCCACTTCTGTCAGATTCCCTTGTTCCTGATCTCTTGAGGATCCAAGATCTTGACGGTACTACTGTCCATTTGCCAGCAAGACTCGTCCACCATCGACACAGAGGCATCTTCCGTCCACATAAGCCTGATAGTCGGCAAATTAGCAAATCTCTCCCTATTCTCAGCGAGCACCGGTCAACTTACCCCTGCTTGGCTGCTCAAATATAGCACTGCTCCTGCAATATCCTCCATCTTACCTATTCTTGCTGCTGGCATTGCCTTGAAGAGCTCGGCAAATTGATTGTCGCCTTCTTCAACGGGGTTCATTTTGCTAGGAACAACTGTAACTCGGTTCAGCTGTTTCCTGTCCGCATTCGCATCTCGATTTCACTTACAGCCTGGATTGATGGCATTGACTCTGACGTACCCTGAGTCCTCAGCGTAATCAGCTCCTTTCCCGGTCCTGAGCTTGTTTATGCGACAGAAGGGAACACTCACATCTGGCAAACTTACTCGCCAACAGCGCAACCAAATGATCAATCGCCGCTTTGCTGGCCGCATAGCTGGTCAAATCGACATTTGTGCAGTTATGCATGCTAGCGCAGCTGCTGGTGATGATCATCACCCCTCGACCCTCATCCCGTCCCTTTCGGCCATTTCCAATGTCAAGATTGCTCGCTGCCACCAGCAATTTCAGCAGTGCAACCGACAAGAAGTAGTGTGCGGTAACATTGACGCGGAAAGTATCGTCCCAATCCGAGTGTCGTGAAGACCACATCGACTCTTGCAACTCATCCAAAGACGCAGTTTTGACGTTGCACATCTTTGGAGGGTCTCTCCTGATCCCAGCGTTTGAGCACAGAATGTCCAGGTGAGTTTCACGCTTTTCAAGTTCTCTTGCAACAGCTGCAATGCCCTCTTTTGAAGCGAGATCGCTCGCAAATCTGTCAGTTCGTCGGTCAGTTATCCAATTGCAATGCTAGATGATATAGCAGGAGACATTTACCCAACGGCCTTGGCCCCAGACGGCTTTCCCATTTCATTAAGCTCAGTCACGACCGATTCAATGTCGTCTGTCGGTAATGCAGTGACGTATACCTTTGCGCCATTCGACACGAGACCCTATTTGTGATCATCAACGCGAATTCTGATCGCGACTGCGGGAGGGATGCTGCTCACCTTTGCGATCATCAACCCAAGACCCGAGCATCCCCCGGACACCAGGGCAACTCGGCCCTTGACGCCAAACAGATCAGCCACAGAAAGAGAGGACATTTTCAACAGGTGGCCAGACACATTCTCGAAGGGCCTGTCGATGGTCTAAAATGCATGACCACAAGCCTCCACTGCGGCTCCCGCCGTCACAAACCGCCGCCCGTTGTTCTCCGTCTCTCCGTCCATGTGCTCGCACAAGTCCGCAAGCTCGCTTCTCCATGCTTGATCGACGTTTCTTTTGCGGTGGAGAGTTTGAGAGGATATAAAATTTGCCTTGGTTCTTCGAGTCCTTTCCCCTCTGCTTCGAAAAGCATACGTCGAGCCTTGGAAGGTCAGGACTTTGAGATTGATCTAAGGGACCATGACAACAATGGCTCCTTCAGTGGCTGGGCTCTTTCGAGTTATCAATCACGACTACGCTATCTGGATCATCGCCGGGGTTTTGATCCTCTTTGGGCTCTATAAGGTCAGTGTCGTGGCTGATCTTCTGTTGCCAATGCTGACGTTGGTAGTGGTCAACAGCTACCGACATCCCAAAGATCAAGGGGATCCCCGAGATCCCTGGTGCCCTGCCGATACTTGGACATCTCCAGCAATTGGGGCCTGACCATGCCACGGTTTGCGAAGGATGGTGGCGCAAGTATCGACAATCCGTGTTTCAAATCCGCCTAGGCAATACTAGAGCCGTTGTTGTAAATTCTTTCGAAGACGCCCGGCAGATGCTCGTTGGCCATCAAACCGCCGTTATCGACCGACCAACATTATACACATTCCATGGCGTCATTTCCACCACCCAAGGATTCACGATTGGGTCCAGCCCTTGGGACGCATCGTGCAAGAACAAGCGAAAGGCTGCGGGCCAGGCTCTTGGCCGCCCTGCGATGAGGGGATACTTCGACATGTTTGACTTGGAGTCATACTGCATTGTACGTGATCTCTTCCGCGACAGCAAGAACGGCAAGCTTGAGATTGGCGTGCGACCATACATTCAACGATATGCCCTCAATACCACCTTGACTCTCTGTTATGGTATCCGAATGGACAACGTCTACGACGACATGCTGAGAGAAATCTTGCACGTCGGATCGGCCATCTCACTCCTCCGTTCAGCCTCGGAAAACTATCAAGACTACGTCCCAATCATGCGTTATTTCCCCAATAACGAAAAGATCCGTCGTTCAAAGGAGCTACGTGATCGCCGTGACCGCTACCTGAACTTTCTCCTCAACAAGGTCCGGGACATGATCAAGAAAGGCACCGACAAGCCTTGTATCAGCGCCGCCATCCTGAAGGACGAAGAGACAAAACTGACTGGGGTCGAAGTCTCATCGATTTGTCTCTCTCTGGTCTCCGGAGGCTTCGAAACAATCCCGGGCACCCTGACTTCATGTATTGGCTCTCTTTCCACCAAGGAAGGTCAGATCTTCCAAGACCGCGCTTATGAGGATATCATGCGATACTACCCGGACCCAGCAACTGTTTGGTCCAACAGCTTTCAGGAGGAGAAGGTTCCCTATGTCAATGCAATTATCAAGGAAGCTGCACGGTACTACACTGTCAGCGCCATGTCCCTGCCCCGGAAGACGGTGACCGAGATAGAGTGGAATGGGGCCAAAATCCCAGCCAAGACCATGATTCTCATCAACGCCCAAGCCGCCAACCACGATGTCGATCACTTCGGTCCTGACGCTGCGGTATTTAATCCAGAGAGATGGTTGAACGACGACTTCGTGACGCGGCCATCGACAACGGTGCCTGAAGAGAAGCCCAGCCAAGGCATCCAGCATTTCTCTTTTGGCGCAGGATCCAGGGCCTGCTCCGGTCAATTCATAGCCAGCCGACTCTTGTACACTGCGCTGATCAGGCTCCTGGTGTGCTACAAGATTGTGGCCAGTGAGACCGAGCCTCCAAACACGGATTATGTGGACTACAACCAGTTCAAGTCGGCGCTGGTGGCCATTCCGAGAGATTTCAAGGTCAAGCTGGTTCCCAGATACGACGAGAGCGTGATCCAAGAGGTCATGGCGGCAGCGGCGCAACGAACAAAGGACTACTACAGTGAGGAAAGCTGAGGACACATTTCACACGCCGTCCTCTTTTGTCTCTACCCTGGCCTTGGAGCGAGGCACGGGGCTCCGGCCAGTTTTTAGGTCTGGCATAAAACAACATCATGATGCTACGATTCTGAGCTTTGATGAGATGGAAGTCCCGTTTGACTAAACTGAGTGGACCGCTTTCTGGCATGGAGAATCAAGGCTAATCAGCATTCTTTGGAAATATGAAGTTTGGAAAATTGAGCTGTTGGATTTGGTGTCGTCGAGCATCACTTGCGAGCTTGTCGAGACAGGTAGTGCGAAACCAGGTATATAACAATCAAGAGTACATGATACATTCCGTCAGCTAATGTGAACTTACAAGCATACACCGCATCTCCCTTCGAACTTCTTTTCTTCTCTCCGTTGTTCTGTCTGGTCTATCTCTATTGCTCTAACAATCTAACTCGAAGGTGCATCAGACGACAACGACGACTCTTGCCTGCCGTGTTGTCTTACATGTTCTTGCCGCCTCAAATCCGTTAGTTGGCCACTACGGACGGGCCTTCCCAACTCCTACACCATAAACAAGACGGGCACCAGCGACTTCATCTCAGTTCATGGGCACTTAACAAACACTCAGGTGCACTCTCACCACGTTCATCAGCCGAGCCCATTGCAGAGCACTGTTATATCCTTGTATCTTAGAATTCCATCTCATTGTCCTCGTACCAGGCCACACTCTCATCGGTGGCTTTATTCGTCATTGTCCATCGCTTGCACATATTTCGCAATGAATGCTTTCGAGAGAACAGTGTTCCTCTATCCTTACGTGCTCGAAAAAGAGCACTACATTAAATTGGTCCATTCGATCCTCAGGGCTGAATTCTCACCGACTCCGTGGATGCCTGGCCAGCGACCCACACGCCTGTCTCGATTCACGCACCCGGGATTCCAGCTATACGAGTTCCCGTACATGATCACTCCTGAAGGCAGGAGAAATGATTTGACCCCCTATCAAGCCAGCGGAGGGTCATTGTGCGAGTTCTTCAAAGACGTAAGATACGCAACGGGGAATTTTGTTGTTGTGGTCACACCCCAACCCCGTCCCAATACACCTCCTGGCCAAAGGCAGTCTCACGAAGCTGGTGCCTCAGGGGCAAATCCACCCGACCACAGAGCCTCAGAGGTGCTTATCAAAGCACAGGTTATAGTGGAAGTGATCTGGAAAGCCACTGTAGCAATGGACTACTCGAGGCAATTGAAGGAGGGCATGAAAATAAAGACTATGATCGTCATGTTCTTTGACTTCCACGACGGGTGGCTCGTACAGCAGAGGAATTACAATTGCAATTTTCCACCTTCTGGCCCACGGGAGCTACGAGCAGTTGAAGGACAACAGGCCGAATTGAATGGGCAGAGTGACGAAAGTGATCGAATTCCTGTCCATTCTCAGCATCCACTTTCTCGGTCTCCCTTCGGTCTTCGTTCTGGATGAGCAGGTTGTCCATAGGACTATTTTTGGGGGCCATTCGCATGTACATACTTCTTTGTCACACCTCGTTCAACATTGACACACAAACGGACATGTACCTGGACTCGCCTAACGTGCTCCGGACATCTGCGTCGTCCTCGATCAATCCACTTTGCCGTCCTTCATCGACTTCTCTTACGCGGAGAACAACGTCGCTTATCATTCCCGTTCAGCCTTGTGGTTGGTGAAAGGACCCTACGACGAGGAGGAGATTGTCGAGGTCAGGAACATTATATGCCAAGTCGAGAACAGGAGAATAGCCAAAGACAACACTAGTCAACATCTTTTTGGATTTTTCCATTGAATCTCCTCATCTCTAGAACTCAGATCTTTAGACTCACCTTTGCTCCTGGGGAGGGAGCAGAGATTGAGCCTGCAACCCAGGCTCAGACGCCGAGCGGAGGTACGAGGTTGATAATTATTCTATAACAAACGCTCTGGGGAGAGAAAGAATAGCAGCGCGTCACGACCGTGCATGTGCTTCCGTGCATAAGTGAATACAACTGTATGAGGTGCGCGTGCGAAGAATTCCGAAACATCTGAGACAGTGCCAGTGATCTTGTCTTGCTTCCTCTTGACAACTTTGCTCGACTATATCCAGGTGGGCAGGCTCAAGGTTTCTCGCGGCAGGAAAAGCGGGAAAAGGAAGACGGAAGAAAAGAGTCTGATCGTCCAGCCAAGATCAGATCAAAGACGCTCAAAATGACATCTTCAACAACGACTCCCTCAGTGGCGGACGTCGATGTCGACGTGCTCGTCGTCGGCGGCGGCCCCGTGGGTCTCAACCTGGCGTACCAACTGCGGCGCTTCTCGTCCGCTCCGATCAACCCCGATCCTTCCGCGGAGCCGATCTCGGTGCACGTCGTCGAGATGCACCCCAAGCCCGTGCAGGAGCACTTCGGGCGCGCCGTGACCTTCTGGCCGCGGTCGATGGAGATCCTCGCGCAGATGGGCCTCGCCGACCAAATCACACAGCAGTGCGTGGCGGTGCGCTCGAGCGCCGCGTACGACACGACGGGGACCGAGGTGTTTGGGCGGGGGTGGAGTTTCGTTGAGGGCCTCGAGGACACGCGGTTCACGTTCGCGAGCGTGCTGCGGCAGAAGTTCGTCGAGGACATTTTCCGGGCGGAGCTGGCCAGGCTGGGCGCCACGGTCGCCGAGAACTGCAAGTTTGTGGATCTGGCCGTGGACGAGTCGGTCGAGGTCGGCGGGAAAGGCAGGGTCAAGGCCACGATCTTGGATCGCAGTGCAGGCGAAGGTCGGGACAGGGAGTACACCGTCAAGTGCCGGTATTTGATCGGCTGTGATGGGTCGAGGACGCTGGTGCGCGGCGCCGCGGGGATCGAATCCGACGGAGATCGCACCGAGGACAAGTGGGTGAGAATCGACGGGGTCCTCAAAAGCACGACAATGCCGAAGCCTAGGTCCTACGGCGCCATCGAGAGTCCGCTGTACGGCAATGTGCTCTGGATCCCGCTCGACCATGGCGCCACGAGGATCGGGTTCGCGTTGAACGACGAGCGCAGGAAACTGTACAAGGAGCTCAACCAGGAGGTGTTTATCCAGGAGGCCAAGTTGTCCGTCAAGCCCTTCGACATCGATTACGAGAGGGTGGATTGGGCGAGCGTGTACAGTGTCGGGCAGCGCGTGGCGAGGAACTTCTGGGCCAAGGAGTCGGTTTTCATTGCCGGCGACGCAGCCCACAGCCACAGCTCGGGAGCCGGCCAGGGGATGAACGCGGGGATGCACGATGCGGTTAACCTGGGTTGGAAGCTGGCGCTGGTGTTGACGGGCGTGCTGAAGAGGGAGGTCCTCGAGACTTATGAGTTGGAGAGACAACCGAATGCACGGAAACTCATCAAGTACGATGAGGACATCAGTGTCCTCGTCTCTGGGAGACTGCCCAAGGACTGGCCGGGCGACAAAACCGAGGACCCAAACGTCGTTTTGGGGAGGATCCTGCAGGAAGCCAAGGGATTCAATACCGGCCTGACTATAGGCTTTGATCCGAATCTCGCCATTTCCAGGGACGACAGCGGAGAGGATGCTGAGCTGGTCGCCAAGCGGACAATCATCCCGGCACCGGCCATCGCAGGTTACCGAGCGCCAGATGTCCAAGTGTTGACGCCCGCGCTGTGGGAGCCGGTCTGGCTGCACACCCTGATGGCTAATCTGGCGAGGTTTTATGTGGTCGTGTTCATGGGCAGATCGACGGCAGCGAAGAGCTCGTTCGCCAAGATGAAGGAGGACGTGCAGAAGAATCAGCACCTGAGGCTTGACAGGGTTCCAGGAACGGCAGCGGCAGCGGCAGCGACGAATGGGGTTCACCTCAACGGATCCTCGACGTCTCAGCCTCGAAGATGGCCTGTGGAATTCCTGACCATTCTACCTGAGAAAGTCGGCAATGCCTGGTTTGAGCTTGGGACTGACCCCCTGGGGAGAGTGTATTATGATGGCGATGGCGGCGTTGCATACCAGCGATATGGTGTGGAGGTTGACTCAGGGGCAGTCTTTGTGGTGAGGCCTGACGGCTGGATTGGAGCCCGGTTTGGTCTTGGGTCGGACAGTATTGTTGATGGAATTGATGCGTATCTTGGTGGACTGCTTTACCGATAGATATCAGGATAAAGGGGGATTGTCTGCTGACCACCCGTTGCAGCCATGAGGGTTGTGGTGCAAGCGGAGAGCATATCAGGTACGGTGGCGTAAGTGATCGAAAGTGTAGAGTACGGAGAGGCACATCATCGCGGCGTTGCCCGCTGCGGAGAAGCTGGAGAAGGCCATCATCGACGCTAATCCTCTTTCGACGCGACACGGAGATGCGCGGTGATGCTTATCAGACGCGCAGCTTGTAGTGCTGCTTCGTTCTTCCCCAGATGGCGCAGTTCAATGGGCGTGGATCATTCGCCGGCACCAGCACCGAGGAGCCCGTGAGACGATTGGACTTGGTCGATCGAGGGAGGGAGGGAGGTAAGTGGCCATCATGCGTCCATATCTCCTGACGTTTGCTGGCCCTGTAGCCACGTCCTTGCAGCTCCATCATGGACGGTTTCGACCTTCTCGTCATCAACGGGCTCGTGGTGACTGCCTCTGACACCGCCAACTACGACATCGCCATCAAGAATGGCAAGATCGCGCTTCTGGCCCCGCCAGGCGTGCTGGGTCCAAGTAGTGCGAAGAGGGTGATTGATGCCGAAGGCGGCTATGTCATGGTATGCATTTTGATCCCAGTTCTGTCGGCATGGGCGCGGTTGAAGACTGAGTGCTGAAGACGTTTGGGTGTGTAGCCCGGCGGCATTGATTGCCATGTCCACCTTGAAGAGCCTGCCTTGTTTGGCGGCAAGGGGAGAAGCTCGGATAACTTTGAAACGGGCACCAGGAGCAGTATCTGTGGAGGGACCACGACGATAGTGTATGTCGATGCCCCCGAATGCGCTGGCTAGTGGAACTTGTACCTCGACGCTGGAGAAACTGACCACAATCCCGCAGAGCTTTTGCCCCCCAGGCCAAGACCATACCCTCCCTCCTCCAAGTCCTTGAAGATACGCAAGCCCGGGCCAAAGACAACTGCTACACCGATTACTCGTTCCACATGCTCGTCGGGCACCCCGGGGAACAGGCTCTGTCGGAATTCCCGCGTCTGCGCGAACTCGGCATCTCCTCGCTCAAAATCTACATGACCTACGCGGCCCTGCAGCTGCGAGACGACCAGATTCTGGACGTGTTGCTGGCGTCGAGAAAAGAGGGGATCACAACCATGATTCATGCGGAGAATGGAGACGTGTTGACCTGGATGACCAAGAAGCTGGAGGAGCGGAAGCTGTATGCTCCCAAGTACCACGCCACCTCTAGGCCTCAGATCGTGGAGACGGAGGCCACGAACCGTGCGATTGCCCTGGCCGAGCTGATGGACGCGCCTATGTAAGTCGTCATTGTTGACTTTTTTCCGTTTCGACGTAGTCTGGATCTGAGCTCACCAGCATGCCTATCTAGCTTGGTCGTCCATGTCTCATCTCCCAGCGCCGCAGCCCACCTTCGCAACGCGCAGACGCGTGGACTCCCCGTGTACGCCGAGACGTGTCCGCAATATCTCTTCCTGACCCGCGCGGACCTAGACAAGCCGAATTTTGAAGGCGCAAAATGTGTCTGCTCCCCTCCGCCTCGCGAGTCTGCCCACGATCACGACGCCATCTGGATAGGTCTCGCCAACGGCACATTCACCGTGCTCTCCTCGGACCACTGCCCGTTCATGTATGAAGACTACGAGAAGGGCAAGAAATCCATCATCAGCAAGGAATACCCAGAGGGCCGATTCAGCGGCATTCCGAACGGGTGCCCCGGGATCGAAACCCGCCTTGCACTGACGCTGAGTGCGAACAGACTGCCCCTACAAAAGTTTGTGGAGGTGACCAGCACGAACGCCGCCCGGCTGTACGGCCTGTATCCACAGAAGGGCACAATCTTGCCTGGCGTGAGCGACGCCGACCTCACGATCTGGTACCCCCCGGGGAAACTAGGGACGTTCAAATTGACGAACTCGATGCTCCACCACAACGTGGACTACACGCCCTTTGAGGGGATGGAACTCAATCAGTGGCCGAGGTATACCATTCTCCGGGGCGAGGTGGTGTGGGACCGAGACGGTGGCGGGCTGCTGGGCAAGAAAGGGTACGGTAAGTTCATCCCCAGAGGGAAGAGCACGCTCCCAGGGCCCAGAAAGGAGGGTGAATGGGATGTGAGCGCTTTCTAGAGGCTCGTCACTAGAAGACAAATGGAAAGATTCTGTGCTAAGAAGTTCGCTCTCTGGTGTGTTATACATTTTTGACATTATCCCTTTCACATGCTCGTTACTCACATCGGCATTGCTTCTCACATCTCCTCCACCATCTCACGGGCCACAGCATCGCCCTCGACCTCCGCGTACGTGGGTGGCGCCGCATCAGCCGGAAGAGAGCCATCAGTGTCCAAGACGGCGTCGTGACCAGCCCTGCTGCCCGTGCAGTCGCTGCCCCCTGTGCCAGAGTATCCCGCCGCACTTGAAGCGACAGAGCGAAGTCCGACCTCTTTCACGCGTTCGTTGTCAGTAATGTCTCCCGGCACCGCTTCCGCTTCCAGGCCACCCCGCCGGGGGACCGCGTTCCTCGACCTCTTCAGCGCGCGGTGCCCCGCGTAGCCGCGATAAATGCCCATCGCGGCGCACGAGAGCCCACCCGTCGCGATGGCCAGGGGGATCCCGATCGCGGGATGCAGCGCGGGTTCGCCCCGGCTCTTCTGGCATCGGTAGCAACGGCACGGACGGGGAGGTTGGATGCCGTTGTTTCTGCGGTGGCAGCATGAACTGCTCGGGCGCCGGTTGTCCTGCGGGCGGTGGCATCGATTGCCGCTTTGGTATTGGTGTTGGCGGTGACGACGGCACTGTTGATCGCGTGGACAGGCGCCGCTGCAATCGTTTGGGGCGGTGCTTGAGGCTAAGATCTCATGCTTGGGATCTTGGTGACATCGTCCGCTCGCTTGGGCGCAGCTGTGCTCCGTGGCCAGCGTCTGGTCCTTTTCGTCATACGCGTCCATGTTCAAGTTGGTCGTGCCGTAGACCTTGTTGTTGTATCGCGTGGTCTGGTTTATTCACGGTGAAGGAGGATCTGGGGGGGTTTGTGGGATGGTCTGCTTTATGACGCACTTCGTTTTCTGCGCAAGGACAGACGTCGGACACGAACTGGGTGGTTTTGACTTGATATAGTTGTGAAGCGATCTCTTCATACAATTTAGGGGTTGTATATATAGATGTTTCCATCTCCTCCCCATCCATTCCACTGCTATCCCAATCCCATCCATCGATGTATTGCCAGACGGAGGAACTCGACGCCGACGTATCCTCCGTCTCGAATTCCGAGTGCTGGCACCTTTGAGGAGCTAGCTGTTTTCGAGACCTATCTGGAGAGGGCCCTGGGCAAGGACTTTCCGCAGCGAAATGCACATTACGTCCGGAAAACAATGCGACGATAGGTTGGAGCCTAGGATTAACGAGGGCTGGCCTGCTGCTTTTCCATGCAAGTCAGTTTTACATGCTGAAGGGTCGATGTTGCTGCTGCCTAGGTTCTGCAGATCTTCTCACAGAGAGTGAACATTATTTTGGGGATGGGACAATGGAGGAGGCGGACGGCCAGAATATCGGGGGTTCAGAGGGTTTGGAAGATGGAAGTCTGAGGGTGGTTGATGGGTTGGTTGTCGTTGTTGTTGCTGTTCACGGCCGAAAGCCTCGCGATCAAATCCCTTTTCGGCTTAAGGCGCGAAGGGGCATATCGATATCATGAGCAAGCGCAGCGTATTCAACCCGTGCCTTTTTCTACCATGACGTCTTGCCCTAATCCCTGAAACTACACGTATCTTGGCTCCTACATCATCACCTCGCCAACGCAAAGAAGAAACGTCTCCCTCGTCGTCCCCTGCTCAGGCCTTGCCTTCTACCATGGGAAACCGCAGCTCCAGGCCGCCCTGGTGCGTGTAGACGCCCTTGAGATCGCCCACGCTCCGTCTCAGAATCCATTCCTCGCTGGTCAACTCCATCTCCTCCTTCTGCGTCTGGGGCTGCTTGTCGATGAGCCCGCCCTTGAGCCGCCGCAGCACCACGGCGTCCTCGGGGCGGGAGAAGAACACCAGGCTGTGCCGGTCCCGCCCGTCCTGCGGCGGCAGGGGAGGCACGACGCGGTGGACGTTGGACCGCAGCAGGCCAGCGGTGAACTTGACCAGCGCGTCGCCCAGGTTAACCACCGCGGAGCCGGGCACGGGGCGCACGTAGACCCAGTCCTTGGTGTCGGGCAGCCGGATCTGCAGGCCGCTCATCCAGTTGAAGAGGATGGTCAGGGAGCCAAAGTCGGTGTGCTCGCCCAGCCGGGCCTTCTGCTCGTCGAACTTGCCGGGCGTCGACTTGTTGAACCGCACGTGGTCGCCCGATCGCTCCTCAATGCGGTGCAGATTGGCCAGGGTGCCGATGGGGAGCTCCAGGTTCTTCTCCAGGTGGGTGAACATGAGGTCGATGGCGGCGCGGCAGTTGCGGGCGTAGTCGCCCAACAGGGTCCAGTGCTGCTTGATGAGATCTGGGCAGGGCAGCGGTTTGCAGTTGCCGATGAGATCGTCTTTGCGCATCTAAAAAAAAAAGTCAGCATACAACCTCCGAAGGTCACTCTGGGTATATCGGTGGTGATTGACATTATAGTTCTCATTCCGCTTGATCGTCCCGTCCTCCATCTCCCGCGTGCCCAGGATGCGGTACCCGAAGAAGGGGTCGAGCTTTTCCCTGGCGAACCGGTCCTTCTCGTCGTTGGGCAGGGCGTGAAACTGCTTCTGCACGGCGTGCAGCTGCTCGGCCTGCGCCACGATCTTCTCGCCCAGCGCCGACCCTTCCATGCTCAGGTAGAAGAAGCCGAGCTCCTTGGACGCCTGGAAGAAGGTGCGCGACTCATCCTCGTCAAAGGCCTCGAGCTTGGGGAGCGAGATGGACACGAGTGGTGCGGTTCGCACGCCCTCGGGGAAGGGGGGGTATTGGTCGTGGGATGTTTTCAGGACCATGGCTGGGCCGGCTACGATGAGATTGGTGTGTCTAGTAGGGGGCGTTGGAAGATGTACTGATCACTGTTGGCGGTGGTACCTAGTAGATGAATGACTTAGCCACGTATGATATGATACATATATTTTTTCTCTCTCCCCCTCATCTCGAATGCCTCAGCTGAAGCATAAGAGTCACATCCCCCCAACTCTGCCTCGATCTACGATTCAGTCGCACCATTATGACTCCAACGTGCTTGTCCCCGACCCCGCTTGACTCGGCTCGACCTGTGCGCCCTACATAACGCGGCGCTGCCAATGACAGACCAGCGCAGGAACGGCGAAGGACACCGACGGCCATTCCCCGAGCAATGCACGACAACCCTGTGGCTCAGGCCACGAACCTTGACCTCTCCAACGTCTGCCAGAGTCTTGCTGGTTTGGCCTCAGGTGCCGACTAAGCGTTTTTGTCGCAGTTCCTGCAGTTCATTCCTGACCGTGTCCCGACTGTTCATGCCCTCGAGACCGATGCATTACACTTCTATGCTCATCCTAGACACAGTGGAATGGTGCAAGGAGCGAGAACTTGGTCAAGGAAAGCTAGTCTAATAGCTGGAGCCAGCTCTGACTCCTGCTGAAATACTTGAACAATGGCCTCTCTCCCAAGAACCAAGGGCAGCGAGACGGCCAGACGGAAACCCAAGTCCGGGGCCAAGGTTCAGCACGGCTCGACGGGATTGCTTCAACATGTTCGTTCGCTGAAAATGGAGTCCATAGCTGAGGGAAATATCAAGGACGCCCTGCCCGGCCCTGCTGACCTGGGTATTTAGGCTGAGATGCGGCGTCCATCGAGCCTTGCAAACCTAGCCGCCTCGCTAAGAATGCTTTGGCGTTTGCTTGTTTCCAGAGGTGCTCTAACAAAGATCAGGAATTGGAAGCGATGTACTGGCTACAGCCCGTTCCTCACCAGTGTTCTCTCCAGACCATCCACGACTCAGCTGCGACGGACACTGTGACTACCCAACTCAATCACCGAGCCAGAGAATGCGCTCGGCTAAAGAGATCTTTGGAGGCGCTATAACCCAGCCTATAGGCAAATTTTGGTGCCTTCCCCAAGGGCCCCGTCGGTTGTTCTGCGTTATTACTACTGAGATTGATTTTCCAGCAACGTCGGTATCGACAAATATTCCGGCTACTCGGCACAAGGCTGCGGAGACGCCCAACAATGCGGGGGAAGGAAACAACCGCCAACAAACAATACCATGTCCATCAACCTTGGGTATGTCCAGAAACCCCCAATGCAACTAGTTCGGTGCGAGGCCTTCAGCGTGAACAAGCTTGCCATACCCTCCTAAAGTCTCCAACATGCATTGGGTAAATGCGCGTGGAGAGTTTCGAACGGACACACCAAAGTTTTCCCCTACGCGATACCAACCCGAAAGCAGCAATGGATATACAACGAACCACCATGGACGGATATACCAACGAAACGACGATCGCCCCCCTAAAGGAGTTCTCTATCGAGGATTTCTCTCCGTCCTTGACCAGAGCAGCCAATTCTACCTTGTGATCGACTCGGGGGCCATTACCCGTTTCTCACCGTCTCAGTCCTCTCCCCCATGGGGAAAGACATGCAACGGGGACAGAACGGGGGAGGTTGAGGAGGCGGGGAGTGCCCAGCAGGTAGGTACGGGGTGACGGGGTATGCTTGTTGTGCATTGGGTTCCTGGCTCCCATGGCTGATAGTCGATATCGAACTAACTATACCACTACGACCACATGTCCCTGGTCCTGACTCGGTGCGATTGCTAATTATCCAGGAAGCTATTGGAGATATGGCTTTGGCTTTGGCTATGGATACTGCTGCTTCCTACATAAGCTGGCAGCTCCTGTCGCTTTTTGCAACCTGACCCGTCTCGGTCAGTCCCTGCTCCTTTCCTATCTCCTCTCTCTCTCTCTCTTCCGTTCTCGTATCATTCACCTCAGACACAATGGACTCAGCGGTACACACCACTCTGACGGTGTCGGAGGTCCTCGCCCTAGAGGATAAGAAAGGCCTCGGGTTGACGCCGGCGCTGGTCAGGCTCTACCTCGTTCTTGCCCCGGCCACACTGGTCGTCTGTGCCACAAACGGGTTTGATGGCTCGGTCCTCAACGCCCTCCAAGGCATCGACGAGTGGAAGGACCAGTTCGGGCATCCGGACGGGGCATTGCTCGGGATCACGAGCTCAGCATACGCCCTCGGCGCGATAGGCTCGACGCCATTCTCCGCCATCGTGTCTGACCGCTTCGGCCGGCGATGGTCCATCTTCGTGGGCAGCATCATCATGATGCTCGGCGTCGTCCTGCAGTGCGTGAGCAAGAGCATTGGGCTGTTCATCGGCGGCCGCGTCGTCGTCGGCTTCGGCATCAGTCTGGCCCTGGCCGCGGCGCCAATTCTCCTCGCAGAGCTGGCCCACCCGCGACACCGGGTTTTCTTCTCCGCCATGTACAACTGCAGCTTCGCCCTCGGCTCCGTGCTGGCGGCGTGGGTCGCCTACGGTAGCGTCCACATCCCGAGCTCATGGGCCTGGCGCCTTCCGACGCTCTTCCAGGCGTGTCCCGCGCTGATACAGACGAGTGCCATCTGGTTCCTTGACGAGTCGCCCCGTTGGCTGTGCTACAAGGACCGGGGTGACGAGGCCTTTGCGATTCTGGTCAAGCACCACGGTGGGGGGGACCCGAACCATCCTCTGCCCATCGCCGAGTACCACGAGATGTGGGAAGCCCTGCAGCAAGAGAAGCAGATGAAGCACAAGGGCCTTCGCTTGTTCCTGCAGACCCCGGAAAACCGGAAACGGCTCATGATCTTGATATCCCTTGCCGTCTTCGGACAGTGGAGTGGCACGGGCTTGATCTCGTATTATCTCCCCAAGATCCTGGACAGTATTGGCATCACCGGACAGCAGGAGCAGACCCGCCTCAACGGCCTCGTCACCACCGTCAACTACGTCACCTCCTTCTGTGCCGTCATCTTCGCCACCAAGGTCGGCCGGCGGGTCCTGTTCGTCGGCGGCGGCACCTTCATGTGGCTGTCACTCGTGGGCTTCGCGACCTCGGTGGCCGTCTACAACGAGCACAAGTCGGCCAGCGCGGGCCGCTCGTCCCTGGGCTTCATCTTCATCTTCAACACGGGCTACAACTTCTGCCTGATCCCCACGCTGTACCTGTACTCGACCGAGATCCTGCCCTACCGCCTGCGCGCCATGGGCCTCAGTATCTCCGTCTTCACCACCAAGGCGTCGCTTTTCTTCAACCAGTTCGTCAACCCGATCGGGCTGGCCTCGATCGGCTGGAAGTACTATTTCGTTTATGTCGGGTGGGTCGCCGTCGAAGTCCTGATCATGTTCCTCTTCTTCCCCGAGACAAAAGGTCATACGCTCGAGACCATGCCCGAGGTCTTTGGAGAACGGGTCTTGGACAAAAAGACCATGGAGAATGACGACGATATCCAGGTCGTCGAGCTGGGCGGCAGTCCCAAAGGGTTGGACAGGACCAAGGGCTATGCTGAGCATGTTCAGGATGTTGGCGTCTAGCCAGGAGGAGCTATGATACGGACGAGTCTTGAGAAAGCGGGAGATGGGACAGCGGGAAAACTCAATTCACGGGCTCCCCAGTTACTGAGGATAAGCTACCAGTAGTAAATGCTTGGACTAGAAACTGAGGAATGGGGATTCAGGGAGCTTGACATACAGCGCTGAGGATTGCGGGTGACGGAGCGGGTGCAGCGGGAGGATCCAGCCGAGAGACAGTTTTAGCATGAGAGTTGGTAAATGTGTCGCAACCTCATCCACTTACCTGCTATGTCGCGAAGATGCTGCAGCAATTGTCGTAGAAAGGAATGGCCCTCAGCTTTCTCTCTCAAGTCCTCGGTCAGGATGCTGGATTCTTGGCCCGTAATCCATTTCCAACGGGCTTCAGGAGGTGCCACGGCTGCATGCTCATCTGATGGTTGGGAGGTGACCTGGCAAACCACCCCCGAACACTATCCGGCGCTGAATCCGATCCTCGTGAAAGACCACGATTCGACAAATCCCATGCCGCACATTTGCGAGATTAGATAGATCTAGGCCGAAACATATTGCGCAAGCAGAGACATAAGCGAGACTTTGGACGGCGGCGCCAGCTGCCCTTAACGTGTGTGATGATAGCATGACATTGGAGAGATTGTCTGCGACCGATGCCTGGGCTGTGGGAATTACCTGCAGAGTTTCGCGGGAGTGGTTCCACGCGCCAGCATATCTCCAGGTCAGAGACAACCCAGGTCGGAACGAGATGGAGCAAAAGGCCCTAGCCGCAATAATCAGACGGTCGGTTGCGATCGGGGACTATCGACGAGAACGAACACGAGGCTCTGCAAGTCCTGGATTTTCTCCTCACGCCACAACTGTTGAAGGTTTGCTTGCTACTTGAAACTCGGCCCTGAACTTCGGCCCTGAACTTGAGACTCATGGAAGATAAAATACAATGATCGCTTAGAAGGTCATTATGGTCCCCAAATCGCTAGTAGCTGATGGTCAGAGGAGGTAGTAGAGGGGAAACCAGCAGTTGTTGAAAGGCCTGCGCTGTCGCTGTCGATGCGGTCGATGCCAAGACACGTCCACGTGATCACCACTCAATCCGCTGTCATTACAAGCTCCAGACGTGCTGTGGACCGCCAAAAAGGCTCGAAAAAGTCGCTCAAATGACGCTGGCAATCTGCGTCCGGCGAGATGGTCTCTTGCCTTGGTTTCCTTTCCATCCAACTCAACAACCCAAATCCATCCTTCCCGGCCCCTGACTGATATCAAATTTCCCGTTCCCGGGCTTCTTTGCCCCTGTCGTTGGCTTCTTTCACGGCGGCAACGGCTCCCAAGGCCTCGGTGATCAGGTGGATGACGTGGTGCCGCCTGTCGCCCAAGAGCTCCTTTCCCAAACTGTACGCTCCCACAGCCTCCTCCAAGAGCCGGCGGTGATGACCTGGCTCCTCGTGTTCGTGGTGATGTTCATGGTGCGAGTACCGACGGGGCCGTGGCTCATGGCGATGGTGATGGCCCTCGTCGTCGCTGCTCTCGTAGTCGTCGTCCTCACGCTCCCGCTTCTGCTTCTTGAGAAGCTGGTAGGCTCCGACGGCGACGACGGCGCCAACGGCAGCCTTCACATAGTGTTCGTTGGCGTCCTTGTAGTCCTCGGAGATTGCCTTGCCGAGTTCGTTGGCAGCATAGACACCGCTGCCGGCCATAACAGCCACCTCGGCATTGGTCTTGAAGGAGTGCAGGCCGTTGTTGTTTTGTTCCGGCATGGCCGATTTTTCTTTTCTTGCTTGCTTGCTTGCTTGATTGCGAAGATGGATTTGTTAGGGGGGAGATGGATGCCAACGCGACTCGAAAAGATGGCAATCAGGATGCTCTTATACTTGTGGGGTTCTGGGGTGTAGAAACTTCCGGTCCGTCGACCATCAGGTGCTCAAGATCAGCCCGCTGGTTCGCCCCGTCCCATAGGGAAAGGTTGGGGCTGGTGTTTACGAGCATCAGGTTGTTTTCTCGAATTCATTCTCCTTGGCAGACCTACAATCCCCGATCTTGGTCCATGGTACATCAATACTGCTTGCGAGGCTGTTCGACGGTCCGTACCAGAGCTAGAGTCTGGAGCCTGGCTAGACTAACGGATGCGGCCAGTTGTGGTGCATGCTGACACCTCTGGCAATCCCAATGCAGGTGATGCCAATCTAACCTATCCCTATCACGCAAGACATGGTTTGTTCACGTCCTCAGAGGGCAATCGAGAGAAGATTGCTCGAGGTCATTGGCCAAAATCACACCGGTCGACAGTCGTACCATTGTTGCATGGGGCAGGCGGAGCCAGGCATACACCGCGTCACATGAAGCAACACGGACTATATCTGAAGACGACACCCCTTTCCACCAACTTTGGACTGTGCCAAGGGAGCTGCCTCGCAACAGCATCACCATTTTAACGATAGTGTCGTTGATCGAAGAGTCACTCTCTTTTTGTTCTCTCGCTAATACCTCTGCTGGTGGGAGAATGTGGGAGAATATCTCCAGATCCCCCAGAATCAACTAGCTCACGCGATCATCAGTCGGATGGCCGTCCGAGGCTCTTTTCGATCACACCACCCGACAAGGCCAAATCGCGAACACTCTAGAACCGTCAAATAGTCTTACCAAGACACTTGTGGACTGGAAATCGTTGGATGATGCGAGGTGGAGTGAGCCATAAAGCCCGCTATGCCACGTGACCCTGTGAGTACAATCCCCTCCACCACTCCGCCCCTTGCCCTGCTTCGCCGTCCCAAACTCATGTGACGGATCTCTGGGTGTTTGTCAACGTTGGTCGAGTATAAATAAGGGAATGTAAGAACAACCCCCCAGAAATAAAGGAAGAAGACAAGCTGTCTCGAACTACCAACCAAACCACTCGACATAAAGCACAGTCACACACAATGTCTCCGTTGAATCTCAACACAGTCCTCAAACCACCGCACGTTACCTTCGACTCGCGCGGGCCGTACCACCGCTCATCCATCCGCTCGGTGTTCGACTTCTTGGGCGCCGGGGAGCTGGACACGGTGTTCAACCAGAAACATCATCGCCGCCACAGCCAGGGCCACTCGGTCTACGAGGAGGACGTCGTCTTCCCGAACTTCACTGTCAGAGAAACGGCCGAGGCATACTTTCTAGAAGGCGACTTCCCAGGCATCCACAACCCGAACGACATCAGGATCGAGCGCCTGGGCTCCCAGGGCCTGCTGGTCGAGGCACAGGCGCCGGAACTCGATCTGTACCACGAATGGGGCAATGTCTGGGGCATCCGGCCGGAGAAGGAGGCGCGGGTGGAAAGAGGCGCCAGCCAGGCCACCGCCGAGGGTGGACCGGGGAGTGCGAAACCCCGGGGCGTCGACACGAGCACTCGCTCCCCGGACCACGAGCACGAACACGGTCATAAACACGAACACGCCCAGACCGGCGACGGCGACGGCGAAAACCCACACGGCGACAACGAGGGCAAAACCGGCGGCGAAAAGGGCAGCGAGCCCGCGAAACCCCACAAGCTGCACCGCAGGGAATCGTCCTCGCACGCCGAGGACGACGAGCCCATGGCGACGACGCTGCTGTCGGAACGGCACGCGGGCCGGTTCCTGCGGTCCTTCACCTTCCCGCACACGGTGGACCTGGACCGGATGAAGGCGCGGCTCAAGGACGGGGTGCTGCGGATCGCGCTGCCCAAGGCGTCGGTCCGCGAGAGGGGGTCGAGCTACAAGGTTGAATATGGCGGGTGAGGTGAGGTGAGATGAGGTGCTGTCGCTCTTAAGTTTTCATAGGACATGTACCCAGCTGGATCTTCGGGAGCAAGGAGTTGAATCTGGCTCGCGCGGTCAGCCCACGGAGCTGCTCGGGAGTGCTCTGCACGCTCAACGAGACTCACCTTTAAAAGCTGGGCTTGACCTAGCGTCGGACGGTCGAATAGTCAAATAACCCCTCAAGTTGTAATGTAGCCATTTCATCCCATCAGGCCTGTAGCCTCACTGTGCGTTGCCCGTCTCCTGGGGCTTCCTGGACGAGCACTACTTGACACCCATATAGATCTTGGAAGACAACGCAACTTTTCAGCCTCGAATCTCCGATCCAGTCAGGGCCACCACCAGGTTTGAACCAGCGATAGGGGGTCTGACTTATGTTGCTCGCCGTCGAAGAAGAGAGGTATGATGGTCATCACTTTTAAGGATTCACAGACACAAAACCCTTACTTTGGAGTTTGCACGTTATTCTTTTTTTCTGCAATGTCGCACCCCTTCTACCCGGCACCGGACATCACCTCCTCCCAAAACGACCTGACCTGCTGGTAAAACGCCTTTTCAGACCAGACGAACTGCCTGAGAACGTCGACTAAATCGGGCCAAGAAGCAGTCAGGTCGCCACATTCTGACGCATATTCCTGCCGCAAGAGGCCGACATAGCCCGACCGGACGGCGCCGGCGGGAGCGAACGCGCCTCCGATATACAAAGTCCACGCCAGCAGGTCGCCATGGCCGTCCCAGAGTGACTTGTCGTGTTGTTCTTGCTGCTGCAATTTCTGCAGGAGCTGCGCGGAGATCCACGGCTAACGGGGGCGCACTCACATGTCAGCTCATATACGGCCGCCGCTCTGGCTAGGTGGTGCTACTTACTGGGATCACGGACAACCGCCAGATCTTGCAGCAGAGCATCGACGCAGCCAAATACACTGCCCAGCGACAGCATTCCTGAACGAACGGCAGCGTCGGAAGGCCCACCAGCTTGGACTGCACCCACGCCTGCTGATTGTCCACGTGCATCATGGATATCGTGTCCTCGTACGCGAAGAACGCCGAGTCCCGACAACATTGCATCGCGTGTATGTCGACGAGGACCTCTAAAAACTCCTCGGGGAATAGCTGTGCCTTTCTCTGGAATCCTGGAGACAGGACAAAGATGTCCGGTGGAAATATATCTCTCTCCCACCGCAGCTCGTGGAACGTATTATGGGTCACGATGCGTTCCGAGGCGGTCAGGATGTGTGCGTACAGGTCCTGCCTATTCGATTTTCCATCAGCCCAAAAGGCGAGGAGCAAGCAGAAAGAGAAGATGGATTCGTTGCTCACCAGAAGATGGCACGCTTGATGCCGTCAGTCAGGTATACTTGGCCTATCTTTGAGGATTCAAGCAGACGGTGGATGGCTTTCAGATGGATTTCGACTTGCGCTCGCATCCCCAGGCGCGTCTGAATACGCGAGGTTAGCGTATGCGCAGCGGAAAAGGGGCATTTGGGTTGTCACACCTCGATACCGGCGAGGAGAAGAATGGCACCCATTGTCGAGACGGTGGTAGTAGGATCAGACACGCTGATCCTCTCGCGGATGGCCCTGATCGTCTCGCCCTGGTATTGGAGGTACTCGTGATCAAGCACGTTTTTGGTCGCGGCGAAGGTCGCTGTGAGAAGGACCGCGTTCAAGAGGGCCGGGTCGTCCACCCCTGTGCGGAAGACGGAGCGGAAATTCTGAAGAGCAACTTCGTCCCCAAGGCTGAAGACGGGCTCAAGAGCTTGCTTTGCTTCGTCTGCGTTCCACGTGAGAATCGGCGTAGAAAATCTGGGTGCGACTACGTCAAAGGACCTACCAGATCTGAGGAGGGACTTTAACCTTGAAAGACTGGCCTCACCGTCCTCCGAGGGACTGTGGATTACGCCGAGGGTCGAAAGGGGTGAAGAGGCCAATGCTCGAGTCTGTGTCGCCTTCTCTCGGGTATGTGAGGGGTCGGGGTTGGAAGGAGCGGAACGAAAATGCTGGCTCCGGGATCTCTCGTCCCTTCTTTTACTCTGGAGAGCCTGCCTGACGGCGTGTGACCGGATAGATCGCCTCAGCTCGCGGTCCTTGGACTCTTCGGGGTCTTGTATGGTAACGAAGCGAAAGGATTGATCTGTGATATGTGTTGGCGAGAGACAGTGAGGGCTACTGGCGCTGAGACCGTCACTTACCTGCGCTCTGACCAGTGCTATCCGTTGGGCCTGAACCACCTGGCTCCATGTTTGTTTTTCCCAGCGATTGGCTTTATGACCGGCGCCTCTGAAGCAATGGCTCACGGCAAGCAACACATATCTTTAAGTGGAAAGAAGTTGAGATCTTTCCTAAAACGCGTGATGTGTCAGCTGGTTGCCGAGCTTCTTACATGGCGGACCCGACGTCATCGATGGTGTGGCTGGTGGTGGGTGTCGATATAAGTTCAAGTTACTAAGCGCGACTAAATGGTCCACAAGGCTCTGCCGCTTCGCCAGCTACGTGATAGCCCCCGAGCACGAAACGAGACAAGTCCACTATTGACCCAGCAATATTAACCTCTAGAGTACTCAAGTAAAAGAGGCGAGTATTACCACTCACACAGCCGCCGGTCGGCCAAGACGAAACTATGAGTTCGTATACTATCTACGCCATAGTTGCTGACTACGAAGAATCTGGGAGCAAGATCCACTGCCTGGAAATGGGCCTACCTTTGTTTAGAGTCATGTTGAGGAGCAGTTGCTCGTCAGCAGGGGAAAGACGGCGAGACAGCCACTAACGCGGCAAGCACATCGGTGTCAAGCATGAGTAACTACGGTAAGGAGGGCACGGATAGAGTGAGTCTGTGCAAATGCCGAGTTCTATATAATCGGGGTATCTGGCTCCCTCAATCTCTTCATACACCGTGACATTCAACGCCAGACCGACTAACAGCACAAGCATACCTCCGTCCACTCTCCTAGCTCTAACCTGCGTCGCCCTCCAAATCGAAGAGAGACCGCTTCACCATGGCCGAATCACGTCTATTCACACCAATGAAGATTGGGAATATCGAAATCAAACATCGCATTGTGATGCCTGCTGTGAGCCGAATGCGAGCCACCGACGACCATGTGCCGACAGACATGATGCTGGAATACTACTCCCAGCGGGCCGCCATGCCGGGCACGCTCATCATCACGGAGGCCAACCTCCTCTCTGCAGAGCATAGTGGCTATACGAACGCGCCAGGGATCTGGAGGCCCGAACAGATCACGGCCTGGAAGAAAATCACAGACGAGATCCACCGCAAAGGGAGCTTCATGTTCCTCCAAGTCATGGGCATGGGCCGCATGGCCGATCCATCCGAAGCTCAGAAAGAGGGTTTCACCATCGTCGGAGCAAGCGCCATTCCGTGGACGGAAGGCGCTGATATCCCCCGGGAAATGACCGTCGAGGACATCAAGCGAACAGTCCAACAGTTTGGCCAAGCCGCGAAGAACGCCATCGAAGCAGGGTTTGACGGCATTGAGCTGCTGGCCGGCAATGGAATGCTCGTGGAACAATTCCTCCAAGATGTCACCAACCACCGGGACGATGAGTATGGTGGCAGCATCGAAAACAGGTCCCGATTCGCGGTCGAAGTGCTCCAAGCCATGGTGGACGCCGTCGGCGCTCAACGGGTCTCAATGCGCCTGAGTCCCTGGAGCAAGTACCTCAACATGGGCATGGAAGACCCGAAGCCACAGTACTCGCACCTCGTCAGGAAAGCCAACGAGCTGAACCTTGCCTACCTGCATGTGATCGAGTCGCGCATCAAGGGTGGTGACGACGTCGTGAGCTCGGACAAACTCGACTTTGCCTACCGCCTGTGGAACGGCCCCGTTCTCCTCGCCGGTGGGTACAACGGCGACTTGGCCCGCAGGCTGGTGGACAAGGAGTATCCGGAGCGGGATTTCGCCGTCAGTTTTGGACGCCATTTCGTCGCAAATCCGGACTTGGTGTTCAGGATCAAGGAAAACATACCGTTGAACGCGTATGACAGGGCTTACTTCTACACCCTCAAAGAGCCGAAAGGATATCTTGATTACCCGTTCAGTGAGGAGTATTTAGCTACGGTGAAAGCATAAAGTCTGCTGTACTATTCTTTAGATAGGGAGTTTAGAATCCAATTACAAGACATGCAATAAATTTCTTCTTGGCCACCAAAACTCGACCTGAGACAACTTGTCATCTAAGCTGAGGTTGAAAAACAGACTTCCGCATGCTACACTTGCCACATACCACTTCTTGTCGTTAACCGTGCACATTGTTCGTTCTAGGCAAGACCATTGCTGATAAAGGGGACTCGTTGGTGTAGGTGGACATATTTCATAATCACTCCACGGACCTGGATGGAGAAGATGCTGCATGTGAAAACGCAAAGATCCAGCTTCTTCCCTTGCAGATTCGAGGGCACCAAGGGTACCTCCTGACATCGCCTTCTTATGCGGGTGCCTCTCTGCCACTGCCACCTCTCTCCACCATGGCCGTGTCAGGCAGGGGAACGGCTGACTGAAATGGTTCCCCGAACACTGCCTTAGGCATTAATTACACTAGTTACGAGAAGCCTTGGGCCTAGCACACGAGTGAGACCTAATTTATATTGACTTGAAACTATTACACATCTTGACTTAGATTCTTAGCATGCTTTTTTCGATTTTCCAAGGCTCTGCACATGCGGCTATATTTTGTGCAACGGGACAGCTCGGGCCAGCAGCTTGGAGGACTACATGCGGGCCTGTTCCAGCAAATGCTTCGCTTGCCGCTCGTACTCGGCCATGGCAAGAAACGTGATCGTCGGGCCGACACTGATGCGCGCGACTCCCATCTCCGCCAGCTCCGCGACGGTCAACCCGCCGGTCCACTTCAGGGAGACGTTCAGGCGGCCGTCAAACGCCTTGACCAGCTGCGCGACCTCCGCCTTGCTGACGCCGCGCTTGCCGCCTCCCCACACGAACACGGTCGTGGCCCCGGCGGCGAGGTACTTGCGGCCGCGTTCGACGGCCTCGGCCATCCCGCCGCCCTGGACCAGCGTGTCGCACCGGGCGTTGACCACGAAGTCCGGGAGGCCCTGCTTCACGCCGACGGCGACGGCGGCCTTGACGCGCGCGGCCGCCTCGTCGGGCGAGTAGAACCGCCGGTTCTCCTTGTCGTAGTCCTCGAGGTTGATCCCCACCGCGCCGGCGTCGATGGCCCCGCGCACCGCCTCTTCGAGCCGCTCGCCGTACCCGTCCTGCAGGTCGACCGTGAGGGGCTTGTCGTGCTCCGCGGCCACCCTGCCGATCAGCCGCGCGGCGGCGAGGTTCTGCTCCAGCGTCAAGTCGTCATCGGTCGTGCCTGCCGCGAGGGCCACGGCGTACGACGCGGTCGCGAGAGCGTGGCAGGATGGGAGAGGCGCCACCGCCCTGGCCGAGAGGACGTCGTACACGTTGGCCAGGACGAGAGGTCGGCCTGGGCGATGCAGGCCGCGAAACGACTTTGCCAATTCACTGAGCCCCTTGGGTGCCATTTCTTTGTGTTTAATAAAGCACTGGCTTGACACCAGAAGGACACTGCTGGAAGAAAAGAAGAAACTAGTTCTCTGTCGGTCTGCGTATCTGCTGTTTGTCTGTAGTTTGCTGGCCTCACAAAAGCAAAAGCCAACTAGCAGTATTTATTTCCACCAGAGCGCTTCGAGGACGATTACACCGAGTGCATCAGCCTTGACGCCATACCGGTGCTGTGCTTTGAAAGCAGCGAGTATAGTAATTGTGGTCCTGGAGCCGGGAGGTATTATCAACTGCGCCTTTCCTGATTCAAACAAATCTCGTTTCCGAATTCGGCAAGATCTCGAGGTGGCTTCATATTATTAATAATGGTGGGACCATTCCCACCAGAGCACTAGCGCATCCTCGCAGTACTCACTCATACGTACCTGGCGAGTTGGCCGCACGGGCGGAGCACTTGCTTACAGTTACAGTTGACAGTGTCGTAGGACACGCAGAAATGTGCCTGGCTAGTCTCTGAATCTAGAGCGGGCAAGTCTTCGCAGACGACCCTCATATCTCTCCACATCGGGAGTTCCTGCAAACTCCGAATTGATGGAGACGTTGAACAGACGAAGAGAGCTTCTCCTTTTTGACATGGCGTGATGATCCTCACATGCCTTGGTAACTTGACCTCACATATACGTAGTACGCTGAGAGATATTCACATAGCAGGGTTGAGAATCTAGTTTTGTCGCCGCCCAAAAGTCCTTCCTTGGACCAGTCACCCTTCGCACCCTTCGCACCGCCACCCCCGCCACGACCCTGGCCAAACTAGAGGGTTAATTGGCGCGCTTTCTCGACAACAAGTCCGAGGGGTGTAAGTTGGGTGGACGCACCTCGCATAAGCCAGATGAATCCACTCCAGTTCGGATGTAGCGGGTCAGTGGCCGAAGCGTACGTTATACATTTGCTCCACTCGATGAATGAAGCTGGCCTACATAATCGCTAACCCCATCCTGCTGCGCCCACGTGCGATGACTTATCAACACGCTTCGTTGAATCTAAGGTAAATTCTTGTCTAGTTATATTACGAATTGACTTTCTAAAACGTCCTGGTAGAAACATGCATGCGTGTGCGCCTGCTTCAGGGATGTTGTCCAGCAAAACTCCACCTGCCACCAGCCAAAACCATCCTGCAACGATAGTGTCTTTTTTTCGAGTGATTTCCTTACCCAACTCCCTTGAGAGCTTCCCGACCAAGTGGGACGCCGCAATAAATTTCTAAATCTGTTGTCCAAGTCCTTTCATACCTTGCTCCCCTCTTCTAAGATTTGTCCACTGGTCACCGACCAAGCATTAGTTCAATTTGTGACTCAGGCCTGCGCAAAGCTCGAGCGAGCCCGCAGTCTCGCGCCGTAATAGTACAAGCCAAACATGCCGAAGATGCCCAAGACGCTGATGGAGGCCAGGACGGTGACGCCCTTGTCGACGCCGAGGTTGACGAACAAGGGCCGGGCGAAGAGGACGCTGCCGGCGGCGAAGGAGGATCGGGACAGGTCGTTCGCGGCGAACAGGGACGCCGCGTACTGGGGGTACGAGAGCGGCACGTAGACGAAGATGCTCTGCAGGATGAAGAAGGTGCCGAAGACGAAGAGGACGATGCCCAGGATGGGCACCGTCCAGTGGACGTCCGGGCGCGCGGTCCAGGCGAAGATGAAGAGGCCGATGGGGAAGAAGAACGAGCCGAAGATGCCCGGGACGAGCCGGTGCTCCTGTTCGCGCAGGCCGTTCTTCTGATTGTCCGGGATCATGTACCACCGCAAGTAGGCAAAGTACGTAAGCAGCCCTATCGTTGCGCCGATCTGGCACGGTACAAACGCGACTCCCGTCTCCCCCAGGTTGAAGCCGTACATCACCGGGAAGACCAATGGAAAGACCTCGAAGAAGGTGAAGTACGTGGCGTAGAACAGCGCGGTGTACAGATTGGCGAAGAAGATGGCCGGGTCTTTGATCATGATCTCAACCGGTTTGATCAGGGCGTGGACGGCAATGCTGCGCGCTGTGAGATTCCTCTGGTCGATCTCGCTTTGAGACTGGAACATCGGGGACCCGGTGAGCTTCCTCAGCCGCTGTGCACGCCGTAGGAGGATGTTCGCCGCCGAGGTTTCGGGCAGGAAGAAGAAGAGGACGATAACCACGGGCGCCGTCATCCAGACCATCTCCCAAAGACCCCAATGCCAGTTTTCGGCGCTGACGGCGAAGCCACTCAACAGCGGTCCCAGTGCAGGCCCTCCCCACGCAGACCAGACCCACCACCCCAAAGCATAGGGGAAATACATGATGGAGTAGACGTCTCCGAACGAGGCGCCAGCATTTGCCACGGCCGGACTTCCAAAGAAGCCCTGCAAGAACCGCAAGACCAACAAGGCTGCAAAGCTGTTCGTCACGGCTGTTGGGACGGAAATGATGAAGAAAAGGATAAAAGTGATGATATAGATCGAGTTGCGCCCGATGATGGGAATTTCCGTCAGTGGCGCGAACAGCAGCGGTCCGACACCATAAGCCAGCACGTAAAGCGATAAAGGGAGACTGGCTGCTGTGTGTCCGACTCCAAACTGCTTCATGACACCTTCTTCGCTCGCCGCGTAGATGGCTGAACCAATATAGACGACCCAAGTGTAGAGGCAGAGGAGAAAGATGATAAAGGACTTTTTCCTGCTGCTCCAGTTTAGCGGGTTGTCTTGGTCGTCCGTGGTGTACCAATCCACCAGGATGATGCCGTCGTTGGTCTGCTTGGGCGCGATGGACAGGGACTTTGTCCTTTCAATCTCAAGTTGTCGTTCGATGTCGAAACGCTCGTAACTGTACGGGAGACTCTCCGCTCTGCTTGGGATATGGGAGAGGTGAATGTCTTTCTCGATTTCTAACTCATTCGCGTCGCCATCCTTCCCCTTTCCAAGGAGTGATTGATATTGTGGGGGAAGTTGAAAGTCTGGTCTGTCTTCCGGGTATTGAAACAGGCGATTCCCAGAGGCCCATCTCATGAGCTGTCCAAAGGCAGCTTCGCGCATCAGCTCCGACATGATGGACTTGTTGGCGTCTGGTCGTAAGTATCAGGTGAATGAGAGGTCTGGGAATTTGATATCTGCTATTCCTGTCTGGGTTTCTTGCTGAAATTCTGTCGAGGATGAGGAGTGAGGAGGTGCTGCCTTGGTACATAGCTGGATATCTCGTGTCCAGGCTTCTCGAAGTATTTATAAGGATCGTCCCCAGCACCTGCTCTCATTGATACTGGCGGCCCGATGAGACCCATCTGCGGAAGCATTACTTACGTAGAAAGGGGCCTGGATGCTTGATAATTCTGTAGGGTGATTATTCAGAAGATATCCATTGACGCAGAACAAGGAACGCCCTCATGTTGTCTGCGGCGCTGGACGGCAGGTCGCCGGCACTGTGAAACCGAGTGGAGGGGATTGGAAATCTGTTCAGGAGGATGCCGTCTCGATTGTTTCCAAGCTCAGGGCTTTCAAATCCGCTCATTTGTTCGCGGCAGCCACAGCGGTAGGTAGTGCAAACGGTAAAACATAGATAGTTTGCATGCACGGCACTCCTCAGGTACGTCATCATCTCTTGCTGGCAGACGCATAGAAGGTGAATTCTCATGATGAAAAGCCATCGAGGTCTAGCCTGACGGCTATGTGGACTGAAGAGCATTCGGGCTCCACAGTTGATCGTCTTGCCCAATCCGGCGAAATTTCGTTTCCCTATTTGGCAAAATCTTTAGCGGAGAGTATCCAGTAATAGTGACTAAGCACCCACAAGTGAACATGCAGGAAACATTGCCAATGGGTGGGTTGAAGACTAGGACCATCTTTAGGTAAACCCTGGGTCGTTATACCAATACAGATTGAATCCCCTTGTATGGTCCATCTATGCGAACTTCGTTGCTGAACAGGAGGCACTTTCGTTTGATCTATCGAATTGCACTCTCGACCGCCGCACCGTCCACCCCCTCCTTCACACCTCAGCGATGATGCTGCTTGAGCTCCCAACCGAAATCCGACAACAAATTTGGTCGGCCTGCGTCGAGATTTTGACTCCAGCCAATGCTCAAAATGATCAGATCTGCACGAACGTCGACAGCTTCTGTGGGCGGCAATACCATGCCTTCAGCGCACGTCTGACTCCCCTCCTCTCGACGAGCCGACAGGTCCATGCCGAAGTCTCGATTCTACTGAAGACGACAGCTCCGAGCCATAGATTGAGGTTTTGTTCTCCAGGCTGTATTGTAAATATCATACCGAGGTTGACTGGTCTCCAGTTGGCCATGACCCGGAGCCTGGAGATGTACGTCTATGGGACCTGGGGCGTTCCCGTGGAGGCGGTTCATCGAATTCGTTCCACAATTCTGGGTGATTTGCAAGACGTCGCTGAGAAACAGCTGCAAAGTCGAGGCTTGGAAGATATTATGAAAGAGTGTGACTCGCGGTGGGAGGTGAGTTTCAGCGAGCGGCAACGTGGAGTCTCACCAAGCTGGGTGCTGGAGTTTCGTCGGAAGACATCATAATGTTGGAAGTAACGAGATTGACATGTTGAAGTCTCAGATTGCTTTGAGGAGGTTTGCGGAAGAGGAATTGGAGACGTCGTGATCTTGGGGAGAGGAGAAATAGAGGATTTGTCTGCAGCGTTGCTGATGCCATTGCCATTTGCCGTACAGCCTTCTTTGAGCAGACGCCCGTCACTTACGGGACGGCTCGTTGAATCTGCTGTTCAACTTCATAAATCTCATCAGTGGCGTCCTCGTCAGATGTCTCATCTTCGTCCTCATCGCTGCCTTCCAGCTTCAGTTCATCGTCGCTATTTCCCAAATGTAGTCCATCGATGTGCAACTGATCCATATCATCAGCGCCTTGTTGACTTCCCTCGGCCTCATCGCTGAGCCAGCCTCCCGGCGCAGGATAGGTACGCCGCACAGAAAAGTATTTGGCCTCAATCCAGAACCGAAGATGATTGTGTGTCTCGTTTGCTTCAGCGTTGTCCCGAAAGGATAACTGAACGTACCATTTTTGGTCGAGGAAATGTTCGGGAAACTTCTCCGTGGACGTCGAAGAAACATAGCACTCAATGGCATCCGCTGCGCCACGCTCGCATTGTGTGACGAGGTAGCGAAGAATATCAACCTTTGCCCTTCCCAATACTTGCAGCCAGAGATTCAAGCCGCTAGTCAGAATTCGTGATGCAAGCTCAGGCTGCCAGGCACGGTGCTTGGACATATAACGATGAAGGCTCATGGCAGTAGTCCACACGAGCAGCGCCCATCTCCTCAAAGATTCTGCAGTCTCAATCGCACCTGCCTGTACCAGTTGATCCAACATGAGTATAAGGCAACGCAAAGATTCACCCTTAACGAAGGGTAGAATTGAAACTAGATAGTCCAAGATAGTTGCCCCACTGTCCTCGTGGAATTTTGCCAATCTTGACAAATCAGTAACTTTTGAGAAAGCAGTGAATATCCTGCGAGGGTCCGAGTTTAGGACGTAACACTGTATGAAGGCCACAGACATATAGAACATATCCAATTCTTTGCCAACAAAATTTATTCTCTCTGGCGCCATTAGCCAGAGAAAATCTTCTGGCGTACATCGGGACAGATGAACAGGCGTCCAATTATTGGAATACTTAACGTGATCGGGGTTGCATGAGGGTGGTGACCAGCCGAAGTCAATGCAGCTCCCTCCCTGCTCGACAAGAACGCGGACAGTATCCGTATTCACTCTGGCATACGGACGTCCCCCACCAACTTTGCTTTTGTTGACACCCAGCCAATAGTCGAACCAGGGGTCAACGTGACGGCTGAGAGCCGTAGCCGAAGACGGTGGAAGGTAAGTTCCATTTAGAGCAAGGGTCAGAGCAGTCCTAGAGGGATGATTAGACCAATCAATTGAAACCAAGAAAGTGCCATACACTTGGAGTGTAATATCTCCGGAAATCTCAAGAAAACTTGCGGTCACATCTGCACCTGCATCAAGAAGAACACGGCATACTTCGGCATGCCCGTATTGGCTGGCGACCTGCAATATTATCATCGTTAGTAGGTGCAATCGATGGTAGGTAAGTGGAGCTCCAGCATCCGTCTCATGTTGAAGGGGGATTTTGGACTTAACACACCATTAGCGGAGTAACTCCCTCGTAAGTAACGTCGCAACCTGAAGCTTTTCCATCAGCAATGGACCGCCTAACACCCATCGCGTCACCTGCAGCACAGAGGTGAAATATCTCTGCATCTGGTCGAACGAGTCGATTGATTTGTAGCGCCACCCGGATCCCTTGTGGCCGACGGTCGAACATGAAGGACAGTGCAGTGCTGAAAATCCAAGACGCAAACGAAACAGACATCCTAAGCCGGTTTTGAGGCGCACCATTCTCGGCCTCAGCTCGTTGTGGACTGTGATTGCTTCTGACGTACACATTTGCGATCCCTATGTTGTACTTCGCGATCCAGGAGCCCGTGCTTGTAGTCCTTGTGCTTGTGGCGGGTGCTTTGAGACTGGTCGATTTCGCGGAGAACGCAGCAACTTCTGTAGACTCCTTTCTTGAGGGCTCGTTGATGACGATTCCGTTCTCGGGGATCCTGGGTTTCGAACTCGGATTCGTCAGGATGGCAAGGACGAGTGTCGACTTGGCTCTCTCGAGGGCCGTCTGCAGTTTGACAAATCGCTTCCGGTTGAAGACGGCCTCGACCTTAGCCCAATTGATCAGTCGCTTCGAGCTTGAATTTCGCATCGTCGTTTCGAGCTCTTGTGCAATATTGTGTAGAACGCTGAGGACTCTGAAGCAGTGGTCCAGAGCTTGCTTCTGCACCAGAGTCGGCGGCAGACGGTGAGTATCAGCCACTCCAGAGACATTGAGATACTGAGAGAGAACGGTGCGCAAGAGGTCGACTTCGTCAAGGATCTCGCGGACATCGGCAGGAGCGTCGCGAATGTTGGCACGCAGTTCGTGAAGCTTTTGGGAAACCTCGAACAGTTGCAGCGCAAGGCTAGCGAGGCCCGCACCACCGGCAACTACACCAAGAACCTCGGCCATGTTCTCCGGGAATGAGGACAGAGAGACAGAGGCTGCGAAGATTGTCGAGCTTCGACGGGGAAATCTGAGTCCGTGGGATGCCCAAGAGCGAGCGTGCTCAGCAGACTTGCGACAGCAGGCGAGACATCAACTGTGCTCCGCTTTCAGACCTATCTTGAAATAAGCCAAAGTAATCGACACGCAAAGGCGACAGGGTTGGAGTGAAAGAGTGGAGAGCAAAGGCAGGAGGAGGATGATGGAAAACAAGGCCTTTCCAGTTGGCGATCGTTGAGGCGGTGTTGGGCTGTAAGCGCCTGGTGAGGCTGAGCGTGACCATCATGCATGCGGAAACAGGACTGCATGCCAATCATAATGGCTGCCATCACCTCACCATCTTCCACGCCAGTCAGCCTCACCAGCATTTCCTCGAAAGACCAGGATTGCCCCGCATGTGGCACTGCATGTCCATAGGATGAAATGAACCGAATATGCCTTGCGACAACCCCCCTCAGCCTGATTGAGCGTCCAGCCATGTTTCCAACTTCCAGCTTCCTCGAGGCTGGCCAGGGATTCATATTGGTGGAAATTGAAAACGAAACCGAGGGTCGTCGGGCTTTTGCCAGAAAATGTTAGCCAGGTGTCAGCCTTGTCCCACGTATCAATTGGAAGGCCAACAGCTGATCCACCCTGTCCTCAGCCTTGCCATCACTTTTATAGGTAATCGGCAAAAGGAAAATCCAGTTCCTTCCACCTCCTCTCAAGAACCAGCGCATAAGTCAGAGAATTTGAAATGTCAAAGAAGATCCAAATGGTGCTGATTTTGGCCAGAGATCACAAGACCTGTGCGTGGACTTTGTTACGACGAGGCCAGTATTCTTATCACCCAAGTTTCCGCAAAATAGTATGGACATCACCATGCAGTCAATAAGGGAACAGATGCACCTCTTCCATCCTGCCCAATTGCTTATCGTATTGGGGTCATGTCGGCTAGTACGAGTTTAAGAGGCCTTCCTCCCCCAACGCCATGCTTCTGTTGCAGCTGGATCGGCAAATTCGACAGCCATGCCTAATGACTCCCCGGATGAACCTGGTCCGCAGTCTCTTCGTCAATAACTTCGAAATTCGCGTCTCGCCCTTGAGCATCACGCTCGTGTTCCAGCCTCTCTCTCTTGTGCTTCTCCACCTTCTTGATGGCTGTCTGGGTCAAGGCCTGTCTCTCCATTCTCAAAGCCACGTCCTTCTTGCGGGTTCTTCGGTCTCCGATGGCGATCAAGATCCCGGCCATGATATTGCACGTGATGGAGCACGACAGAATCGTCGCCGTCAGGGCTTGCGGGCGGCTGTGGTAGTCGATTGACCAAGTACAGGTACCGAGCGCGATCTGGAACAGGGAATGACAGTCCAGAAGCACCACGATGGCCACCAGCAAGCGTAACGGGAAAGCGTAGTGGGTGCTTGTTTCGTGGGGCTTGTAGAAGGAATGTGACTTGGAGAACTTGGCTTGGTGGTGATGGAGCTTTTGCTGTTGCTTGGGCGTCAAAACCGAGAATTCGGAATCCTCCGGAGTCCCCGACTCGGGGTCAGCTTCCTTCTCCGCTTGAGCAGGGAGGTCGTTGTGGTCGCGCAGCTTTGGCATGCCCTTTTCTCGTCGTAATCTCCACGTCAAGTGATGATAATGAGCAATAAAACACATGTGGTATGTGTCAACAGCTCGGAACGGTGCCAGACCATCACCGACAAGGGCAAAAAGGGCAACAAGCACATTGTCGATTACATTGACGTCGTATTCCTGTCGGTCTCCAACATAAATCCAACCTGAGGAAACACCGTCAGCTATCAAGATCATGTCGAGAGTATGCATTCAACCCTACCGATCAAGAAAAGAACCCAAGCCAAACCAAATAGAGTAATTAGAGTCGCATACAAAAACACGCAAAATCCAAGTGCTGTTGTCATTGTCAGCGAGCGGGCAAGAAGCCTTGGAGATTTCACCACTCACGTTTCCGGATATACTTCCCAAAAGCAATCATTCTCTGCTTAAATTTCGACCGTTTCGAGTGCAGCATGTGCCTGACATGATCGTCCAGGGCCTCCTTATCTTCATCACTCCATCCTTCGAGGGAGACACCGTGTGGTAACACGGCAAAGTGAGAGTCTGTAACGACTGATGAAATGCTGTGGGTGCGCTCAATCTGGGGTTTGCGTTGATATGACCAGGTCCTTTGCATGGTGGCGGGAGCACCCAATTCCTCCTCCTCTTCCGGGCCTGCCACGGGTGGCTCCTCTCCTGGTGCCGCCTCAGTGGTGACCGGAGTGATGCCCACTTCCTTTTCTTCAATCGTCTCGGGTCTCCGCGTCTGCGTCGGCCGACGACTCAGCGTGTAGGTAGGTCTTCGGTTTAACCATCTTCCCAGGTCTGGCACGAACAGCGAGTTTTGGACGTTGTTGAGCGTAGTCAGGGTTGAGACTTCGGGATCTAGAATTCAATCAGCATCGCCCATTCTTATACATCATATGAATACCACTTACCAAGCACATCGAGCAAGTCGACCACTTCTGTTTCATACTCAGGCCCTTGTCGTTCGCGCGACGTGTCGCTCATTCTGCTGATAATGGAACGTGCAGCATTGCTGATGCTCCGTCTCCTACTTACGCCGCCCGTAACGTTCTCATTCATGGTGTCCCGATCCACGGTGCCATCTGCATGTTCCGGTGCCGAGGGGGTTTCGGCGAGGGTTGGCAGGAGTGACTGTCTCGTGCTTTGCCTTGTTAGTGTGTTTAAACCCGGAATGCCCAAGTTCGGACGTTGTGGTGCAGAACTGCTGCGTCCTCTACCAGACCCAGCCCGGCTGGGAGGTTGACTTGATGAGGTCTCTGCATCTTGCGCTGCCGCTCGCAGGTTTGACGAGGGCAGTCTCCTGATCCCGACTGGCCGGAATCGGTTGATCTGATTGATCTGGTTGATCTGAGGAGCGGTATAGGTGGTTCTCGTTACAGTCGGGTTCGTCGCGGTCGCATTAGTTATGACAGTGTTGTCGGGCGTGGACGCAACAATGCTGGGAGTTTGGCTCGGGGGCTGGGTGGAGGTTATGGTGTAGGGTCTCCCACGATGAGGGATGTGCACGGTGGTCGTCGTAGTCGTGGTGCTGGTCGTGGTGGTATTGTTGCTGGCAGAACTTGGGCCTGCCGGCGATTCGGGTATCGAAGGGAAGGGTTCAGTATTGGAGTTGCTGACCGAGCTGATGCGGCGCGAACCCGGCCGCGACGAAGACATTGTGTAGAGGCCTTGAGATACCCTCAGGGACGTCGCATCAAGGACACGGACACAATGAGCGTCGGCGATGAGGACCGGAGGTACAGGCGCAGACACAGAGGGAGTCGTGGGTGAGCGGCCTGAGTGAGCCGAGTTGAAGTTTGAGTTTGGAGGTCGGCGATCCCTCAGTGAGATGGCGATACGCAGTCAGCCCGCCACTGTCAACGCACACCGAGGAATCAATGGCAACAGTATACAGAGGGCAAGTAGATCACCGACAGAGCTCGATCAGAGCAGCGGATACAACAAGATGCAGACGAGTGTTGCTAGAGAGGAAAGCCGCAGCCAGCCCAAGTCGGCAGCGCCGTCTCCTCTGGGCCTCGAGACTTTTCCTCTTTCCGTGGCTTGCCTGGCGTTGGCCCGCCGCCCTTCCAGGTTGTTTTGGGGGAGCAACTAGGGACCTCCCAGGTGATCCCTGGTGATCCCAGTGGTGCGCCGCGCCTAGGCACAACGATGGGAGGCGGGAAGAATCTCCCTTTGGGCAGTGGGCACGCCGGGGCACGCCTAACAAACAGGGCATTTAACCAGAGCAAAGATGAGCAATTAACTCAACTAGACCCTAGCGCGACGATCGCGGACGGCCTAGAGTAATTAAGCATTCCTCCCTCCAATCACCCGGCGGGCTAAAAATCCTTTAACGAACTCTAGAGGCGCTAGTCCCATGTACAATGACACGGCACTGACGTCGAGGTGCGCGCTGAGTCAGGCTGGCGACCATGACAAACACCCAAGACGCCAAACGACGCGAATCCAACAATGCAATCTGATCACAGCTGCCCAGATCAAATCATCTGCCCGCCCGCGGCCCTCAAATGAAACTCTCTCCTCCCCAAGCTGCCCACACATTGTCCTGTTCCGGCCGTTCCATGCAGGGAGCCTCTTATTCCGGACATCCGGGGCTGCTCGTTGTTGCTGTGTGCCAACCAGACAGCCACGCAGCTTCATCCATCTCCTGCGGAGCCGTTATGATGTAGACACTTTTCAGGTTTACCTCCTGCCGTTGCGGATTTATCCATCTCTGATCCTTTGCATATTTGTCGGTTGACGGCGGCCTCGTTCTGTTCGGCTTTACAGACCTCCGCTGTTGGTCAAAAATAAGGTGGTGGCTATTGGTCTACGAGTACGAGTATGACTTAAGACGAAGAACAGACAAGGATCACCGAGTTCGATCCCTTGTGGCAAAAGCAATACGGGGTGCTCCGTACAAGTACAGCCTCGTCTGGGGCTGAACTCTGATGACTTTTCTGGCCCTGTCCATGGTGCGATGCCTTAAACCAAATGACCTGGCCAGTCCTGACCCTGTGGGTATGCGACTTTGTTCCCTTGTGTTCATGACTACAGCTTGGAGGCCTCCCTGAACCCGTGTGCAAAAGTCGGAGGATCTTCATCCACTTCCTCCTTCAACCACTTGACCATGCGTCTCGCCGCCCTCCGCGGGCCTAAGCCGTCCGCATAGCCCATGAATGGTTGCATATGTTTATATCCCATCATCTCCACGATACGAGGCGGGATTGAGTCCAGCTTTCTGGGATCCACGGCCAAAATTTGATTCTCGATGGGCCGGATGTAAGGCTGGCAGTACTGCACCGTGGCGCTCTGTCGAGGCTTGTCCGACACGTTGGCTCCACCGCCATGCCACAAGGTACTGATGAAATACACCACTCCGCCTTCGGGACAGAGCGCGGGGATGGTTTCTTCGGGCGTGCCTCGCCGTGAGCTGTCCCATTTGTGTGAACCGGGGATGATTCGTGTGGCACCTGAGCAGAACAGAAGCGCCCAAATCGTCAGTCAACAGATCCTGAGTCCTCGGTATTCCAAGCTCGCGCCCGCAAGGAAGACTTTAGAATGTTCAAACACTTACCATTCTGAGCCGTATACTCGTCAAAGGCAACCATTATCGCCGCTCCAAACGGCAACCTTGGCCGGGGAAACTGGATATACCCGTCATCGTGGTGCAGTGCCTGTGCCTGCTCGCCGGGATTGATCGAGATGGTGTGGAACGCCGATAGCAGGTACCTATTTTGGCGTTTGCCGCGCTCAGTCAGACCAGATTAAATCAGATTCGATGAGATCATGTCAGATCCTTTGCCTCCAAGAATGAAAGCGAAGCATGTCACGATTACTCAACCCTCTCTTCCACAGCACAGCACAGCACAAGCAAACCCTCAAGATCCCACAACATCCTTCAAACCAGGCCGCCAATCATGAATGTATAGAAAAACGAAATCCCAGAGATACACACCCTTGATCGAGGAAAAAGTCATTCAGGGCGAGGACACGGGGCAGGATGACAAACTTGTCAAAAACCCTCGACTTGTTGAGCAGCGAGTAGATGCGGTTCGTGTTGAGGCCCTCGAAGCTGTTGCGCCCGACCAGCGGCTGCTGCTGCCCCTCGGGCGACGAGTCCTTGGCCAGAAGGCGGCTGATCTCGTCGCGGGCCTCGCGGGCCTCGGCCGCGCTGAAGCAATTGGGGATGATCACGTAGCCGTGCTCGAGGACGTGCTCGACGTCGGCGCGCACGGCCGGGTCGGAGGGGAGGGGTCGGCGGGTGAGCGCTTGCGAGTAGATGTTGAAGGAGGCGCTTTCGTCCTGGACAAGTGATGTTGGTGCTGGTGCCGGTTGTGCCATGGTGACGGGCCTGGATTCGTCGGGGGTGAGGGCAGTGAGCAGGTAAGCAATGCCGAGCCACCTCCTTCGGGCGATCACGACAGTCGAAGAAATAGCCGCAGTCACGCAGTAGTACAAGTGTGAATTGCGGAAACAGATACAGGGACGTCTCACAAGATCTCGGTAAAATTGCTTATAGGAAGAGTACACCTAGCTTTTATAGTCTCACAGCCCTCACTGGCTTCAAGTAACCATCCGGTCCAGACATGCTTTGCCCAGACCATTCCCCGCAGTTTGAAGACCCCAAGGTCAGGCGAGCGTCAGCAGTAAGGCGGTAAGTCAGCCAGAGAGCAGCAGTGGCGGAGAAGGACGAGGAGGAGAAGCAGAAACAAGCCTCGGTATCTTTTTGGCGCAGAGGAAGCCGCCAAGCCTGATATTGAAAATGGCCTCCCTGCCTCCCTGTGAAAACCGCCCAGCCTTGCACCGAGAACATTGAACTCTTCTTTCTTCATCCATGCCCATCTGCCCGGACATCTATTCCCATTTCCACTTGGGATACCTATATGAGACGACTACGCCTTTGTGACTGGGATACGCACTTCATACAAATCTAGGCGACCTCTCTATCTGTCTCTGACTGTGGATTTCTGGGAGTTTAAATGCTCTATATGTGGACGTGGGAAAACAACGGACCAGGAGACGGGGTGCGGTGGTGTGAAAAACCCAAAGGAGCAATGGCAACGATGAACGCCCCTGATTCCGGAACTGCGCTTCAACGCCAGACATGCATCCTGTCGCCATTTGGCTTTCCCAGCTAACACGGATCGGCCTTGAAGTTGGGCAAGCTAGGCGTGGGTCTGATGACTTTGAGCATGGCGGCCCTTGAGTCGCTTGGTAAAGTCTGATTTCTCAAAAAGGCCACCCCAAAACAATTTGAACAACGCGACAATCGAGCGTCGAAACGTCCCAAGCGAAACTGGCATCACCAGCAGCGCTTCTGTCCGTCTTCAGGGCGCCATTTCCCAATACCATCAACGCGGACACCTCCGAGCTTCTCGAGTTCATCGGCATCAACAATCCCCCTACCGTCGAAGATCCATTTTGGCTCTCTCATGCTGTAGACGATGCGAGCCCATTCGACCGGGTCGGTTGAAATCGGACCTCTGGCTTTCGACCTGCAGTCGGGACAGTTGTCCACACAATCGGGTTGAGGAGCGAGTCGGTAATTTGCAAAACTGGCGCCCAGGTAATCGTCTTGTTCCTGTTTTGGCAACCCCAATCTGCTGGTAGGTCGATTAGCGGGTGAGCTCGTTTCGGACGCATTGCTGCCGCGGAGCCTTTGAGGCGAGGTTTTGAACTGATCACAGTCTGTTATGATGAGTATGGCGTTCGACTCCATACAAGCCTCATATGGATCTGTGTAGATCTTTACGGAGGAGGTTTCACTGGCGAAACCAGGCGCATTGCCGACAGTTGCGTTGATCTCTCGGAGCATGTCGTCTTCGTCACAATAGGGATCAAAAATTGCAATCTCCGCAGGTTGTTCCTCCAACAGCGTTCGGATCACGTCCACAGCGGGAGACTCGCGTGCGTCGCTGGTGTTCTTTTTGAATGCAAATCCCATCAAAGTGATCTTCTTGCCAAACAGATTTTCGTTGAACCTTTTGAGCACTTTTCTCGCGAAGCGATTACGTTGCATGACGTTGATCGAGTTGACCTGGCTCCAGTAGTGAGCCACTTCTTCCAACCCCAGAGACTCTGCGAGGTACGTGAGGCTGGCAATGTCTTTCCTGAAGCATGACCCCCCGAAACCAAGACCGGCTTTCAAGAATTGCGGCCCTATCCGGGTATCCAGGCCGATCGATTTCGCGACTTCCTCAACGTTTGCGCCTGTCGCCTCGCATATGGCACTGATTGAGTTGATGCTGCTGATCCGCTGTGCGAGCATCGCGTTGGCCACCAGCTTGGAAAGCTCTGATGACCACGCATTGATCTGCAGAATCTGGGACGAGGGGATCCATGCGGCATACAGACTGGCGAGAGCATCCGCTGCAAGTTTGCCAGAGGGCGTGCCCGAAGACCCAATGATCACACGATCTGGTCTCATCAGATTTTTGATCGCTGTCCCCTCGGACAGAAACTCTGGATTTGATAGGACCTCAAAGGGCTCGCCTGGTCGCAACGCATCGAGCTGGTAGATCTCAGTCAGAAACCCACTTTTGCCTCCCGCGTGGAACGGGTCACTTACCGTGTTCCTGATGCGCTGGGCGGTCCCACAGGGTACCGTGCTCTTCTCGACAATAATAGTACCGGGCTTCGCATACATGGCCACATCCTTGACTGCGCCATCCAGAGCCATCATATTGGTGGCTCTTCCTGCACCGACTCCCGTGGTCTTGGTGGGCGTGTTGACTGCCAGGAAAACCATGTCCGCGGTGGAGATGCTGACTTGAGTATCACACGTGAAGAAGAGGTTCGGCCCGCGTCTGGAGACGTACTCAGACTCGCCATTGCGCCCTTGAGAGCTCGAGCTGCGTTCGCCCGGCTCCTTTATTATTGCACCGTCTCTTGTCAATCGCACAATCTTGTTCAACCCTGGCTCATGGATTGGGAGGTGAGCGGAGTTCCATCGTTCAATGCGTCGCTGGTCTCTGTCCAGAACCTCGACGCCAACCTTGGGGTTATGCAGCGCAATGACTGCCGCCGTAGGACCGCCTGAAGACGCAGGGTTCAATTAGTTCACCTCCATAGCCCACGTATCTGCTCTAGATGTGGGGGTTGCATACCAACATAGCCTGCGCCAATCACGCAGACCTTCCTCACGTCACTGGGGACCGGCGCAAATAGGTCCGCAAACGAGGGGATAAAAGGGCTCTCGGCGCGGGCTGAGGGCGGATCGAGTCGGCGCCTCTTGGGCTCTTCCAAAGCATGAGCGAGGCGCGTCTCAAACGAGTCTTTGGGGTGCGAGGGGCGGAACAAAGGACTGCTGTCTGGTGTCAAGAGACCCGTGGAGTCGTTACATGAACTGCCGTCGGAGGTACCGACGAGGGAGGGGACCGCGAAATCCATGGCGGCAGCAAGGACTCGGGTTCCAGCTATCTGCACACTCTGCTTGGGAGATGGAGGAGAACAGCAACAAGCACGAGAAGTGAGATTTGACGGAATCAGGCCATATTAATCTAAGCACGAGCACGGCGGTGACCAGCACCGACGAATTTTAACAAGCCCGCAGATAAGAGAAGCCTGGCTTCAAGAGCAGGCAAAGGCGCCGCCGGGCAAGCGCAAGCAATTACAAGATTCCGACTTTTCACCAGGGTGGAAGACGAAAAACGGGGCGAATGTGTGAAGCTTCGAGCGCGACTCACATGGTCATGGGCACGGCGGTGGTCATGGGCGGGTGTGTCGAGCGCGAGGGAATCAACACAAAGGGCGACTGTATCAAAGGCACCAGAGCACGCGCAGTCAATCGACGCATCTGAGTGGCTGGCGACGGGCGTTGCTGGAAATGCTCGCCTTGACACTGTAAACATGGTCGGGAAGCCTGCTGTTCACTGTGTTCAGCGCTCGCACCCACGTGGGAGCCGTCAGCTTCTGCTACGCGTCCGAATCGACTTTGGTCAAGGTCGCCACCATCGGCCTAAGTCTGGTCTGGTGGGCAGCTCATGACCCGAGGGGCGCACGAGGATCCGGGGATCAAGGCCATAAAGAGATCATCTCGGGAGCGAGGCATCTTACTGAATGAAATCATAACAAGGTCATCGGGACTGCCAGCGCGAGGAGGAGAAATAGGGAACGACAGTGAGAAGAGGCAGAGCAAGAGAGCCACGTGCAAACCCAGGAACGGAGAAGAAGGGAAAGAACTGGACATGCAAAGTGACTAATTCTGCGTCTGTCTGTCTGTCTGTCTGTCTGTCTGTCTGTCTGTCTGTCTGTCTGTGTCTGTGTGTCTGTCACTTACTCACTTTTCTCCTTCATTTTCTCCCCCAACAAAAGCCCGGGAAATCAAAGGTTGTGCGGTGCGCGATAAGCAGCAGCTGGACAAAGGACCAGAGGATAAGGATAAGGCGAGGGGTAACTGCGCCTCGGAAGACGGAACATCTTTTCTCCTTTATTTTTCCGGCACCCAACGAACCAAGCACCAAGAACGATGCGGGTCGACGAGGCCAGCGGTCGAGAGAAGGACACGCTGCCTGCTCCCATCACGGCCAGCAGCAATGACAGGACGAAGACAACGACACCAGCTGCACCAGAAGCACTATCTCCTCCTTCGTCCAAGTCGCCGCAGCCACAAGCAGCTGCAGGCACTGACACTGCTGCGCCCGACAAGCGAGATGCCTTCCCCTCCTACCTCCAGGGCAAGCGAGTCCTCCTCGCCACCGAATCCCTGGGCCCCGTCAATGGCGTGAGTCGAACCACCCTCATGTTGATTGAGTACCTACGCCGGAACGGTGTGCAACTGGCCATCGTCGCTCCTCACTCCAGACAGTCGCGGCTCAAGCCAACCACCGGCGCAAACCTCACGGAATTCCGACTGCCGGGCTATGAGTTGCCCTACAATCCTGACCTGACCGTCGTATACCCCTTCCAGCTCGACGATGTCTACAAACACACCTTCAAGCCCGACATAGTATATCTGGCCAGTCCTGCCTCTACTGGCTTTCAAATGCTGTTCCAGATCCGCCAGCTACACGATCCACCGGTCGTCCTCCTCAATTTCCAAACCGATCTGTCGGCGTACAGCGAAATCCTTTTCCCCGGCCCCGTTGCCCGATTTTCCGTGTGGCTGCTGGGCGTCGTCCAAGGGTTTCTGTTCAACCATCGAACCGTCCATACCATCTTCTACCCTTCCTCTGGCGTCCGCCGTTACCTCGAGAAAGCGGGCGCTCCGAGCAACAAGATGGTCCGACTGGGCCGAGGCGTTGACACGACATTGTTCAATCCTTCTCAGCGAGACGAGGCGTACCACAAGGAGCTGGCACCCAATGGAGAAATCATCTTAGTCTGCGTCTGTCGCTTGGCTCCCGAGAAGGGCTTCGAATTCCTGGCCCAGGTTGCCATGCGGCTCGCCCAAGAAGGGTTTCCATTCAAATTGCTCATAGTGGGTGGCAACATGAGCGCGGAAGTTGAGGACCAGGTCCATCATCTCTTCGATAACGTGGCAGAGCACGTCATCTTCACCGGCTTTCGCACCGGTGTCGACCTCGCTCGTGCATATGCCACCGGCGATATTTTCCTACACTGCTCCATCACCGAGACATTCGGACTGGTCGTTTTGGAAGCAATGGCGAGCGGTCTCCCAGTGATCGCTCGTGACGAAGGAGGACCTTCGGATATCGTCCAAGACCGAGAGACTGGATATTTGGTCCCTCCCCACAACCTAGCGCAGTACATTGCCCTCATCAAGAGTCTCTCAACTGACAAGACTTTTCGTGCGAAAATGGCAATCGCAGCCCGAAGATACACCTGCGACGTAACCTGGGAGAAGATCAATAGGCGGGTTGCCTGGCACATGGCCGATGGTCTGCAACAGCACCTCCAGCGAAAGCGCAGAAGACCGATCAGAAACTTCATTGTCGCCAGGTACCATGAATTACGAGACGGTGTGGTCATCCCCGTCGTGGTACGACTACGACTGTACATGGCGGCAATGATCGTCTACCTTATTTGGCTGATGACAGCCGTCGTGCTTCTGCTTTACGGCCACCGAGTGTTTTCACGAGCGGCGCAACTCTTGCGCAACCCACCCCTCGTTTTGCAACGCATTCAGTATCGCGCCTTGAAGCAAGGCATTCAGGAGACGCTAAAGAGCTTGAGCACAGAATGAAATGCTTGTCGCGGTGGAAGTTAGAGAGAATGTCAAGACATGATCAATCAGCCATTTTTCATTGCCTATTACGACGGAATGACCATTCTACCCTGGCGACGCCGGCGCGGAAGACTCACTTTATCTCGGACCATGCCGCTTCAGTTGGTCGATTCCAATCCAACGGCATAGGCGCCGGGCACCGCATCCGCACGCCACGGACCTCTGACCTTTTTTTCGTGGGGATGATATTGCAGCTCGGACATGCCCTGCAACTGAGCGGCCACTCGACGTTGAGCAGATGACGGTAAGACGCTTGAGCACATGTTAGATAGTCGGCTGGCACTTAGCACATACATGCGCCGAAGTATCCCTTTCGCCAACCCCTTTTGGCGAAGTCTCGACAGAAGCAAGCTGGCAAGCGGAGTTTAGGGGTGGGGGGGGGGGGGGGGGGGAAGTCAAGACGGCAGTTCTGCGAACAGATGAGTATTGCTTAGAATGATATCCAATCAACTTGTAACTTGTCACCCATGAGCCTCTGATGTACACGCACAATCTTCATCTCCTGTAATGTCACAGAGCGTGACGCGTCGGGACACGAGCTATGTTGATGGGCCCTCCGAGGGGCGTAAGCAGAGGGAACATGTGCAAGGATTGATCGGCAAGCAGGAAGATAGAGTTGAAAGACATCTACATTGCATAGAGGAGGGTAGTTCTTGAAGCAGTATCAACCCCCGGATGACTCAAAAATAGACTCCATGATTTCGCCTTCGTGGTGCCCGAGATACATAGGTGCCTACCTAATACCTAGATAGCTGGGGCGATATAGCACGGACAAGTCACAAACTCGTCGACATCTCCATAGTCGAGCAACGGAGAGCAATCGCCAACTCCAACCCAACCCAAACCACGGCCCCTTTGACCATGGCGGGTTGCACGACACCTTTCACCGTGGTTTGCGGAGAACAGGAAAGACCACATAGAACCTCCTCGATGTCGGGTTGTCCCTCACCCCCTACGCCCAGCCTGCGGTTCAAATCGTGCCTTGCGTATCGCAAATAACAGACTCCACTACCATCATTGGCACTATATACGTGTTGCGGCTTCTTTTTCGACTGTCTGGCGTGAATTGTCCCGAGTAAGTGATATGTAGATATCAAAGACAGGTAGACCTGATACAAACATCTCCACCTTGTTTGAGAGGTGTGTGCGTGCGTGGGAGAGTGACTGGTTTCTTCCCCCTTCCTTGGCGCAGGGGGTGGAAATGCGACTCTGCGGTCGCGGCCGGTCGGATTGTCAATGTATGACGAGACACCACACCGCGCCATGCTGTACGAACCCATGCTGTACGAACTGTCCAGGCGCTGAGAATGGTCTAGAGAGCAAGTACGTTGCAAGTTCAGTGGGGGTCGCGAAGCGCAGGAGGGATGAACTCCTGGCGATGTGGAATTCAAGAAGTGAGTGGGGATATTGTCAGCATCGACAGATGATTGGTTTGCTTGCTGCTCCGAGAGACTGCGATTTCTCAGCGTGCCGAAAGCGATGGTTGCAGAAGCACAGAAAAATCCATTCAATGGAAAGGAGCAGCTGAGACTTGATGACAGAAGTGCCCTTCAGCCGCTGCGTTGACCGGGACAGTTGGGGCTGTGGAGGGAGAGTGACGCAGGTTTCGTGGTTAGGGGATGATATAAGGACTGACTCCCACGACTCCATCAAGCAGGCTGTGTACGGCTCAGAGAGCAAGGAGAGAGACTGGTGCATTCGTCGCCTCAATACATACTGCAAAGTGTATACTCACGTGGGTTTTGGTGAGAGAGTCGATACGGTGCTCGGACTGGAAGTCGCCGTCGCGGTTGATGCAGAGCTGGTTGTGGAGGGTGATGATACCTGGGGTCGGAACGGACAGAGACCCATCGCTTGGGACATTTCCAGCACAGTCTTTGGCGCACCAGCAATGTGCTGGCGGATATGTGCCCTTATCGCCTCGGAATTCATGTCAAATTCCGGAAAGTCCAGCGGATGCTGCAGGGACTGAAGGATTTGCTCTTTTGGCTGATTGTCAGTGTTCCCACGACTGTTAGTCTCGGCATGGATGTAGCGCGTCTTGTGTTGCTGTTGCCCGAGAACGAACTCCCGTCGTTTCATAGCGGATTGCCAAACACGTTTCCAATGGGCACCGATTTCTTTGGTATAGAAGAATGTGCGCAGAAGCTTTTCCAAACGAGCCCATTGACGCGCTTGTGGGTAAAGATCTAACATGTGTTCCATAACCAAGTGGGACTTGGGCATGGGAACTACACGAAGACCAAGGGCTCCAGCAACAGCCATACTGCACCAAACCAGGGCGTTTTGTTCTTGGAGCGAGCTTGGCTTGGTGTGGGTGGGTAGCGTGGTAATGAATTTATGGAGGATGGGGTCGTAGAAGAGGTTTACGGGCGCCAGACCTCGGAGCTGGAAGATATAGGCTAGCAGGCCCATGGTGAGATTGTACTCGATTGGGCAGGTGGATGTCAAGGACATTCGCTGCAGGGAGGACAGGATGGTTTGTATCATGGTTTGCTTCCATTCTTCGTCGTACTGGGACGAATCGGGGAGGGGTAGTTCTGAAGGTGGGGTCCAGGTGCGGTCAAGGAGGTTTTCGTAGCTGACAGTTTCAGTCGCGAGGAGGGTGGTCGCCGCTGAAATGGAGGCGAGGAGCTTGATCATCTGAACCGATATTCTAGATGCAACACAGAGCTCCGAGACCCCCGAAGGCAGGCGAGAGAGGATGATGCACAGGTCCGGTGGGAACGGAGTTTCGGGATAGGCGAGTGGCTGATCGAGGTGGAGTTCTTGGAACGTCTCCCTGAGGTAACCGACCGAGTCGCGAGGCAGTTCTGGTGGCTGGCCTGTCACGAAGGAGCCTAAAGCCTTGTACGCTATGAGACCATGTTTGACGAATTTCAGCCAGCCTGATTCCGAGTCCGGATCGTCTTTGTCATCAGAGAGCGGCCCGCGGAGTTCAAGCATTTTCTCCAGACCTTTGCAATGCATTATCACGCCTCGCTGGTTGCCTGAAAGGTACTCGAGTGTCATGAGCATCGTAACAGTCAGCAAGGCTGCATCGTCTGTAGCATCGTGGGATTGGAGCCTTTCGTTAAGACCCGCGATGGCGCTGCCACGGTGATGAACGAAGGCGTAGTCATCCCATATGGGTCTTCCAAGGGAAATGAGAATAGATGCTCGACAGACTGATATGATAGACTCGAAGAGAATAGTATGCTTAAGTGCGTAGGGTAGCAAGAGCGAGAGATGAGGATTGACTGGGCCGGGGACGACGGATTTCGTATTGTTGAAGCCTTTGCAGATGGTGATGTAGTAGTCCAAGCTGTCTTGAACGGTCTCAGTTGACTTGATGGGCAGTGCTAGGAACGGATCCTCGCGTGTTCCATTCAGCGGAAGAGGCTCAACCGGAGAGACAAAGACTAACGACTTCGACTGCGGATTTTGTCTGGGGTCGCTCGACTTTGTTTTCCGTTGGATAGTGTCCTCCTGCTCCTCATCTCGCGCTGCGTCCGGCGGTTGCCACTGAACAAACTGGTCCGGGGCTGAGTTTGGAGACTTCTTGCTGGGATCGTACTTTTTCCATCGGATCTTTTTGTAGGCGTGATTTCGGCCACTTGGGATCCGAGGTTTGTTCGTCACGGAAGGGAAGATGGTTTGGACCGGTTGTCGACTATTTGTGGCCATCGCTTTCAAACATGGAGACAGTGGCAATGATAGACTCGTGATGCATTGGCAGCACTGGTGAAGGATCGAGCGATAAGGAGGGAGGAAAAGATCGCGTAAGCGGGGCTTCTTGAGAGAGTCATCGGCGCAATGAACTGGCACGGCTCGGCAAGCACCAGGGGCCTTTTGTTATTGGTCGGCGGCTCGCCAAGATCGCCAAGACATATCGGAGCCGGCGGACGGTCGGCTGGCTGCTGACTAACATTCTACGGTGCATCACGTGGCAGGCGCAAAGGACAGGTATGCAAGGGGCAGCGGCGATACATCCCAAGAAGATGCGGAAGCAAACTGTTATAACACTCGAGGTCAAGGCTGGGCATTTTCCAAGTGTATACAACTAACAGCCGCCTAGTAAGAGCATGGCTTCATCCCATTTTCATGTTCTCTATCTGCAGATCCCCATACATATAGACATTCCGTTGGACGACATTATTCCTTTCAACATGTATCGACCAACAACTTTCACCCAACAGAAATCGTTGACTATATTGTTGTCTTTGTGGTATTCCTTCATCTGGATCCGCTGGCGATAGCCGCGGAGTCTCCTCATTCAGATACGTGACCCTAATTTCTCATCGGAACGCGCACTGTTAACGTCAGACGCTGGCTCGCCAAGAGCGGTTCCACGAGCAGAGCGGACAGAAGGAAAGAGCTTTCAATGGGACTTACTTCAGGGCATCACCCTTTAAGCTCCAGAGTTAGGAAAAGGTGTAAATGCCGAAGGTATTGACTCAGGCCACCAAGCAAGAGAATTGTTTTCCCTATAGCCTAGTGTGCGAAATCTGAGGCTGTTTTATGACATTCACCGGAGTAGTTGGGAGTCAAAACGCTCAGGTGGCTTCATTATGCAACGTCTGTTGATCCTGCGGTTGGCTTTGACTTGTGGGTGGTTGCGCAGACGCATCTGTATCATCTAGGGTCTGGCTTGCGGAGGTAGGTTCGACGATGGCCTTTGCGGCAGAGCCCTGACGATATGTGAAGTTGACCGGGAGATTCTGCGCGGAGAGAACCGGAGGAGGAACAGCCTCGGCTTCTGCCTCAACGGAGGATCGAGGGAAAGACCACTGCTTGAGCAATGGATACCGCTGAGGAAGAATTTTGGATTGTATCTCGCTCAAAAATGAAGATCCTTTAGACGAGTAGGTGAAATCTGGCATGGTACGCCAAATGTGCGTAGAGCCAGTCGGTCCCACGACCTCGGCCTGGTAGCGTTCGCGATTGTCTGCCAGTGACTGCAGGAGGTATTTGACGTCTCTTCGAGGTTGGGAATCTGTGGGTTGCTCGAGATACTGCCCATCAGACCCCCGCTTCCTTTTCCTGCCTGTTCGTTTGGGAACTGTCACTTTTAGCAGCAGATTGTTGGTTGGTTTGTTGTAAGACAGCACCGTACGGCTGCTTGGATCATTGGGCTGAAATTTGAGTCCCAGCGGCTTATCCCATCCAGGCTCAAGACTCTGCGCGATCTCTGTAGGTCTTCCGAGCATAGCAACAGCCTTCTCCACATTTTGAACGATGCATGGATGCTCGATAGATACGACAGGGATATCTGGGACTTGGAACGACGGCGCAACCTGGCCGTCTCTTGCAGGGTCTGGCATTTCGGGTACTGGCATGAGTAGCTAGATAGGTGAGGTGACGAATGGGCGATATATGGCGTGTACTTAGTCACGCCCGCCTCCGACTCTCATAATGGCACCTCACCCTACTCGTCCAATAGCAGCCGGATACAGGCGGACAAGCGTCTCACCTTGGTTGACGCGGGGAAGGACAAGGCCAAGGCCGGTAGTTGCAAGGAAGTACCGTTCGTGCTGAAGCTTGGTTTCTTTCCAAGTTTCGGGTGATATATCCCTGTGACTTGGAGCGTGGTTATCTTTGGACCCCATGACTGAGGTGATGAAACAGAATCTTGATTCCACAGCCAAGGGATTAAACTATGTGACTAGTGCTCCACCACGAAGCTAGCAACCCATCCCAGGCAACTATTCCGAGCACCCAAACAAAGTGACCCCTACTTGTAGGTGCCCGCTAAGCCTAGCCCCTAAGCCAATAGGCACCTTTGACGCCCACTGGCATCACTGGGTCAATGTTGGCCTTGCCTAACTTGCTAAATTGCACCTCAACCCGGCCGCGTACTGACACCGAAACACTGAACCCGTCCCCGCCAACCTGCGACTGCGACTACACTTTGACTTGCATCTGGCCTTGGAGCTGCGCACAACTACTCGACTATTCGTCACCTTGACTGCTCTTCAATGGATGCCCTTCCCAATGCACATAAATCATTAAACCACCCTCAAACTCGACGCCTTTGATCATAGATCGATTCTTTCTGCCCTTCTCCGCCGCGCTCTTCTTGGGGGCTCTGCATCCTTCTACCGAACCCTCCCCCAGCTCCTCTCAATCACGCCCTCCACCAGCCGACCGTGCTGCCGTTCTTCCTCTGTGCCAGGGCTGTGCTCCCAAGAATGAGCAATTGATAGAAGAGAAGGACGTTGCCGGCATCACTGCATCGTGTTGAATTGATCTGGTCTTCCCCGACACCCCTACCCGTCGCCTCCTACTGAGCAGCCGATCCGGTGGTTCTGACTCGGATGAAACGCACATAACAGCCTCGTGGCTTCCTGGAATCGACAAGGCGTCGCATCAACTACGACAAACGTCTTCACTGTTACTGGTGCGTGAAAGCATCCGATATTGAAGAGAGTCTGGCAAGATGAAAGGTTTCAGACAGAGAGTGGTAGGTCTCCAACCCGCGGCCTGTACTCTTCCCATCCAAATGCTCCCACTCACTGATATTTTAGCATGAGCAGTTGTCGAGGGCAAAAGACGGCAACAAGTCTTCCAAGAAGAAGGATGCGAATAACTCGGGCACCGCGTCTCCGCTGTCATCATCCACTACGCTCCCCGGTAGTGATTCGAGATCTCCCAATAGCTCCAACACCGCAACCCCGACGTCCTCGTCAACAAATCTGAACGATCTGCGAAACAAGAGCGGGAACCATGAGGGCACCAACACCAATCACGGATCCACTCAACATCATACTGGCTCTGCCGCAGGGTCGGGCTCGCTGGCTTCCCATTACATGGCGCAAGGTTCCGGCCATGGGCCAGGCGGACCTGGAACAGCCGCGGGTCGTCATCACATTGCTCCAAGTGTTATCATAAGCCCAAGTGCTCCTCACATTCCCGGACCCGGCGCGACTGAAACGATGCCTGGCGACCTAGCGCCTCCCAAGGCCGGTCAGAAATCCCTCCTCTTCGACAGACTGCAGTCTACCCCAAAAGATGTGCCCGAGGGCGTCCGAACTCCCAAGAGACAACATTCGTCGAGGTTTGACGTATCGGATCAAAGAGCTCGTGATCTGGAGAAATTGCCCGGTTTCCATGAAGTCCCTCCCAATCGAAGACAGGAGTTATTCATGCAGAAGATCGATCAATGTAACATCATCTTCGATTTCAATGACCAGACCGCCGACATGAAATCAAAAGAAATCAAGAGACTCGCCCTCCACGAACTCCTGGATTATGTTGCCAACAACAGATCGGTGATAACCGAGCCGATGTATCCGAAAGTCGTCGAAATGTTTAGCAAGAACCTCTTCCGCCCAGTTCCTCCTCCTGTCAATCCCCAGGGTGAAGCATTTGATCCTGAGGAAGATGAACCGGTCCTTGAGGTGGCTTGGCCTCACATCCAAGTTGTATACGAGTTCTTCTTGCGATTCATCGAAAGTCAAGACTTCAACACAAACATTGCCAAGGCCTACATTGACCATCATTTTGTCCTACAGTTACTGGAGCTGTTTGACTCGGAAGATCCTAGGGAAAGAGATTTTTTGAAGACCACACTTCACCGCATCTACGGCAAATTCTTGAATCTTCGGTCCTACATTCGGAGATCGATCAACAATGTCTTTTTCCAGTTTACGTATGAGACGGAGAGGTTCAACGGCATAGCCGAACTTCTCGAGATTCTTGGCTCCATCATCAACGGCTTCGCTCTTCCGCTGAAAGAAGAGCACAAGCTCTTTTTGACGAGAGTTCTTATTCCCCTACACAAAGTCAAGAGTCTGAGCATGTATCATCCCCAATTGGCCTATTGTATTGTGCAATTCCTGGAGAAAGACGCGGCGTTGACAGAAGAAGTAGGTCGTCCTCCATATCATCGGGCGCTTAGTATGCTGACGATACTGCAGGTTGTGCTTGGTCTATTGCGCTATTGGCCGAAAGTCAACAGTACCAAAGAAGTCATGTTCTTGAATGAGGTCGAGGATATTTTCGAGGTCATGGATCCGCAAGAATTTGCCAAAGTCCAGGAGCCTCTCTTCAACCAATTGGCCAAATCGGTAGCGAGTCCTCATTTCCAAGTGGCCGAGCGTGCGCTGTATTTCTGGAACAACGAATACTTCTGCAATCTCGTCAGTGACAACGTCGAAACCATCCTCCCGATCATGTTTGCTCCGTTGTATGAAAATTCGAAGGGCCATTGGAACCGGTACGTATACTTTCTTTCCACTTTGGCCTCGGCTAACCTGAGGTCAGCACAATACATGGCATGGTTTACAATGCAATGAAACTTTTCATGGAGATCAACCCTCAGCTTTTCGACGAATGTTCGCACGACTACAATGAAATGCAAAACTCTGCCGCCCAACGGGAAAAGGCACGCGAGGCGAAATGGGCCAAGCTCACCGAGCAGGCCAACCGCATGAAGGCTGGACTGGCAAAGCCACCGACAACTCCTAGTATCAAGGAAGTGCCAGAGACGGATGCTGCACAGGACAACCAAGCGAGGCTAGATGCTCTCAAGTTGCATGATGAATCGTCATCGACCAAACCATCATCGGTAAGCCGCATCTGCTCTGCATAGCGCAACTCAGCAATACCCTCGTCACCCCTTTGTCATCTCCACTTTGGCTAAGACATTCTCTTATCATTATAGTGACGTTGATGGCTATTTCTGACATGGCTTTGGAATCTCCAGAGGCGACGCGCAGACTCACATGGTCAGACGAGATCTCGCCGGTCTAATAGCAGCTTGGATGGCAAATCGAGAAGACATCGCACCCATTCTGGAGGATCCATCGAATTTCACCGGACCGTACAAATGCCTCATATTCAACGCCCCGGAAGCGGTGTGTCGCAGCGTTGACACGAGCCAGTTGGGCTGTCGGTGGGGACAGTGAGCTATGACTGAGTGAACCAAAGTTCATCGTGAATCGTCAGCAAGCGGTCGGCTTTGATTGAAGTTTTGGTTTACTTCGAACTGAGGCCCAGCTTGCGCAGGGTTCAGACACCCGGTGCACACCATGAATCTTGCGTTGGGTTTTGGCGATGTCCTGTGGATGATAGAGTACTTCGAGGCCTAATCGACATGTTCAGCCTCTGAATGAAGATACGAGCAACGTGGCGGATCAACCGCCTATGGTGGAAAGAGGGAGTGACAGAAAGACAATGTCCGAGTCGTAAAGAAATGTCTTGACCTTCACTTCCCCGCTGGCAGTTTCGCTGATCGTCCTATCATGCTTTGTGCCCTTCCCAGGCTGCCCTCGAGGCTGCGCCAAACTCCACATTAGGAGGCCCCATTGCCAGATCGAGAATGATTGGTCTTTGTCTATCCTGACTATCCCATTCAGGACTGGCCTAATCACGTGAGCTGCACGCTCGAGGCAAGCAGCAGTCCCCCCTCGCTTTCGCTTTTCTACCTCGCGCCTTTATTCTCCGCAGAGTCTCCATACAAATTTGGTCGGAGGAGGCACTCCAAGGTCAACAGGCAACGTGCCTACACCCATTTCTTCTCTTTACATTCTTGTTTGTTATTGTTGCAGGGAGCGTACTTAATTCCATTTCACCTCTTCATCCAGTGACCAGCCATTTTTGTTGCACACCTGTTGTTGCGACCCATTTACGCCTGCGATCCGATTCAAGTTCGCGGACGTGCAAATGGGCCTTTGCAGAAGTGAATCCTAATGAGGGCGCTCAAGCGCTGCGACACACCTCCCTCTCTACGGAAAGCCAACCCTTCTACTCCTTGGTGCGGTCAGGAGGTAGATTAGGAACAACAACGCCATGGATGCCTCTCAGAAGATCGATGTCTATGCCGCGAGGCTCAGTGACCCAAAGATTGGCAAGTCGCGCACCCGCCGTGGGCAACTTCCATGATATCCCCACTAACTTTGACATTGTGGTAGACACGCGGACAAAATCGAATGTGGCTACAGAACTGCGGGACTCTGTCGAATCTCTCTGCACACCCTCTAGCGTTTATACAAAATTCCTGACCAAGTTATGGCCTGTCTTCAAGAAGATTCTGGAGGGGAAACCAGATTCAAACCCGACCTCCTTCGAACACATCCTTCGGAACCAGATTCTCGAGATCCTGCACAGACTGCAACATCAACTGCATGAGGTTGAACCCTTTGCGTTGGACATGGTGGAAACGCTAATGGAACTGGTGAGGGTGGAAAATGAAGACAATGCTGTGCTGTGTTTGAAGACGATAATGGACCTCGAGCGACACCAACCGTCGGCCACCGCTCCGAAAGTCCAGCCCTTCCTTGACCTCATTCAAGAGATGTTCGAGTTAATGGAACAGGTGGTTCGCGAAACTTTTGATTCGCCCGCGCCTCATCATCCAGCTCCATCTTCGACCTCCATCCCTCAAAGCCAGACCTTCCAGTCCCCACGACCTGGCTCGCCGGCCACAACAGTGTCAGATCCGGGGACAGAAAAGAAGGAACACGCGCCGCTGGCGAAGGGCATGCAATCGTTCAAGGTTCTGTCAGAATGTCCCATCATTGTCGTTTCCATATTCCAGGCGCATCGAGGTGCAGTTGCTGCCAATGTCAAGAAGTTTGTGCCTTCTATCAAGGGAATTCTCTTGCTGCAGGCAAAAGCGCAAGAGAAGGCACACGCAGAGGCAGCCGCCAACAAGACCATATTCACCGGTGTCAGCAAGGAGATTAAAAATCGGGCCGCATTCGGAGACTTTATCACAGCCCAGGTCAAAACCATGAGTTTCCTGGCGTACCTTCTCCGGGTCTACGCAAATCAGCTCACAGACTTCCTACCAACTCTGCCCGGTGTGGTTGTCAGATTATTGAAAGACTGCCCAAGGGAGAAATCCGGCGCCCGCAAAGAACTGCTGGTTGCAATACGACACATCATCAACTTTAACTATCGCAAAATCTTCTTGAACAAGATCGACGAGCTGCTGGACGAACGTATCCTCATTGGCGATGGCCTGACTGTATATGAGAGCATGCGTCCATTGGCATATAGCATGCTCGCAGATCTCATACACCACGTGCGGGACTCATTAGACCGCAATCAGATACGGCGGACAATCGAAGTGTATACGAAGAATCTTCACGACAACTTTCCCGGCACAAGTTTCCAGACGATGAGCGCAAAGTTGCTGCTCAACATGGCGGAAAGCATCACCAAGCTGGAGAGCAAGGAAGATGCGAGATACTTCTTGATTATGATTCTCGACGCAATCGGCGACAAATTTGCCGCAATGAACTACCAGTATGAGAACGCTGTAAAATTGAGCCGCCAATACGGAGACAAATCCAAGGAGAGCCAAACAGAGACGTACATGGATGACAAAGATGAGATTCCCGACTGGGATGAAGTGGACATATTCAGTGCCACTCCTATCAAGACGTCAAATCCGCGAGAGCGAGGTGCCGATCCAGTGAACGACAACAAATTTCTCTTCAAGAACCTTGTCAATGGCCTCAAGAATATGTTCTACCAGCTGAAAACATGCAACCCTCCGGGACTGAACGTAGACCAAGCCAGCATTCCCATCAACTGGAACGAAGTCTCCTTTGGATATAATGCTGAAGAGACACGTGTTGTCACCAAACTCTTCCACGAAGGTGCACGGGTTTTTCGCTACTACAGCGCAGAAGCGCCAGCACCAGACATGCAGTATTCCTCTCCGGTGGACTTTATGGCGAGCCACTCAATGGCACAAATGACCAGAGAAGAAAAGGAGTTGTTGGAGAGCTTTGGAACGGTATTCCATTGCATCGATCCAGCCACCTTCCATGAAGTCTTCCAAGCGGAGATTCCGTACCTCCATGACTTGATGTCTGAACATACGGCCCTGCTACATCTCCCTCAATTCTTCCTTGCTAGCGAAGCTACATCACCGGCATTTGCAGGAATGGTCTTGCAATACCTCATGAACAAGCTACCCGAGGTTGGATCGTCAGACATTGTCCTATCTTCGATATTGTTGAGGATGTTCAAGTTGTCATTCATGGCCGTGACGCTTTTCTCCGCGCACAATGAGCAAGTTCTGCTTCCGCATATCACGAAGATCATCACACAATGTGTGCAGCTTTCGGTGACGGCAGAAAAACCTATCCATTACTTCATTCTTCTTCGATCCCTGTTCCGAAGTATTGGTGGTGGGCGCTTCGAACTTCTTTACAAAGAAATCCTTCCGCTACTTGAAATGCTGCTGGAGACTTTCAACCATCTTCTCCAAGGGGCTAGAGACCCTCATGACCGGGATTTGTATGTTGAGTTGACGTTAACTGTGCCGGCTAGACTCAGTCACTTGTTGCCGCATCTCAATCATTTGATGAGGCCTCTGGTTGTGGCTCTTCGAGCTGGCCCTGATCTTGTTGGGCAAGGGCTTAGAACGCTCGAGCTCTGTGTTGATAACCTTACAGCGGACTATTTGGATCCAATCATGGCACCAATCATGGATGATCTGATGACTGCATTGTTTGAGCACCTGAAGCCTCAACCATACCAACACTTTCACTCTCATACAACCATGCGCATCCTTGGTAAACTCGGGGGGCGTAACAGGAAGTTTTTGAATCATCCGCATCGCCTGTCCTATCGGCGCTACACAGATGACGAGCCTAGCTTTGACATTCGACTTATTGACACCAGCCGAGATCGAGCATTTCCGTTGGATACTGGCGTCGACCTGGCCATTAGAAAACTCACTGAGACGGCCAAGAACACGAATTCGAAGGCTTTGGATCTCTATTACAAGCAGCAGTCTTTCAAATATATTAGCAATCAAGTGAAGCTGTTCATCGGTCAGGACCATCTTCCTGACGATCTCGCAACTCTGCTGCGGCTTCAGGCGAATGATCTCCTTGCCCGCCGCTTCTCGACATACGCTGACATGCTGGCCGAGAACGAATTTGGGAAGTCGGTGCAAAAACGTCGAGAGCAAGAAGAGAATTTGAAGAAGCTCATCAAGGCCTGCTTCACTGCAACGACTGTCCCGGATCTGAAACCTCAAGCCGAAGCTTTCATTCAGAGCATCTCCCGCCACTTTGCTATCGTAGAACTCGGCCAAGCTCTGTGTGATGCTGGCAGGAGAACTAAGGAATTCGACGTCAATCTCGGCGAAGGTGCAGTCCACCTCAGCACTCGCATCTTAGCCGACGTTATCTGTGACTGCCTGGCCTCGGACAACATCATCATCCGTGAGGCTGCCGAAGCATCAATGCTGGCTGTTGTTGATACAGCTCGCACCATCTTTGGTACCGAAGAAAAGGCTGCTAAACTCCCTTTCTTCACGCATCTCACCCAGACATTCTGCCACAGATGCCGTGAGGTGGAGTGGTTCACCAAGGCTGGCGCTACCTTGGGAATACAAATCCTGGTCAAGAAGCTCAACCTAGGCAACCCATTTCTCAACAGTAAGCAACTCGAGATCATCAAAGCTTTACTTTTCGTGATCAAGGATACACCTCAAGAAGTTCCAGCGAGCACCCGCATTACTGCCCAAGAAACATTGGAATTCATTCTGCGGAAATGCTGCGCTGGCCAGACCCGGGAGATGCTCACAAACGAGAGAAGCACCATTCATGCTCTTTCTGTCACCTTCAGTCTCGAGCTTTCTCATATGAACACGCACGCACGTGAGACAGCGCAACACGCCTTCTCGGTTATGGCAGAGGTTGTGGGTGTTGAGGTCTATGAGTTGATCGCCCCAGTCAAGGACAGATTTCTCCCGCCAATCTTCAATAAACCACTTCGAGCTCTTCCCTTCCTTTCACAAACCGGCTTCATCGACGCCATTACGTACTGCTTGGGTTTGGGTCACGATCTCGTCCCATTGAATGATCAGCTCAACCGACTTATGATGGAGTCATTAGCACTTGCAGACGCAGATTCTGAGATCCTCCATCCAAAACCGGACGAATACAACAACGCTCAGTTGATTGTCAACCTGCGCGTTTCATGTCTGAAGCTTCTTTCCATCGCGATGAGTTTGCCGGAATTTGCAACTGGACCCCAGAATTCTAGTCGAGCCCGAATTATTACCGTCTTCTTCAAGCTGCTTTATTCGAAATCGCCCGAAATTATCGAGGCTGCCAATGCCGGTTTGAAGGAAGTACTGGTCCAGACGTCGAAGCTCCCGAAAGATCTTCTCCAGAATGGACTGAGGCCTATTTTGATGAATCTCCAGGACTCGAAGCGACTCACTGTTGCAGGACTCGAGGGCCTTGCGAGACTACTTACCCTGTTGACCAATTACTTCAAAGTCGAAATAGGCGCTCGGCTGCTTGAGCATATGAGAGTCATCGCCGACGAGCAGCTGCTGCAAAAGGTCTCTTTTGGGCTGATCGAACAGAATCCACAAATGAAGATTGTAACGGCAATATTCAATATTTTCCACCTTCTCCCCCCTGCAGCTACCAGCTTTATGGGAGACTTGGTAAACAGCGTCCTTGATCTGGAAGCTAAACTACGCCGCACAGTCGCTAGCCCGTTCCGTCAACCACTCATTCTCTATCTTGACAAATACCCGAAGGAGACGTGGTCGTTCTTTCAATCGCGCCTGCAAGAAGAGAAGTACGGTCGGTTTTTTGCACAAATACTGGCCTCGGAGTCTAGCCCGGCTATTCGCGATGCTGTCATGAACGACACAGAAGCATTTATTAAGGCTGCGTTCGATGTTGAAGGGGCACCAGAACGCCACACAGCGGCAATCAATGGCATTTATGTAGTACACTCAATCTGCAGCTTTGAATCTGCCAAAGACTGGCTGCGCGATCAGCAGCAGATCAGAGCCAAGGTTTTGACTGCTGGTCAGGAAATCGAGGGTGAACTACGCAAAGATCAGCTGCAGCCTTCACAGCGCCTGCGTGCTGAGCAAACTGGAGACCAAGTGATGGAGATACTGACACAGTACCTGACATTCTCGCCGGACGATCTCAACTTCATGATCGAGCTCTTCTCTTCGGCGGCGCAGGGGACAATAAAGACACCCTTGAAGCTAATGAAGTATATCTTTTATTCCATCATCACGGATGAATCTGCAAGCCGCCGGTACAATATGATCGAGAGATGTCTCGATGTTTACTCTCAGAAGGCTGAATCTCACAAGGTGAAGACGTTCCTGTTGCACAATGTGGTCAACCCCATCATGGCAAGAGATGTGCAGAACAGCCGTCAAGAGGATAGCAAGGCCGCTCCACTAGCAGACAGCAAGCTTTTCAACCTGTTTTTAGAGCGTCTATGGAAACCGACAACCCCCGATGGCACGGACGACTCATCCCAGCCAGGTGTGGACCATACTCGCATGGAAGCGCTCCAGCTTTCTGCATTCATTCTGAAATACCACAAAGATGCCGTTTCGGAGGATCGGAAAGACATCATCAAATATTCCTGGGGGCATATCAAACTGGAAGATGTCATCAACAAGTACGCAGCTTATGTCCTGATATGTTACTTCATACGGTCTTATGATACGCCTCCGAAGATCGTTGTGCAAATTTACAATCAGCTGTTGAAAGCTCACCAGAATGAAGGCAAAGCTTTGGTCACCCAAGCTCTGGAAGTGCTGGCTCCGGTACTGCCAGCGAGAATAGGTGCCAGTGCTAATACCCCTGGAGACAAGAGAACACCTTCCTGGGCTCGACTACCGCGCAAAATCTTGAACGAAGAGACCGGAAACTTGCAGCAGGTTCAGAGCATCTTCAACTTTATTGTGCGTCAACCCGACCTCTTCTACGAATCGAGGGAGCTCTTCATACCGACAATGATCCAAATGCTCCACAAGCTTGCTCCTCCGCCAAATCCTTCGAACGAGAACAAAAAGCTTGTCTTGAACCTCATTTCGCTGATTCAGCAATGGGAAAGTCGGCGTGTGTCTGCGGTATCTCCCCCTCAGTCAGGAGCGGAGTTGACGCCTTCACGCAAGAGAGATACGGCTGGCGAACAGAAACTGGCTCCACCACCAGCCAAAGAGAAGGGCGAATATGTGATTACCCCCGAGCTTCGCGTGGCTGTTGTAAAGTACATGATCAACTTCATCACTACCTTGCCTGAACGTTTCCCCGTACCGGCTGCAGAGCTAAAGGCTAAGACCATGCAGAAGGCTCAACAACAGGGTCTGTCAAATGACATGTGCAAAAAGGGAGTCCAGCTACTCCGCGAACTTTTGGCACCCAATATGTGGACAGATATTGATGTCGGGCTTTACGAGAAGCTGCTCGATCCAATCCTGAGTGGAGAAAAAGCAGACAAGGCAGAGGAGAAACAGTTGACGTGCATGGTCAACGCCCTTCAGGTCATGCGGATTCTGTTGAGCACGAAGCCGAATGAATGGATTGTCGATCACATGGAGAAGATCCAGAAGCTGTTGGAGAAGCCGCTCAAGATGGAGGAGCCTGAAATCCAAGACTGTCTGCACCTGGTCACTGACGACGACAAGTCTCTTCCGTTGGTTCGACGAGTTCTCGAAGCCATTCCGACACAAAAAACGGATGATGCAGATGCAATGGACTTGGACGCCCCACCTTCGGACTTCCCAACTCGATATTCCAAGATCATGGTCGGTGAAGCCTTGTCTAATGGCAATTACATCTCTGGAATCAATAACCTGTGGACCCTTTCATTGGTGCGACCAGCCGATGTGGATGACCATATCAATGGAGCGATGAAGGCGTTGCAGCAGAAACTGGCCAAAGACCACATTAACGCATATGTCATCCCGCCTGGGCCACCTCCACAAGGTTGGCGTCTTGGTGAACCATTGATGGATCCTTACGAATTTGCGCTAGGCGTTGACCTCATCAAGAAAACCATTGATATCCTATCGTCGCGCATGGGAGAACTCAACGAACAGCGACGGCCATTCCTCAGTGTTCTTGCCTCGCTTGTCGAGAAATCCTTCAATGTTGAAATGTGCAGCAAAGTGTTGGACATGGTGGAGAAGTGGGTGTTCAACTCGACCGAGCCATATCCGACACTCAAAGAGAAGACAGCTGTGCTGCACAAGATGCTTATATTTGAAAAGTGGCCCAATCAAAATCTCCTCGAGCGCTTCCTTGAACTCGTGATCAAGATCTACGAGGACCCGACGGTAACGCGGACCGAGCTGACTGTGAGATTGGAGCATGCCTTCCTGATTGGGACCCGTGCCAAAGACGTGGAGATGCGAAACCGCTTCATGAACATATTCAACCGTGCCTTGTCCAAAACCGCAAGCTACCGACTCAATTACGTGTTGACTTTGCAGAATTGGGACACGCTGGCCGACTCATTCTGGTTGAAGCAAGCCTCACATCTCATCATGGGTTCCGTCGAAATGTCAATGCCTGCTCGCCTTCATCCAGAAGATGTTCGCGTTTGTCCTATGTCTCAGCTGTTCAACCACAACCTTGTCAGTCCCGATCAACCAAAGGATGATCCGATCGTCGAGGATGGCCTTGATGCGCTAGTCGTTGCGCAACGTCGCTTCAACCAAGAAATTCACGAGGTCAAAGTCCGTGACCTGCTTGATCCCCTTACCCAGTTGCAGCATATTGACGACAACGTTGCATACGATGTGTGGGTCAAATTGTTTCCGCTCTGCTGGTCTGCTCTGAACAGGGATGAGCGTCTTGACCTCGAAAAAGGGATGGTGACGCTTCTCACAAGAGAATATCACCAGCGACAACTGAACCTGCGTCCTAATGTTGTACAAGCATTACTCGAGGGTGCGGTTCGAGCCAAACCACGGTTCAAAGTGCCCCCTCATGTCATGAAGTTTCTGAGTAGAACTTATGATGCATGGTACACTGCGCTTATTTCGCTAGAAGAATCTACCGTTGACCCATTGATTGACACTCCGGCGGTTCGCGAAAGCAATCTTGATGCTCTGGTGGAAGTCTATGCTGGGCTTCAAGAGGATGACCTGTTCTATGGAGCATGGAGGAGACGGTGCAAGTTTATGGAAACGAACGCCGCCCTCTCATACGAGCAGCATGGGATTTGGGACAAAGCCCAACAACTCTGGGAGTCAGCACAAGTCAAAGCTCGAACCGGTGTTGTGCCATTCTCTCAGGGAGAATATTACTTATGGGAAGATCACTGGATGATTTGCGCTCAAAAACTCCAACAGTGGGACATCTTAGGCGAGTTTGCAAAGCACGAGAACTTCAATGATCTTCTGCTCGAATCAGCCTGGAGGAACTATGAAGCTTGGTCTGGCGAAGAAAATCGAAATCAGCTGGACGCGATGATCAAGTCCGTTTCTGACGCTCCGACACCAAGACGAACTTTTTTCCAAGCGTTTATGGCGCTTCTACGATACAATTCTAAGCAGATGTCGCGTGTGGAATTCCAGCATGTGTGTGACGAAGCCATTCAACTCTCCATCCGCAAATGGCATCAACTTCCCAAGCGTATAACAAATGCTCATATTCCAATCCTGCAGAATTTTCAGCAGTTGGTCGAGCTCCACGACGCGAGCGTTATTTGCGACAGTCTCATGGGGACCAACGAGCGCAATCTTGACAGCAAATCACAAGAAGTGAAGCTCCTCCTGCAAGCTTGGAGAGATCGGCTACCGAACATCTGGGATGACATCAACGCGTGGCAAGACCTGGTCACCTGGCGACAACATGTTTTCCAGCTTGTGAATTCGACATACTTGCCTCTTCTTCCTCAAGGCGGTAACAATGTAGGCAACAACTCTTATGCCTTCCGAGGCTATCACGAAACAGCCTGGATTATAAACAAGTTTGCGCACGTCGCCCGAAAACACCAGATGCCTGAAGTATGTATCAATCAACTAGGCAAGATCTACACGTTGCCCAACATCGAGATTCAAGAAGCCTTCTTGAAGTTGAGAGAACAAGCCAAGTGCCACTACCAGAACAAGGCCGAGCTGAACAACGGTCTCGATGTAATTAACAACACCAATCTTAACTACTTTGGTGCACAGCAGAAGGCTGAGTTCTATACGCTCAAGGGGATGTTTTTGGCCAAGCTTCAACACGCGGAAGAAGCGAACGAAGCATTTGGCGTAGCTCTCTACTACGATCTTCGACTTCCGAAAGCATGGGCAGAATGGGGTCAGTATTCGGACCGCAAGTTCAAGGAGAACCCATCCAATATCGAGGCTGCCAGCAACGCTGTCAGCTGCTATCTCGAAGCGGCCGGGTTGTACAAGAGTGCCAAGTCAAGGAAGATGCTCAGTCGGGTATTGTGGTTACTCAGTCTTGATGACGAAGAGGGTCACATTGCAAAAGCGTTTGAAGACTTTAAAGGGGAGACGCCAGTCTGGTACTGGACTACGTTTGTACCGCAACTACTCGGCAGTCTCGAGCACAAGGAGGCACGACTTGCCAAATCTGTGTTGGTGAAGATCGCCAAAGGGTTCCCACAGGCATTGTTCTATCACCTGCGTGCGACAAGAGAGGATTTTCTGGGAAAGAAAAAACAATACGAGGCCCAGAAAGCTAAACAGCAGAAGAGCCAAGAAGAAAAGAAGGAACCAGGTTCGCGACCAGGCACGGCCAACGGCGAAGCTCAGACCAATGGATCCTCATCTCCCAAGCCTAAACAAGAGCCTGATACTGACGCCGCCGAGGCGAACGGTACCGAAGCTGGCAAGAAGCCTGAAGAGCCTAAGAGGCCGTGGGACTACACAGATGAGATTATGGCTGGCTTGAAAACTGCTTTCCCTCTCCTTGCGCTTTCGATGGAGACGATGACGGATCAGTTGTCGAAACATTTCAAATGTCCGCCAGACGAGGACGCTCATCGACTCATTGTTGCACTCCTAAATGACGGGTTGCACTACATCAGCAGGGCCCCTATGACTTACGCCGAAGGCGCCAAATTGCCTCCTCAGACGGAAGCCAACGTTGCCCGATTCGTACAATCTGTTCTTCCAGCCCACATCCGCAAGTCATTCGAGGCGGACTTTGTCCAAACTAAACCGACAATGTATGAATACATTCACAAATTAAGGAAGTGGCGAGACAAGTTCGAACAAAAGCTCGATCACAGGCAGCAGTGGGCTCCCTTGGAGTCCTACAGCCATCACCTAAGCGAATTCAAATTCCTCAAGTTTGACGACTCAGTGGAAGTCCCCGGACAATATCAACAACACAAGGATAAGAACACCGACTTTGTTCGTATTGAGCGCTTCATGCCAACGGTCGAACTTGTGAGAGGAAACAGCATCTGCCACCGACGCCTAACTATTCGTGGCCATGACGGTTCTCTGCATCCCTTCGCGGTACAGCATCCAACAGGGGGCAAAGTTCGTCGCGAGGAACGCATCGTGCAACTGTTCCGCATCTTCAATCAGACACTAGCGAAGCGCAAAGAGTCTCGGCGCAGGAATCTGTACTTTCACTTGCCCATTTTCGTGCCGATAGCACCGCACATTCGCCTGGTACAAGACGATGCATCGTATGTCACACTTCAATCCGTGTATGAAGACCATGTACGCAAACTTCCCCCCAACACCATGTCCCGGGACGAACCTATCCTCTTCGTCCTCGAGAAATCACGCACCATCGCCGAACAGCAGAAGACAAACCCCAGAACACCTGAACAAGTTGCAATCATGAAGGCCGAGATCTTCACCACTATCCAGGAGAGGTGGGTTCCGAACACCATCGCCTTGCAGTATTTCCAAGCCACCTATCCCTCCTTCGAAGACTTCTGGCTCTTCCGGCGACAGTTCAGTTATCAGTTCGCAGCCACCACGTTCATGACATATATAATGCATATGTCAGCGCGGTATCCGATGAAGTTCTCTATTTCTCGGGCGACTGGGGACATTTGGGCATCTGACCTATTGCCCAATCTTAACTCAAGCCGAGCACTGTTCTACAATCCCGAACAGGTCCCCTTCCGGTTGACTCCAAACTTACAAACGCTTATGGGACCACTTGGGGTCGAGGGGATCTTCACCGCAAGCCTAATGGCGATCGCTCGATGCCTCGCTGAAGGCGATAACGGATACGAAATGGAGCAGCAACTTGCTATCTTTGTGAGGGATGAAATGTACAATTGGGCTGGTGGACGGCCTCAATCTAGCGGCAGTGGTGGTCAAGGAGGAGATCAGAGAATGGAAGGATCACATTTGAGAGAGCTGGTGGCGATGAATGTCGAGTTTATCACGCGGCGGGCGCTCACATTAGCGAAGACGCAGGGCAGTGTCGGCGCCCCTTCGGCTACTTCTTCGGGAGCACAAGCTGCCAATCCCAATGGCACTGCCTCTGGAGGAGAGGGAAGTGCAAGCAATGCCACGGCGGCGTCGGCAGCAACTGGGAACGCGATCCCCACAGGGGTCACCGGTGTGCTTCCCGCGTGTCAGAATGTGGTGGACCTGGTTAGCAAGGCGACCGATCCTACAAGACTCAGTGGGATGGACGGGCTGTGGATGCCTTGGCTGTAAAATGCGATTTCTCGGGAGCGATGGAAAGCAAGTGGAGGAATTTCACTCCTCACAATGGATTTTGAATTGGGTTTTCAATGGACTCACAGGGGCGTTTTCGGCTCAGTATGAATGGGTCAGTTCGAATGCAACGACAAACAAAGGCGGTCTCGGTTCTTTCTGAATCAGCTGGTTTCTCAGAGCATGGCGCTTCAAGGCAGCACGAGATCTCAAGGGGCACACAGACACCCCAAGCGACATGGCCTGGGCGGCGAGGGTCTGTGCCATCGATCAGCGGGCGTTGGGAGGCGAAGCGGGTATCTTGTCTGTCTCATCATACGAACACTTGCTTTTGGTATGGCTTGATGCGTCCTCGCGAGCCTCGCCTGCGGAATGAAAGGGGGGAGGGGAAGGGGGACTAAGTGCAGAGATATTGTCAACTGGGTGGCTTTCTCTTTCTGCTTGATGATCAGCCACTCAAAGCCTGTACATGATTTTCTATCTTTCTTGTAGCAAAGCAGAAACAGAGAGTTTTTCAGACAGACACCATCATGTCTTCCTCACTGCCACAATGCTCGTCAGGGGCATCTGAACGCGTCTAGGTATTCACGTTACTACAGTATTTCCATACTAATAATGCCTTGAAGAATAAAGATATCACTGAAAGCGTCAAGGCCGGCAGTCCACGTTGCCCTTTCCCAAACTTCATCTGAGCCACAATCAAATTTTGTGCAGGCGAATGGAAGCGACTGGCTCCCGATCAGGATCACAGACTCGTTGCAGGCGACCACGAGCTCCGCATACCCAGTTCAATGCAACATGACCTAGGACATCCTCTGCCCTTGTCGATAGAGTCCAATAACCAGTTTTCCGGACTCGACGACACTGCAGCAGTGCTGTCTGTAAAGAGGCTGAAGCTCAGAGCTCGGCTGGCCCTCTTGATTTCGACCACATCCAATAAATCCAGAGACCACCATTCGGTATCCTGTCACCCGAGACCATATTATCGTACAGATCCCAGTGCAGCATCGAGAATCTCATTCGCATGTCCGTCCATTCGTTGCCCAATTTTCTGTTCGTTACTCATGTGCTCAGCTGATGTAAGTGTTGCTGCAGCCTCCTGGCCTCTCCGCCTCGACCCCGTGCCGGCTTTTGATGCAGGTGCTAACGACCCTTGCTGTATTGTGGTTTCGAGGCTGTCAGGAGCTTGATCCTCTTCCAAGGCCCAGAACTCCAACGCACGACTCAGCAACGTCCCAGCGACACCACCACCACCGGCATCACCACCTAGGACTCGTACAGCCTCATGAAGAGCCATTACCGCCTCTTTTGTACGCCCAACCATGCTAAGAAGGACCAAACCGCGACTGGTGTGGATGCTCCCAATGAGGTTACGCTCGTCGTAGCCACTAGCTGCACCACTAGGACTGAGGCCTGTACTGGTGCCAGAGAGGCTGAGATGGGCAAAGGCGGTCATTCCGCGTCCTGGCTCGTAGGCCGATGCGGGAGCTGCTCCCCCAGTGGCTGTCCTCAAGCACTCGTCAAATTCGGCAAGCGCCTCCTCAAATCTTCCCATTCGTCTCAATGAATGTGCTAGATTTGCCCTTGTAGCAACCCATGCCGTCATGTTGCATCCCAAATCCGAGGCCAGCTGAAGGGATTTGTGAAAAAGCTTTGCAGCAGCTGGCAGATTGGACTGGTGGTACAATATGACGCCAATTTCGTTGAGCACCAGAGGGTCGCCGCCCAGACTAGCAGTATTATTGAATATCCTGTTGGCTAAATCATCCTCCGAACCCGATTTGGGGGTGCCACTGCTCATTTGGAATGCCGCGAGGCAGTATTCCCAAGCAAGCTGCATATTGTTGAGAGCTAGGTGCTGCATGCCTAGAAACAGCTGGGGCAGGTGGCTCCCTTGAAATAACCTTGCAGCCGTCGAGTAGGCTGCAATGGCCTGATCGTGCTCGCCCTCGGCCGCAAAGGTATGGGCAAATCCAATCCACGCCGCGGCGGAATGTGGATCCATCAGTGAGGCCTTGGAGAAGAATCGGCGGGCCTCAGGGATGCGATATGTTGATAGGTAGTACGTGCCAATGGCCAGGTAAGTATATGATTCGTGAGGAGCATGAGCTGCCAGCGTGTGGGAGAGGTGGAAGAGAGTGTTGTGAGACCCTGTTTCGTACAGAACGGCAAGATGTAAAGGATAGAGGCGTGGACTATGACCGAGCGAAGCGTTGGTGCTGCTTGACGAGGAGTCGACCGAGCCATCAGGGCTATTTTGCGAGTTAAGGATGCTCGTGGTGATCGCAAGAGCATCGTGAAAGCGACATTGAGTGTAGAGGGTCTCTGCTCGAGTCAGGAGCAAGTCTGGATTGGAGGCCAGATTGTAGTGGGTTGAGAGAGTTTCGGTGGCATTGGCGAGGGTTTCGGGGGCGGAATATTTTGACAACCGGGTGGTATACAAGAGCTTTGTGAAGTGAGCGGCTTCCTGTGCCATGGACTGGTCTTCGATGCGTATCGAGTCGAAATCCAATTCCTCGAGAAAGGCCAATTCCTCGGCAGGAGACATAAGCGAATTCTTCATAAGCTGGTCAAAGGCTTCGAAGCACTGTACGTCTATTCGAACCGCATCCTTGTAGCAGTCTCGTGCACGGTCAAAGGCGTTGCGTTTTGCGAAGCACAAGCCGCGTAGATAGCACATGCCCGCCTGGAATTTCAGTTCTTTTTCTGATTCTCTGTCCCTCTCTCTTTCTTCGCTGAACTCGATCCTGTCTCGCTGAGCTTTGGCTCCTCTTTGCGTGATATTCCTCTGGGAGTGGCCATTGATATGTGCCAGCTTTCTTCTGGCATTGTGGGAAGTGGTGATCAAGTGCGTAGGGTTTTCCTCGCCGAGGATGGCAAGGGCTTGGTCATATCTGCCTTGTTTGACGTAGCAATGGGCGGCCAGGTATCGACAGGAGAGACTCCGATTGATCAGGTCTTTTCGAAGCAGCAAAGCTAGAGCACGAGTAAAGTTATTGTGGCCAAAATGGACTTGGGCCAGCCAGAAGGCGTCAGCGTCATTGTCTGAATCGATCAGCACTGGTCTCCGAGTGAATGGCCGCACTCACATACTGGTCAGGGCAAGGACCTTGTCACCAATATAGATGGCTGCATCGTGCTGGCCCTTGTTGAGGGCGTCTTGCCGCCACGTTCGGAGGTATTTGTCCATTGTTGTGGTGAATAGTTCAACAAGGAAAATGCATCAGTAGCAACGCTGGCAAAGGGCTGGAAAGATGAGGAGGCATGAATGAGAGACGAGTCATGCAGCAAGAGCAATTGCTTGTGTGTCTTCTTTCCAAGAACCCATTTCGCCTTGGTCTCACTGCACCTCCTTGGGCGTAACTGCAGCACAAAACAATTGCATCCCTTCAAGGGCGGGTGCAAACGTGGGGATAGAGAGACGCGCCGAACAACTCGAACTCCGATTGGCTGTTGATGTTTGGCGGTACGCCGCTGCGGCCGGGACTTTTGCCTGCGGCCTCTGATTTATTTCATTCTTCCACCCACTTTCACAGTCCAGAGAGCACCGTCCAGTCCAGCAAATCGACAACATGTCTGAACGAAAGGTTCTCACCAAATATTACCCTCCGGAGTTTGATCCGTCCAAGATCGCTCGAACTCCCAAACACCTACGGCCAACAGGGCCCAAGACCATCCCCGTCCGCCTTATGGCGCCGTTCAGCATGAAATGCACATCCTGTGGCGAATACATCTACAAAGGTCGCAAATTCAACGCCCGGAAGGAGACCACTGACGAGAAATACTTGACTATCTCCATCTACCGCTTCTACATCCGCTGCACCAGATGTTCCTCCGAGATCACCTTCAAGACCGACCCGAAGAACATGGACTATACCTGCGAACGAGGCGCAAAACGAAACTTTGAGTCATGGCGAAACCCTGAAAATCCAGAGCTGAAAGAGACCGATGAAGAGCGCCTGGACAGACTGGAAAGAGAGGACGCCGAGGAGGAGGAAAATGCAGAACGCAACGCCATGGAGGAGCTGGAACAGAAGATGGAGGAGAGCAAACGAGAGATGCAAGTCGCAGACGCCCTCGACGAAATCATGCAACGGAATGCGCGAATAGAACGCGGAGAGAAGGGTGGCAAGGAGGACGAGGCTCTCAATCAAGTGAGAGACTTCCAACGAGAGGAGAGAGAACGACAAGAACGAGAGGACGCCGAAGCTGCGCGCAAGGCGTTCGAAGCTGCCAACGTCGAAAAGGCGAGGCTCGAGGAACAGGAACGGGCAAACAGGAAAAGTAGTCATCTTGCGAGGGACGAGCCAGACGAACCACACCGGCTTTCGCAGCCGCCTCCGTCATTCGAGAGGATTAAAAAGATAAAGAAACCTCTGGTGCCGGGTTTAGTGCACAGGACCGAGCCTACCACGACGTCGAAACAACAGCCGGCTCCAGTTCCTGCAAAGCCGCTTACCCTCGGTCTAGGTGACTACGATTCTGACGAGGATTGAGATCAGCCAAATCAGGCTTTCTGCAGTGCTTGGAAGTCGATCTTGCATATCCTCCTCACCCAGGCGCAGATGCTGGGATGGCATTTAATGAAAAGCAGCCATGGAGCTCCAGTTCCAGCATCTTCTCCTGCGCATGCCACGTCACATTGCTCATTTCTCGACAATGACTGGCTTGCATGCCTTCGCTACAGCTTAGCCTTATCAACCTGCATTTCTTATTGGCTATGACCCCAATCCTTTGCAACCCCAAACGATGGAGGCGCTCGTGAACGTGTTCGCGCCGAGCTGGGAAGGAGGGATAAGTGACCCATCTGGAGGGAATCAGTTCCTGTTCCTGCTGTGTTCCCTCGCCTTCCTCTGCTTTATCCGTAGGAGAGGCAACAGCTATGGCAGAGAACGATGTCTGGTTGAGTAGGTATGTCTATCCTTTGGGAGTATGAGGAAACTAAAAGTGCCAGTTACCGGTTGCTCCTCTGGACTGGGCAAAGCTCTTGCGGACTTCGCCTACAAAGCGGGCTCTGCCGTTGTAGCTACGGCTCGGAAGCCCGAAACGCTCTCATACCTACCTGACAGCCCAAACGTCCTCAAGATTGGTCTGGATGTTACTTCGAAAGATCAAGTCGCACAGGTCATCCAGGCGGCAGTTGATAAGTTTGGCCGCTTAGATGTCGTGGTCAACAATGCAGGGTACGGCGTGACTGGGGACACTGAAGTTCTTCCCGATGCCGATGCACGCGCACAGCTCGAGACCAACTTCTGGGGTGCCGTCAATGTCACCAAAGCGGCCCTGCCAATCCTACGAGAAGTTAACCCTCCTGGAAAGGGCGGCCTGTTCATGCAGATCTCGTCTGTGGGCGGCAGAGTTTGTTACGCTGGCTCTGCTTACTACCATGCCAGCAAATTCGCCCTAGAAGGATTCACGGACGCCCTGGCGAAAGAGATGCACCCGGATTGGAACATCAAGTTCACTATTATCGAGCTCGGCGCAGTGGCAACCAACTTCCCGCAGAATATGGTCCTGCCTCCGCGGCATCCAGCTTATGAGGACCCAGCTTGTGGATATAATGCGGTTAGAGCCTACCTAACCAGTGCAGCAAACGCTGTGCAGTGGAATGATGCAACAGTTTGTGCTCAAGTGTTGCACGAGCTTGCAACTAAAAGGAACGACATCACTCCCCCATTGAGACTCGCCCTGGGCGCTGATTCTTGGGCCGTTGTCAAGGCCGAACTGGAGGGTATCATGAAGGAGCATGAAGCCTGGAAGACTGTGGCAGAGAGCACCTCCCACGCCGAGAACACGAGAGCAACGGAGTTCCTGCTCAAGTCGGTGCGCTAGTTACCTGGCAAGAAGTTGAGCAGCCTCACTGTGGGGGTGTTAGAAACCCTGGTCTTATACACGTGGACAGCATTGTCAGAAGATGTGTCGAGTGATCGTCGTTCGCAAGTCCCGATTCTGCGTATTGCAAATGCTCTTGAACAACATCCGATTGGGTGGTCTATCGCCGGAGGCTCAGCTCCTGATAGCCTATTCTGCCTCTTGCATGGACTGTTCACGTCGAACAAGCGCTGAGAATATCGGAATTGGCATGCCGGCGGCATCAGGCACCGTCTAATCCCAGAATGCTTTAGCAACATACCGGGTCTATCCAGCGAGCCAGCTGCCCTTGTCCCAACCAAAGAAGGTGTGCTATTCTTACTTTGGTGGCGCTTCTTAGCTCGAGCAGCTCCATAAATACTGACCAAAATACGCACATATGATTGGTTTATCCATGACAGGCTCCCTACTTGTACAGTGAAGCGACCCATGAGAATAGACCGCATCTCATTTTTAGCGCCCAGATGGGCCGAAGATTCAGAAGAATAACAAGCTGGTGGCGTTACCCAAGAGATGCGGATCTGATGGCCTGCATCCCATGGACTCCACCGCGAGTCAACCATGGCGCTTATCGCAGATATTGAAGAAACCATGAATAGTATCACTAGGTGCGCCTCGTGGAGCTGAACGAGTTGTTGATGGTCTAATCCCTGCATGCAGCATGGGCAGCATCCAAGGCACAGGTCAAAAGCAAAGGTATATAGAGTGGTTCTCAATCTCCAAGATTTGTACCCCGTCAGAATCAACATAAAACAGTTTGTCTATACTCGAAATTACATGACGGATTACACTTCCACGCCCACCGATACAACCACAATGGCCAGTCGGGCGAGCACTCCATCTTCCATCACTTCTTCCTACTTGCCGATCAATCAAATCAAAAGCCCGGAGCACATTCACCCCTTTGCCTCCTTGTACTATCGACAGCACACCTTGATCCCTAACCGCATCACTGTCAATGAGATTCAGCTTTCCGACGAGCTCTGGAGCAGACATGCATTTAGCATGGGGATGCCTTTCAACGACATCTACCGACCCCACGCAGATGCCCGGAAATTCGCCCAGAAGATGCAAAAGAAACTCAAGATGAGCAACAAGCAATTGGCCGACTCGTTGCTCCCTCTGATCCAAACCACGATCAAGTCGTCGAAGAAGTTACGGGTCGAGACTGATGCTACCTTCCATCCTGACGCTGTGCCAAAGGGAAACCCCGCCGGGCGCATGTCAAACAGTCAAACAGTCCCATGGAGCATGCCGCTGCCCATCCCCAAGCCAAACATCACGGTTGGTTTCAGCTCCAAGAACTTCAGCTCGCACGAACTCGAGTTGCAGGACGGTATCATCTCGGACGCGCAGGGTGAACCGTGCAACCTAGGAAAGATCTCTCAACCCATCCGCGGACGCAACACGCTGCTCTGGCCATTTTTCAACGTCGAGATACAACATGAATCACTGAACGCCGCACAGAACGCCGCCGCGGGCTCAGGGTCAACCTGCAACAACGCGCTCGCGCTTCTCGCAGAAGCCGCAGATGAGCCCCTCGTTCAAAGCGGGGGGAGAAATCTGTTTTGGCAATCGAGAAGAGCGGTAACCTCGTTCTCCCTCTCAATCCACAACAGCTCGACCTCAGAGGGCAGAATGGCGACGCTGAACCTCCACAGCTCCGAAGGCGGACTGTCCCATGCAGTAGCCCCGATCCGAACTTACGATCTCTGCAATGAGCGGGACGTGGAGTACCTGCTGTCGCGGCTAGGCAGCATCTTTGTGTGGGCGGAGAATTGTCACCTCCAGCAGATCTCCACTCTCCTGGAAAACCTCGATGCCCTGGTCCAGCTCGAACAAGGGAAGGAGCATCTGTCGGACAGCTTCCCACACGAGACAATGGATATAGTCACGAGTTCTCCAGGTAATCTGAGCCCTCCGAGGAGGAAGCTGGGGTCGATTAGAAACGTCCTGGCAGAGATCAGTCCGAAGTGGATAAGGGCACAGGGATAGGTTTCGGCGACGGAGTTTACAGGTTGATATGGCATGTACAAGTATGCGAAGCTCACAAAAAGTTAATATATGATGAGCAACGACGATAATGATGATCATTTGAAAAGCCTTGATTTCTTTTTCGTATTGAGACAAGTTGATATGGAGAGAAAACGCCGTTCTCCGTGTGCTCGCTGTCTTCCGAAGCGAGTTGTTGGCCCGCCAGAATATTGATCACTCCTATGACATAATGCTCTGTGATTTGCGGAAAGCAGCAACGCATTCTAGGCGAGCTGCGTGCCTTGGACTGCGGAAATCTTCAATCTGAGAAAGCGGTGTGAAGACCCCGAGCATGGCAAGATCTGAAGAATGCCTCTAGAGAAAGTGATGGGGCGCCCTACGTTTGCTGATTGGCCGTCTTACCGCTGTGGATGACCCGCTAGATAGAATTAGGCTAAGCGCGTGCAGACTCCACCAATAATCATTCCGGTCCTGCCCCGCTCCTTGACTACAATATCTCGGCCCCCCTGCCTCGAAGCGCCCAACCCACCACCCATCACCAGCTCTACTCCAGACTTTTTCTCCCACGGCAGAGGCCGGGACGCAAAGCTAGGTCTCCTCCCCCACGTCTATCCCTCTTTTGTATACCTGAAACACAGCATCCTTCTCCTGTTCCGACGCTACTGGCAGGGCTCCTTGTGATAGCCGTCCGGACGCGACCAACTTGTCGAGTCTGCTGTCCCTCAGAGCCGCCCTCGAAGCGAGTGGCTTTTGACCAACGACGTGTATCCATCTGTCAAATGGAACCGGGCGTGGTTAGAACACGAGGCCAATGGGCGGACGTGATATTCCCCTCTACTCGTATCCGCATTTCCTTACGAATGTTGGACCGGGGGGGTGCATTTAGACCGGAGGCAGGGACGTAAGGCCATCCGCTCGTGTAACGCAGTGCTCTCTTATTTTATTGTGCTTGTTATATCTATGGATCCCGCCTGGCTTGGTTGCTGAGGTTTCAGGTCGCCCCCTCACCTTTTTTGCTCTGATCGGTTCCTCTGTCCTGTTTCATATCCGTTGTTCACTGCCCATTATTCCATGTACAAGTAATAGACCTGTCGCTGCTACAATACATCAATGCATCAAAGTCAATAGCGTTTTGTCGTTCCTCTGCTGCGTTGGGAGATCACTGAGCTGCTGGGACTGGACGATACCTCCTGGACCTCAAAAGGCCTGGCGTGATCAGTTCCCTTTCTTGGAGGGAAAGCAATGTCTTCAACAAGTGGTTCGTCGAACCCTTCGCCCTCTTCGGATGGTCTGCCACCGGCGTCCTACGACGGTAGTCACCTGCCCTGGCGCACTTTCCGACAAGAAGTCCTCGCACCACACCAGATCCGCATTCTCGACAGTCCGCCGAAAGACCGCATCCCGGCCGCCTTCTTGCGGATCGTGGAAGTTACAAGTCAAGATCCGTCCCGCTTCGACAATCAAAAGAATTGCTTCTGGAGCCAGGTCACGGCGGGTCGCGGATTTGGGCCTTCGCCGATCTTCCCACCCAACCTCCTCCCCCCGTTGGCGAGCGAGTCTCATTCGCGATGCATGGTCCCCTTCTTCGGCAGTCGCGAAGCCCTACCAGAGCGCACCATAAATCACCCGGCGCCCTTCTACGAGCTCTCCGTTCCTCGTCCCGGCCTGGGATGTGGGTTTTCCGCCGCGGCCTTCACAGACGCAGAGCTGGCTGCCATGCCCCTATGGCTTCAAGCAACGGGGACAATCGTGCATTTCGAGACGGGGTACATCGCCCCCGGCGCCTCGCTCTACTGTCCCTTTCTAACCTTTGAACGGGCGTTTGGGAATAAGAAGCAGCGCGTGGAGTCAGCGAACAATCAGTGTGCGATTGCAGGCGCATACTGCACGCGCGCTCTGCAGATGCTGTACACGCGGGCACGCAGGAATCTGGACGAGCAGGCGACCACGACTCTTACTGAGCTGCCAGTCTCTTTCTCATGCACCATCGACAACACCTTTGCGCTGCTGAACTTGCATTGGATTGATCTGGAACAGGGGCAAGCATATTGCATGGCGCCGCTTTGTCAGTTTGACCTCAGCAAGGACGAGCATTTCGGCAAGTTTCTGGTCTGGACGCAAGCCATTGGCGATTGGGCTCTGGCTCATGTCCTGCCGGCGATCAAAGAGGCGCTCGAGAAAATCCAGCAAGCCCCCAACGGAACTCCGACAGCTCCTTTCCAGCCGCAGTACAGCACCACACCCACGAGACTGCGGCTGGACACCGGCCCAGCCCTCATGAAAGATGATCTCCTCCTCTCGTCCCTGAAGACGACATTCGAAAATATCCCCTGGCGCTTTGAAGACGAGGGTTTCTCGGGTGTCTCATCCTCCACCGCCTCCTGGGGCTCGCCCATGGTGTCAGAGCATACCTTCCCAAAGGTGAACTACCCGACCGTGCCCGCAGCCAGAAGCAACGTCAGCGCTCCGAACTCTTCCATCGTCGCTCGAAAGCGACTGGGCGGACTTGACGTGTTACGCAGCCCGGTCACGCCGCCACCAGCATATCTACAGAATCAGGACATGGTATGGCAAAAGCGATTCAACCTCGCGATGGAGGAGATAAGGCAGCTGCAGAGCCAGGTGCAAGCGTTCAGAAGGGAAGTCGAGGAATGCAAACGCCCGTTCCGGGAGGGGCAGCCATCATCGCATGTAGAACAGGCACCGAGTGAGAACAGTGAGCTGGAGTCTACGACTCCAAAGGTGCAGAATCCACCTCTCCTCACCCTAACTTCTCACAAGCCTTCGCCCTCGGTGGTCACTGATCTATCCGTGGCGAGCTCCCCGGTGTGGAAGTGCGCAGCCATCGTCTTGTCGGGCCACTTCCTGGCCTCGTTCCTTCCCAACATGGCTGTTCGGCTGTTGACTTACGGATGCGTCACAAACGCGTGCCTTTGGGCGTGTCTAACCCCGAGGTCCATGGGCACGGGAATGCCGACTTCAGCGACCACGAAGTTACCGACCTTTGCGAGCTGGAGATGGTGGTGACGCCCCTAGCTGGAGACGAGAGTCGACCGGGTTTGTTCAGCTAGTGCGTTGTTTCAGATTGTCCGACTTGTGCAGATTTAGCGAGTATTGGAGGAAATTCCGCGGGTTGCGTATGATATGAAATTGCAAGGGTTGGCTGGTCGTGCCCACTGTATCAGTAAGGTCATTTGTTTGGAAGTTGGATGTGTTTCCGGCCGCGAGGAGGGAGAAAATTGCGCTCTTAGGCAAGGGCACCAAGATCAAAGGCGATATAATTGATCCTAACAGGGGAATCAAAGATTCTACTTAGGAAGACAATAAACTCGCGGTATTTCCACCACCTCGATGGCCCCTGAAACCCCCCTCTTTGTTCGCTCAACGGCGGACATTTGCAGCAATGCGATTCGTCATGAGCGATGACGAGTTGCCAATGAGCAAGCACGCGATACAGGACAAGACTCCGAATGGCAAAGCCGTGTACCAGACATACTTCAGGCTCTCGGCGTAGGCCCAGCGTGCACCCACCGTGGCGCCTTGCAGCACCGCCGCGTTGAGCCCGCGGACCACCTCCGTGGGGCCGGCGGGCGCGGTGAGGTTCTGGGGGGCCAGCAGGAACAGCTCGACGAAGGTCGGGACGGACGCAAGCGGCAGGCCCGCCTCGACGGCGTACGCGGCGACGTATTTCGGCAGGTTGTGCTTCAGCTTGGTGCCGAAGATGTTGGAGTAGATGGCCGTGCCGACGGAACCGCCGACTGTGCGGATGGACAGGGAGAGCGCCACGCACGTCGCAATCAGGTCGTCGGGCGAGCCCACCACGGCGGTGGTCACGGCCATGGCCACGACGCCGCCGATCCCAAAGCCCGCGATGGTCGCCAGCGCCACCGTCTGGACCGGGTTCTCGGGCGTGCAGGTGATGAGGGCGGTCCCGAACGCCGTGGTGAGGACGGCGCAAGAAAAGAGGATCCATCGGTTGTGGTTCTTCCAGACCGAGAGCAGCATATTTGGCACCACGGCTCCCGCGGTCACTCCGAGCGCGACGATGACCCCTTTGAGGCCGGATTGGATCGGATCAGCTCTGTAAACGTCCAGGTAGACGACGGGGAAGAAGTTGAGGAGTCCGTAGAAATACATCCCGGCCACAAAGGAGACCAGGAAGCTCATGGTGACAATGCGGTGGCCGGCAAACAACTCGCGAGGCACCATTGGGAAGCTGCTGCCTTTCCATTCCCAGGCCCCGAAGGCGATTATCATGACAATGCCGATGATCAGCGGGCACAGCACCTTCGCACTCTCCCAAGGAGCCGTGTACCCGCCCGCGGTGGTCCCTATCAAGCTGGTGTTCGGTTAGAGGGTTGTTTGGAAGTGGACATGTCACGGGAAACATACAATAATGTCAGACCGCCGATTGAAAGCAGTGCCCCGACGAAGTCTATCTTGGGCAGGATCTCGCGGACCGTCTTCCGCTGTCCACGCACTTGAGACTGGGGGAAGTAAAAGATGGCAATTCCCACAGTTGCCATTGCGTTCCAGATCCTATGTCAGGGTTTGTCAGTTCTCGCTCACGCTCCATTATCACGAGTCGACAACCAAGACAGCACGGACAGGACAACGGCACTCACAAGGCTATCCAGATCCCCCACCGCCAAGTCGAATGCATCCCGAGCTCGGTGGTGTAGATAGCATACGGCGAAAAGGGCAGAATGCACCCGGTGACCAGCCCAAGGTACCATCCTCTTTTCCTCACGGGCACGAGCTCAGACGTCCCGGCCAACGCCGTCAGCTCGCCGATGGCGGCGCCCACGCCGGAGATGGTGCAGCCAACAATGCCCTGTGCCATGGTTCGAGTGGTGCCGATGAGGATCAGTCCGATGCACAGCACCACGCCGCCGGTGAGGGAGATGTATCGACGGCCGAAAACGTCTTGGAGATAACCGCTGAAGGGAGCCAGAGAGGCAAACGCCAGGGCGTAGGACTGGGGCAGCCATGAATCGATGTCGGCCCCTCCGACTTGTTCGACTATGAAGGACAGACTCGCCGACACAAAGTAGAGCGGCAGTTGCGATCCTGTCTCGTGTAGTACCGTGTCAGTTTGGAACGGCTCTTTTGGACACAGGACTGGACAAACGAGGGAAGCAAGTGGCGCTGGAGAAGGGAAACGGACCGCAATAGAGAAAGGAGAGCGACAGCGTTGCCAGGATTTGTCGACTTGTCCATGGGGCGTGGCTGGCGGTGTCATCACTGTGGCCGTCTGCTTTCGTCTCGATTTCAAGGTGGGATGCCTCGTCTTTGGCAAGGTCATGAGCAGTCTGAGGAGAGGCTCCTTCAACGCCCTTCTCACCGCGTTCTTCGTGGCGGGATTCCATGCTGTGCTCTTCGGTCCGCTCTGCTTGCTCAGCGTGATTGCGGATGGATTCTTGAGTCATTGCTTTTACAGATGGTCGGAGGCTGATCCCTTACTGTGAAAGCGACTCCATACCCCAGATATATATCCACATGTATAACGTGTATCGAACTCGTGGCCTTTGTTGTGTAGTCTCTGCATATGCCTCGGAGCTGTTACAATACCGGGTATACAGTACACAACGATGTCTCTCGATGCTAGCCTCTTATTGGGCTATAGGCAAAGCCTCATTAGGAGTCTGCCAATGACTGTTCTGTTTTTGGCGGCTCGCAACACCCATCTTTGTCATTTCTCTTTCTTGGACAGTCGTCACACCATACAAGATACTGGTTTTTCCTGAAATGGCAGGCTCCACATTCGGCTATACAAGACAACTTTACCAGTATCATCATGAGTCAGATCCAAAGCCTCGGACCATACAAGCAAGTCGGCAGGCGGTTATGCAACAGAGGCGTCCTCCAGGCTGAAGAGGCCCCGGTGCTTTTCGTTGTCGTTGGCGGAAGTAAAAGTGTTAAATCGTGGCGAGGTCATGCCCCATATTGTATGAGATGGGCCAATCCAAATTAAAGCTGCTCCAGTCGAAGATATCTCCCATATCATCCGGACCAATACCATAGGACCTCGGGTTTCCGCCAAAACTTGAGAGGTCTGACGCACCATACCAGGCATTTTCAGCTGGTGCGCCCACACTCATACCACCGCCAGTGTTTGAATCAACCCATTCTTGGAACATATTGAAGCCCATATATGGCAATGTGTCCTGATTCGTGGAGCCAGCCTCGTTTCCAGACGAGGATGACATGTAAGACGTTTCCCTAGGGAGTGGACTCTGAGCTGCTGGATACGATTCGGCAAGATTCTCCCTGAATGAGACTTCTATCCTCTTTCGTTTCTGAGCTGGTGGAAGGGCGTCGTTGGTTGGCGACTCGACCACTGTCAATCCTAGAGAACTGAAGAGAGCATCCACAAACGATAATACCACATCCGCACCAGCGTAGGCCTGGCGCAGCGAGCAAAGACAAAGCAGGACTTCGTTGAGAGCTCCCTTCGCACGTTCCGCGTCTTGAGCAACGGTTACGGTATGCTGATGCCTCCTATCCCCCAATCTTGCCGACTTGAGCGCAAGTGCATTCGAGATGATGCTCGGCACCAACATAGTAATGGCATTGACAGGTAAGTAGCGCGCAAGGGCTCGCTCATTGAGCTGAGCACAGATGTTGGCAATGGCGGCTGCGGCTTCAGCGACTCTAAGCTTGGACGCAGGTAGGTGGCTTCGAGGCCGGTGGAGAGCTGATACTGCCGTGTTATAAGACATGTGTACGAGCGCACATTGCACCACTATACTGGATGGCGGCGGATCAGTCCTTGTATCGTCTACGTTCTGACTGTGGTTTGTCTCGAGGCAGGACTTTCCCAATGGATGGTCTATTAATTGCCGAAGGAGATGTGCTGAGGGTGGCAGAGATCCGACCCATTCAGCGAGCATTGTATCGAGCAAATCGGCGGTACTGCTTGGCCGCTTGCAGGCAGTTTCGTCTCGTGTATTCCCTGAAATTGGAAGAAGCATGGCGAAGCCACCAAGGCTGGTGGTCCCGCCGCTTTGCAAGAAGGCTTTTGATGGCTTCCGAAGCGTCGAGTACTGAGCAGACATGATGGATCCCATTATCGTGCAGAGTTTGACATTGGAGAGGAATATTTCTGTCAGTGATAATCCTGGGTGCTGGCGGGATGATTTGCTTGAGACTGGACGCTCTTGATCCATCATGGGGGACATTACCTCGCCATTGGGGCCAAAATCTTCAGGTGTTAGCAAGGGAGTATCGAAGTCATCACCACGAATCCTCATGGGGCGGCTCATTCCCAGTGAGATTAGCCGATCTCGCATGAAGCAAGACCACCAAACTCGTTTCCGGAGAGTCTTTCGCTCGGATTGGATCTGCAATGGTGCGGGATCACGGTTCAATCCCATAGTCTGAGCGAGTGAGATGGCTATCCCGGTCCAATGCCAGCATTGCTTGTGGGCATCAGGATTATCGCACCACAAACTCATTAGCAACAGCGATTGGACGAGTGTGAGGCTGTCAGATTCATAATCCGCGTCATACAAAAGCTGTCGAAATTGTGAGAATTCGTGAAGTCAAGATTTGGTGGACACATACCCTGGTTCTTAGATAGAAACTTTTTCGTGCGGCCTTCAGATTGTCATAACCATCTTCCTTGACGAAGGTTTCATCCACAAATGCTACTCCAGCAAACATGACGCATTGAAAGAGTAAGAGGCTGTACTTTGCCACTGGACACGCAGTGGCATCCGATAAGAGAATGTGCAGAAGCTTATCGGCATCGAGGAGGGGCATGTACGGATGCATGTATTGGACATAGCATCGAATGATCTCGAGGCGTAGACGCGCAGAAGGTACGCAAAAGGCACCTTTGTCTCGAAGGTACTCAAGGTCCCGTGTATCCAAGTGACCTGGATGGGGTACAAAACAGCCAGGTAGCTCTTTGGTGGGCTTTTCAACAGTTTGGGATTCAACGGCCGGAGCTTGCACTGATAGAAGAAAGCCCAGCTTGGGTGGAATATCTCCCAAACCCACCATTGAATTGAGAACATCGGCCGTGTTAGACGACGGTAACGAGTCAGTTGAGGCATGGTTGCAAGGTCGTGGAAAGCCTGAGTTAGCCAGACCGAATGAGGGATCCTTGGGTGGCTGACGGAGACGGATGTCGCTGTTTCCAGTTGGGGCGGCCTTGGAGTACCATGATGGAGGTTTCCTGCATTCATGGTCAGAAGCAGCTCCCGGTGACGATCACATTTTGTCTCTGCTCACTTTCCGCGACGGCAGCGGGCAAGCACGCACTGGCCATGATTGTCTCGGCAGTTGGTGCAAGGCACACCTTTCAACATCACGTCGCATTTGACCTTTCGGCCCCGGCAATCCTGGCATGCTTTGCCTGCTCTGCGCTGGACGGTGTGTTTGGTTAGACCATGTCGAGTCTCGGTAACGTTGTTCACTGTGCCAGCCATAGGAAATGTGCAGCACTGTTGGCCACTATACCTCTACTCGTAGGACCTAGGAAAATACGGGGAACAAGGACGCGAATGGCCTTCTGATGTGGGAATTGGGTTTGTGGGGAATTGGCGGAGGCGGGGAGTCCAAGGGCTCAAGCTGTGGGGGTCCGGCCTTGTTGTATAACCGGTTGCCGATACTTGCTCGGCCCGGCGCATGAAACCACAGAGAGAATGAGGCTGAGTATCGCAAGGGTGATGGATCGTTGTCGTCAAATTTCCCATGCCCCAGCCGGCCGAGATAACCAATCATGAGGCGCTTGTATAGCCAGTATAGCCTTGCCTGTGGCCTATGATATCTACCCGTTGGGAATGACTTGCAACGAGCCGGCGATATTGCCCCAGGTATTACTAGGGAACATGTCGCAGTTCTTGGACCAAGAAAGTTGAAGGCGAGTAGTTTGCCAAGCAGGCAACCAAAGTGTCTTTATCAATCCAAGGGCTCTTGCGTCGACATCCCAAATCCCAATATGAAGTTGACAGCCAGAAACCTCACTCATGCTGCTTGCATTTCCCAATCCTTTCGATATCCAAGCCTCTTTGGTTCTGAGACACTCTCGTTGACCGCCGAGACCGTCACCAACCTTTCCCTGCAGATTGATCAGGCCGGATACCCTAGCCACGATGCACGAAACGTGACAAATCTCAGTTTTTGCAATGTCAGCCTCATCTATACGCACCCCGGACAGCACGATAATATTAACGTCCAAGTATGGCTACCATTGGAAGGCTGGAACCAGCGGCTTCAAGGAGCAGCGGGCGGAGGTTTCCTCGCAGGACTTAACTTACCTTCCATGGCTGGTGCATTGAGTGATGGATTTGCGGTCGTTTCAACCGATGCAGGCCACAAAGTCGAAGATGCAAGCACATGGGCACTCTTGAGCCCTGGAAACGTCGACCTTTATGCGTTGCAGAACTGGGCCTCGGTGTCTTTGAATGATGCCGCGGTTATTGGGAAGTCAATCACCCAGAATTTCTATGGCCAAAGACCAATTCGTTCCTACTGGAACGGTTGTTCTGGTGGTGGCAGGCAGGGACTGCTGATTGCTCAGCGCTATCCCCAAGCATTCGACGGCATCTTAGCTGCAGCACCAGGGATCAACTGGAATACCGCTCTTGTCGGAGGGATGTATTTTCCGTTGCAGGTCCAGCAAGGCGGTCACATACCTGCACCATGTGAGACATATGCATTGTCATTGGCGGCAGTTGCTGCTTGTGATGCAAACGACGGTGTCATCGACGACATCATCTCGGACCCAGCACAGTGCAAGTTCGACCCATTCGCATTGGTCGGCCAAAACGTCACCTGTTTTGGCATCAACGCCACGATTTCACATGCGGCGGCACTGGGCGCGGCAAAGACTTGGGACGCGGTACGGACAGCAAATGGGTCTTTTCTTATGCCAGGACTGAACCGTGGTGCGTTGCTGAATGTTGCATTGAACAGCACTTGCGACGCTCAGACCGGAAAGTGCACGATGGTTCCTTTTTGGTACTCAGAGGAATTTGTGAGGTATTGGTTGATCAAAAGGCCGGATTTTGACTGGACCACTCTGACCTTGGATGATTTCTATCGCCTCTGGGATTATTCGGTGGACACCTATACCGATATGACCGCCAGCAATAACCCTGATCTTAGCGATTTTCGGGCATCTGGTGGCAAGATGATAACGTGGCATGGCCTTGCTGACCCAGCAGTTCCAACGAACAGTTCGAGGATTTACTATAACAAGGTCGCTCAGCTTGATCCGGGTGTGAGTCAGTACTATCGATATTTTGAGGCGCCGGGAGTATCGCACTGCGGAGGTGGTAATGGACCATATCCAGGGCATGCGTTTGAAAGTCTCATAGCTTGGGTGGAGGAGGGAAAGGTGCCGGATGTTCTTCAAGGAGTCAGTCTGCCGACAACAAACGGGACAGTCTATCACAGGCCCATCTGCGCTTATCCCCTGATGGCGAAGTACAAAGGCACAGGGGATGTTACGCAGGCCGCGAACTGGAAATGTGCTTAATGTCTGTCACTGAAAGCGGAGATTTGGCCAACGATGTACAGAGGCTGTTATCTCATCCTCGTTGTCGGGACAAGATACTTCCAATTTCTGAAATGATGAACTAGCACACCCCGTAATTGTGTAGAATGGTTCTCCAATCTATGGTGATCTTGCCTGTTGATTCCACCAAGGAACGCCAGAAGTTGCTCCGCCGGTCAGCGAACAACGGCGGAGATTGATGCGATCGGGAAAATATATATCCAGCCCCGAGGTCTGGGCGACGAGGCTGGCAATTGAGCAAACTTGGAAGTGCGTGCTGAGATGTTCGGCCATCAGACTGACAACTTTCAGGGACCTGCAGCCTCGTCCGGAACAATCAGACTACTCCCTTAACACAGTATTCCTTGATGCATTGAATGACCAGACGGCGTTGCGCCATCAAACACAGATTTATGAAACTTGAAACAGACTACAATGTAGAAAGCCTATGCAGCATTCGGTCGAAGTTCGTCCGTTGCAGCCTGGAAGCTCAGGGAAAGCTCCATCTTTCCTGCGGTGTACAAAAACCGGCCATTCCTCCTCTCTGCCTTTTCTTCCTTTGGTTGTTTCTTCTGCCGCAGACCTTCTCATGCTCACCTCATACGAGCTAGTACTCTGCCCATCACTGCCGGATTCATTAGCTACCTTAAATTTCGTCTTTCCTTGTCCTGCCCAGCAAAAAACAATGGCTACAGCATCTACATCCCCAGCTCCCACCGCAGCCGCTGACGCGGCCGCCAATCAACAAGCCAAGATCAAGTTCTTCACAAACCATGGATGCGGCTGGTCTCACCGTGTCCATATTGTCCTGAAGGAGCTCGGACTGGAGTATGAGGAAGTCATCATCAACATGGATGAACCAAGGCCGCAATGGTTCCTGGAGCTGAACCCGGTGAGCCTTCGACGTCTGCTTTGGTTTGATGAACTATTGTCTTGGAAATGATGCTTGGCTGTCGGAACTTGGGACCTGTATCTTCTGCTCCTGACCAGAAGGTATTGGTTACAAGTTGCTATTCGTTTCCCTACGTCTATTGCATTGATCTTTACATCCGCTGGGCTTCATCAAGCTGTTCCATGGCTCAGCTCACAATTGGTCCTTATGTCTAACCAATCGGCCCCTTGCCGATTGTGTCTTGAAGCGTTTTGCTTCTCCTCGGTTCTGCTGTGCTTTCTCGAATGATGCTAACTGACTGTTCTCCCAGCGTGGCCTTGTTCCAGTCCTCCAGTATACACCTTACCCTTCCTCTCCCGACTCCTCCACCGATACACTCACACTCACCGAGTCCGCTCAAATTGTCTCCTTCTTTACGGACCTCTATCCTTCCCACCTTATTCCCACGATCCCCGCCTTGGCTTCGGGCTCGATCCAATCTGCCGGTGCGGGCCAGGTTGAAGCAGCATATGTCCGCTACAGAATGTCCTTCTTCGTCGACACCTACTTCACCAAGATCAATCCTCTCATGTTCAAACTCGTGGGCGCAGATAACGGAGAGCCACAGGATCGGATCGTGCAAGAGATCTGGCGACTTTTGGAGAGAGATATCGAGCCATTACTTTCCGAAGTGAACGAGAACGGGAGGGGTCCTTATTTCGGAGGAAGCGAAAAGTTGACCGTTGTCGAGGTATGGACCCTACTCTCAAAGTCCCGAGCCTACATAGGGCTATTGCCTGCTGACGTGCACTTTCCTCCTAGGCCATGACAATCCCTTTCGTCCTCCGCTTGGTCGATTTCTCCAACGACATCATATTTCCCGCTCGTCTCGCGAAGGAAATCCTGGACACTGACAAGGCCACGGGCAAGCTGCCGCGATTCGCAAAGTGGGCGAAACTGTGCATGCAGCATCCGAGTGTCACGTATACCTGGGACAAGGAGTATATGGTTCCCAGGATTGTAGAGCGGTTGCCGGCTGCCAAAAGGAAGTATGCGCCAGCGAGGGACTAGACAACGGGGATGGTGAATCGTACGAGTACGAAATAAGCGGACAAGGGAACTATGGAACTATGATGGAAGCGCAGGGAGCTGTAGGATGGGCCTGGACTGTTTGGATAGACGTGAGTCAGGGCATCTAAGCAAGAACAGGTGCTCGACCCGGAATAACATCAAGAGGTACAGACGGATCATTGAGGAGCTGCTGGTGTCTTGGTACCTGCTTAGTGTTTGTATAGAGCCAATTGCGATGGCTTCCTCTTCCGATAACGGTCGAGTCCACGATCCACTTGCCCCTCGGCTGCCCCTCTTCTGATTTCATGCCTCCCCCCCTCCCTACCTAACCTATATAAGGATGATATCAATGAGGTGATTGCCCATCCCTCCTCTCGACACCTCTCATAATTTCTCTCTGACTTTTTGCTTCCACCGCCAGATCGCAATCTTCCAGCTTTGTTGGAAAACTCGTCGCTTGGCAACATATCTATCATCCTTTTTCCAAGTATTCCGCTCCCTCCGCCCTCCCCGACACTTTTGCTGCTGCTTGGACTCCAATGCTGACACTCCCAGGTCACATCATCCCATCCATCACGCTTCAAGTAAATCTCACTTGACAAAGATGGAGGTTGGCATGCAATCGTCTCGCTCGGTCCAGAGCCATCATGGTCAAGGTACACTTAATCACAGACATGAGGATGTCTGCGCATGAACCGGTGTTCGCGACTTTCCTGCCAGCAAGATGTTTGCTGCCATCCAACCAGACCCATAGATGGATCTGGAGATGGCGGTTCGCTTGCTGGATCCCTGGGAGTCGCGTTCTGAGATCATACGGTTTTAACTTGATCTGGATAATACCAGCGAAAGGATTATGCGATCTCCCTCTTTCCCCCTTGACAGGTATCTGAGCTTCGCCTAACACCATGCAGGACGTGCACAATGTCTCCACCAATTGCCACCTTCAACGAGTTTGATGGCTACACTGGCACCAAAGAGATAAAGAAGCAAGGCGCCCTTGGAGCTACAAAGGTGGCTTTGACGGCTTCTGGCGAACACAACAGTCTGCTCGAACAATTCGGCGACAAATGGGAGGGCTTCAAGTTTGCCCCGATCCGCGAGTCCCAGGTGTCGCGAGCCATGACCAGACGCTACTTCGCCGACCTCGACCGCTATGCCGAGTCGGACGTGGTCATTGTCGGTGCAGGTTCCTGCGGGCTTTCCACCGCCTACACCCTGGCCAAGGCGCGACCAGACCTCAAGATCGCCATTATTGAGGCCTCGGTCAGCCCTGGCGGCGGTTGCTGGCTGGGTGGCCAGCTGTTTTCGGCCATGGTCCTGCGCAAACCCGCCGAAGCCTTTTTGAATGACATCGGCGTGCCGTACGAGGACGAAGGCAACTACGTGGTTGTCAAGCACGCCGCGCTCTTCATGTCCACGCTGATGAGCAAGGTTCTGGCCATGCCAAATGTCAAGCTGTTTAACGCCACTTGTGTTGAAGACTTGGTCACCCGTCCCTCCGCTGATGGCGGTGTCAGAGTGGTTGGCGTGGTCACCAACTGGACCTTGGTCACCTTGCACCATGACAACCATAGCTGCATGGACCCCAAGTGAGTTTCTACATGACCCCTCGTGGATTGTTTCAGCAGTGCTGATGGGTGCTTCAGCACCATCAACGCCCCCTTGGTCATCAGCACCACTGGCCACGACGGCCCGTTCGGCGCCTTCTGCGCCAAACGCCTCGTCAGCATGAACGCCATTGAGAAGCTGGGCGGCATGCGTGCACTCGACATGAACCGTGCCGAAGACGCCATTGTCAAGGGCACGCGCGAGGTGTCGCCGGGCTTGATCATGGGCGGCATGGAGTTGAGCGAGCTGGACGGCGCCAATCGCATGGGACCTACCTTTGGGGCCATGGTCTTGAGCGGTGTCAAAGCTGCAGAGGAAGCGCTGAAGATCTTTGAGACGAGGAAGGCCGAGTGCGCCGAGTAAAGGGAGGAGGCACGTCGGAGAATAAATCACAAGCGGCCTGTAGCAATCGAGGCGCCCGTCACTCATTCAGATAATCCCAGAATGCCAATGGTATGATTTTGTAGCCATGACAATCCCTCACTGACGTATATCATTGGACGGCAATGCTCGGAACAATGGCATCCCGCTGATTCTGCATTATTTTTTGATTTGTCTCTCATTCTTCGCTCGAGTTGCCCATCAAAGAGCGTGAGTGAGACCGACAGCCGGAGGCCGTCGGGCCGTTTCGAGGGCGCCTTTTGTCAGCATCTCGACCATCGCGTTATTGGCTGTGTGGCTTGATAGGCAATTGCGTAATTACACAGCACCCCTTTCGTCAAGTTTTTTAATCTATCTGTCTCAAATTGCTATGCTGAAATTCATGCCCCTTTGAGCTCAAGGAGCTCTGCAGAGAACCAATGACGGACGACAGTGTCGGATCCGAGAGGACGCCTCTCTTATCCTCGTCATCCACCGCTTCCACCCCGCCGCAGAGTCGCACACCGGAGCCACGAAACTCCCCAAATGAAGGGCTCTCGTCACTGCGAGGCTTCCTCATCTGCGTCTCCGTCTGGGTCCTCATCTTCATCCTGACCAACAATGTCTCGCTCATCACCACCATCCAGTCTCCCATCGCCACCGATCTCCGAGTCTCCAGCGAAGTCAGCTGGTTCACGTCGGCCTACCTGATCGCCATCACCAGCATCACCCCGGTCGCGGGTCGGCTGTGCACGATCTTCAGTCCGCGGGTTTATCTGCTTGCCTCGATCGTCGTCCAGTCCGGGGGCCTGTTCATCACCTCGCAGGCCAAGTCGCTGGCCGTGTTTCTGGCCGGCCGTGCCGTGACGGGGGTTGGAAGCGCCTCCATCACGCCCGTGGCGTTTATCCTGGTCACAGAGCTGACGAGCCCTCGACGGCGAGGTCTCTTCTTTGGCTGCATCAACACCGGCTACACGACGGGCGTGGCCTGTGGAGCCATCATCGCCGGCGCCCTGGAGCCGTTGGTCGGCTGGCGCGCCGTCTTCTGGCTCCAGATCCCCTTTGCCCTGTGCGCGGTGACGGTGGCCTTCTTCGCAATCCCCAAGCCCAAGGCTTCTCTGGCTGCGGGATCTTCTGAATCGCTGGCCAAGAAACTGTCGCAGATCGACTACCTGGGCGTGCTCAGCATCATTTCCGCCGTCGTGCTGCTGCTCTACAGCCTCTCGTCCCCGCGCATCAAAGTCACCCCGATCATCCTGTCGCTCGCGTCCTTCATCCTCTTCCTCTTCGTCGAGGCGACGTGGGCCAGCCAGCCCATCGTGCCGGTCTCGGTGCTGCGGTCGCGGGGCAACATCCTGACGGGCATCGCGACGGTCGGGGTGATGACGGCGCGGTGGGGGGTGCTGTTCTACACGCCGACGTACGTGCTCACGCTGCGCGGCTGGCCGCAGACCAAGGCCGGCCTGACGCTGATCCCGACGAACCTGGGCTTCGGGCTGGGCGGGCTGCTGGCCGGGTGGCTGCACATCCGGCGCACGGGGTCGTTCTACCTCGCGTGCGTCGTGACCTTTGTGCTGTTCGCGCTGTCCATGGTCGCCGTGGCGTGGATCTCGACCCCGACGTCCAACATCGCCCTGTACCTCGGCGTGCTGTTCCTCAACGGCTTCATCGTCGGCGCCCTGCTCAACTACTCGCTCGCCCACGTCCTGCACCTGACCCTGCCCGCCACGCACGTCATCGTCATCCCCCTCAACGCCATGTTCCGCAGCCTGTCCGGCTCCTTCGGCTCCTCCATCTCCGGCGGCCTGTTCCTGCGGGCCCTGCAGCGCGCGCTCACCCAAGGGTTCGAGCAGCGCGGCATCACCGGCAAGGCCCAGCTGATCAGGCAGTTGGTCGGCACGCCGATCCTGGTCCAGCGCCTGAGCGGCGTGGACAGGGAGGTCGCCATGCTCGGCTACGAGCAGGCCCTCCGCACCATCTACATGGCCGGCGGTGCCTGGGCTCTTTGCATGTTGCTGGTGCAGGCGGGCACCGGGTGGACCGCGCCCGAAGTCATCAAGGACGAAGAGGGGGCGGGCAGCGACGAGAGCAGGGAGAGGCAGCAGGACGGCCTGTCGCCTGTTGTTTCGAGGGAGCCGATGGCGAGTTAGCGTGCATGGGTGGCTGAGTGAGGATGTTTTACAATGTAGCCTACTCCTTTTTCCATACCATAGACTTGCAGACCACACTTGGACAAGATATTAGAGCATTGTGTTTGTTTTTCGTGTCTATGCATTAACTTGAGAGGCAATAGCGGCTTCTATTTTGTAACCCTAATTTCCTGACAGGCTGTGATCAACACTGTCTACCTTTTTCAGCTTCCTCCAGGCTGCTTATCATCCTTCAGATCCATGGGATGCGGATCAGCCGTTCCCAAACCCTTGTGTGCACCGAGTCCCGTATGCTCCCCTGTTGTCCTGGGCCCATTCCCTCCTTTTCCACTCTGATGTCCCGGGGCTGCTCCGCCGCTGAGGGTGCGGTCGTTCATCTCGTCCATGCCTTCCGGTAGAGGCGCGGCCTTCTTCGGCCCAGAGAGCTCGGCTTCGGATGTGGACTGGAAAGCCAGGGAGGTGATGTGTCAGTAAGGTATCATACTATGCTCCGGGGAATGGAACTGAGGATTGTCCGGTAGAGGGAGGTGTTTGATGGGGTGCCTGATGGGGTGCCTGCGTCTTACCTTCGAGCCTCCATGGACGATGTCGTGTCTGGCCTCGATGGGGTTGTCTGACTGAGGCTTTCCGTCGTCGAATTCGGCTCCTCGAGGCATCTTGAGATGTAAGAGATGTTGGGACTTAAGGTTGATGCAAAGTGTCTCTTCAACTTGGGTCTGTTCACAATGAGTTCGATACAGAGTACACCAACAAAGATCCCGTGCCTTTGAGGGGTCTATATTTCCTTCAGCCTCAGCCTCAGCCTTTTCTGTCGAGCACTATTGGGCACGGAGAGTCCACCCGGGGGCATTCAACGTCACTGTGAAGTCACATCTGCAAGGCACACGACACAGGCGGATCGATCATTCATTCATGGAACAAGATCGGGGTTGCTTCGACAATAGCAGCCGCGGGAGGATCTGGGACCTCCTGGATTTCATGCTTTCCATCTCACCTTCTGTCCTCCGAGGATGTCGTTGTCGTTGGGAGGACGATGAGTTGGGGAACAGAGAATTGGTGGCATTGAGGTGGATGAGAAGTCGACCGGGGAGTTCCGGACACGCCAATCTGCGGGTTTGCAGGCCCTCAGCGGAAAACCGGCGGGAAACTACCCACTGATTCTTTATTTCCCGACAGCACAAAAGCACAATGCGGGATTGAAAGATGCCTCCAGTTCTGTTTATCGGGTGTCGCCAGAATTTAGCCCGAATTGATGGGCCTCTGGGGGGACGGCCAAGGTGACATTCCCTCCTCCTTCTTGCACACAAGGATTTTGTTTAGAACTACTCAGGACTCACCTGCGCAACCTGACACGTGGCTTTCGTGGAATGTTGAGACAATGATCAAGACCTCAGGCCGCTGTTTCATCTCCTGTTCCTCCTGCCTTGGTTTCGTGGTTTGACGCACTCGCAGTTTCCTCGACATGACATGAACCCAGTGAGAAGAACAAAACAAAGCTAGCACCAGCGAGGTGGACAAGAAAAGCAAACCACAGCGTCCCTACTGACATCTCAAACCGGATCCTACATACCTCCGCAGAACAGAGCATACCTAAAGCATTCTCCTTACTGGCAGACCTCGTGGTGCCTCTACCAGAGTCGTCATGTCCGAAGCCACTTCCTCCACCGAGTCCTCCTCGCGTCTGCTGCGCGTCACGCTTGAAGGGGCCATCATGAGCGCCGTCTCCAACACCCTCGCCCAGGTCCTGAGAGCCTACCGCGGTGGTGGGGCGTTCATAGATCCGGTCGCACTCGTGCACTTTATCATTATCGCCGTCATCACTACGCCGCCGAATTACAAGTGGCAGTTGGCGCTCGAGAGAAATTTCCCGACCAATCCCACGAAAAGCGACAAGGTCGTGGACGCGAGGGAGAAAAAGGACGATGGTGCGCAAGCGGTGGGCAAGAAAGAGACGCTTTCCGTCACCAATACAGTCGCAAAGTTCGTGCTGGATCAGACCATCGGGGCGTCGTTGAACACAATCTGGTTCATCATCATGATCAACTTGCTGCGAGGCGAGAGTTTGAGCTACATAGTCACAACCATTCAAAGGGTAAGTTAGAAAGATTCCGCAGTTTTGCTGGTTGGTGACAAGACTGGCTGACGCTTGTTTTAGGACTTTTTCCCTATGCTTATCGCAGGCTACAAGTTCTGGCCCATCGTCACGCTCCTCAACCTCGTCGTGGTCCCCGTGGAACACAGGATGTTTGTTGGAGGGCTGGCAGGGCTTGCATGGGGTGTTTATGTTAGTCTCATGAACATCTAATGTCGAACAAGAGGCGGAACCTGGGGAGGGTCATACATGGAACGAGGCACACGCAGTACCGTCATGTACGAAGTTATGATTAACGAGCACCGCCTAAACATAGACCGATACGGTTGAGACGTCACCTTGGCAAACGCCTCGCAGACAGCTGTTGATTTGCTGGAGGGCATATTCATAGCAGTGTCCTGAAGTTTGGACTATCAAGTGCTGATAATGTAAAGTCAATGGCTTTCTCGCAAACATTTTCCTCCGTTGCCATTATCGTTATCATCATCCCTTCGACCAGTTCCTGTGAATGTGTCCTATACCCCAGCATGGCATTGGGCTCAGAGGAAATATACAGGACGTGGGCGGAACTATACGGCACGCTCCCATTCTGGCAAATACACTGCACAACGACTCTCGCGAATCCCCAAGCCACCTCCCCATTCTTCGACCGACTTTTTTGACAGCCAGCCACAGCAGCCACCAAGCTCACAACTTGGACGCCTTCCAGACGGGCTTCCTCTTCTCCCTGAACGCGGCCAGCCCTTCCTTTGCGTTCTCGCCGCCCATGAGGCCGCGCTTCATGCGCTCGTCGATGAGCTGGTACCCGCGCTCGACGGAGCCGTTCTCCCAGGTCTCGCGCAGGGCGGCGCGGGTGACGACGATGGCGTCGGGCGAGATGTCGGCGACCTTCTGGGCCAGCTGCACGGCCTCGGGCACGCACGACTCGCGCGTCGCCGAGATGCGGTTGATCACGTTGTACCGCAGCGCCTCGTCGGCCGACAGCGTGCGGCCCGTCATCGACACCTCGGACGCGATCGGGAGCCCCGCGTTGCGCACCAGGCGCGGCAGCCCGCCCGCGCCGGCGTAGATGCCGCGCAGCGACTCGGGCAGGCCGAACGTCGCGGTCGGGGAGGCGACGACCATGTCGCTTTGAGGGGTGTGTTAGTACGAGGATTCTCGTGACCAAAGGGGGAGTTGCGGGAAAGGGAGGAGAAGGGTTGATCCGACACTTCTACGATGTGTATGGGATAAGAGAGGACAAGGATTGATGGCCACACCACAGCTCGTGCAAACACCACCATCCCAGCCAGGACCATATCCGGAGAATGAAAATGAGATCCTCCCACCCACTCAACTCGGACTCACCAGTTCAAAACAATCTCAAACCCGCCGCCCAAGGCGAACCCATTGACCGCGGCGATGATGGGCTTCTTACCCAGCCGCCGACTGATGCCCGCGAAGCCCGTGCTGGGGTGCATGGCCAGGTAGGGCTTCTCCTCGAGCTCCTTGGGGTCGCGCTTGCCCAGCTCGATCAGGTCCTGGCCCGCGCAGAAGCTCTTGGGCCCCGCGCCCGTGATGATGGCTGCGCGCAGGGTCGGCTCGCGGTCGAACCACTCGAACACGCGGTGCAGGTGCCAGTGCACGGGGAAGGGGATCGAGTTCATCTGCCGCGCCCGGTTGATGGTCACCAGCAGGATGTTGGGCGTCGGGTACGAGAGGAGGACCGACTCGTTGGGTGGAGGAGCGGGGATCTCGGTTTTGGCGGTGGTTGGATACATTTTTTTTCTCTCTCTCTTTGCTATCTGTCTGCTTTCGTCTTGCAAAAGGTTGGCTGTGGTGTCCTTTTTGTCGGTTTTGAGGGTCGAATGTTTTCTGAGAGCCGAGTCTTTCCCTAGTCGAGATGGATGAGGGGATTGTCGATGTCTTTGATAGCTAAGCCAACAGAGCGGCAGAAGAACTTGAAGCTTCTAAGCTGATGTTGCTCGGTTGTCTTATATGAGTGCAGACCGATAATAACAGGAGTCAATTCGAGAATGACATTGGAGAACTCCTCTCAGCTACTTGGGATGTGGTCAGCATTGGATGATTGCCAGGAACCTCGGTTTCCCCCACACGCACAAGGCTCGCCGACAGCCTTTCCGAGGCATCTCGACCCGCCTCCTCCACGCGCTGCACGCTGCTCCTACTCGACCAATCACAGCCCCAACGTTCTTCGCCATGGGATCTGGCGACCTACAGATCCCCTACTATGAGGACAAGGAAGAGACGCGGGCGTCGGGCACGATTTACAAGCCCCGAGTCATTGTCAGTGTTATCGCCAGAAGATCCTCCTGACTATACATGTCTCCGCCAGTCAGCGCATCGGGGCTCGGGGCCAAAGAAGTCGTCTCGAGGCGCCGTGCGTGGTAGATAAAAGGACGACTCGCCACCCCGTCCATCACACTGCCGCTATTCGTATCCGAAGGGAATGCTCTCCATGGCTCCACTCCGCTGCACACACTTCGCCGCAGCCTCATTCGCTCGACTGACAGCCTCCCGGATGTTGAGATTATCCAGCCCCTTCACGCGCGCAAGGTGCCGGGCCACTGCTGTCGCAAAGTATCCCACAAACGTGTCCCCTGCTCCGGTCGTGTCGACGACTCGCTCCACCTTCACAGCCGGTATCAGAGCCCGATCCAACAGGTCGCCCGTCTCGAAGGAATAGTAGACCCCCTGCGAGCCGAGCGTCACCACGACGATGCGTATCCCTGCCTTGCCGTGGAGGTAGGTCGTCAGGCGGTCGAGCTCCGACTCTGTCATGATTTCGTCCGGGCGCGAAACCGGGACGGTGTTGAGCTCCTCGACCGCCGCAAACAGCTGCCGGCATTCTGTCTCGTTGACCACCAGGACGGCCAAGCCCTGGAGTGCGTCGATCGGGACCCCTTCCGGGAACATGGGCGCCGGGTTGAAAATGACACATGTCTTGCGTTCGGGCGAATTGAACGCCCTCAGTAGTCCTAGCACGGTAGAGCGAGGTATCTCGCCCTGCATGACCACCACGTCCGGGAGGCCATCTTTGGTCGCCGCCTCCATGACTTTCCCCAGGTCATCGACCCGCGCGTTGGCTCCGGGGACCACCAGGATCCTGTTTTCGCCATTGGCGCCCTCATCGACAATGATTGTAGCCGTGCCCGTCTGGACGCCCTCCATCTCCTCGACCCCCGCGGTGCTCACACCGCTCTTTTCGAGCGTAGGTTTCAAGAGCGAGGCGTAGTACGGGTCATTGGCACCCACGGCGCCGATCATCTCGACCACGACATCTTGGGAGGTCGGCGAGGTGAATGCTGCTTTCCCACAGGCGACCGCCTGATTTGACCCTTTGCCGCCGGGATGGACCGTCATCGACGTCGCGGATAGAGTCTCCCCTGGCCCGGGAACACGTGGAGTCCGTGTGACGAAGTCGATGTTCAGGGAGCCGATGACCCGTATCACCGGTCGGGGCGACATGCTGGTAATGATTTGTGCTGTACCGTCTTTGGAACACTAGTGCAAGTTCTCGGTCTCAGATTGTTGGCGAGTGACAATGACGCTTTGGTCGGTGGTTCGACGATGAGCTGAAAAAAATTGGCTTGATGATGTGCGCGGGGTAAGAATCAAGATAGCCAACCTCCTCTACCACGAAATCGGCGCATATCCTCGAGTCTTGAGCTCGCGACAAAATCGACTGCAAACGGGAAAGAAAAAGAAAAGTTGCTGCAGAAAACGACGATCAACTTGTGATTTTCGATCCCTTGCCTTTTGACACTTGGCTATTCGATCTTGCCAGGTCTGTTGGAAAAGCGCAGTTTGCTCTCACCCGATGTCCCCCCAAATTTTGTGTTCAGTCTCCGCCTGGCATAGCTATGAATGAGGATCTGCTGTCGCGAAATAAAATGAGAAACAAGGTGGTAACGGTGTAAGTAACGGGAAACCTGTAGAGCCGTGGTCTGACGCCCCTTCTCTCTTACTACCTTGCCTCGCTTGGTCCTGGGCGGCTCGACGGATGTTTTCTAGATTGGCAATGGAAATCTCTCTGCCTACTCTTTGTATCTGCGGCCACGAGGACTTCAAAGTTCTTTCCACGGTGTTGCACATGAAATATTGACCCAGTCAGACTCGCCTCTTTTTGTCGTTTCCGTGTCTCGACTGTATCCAATCGGCATGACGTTGAATATTCACTTTGGATTGGCGGAAGGGCGGGGAGAAGATTGGTCTGCGAAAAGTACCAGTGACGCAGTAAATTTGAGAGGCTCATGGCCGGTCTCTGATTGTGAACTAATCCTCCCCTCTACATGCCGTGACTGACCTCCAAGCTGAAGGGGTAGCGCCGTGATGGATGTGCTGCACAGCCTTGAAGAGCAGAAGCTCGAGCGCACGTTCCTAGTCGTGCATTGGCTTGAACCGCCACACATAGAGTCATGATGTCAACACTTTGACCAACGCTTGGTGATATGTCGCACGTCGAATGACACGTCCAACTTTGCCGGTTTCTCCCCAAGAGGTGCTGTCTAACAGTCCTTGTAGTCTTTGGTTGATGGAAATGTACAGCAGCGACCATGCATCGAATTTCCATACCAGAGGCTCCTATCACAGAGAACTACAAGGCCCATATACCACCAGATGGCAGTCTGCTAGAGAATTCCGGCGTGGTTCGGGCTACGTATGCTCCCACATCTGATGCACCAAATGGTACGGTGAAGGGTGACTGGGCAGAGAAACATCAGCATCAGACTGTAAGTCGCCTTCGTTCTGGCAACCCAAATGGCTTGCTGAAATGTGGACTCTACAGGTTTTGGAGCAACACTGCTCCTTCTTCGATCCTGATGGCGACGGAATCATATGGCCCGCTGACACCTATCGCATCTGTCGTTCATTCGAGTGGTCAATCCCCACCTCACTGTTCTTTACCGGCTTCCTCCACGCTGTGCAGTCGTACAACACAGTTCCCGGCTGGTTGCCTGACCCCTTCTTTAGACTTTGGGTGAAAAATGCATACATGAACAAACACGGCAGTGGGACAGGGACTTTCGATTCCGAGGGTCGGTATAGGCCACAGCCACTGGAAGATTTCTTTGCAAAATTCGACAGAGACGGAAAGGGCGGGCTGACCAAGGCCGAATTGTGGCACGGGCTGAGGAGATCGAGAATGGCTTTTGACTTCTTCGGTCAAGTTTCTGCCATGTTTGAATGGGGGTTTGCCTGGGTCTTGATCTGGCCCGAGGATGGGATCATGAGAAAGGAAGATGTAAGGAGACTGTTGGATGGTAGTCTGTATCATGAAAAGGTGGTGGCGTCGGGGCGGCGCGAGAGAAGCCAGAAGACCTGTCCTAAGTCGACATCAGACGGGCCACTGCAAAGCATGTCGCTGAAGGTACAGTGACATTGCTCTGCGGCAAGCAGTAGTCCATATAGAGCCCTACTCCGACCCCAAATGTCACCTTCATGTCCAAACAGTGACGTATCGAGGCCCGTCTCATCCATCACAGATCCGCCATTCTAGGTTGTTCTCACGTCAGAAGAACTGAGACATCGTCGATACTATGGGAGTACGCTGGGTAGCAGAGGAGATCTTGGACAAGAACGACCTGTAGAGTGCGCACCTACAGAGCGGTTCGGGCATTGGGGACATTATCGATCCATATCGATGGACGGATTGTACGTATAGGACATACGTAGGTGCTGTTGGCATCGTTCGGACATTGCGGGCGATAGTTGAACCATTGATTTGAGGCAGACGGGAAAAATCGAGTAAAACAGCTCTTCTCAGCCTGAGGGTCACACTCGCAAACCAAAGTTGCTGCTTGCTGACCCCTATTGCATGTGCACCTGCATTTTGGGTGCTTGTGTCCATGCAGGGGATGTATCGAATTGAGTCCACGTGGTCCGAATCGAAACGAGGACCGTGTTAACATATCTTAATCGACACATTGACTCGCCAAACCTGGGGTCCGCGAACCGGTTCATATCGGATGCACCAATAGCCGCTTCCAGTGTCGCCAGAGCTGTTTATACAGATCGACGATGCCGCCAATGCCGCCAATGCCGCCGACGCCCCTGGTGCCAGGGGAAGTGACAGCCAAGTTCATCGTGGCTGGCGGCCGACAACCGGCTGTGCGTTTGACATTGTCCGTGGATTGGTTCGAGTCGCAAGCACACCTGTGCGTCTGCAAGTATGCGTACGACGAGCACAAGGGGTAGAGAGTTCAGGAGTTCAAACCTGGCCATATATGCATGCAGTGTCACTGTCCGTATATGCTGTGGTCAGTAGCTGCATCCCCTTTCAACAACACATCTTTGCGAGGAGTTATGTTCTGAACTGACTTCGACAGCTCGAGTCTTTCATTGAGCCACGATTGTCATGGCCACTTTTCGCTCCAGATGCTTCTGATAAAAGTGGCACAGGCACGAGTGTTCACTGGCCGAATTCGATGCAGATCCTCGGACAGCCCTATTGGTAACTCACATTTTCAGTGCCTTTTGGAGCGAGTACATGACTTCTCTTCATTCATGCTTCAACGCTGCAAAAAATGCAATGATACGAAAGAATTTGGGGTGGGTAAAACTGAGACATCAAGTTGGCTAGAGGCTTTGGGTGCTAAAATCCGAGGGTATCACATCGACATCTAGACTCGATGATCCACAACAGGGGCATCATTTCATGGGGGGAAGTTGGAGGGCAGACTAATGTCATCAACCGGATCCAGGCCAAATGTCGAGATCGAAGGCTATTGGAGAATGTGGAAGATATTGGCATGATGCAGCGAGAGGTAGGACAGCAGGTAGTTGTCGGCATGTGGAGGTTAAGTTGGGAATTCACGTCGACCCCCTGGCGCAGTTGTGTACACTTTGGCGCGCATTGCGTTTCCTTTCCCAGCAGGTATTTGCCTCGACGACCTGAACCAGATTAATTTCCGTTGTCCAGAGGGCAGAAGAGCTCGAGTCGGCTCTGGAGTACTGAAACGAAAGGCCGAGAATCCTTGTAAGTGAACAACAGGAATGGACATGAAGACTAGTATGTCGAAGACGAAGATTCTCGACTGGGAGCTGTTGATTCTGCTCATCTGATCTGCGCTTTTCCATCTCTTCCGGTATGCGTCAGTTTGCGGTGAAATGCCGCGCAAAGCTCATCTAATGGGGCACATGGTGGCGGTTTCGTAGGCAGCCCGGCAACGGGGGAGGGGCGAGGATGAACATGCTCGGCCATAGCGCTTGAACCTGGATGGGACACGTCAGCTCCGTTCCTCTATCAGCGCGATCGGCAGGCTCAATTGATGAGCAAGGATGGTCGCGATCACATCAAGCTGAAGCGAGCGGAATGAGATACTCTTGTTCCAGCTTGGGGAGCTAGAGGGGTGTAATGAGCCGGCCTCGTGGTGGATGATTCGTGGGCCTCAACGAAACAGACGGGGAACAACTCGAACATGTCCGCATCGTGCCTCCAACTTTACCTTGCAAGGTGGTCTAGCTATTAGCAAGGAGATGAAACAAACCAGAGAGCCGCAAAAAGAAATGCGAAAACGGGGCACACGAGCGGTTGAAGGTAGCGAGGTCGCAGGGCAGCCCTGTCGGTCTAGGATGTGAATTTCAGCAGCCTGAGCCAATCGCTGGGCACCCAGCTGCCCGATCTCCGGGGCGCAATTTGATAAGCGGCTAAGCTCCAGGGCCCCTTGGGTGCCCAGTGGTGCCCCTAGACACCCACTAGAAGCTGCAAGCCACTTTATTCTCCGACGGAACCTTGCCAAAATGTCAGCGCAGGGACCTTTGTTTCAACCCTCCTCGCTCCAATTCGGCGAACAACCGATATATCTCACTTGCAGGCGCGTGGTGGCAGGGATAGCGAACAGTCGGGGTCTGCGCAGTCGCAGATGGGAGCACGAGAGACACCATCCAGAGGTCTCCGGCTGAAATTCCAACTCGCCGCGTCCTGGCCGACCACGCACCGGTAGTCGACATGTAAACACCACGCCCCGTCTATCGTCGAGCAACATCATTCCCTGCTCAGGAGAAGGAGGCGGCGGCGGAGGAGGAGGAGGGACGAGGCCCAGATGAAATTCCAAACAGGGACTCAGTTTGTAACCGTCCTCTTCTGTGTCTTCCCGTTTCTTCAAAAAGCCCTCTGTCGTCGTCTCTGGCCGCTGATCTTCCCTCTGTCCTTTCCCTCAAGCAAATTGTGCGCACCCTCATCTCCTTTTTGCACCACGCTCTTTCTCTCCTGCTCTTGGTGACTCTTGGGGCCAAGGGAACTTCGTGGGCTTCGGCGCTGGGCAGTGGTCAAGGACTGGAATATCATCTGCCACCCTGGTCGACTTGGGCGTTTCAGTCCAGATTGCCCTTCAGATCGTCATTGCGACAAATCTCCCGCCCAACCTCCCAGGCTTTCTAGCTCCCCGCACTCGCCAGCACCCCAACTGTGTCGGGCATAGCCTAACCTGCCATTAGGCCCTATTTGGCTAAGCCCCAGGTACCGCCTGCGAGCCAACGTTCCTTACATCGGACACTCACGAGGCTAAGGCTATCCTTGTCCACGAGGCCCTTGTCGTTCGAGGCCTGCAATTGGCGCAGGACCATCGTGGAGTCACTTTTCTTTGTGCTGTTCGTTCTCCGACTGGTGGCCGTCACAAAGAGGGCTAAGCGCATTCCCAGTACGGAGTATCGCAGACTAGAGGGACAAAACCCGCTTTCATCAAGTCCCTCACTAAATATACTCCCCTTGCGGCTTCGCCTTTATACCACTCCTTTCACCTCGACAACCTCGACTTCTCGACCTCTGTTCTTCTCTCACCTCACCTCCAGTCCTTCTTTAGGCCTTCTGCCACCTTACCTTCGTCTCCAGTCCCTTTTGAGCCCTCTTCACTCACTCGAGGTGCATTCAATTGGACAGTCGCTCTTTTTTTCGACCAACACTTAGCCACATCCCCCGATTGTCGCTCAAGAAGCACAAGCAGAAGCACAAGCAGAAGCACAGTCAGTGACCGTGCCGTTTGGACTAGATCGTCCCTGCCCTGTCAACACAGCTCTTTGACCAGAGTCCGTTCTCGAACATACTGCCTCACCTGGTGTGAAGACCTTGCGTCAACAGAAGCACACTCCTCACGCACCAACAGTGCAGACCTTTCACTTCACAACCTCTGCTTGCTCAGATTGACGTTCTGTGCGTTTGAAATTTGCGGTTTCGGACCCATTGAGACATCTCGAGTCCAACTATCCATCAACATAACATCGACCGATCAACCGTTCTTCCGTCGTTCAAGATGAAGACTCTTGCCCCCTTTGCCGTGGCCGCCTTGTGCGCTGGTATGGCGGCTGCCTCTCCCCTCGACAAGCGCGACTATGTGACCGAAATCGATTTGTACACTGTGACCGTCACCGTAACTGGATACCCTCCTACCGATACACCTGCACCCTCTGTCAGCGACTGGAATAGCTGGAGCAGTTGGGGACAATGGCACGGAGGAAGCAGCGGGGATTGGAGTAGCGAGTCGCCTTCTCCTACCTCGGTGGCCCCTGCCGATACACCTGCCCCTTCTCCAGCTGCAACCTCTGAGTCCTGGGCAGCCTCGACGTCAGAAGCGGCATCGACTCCTACTCAAGCAGCACCTTCGCCGGCCTCCACCTCGGTCTCTTCAGACTATCAGCAAGGAATTCTTGATTCGCACAACATGCATCGGGACAACGCATCTGTGCCGCATTTGACCTGGAGTGATGATATGGCCTCTATCGCCGCTCAAATCGCCGCCAGCTGTGTATATGCTCATGACACTTCCACTGGTGGCGGTGGCTATGGCCAGAACATTGGTGCAGGAGCCCCTCCCTCCGACATCCCTGCCATGATCACTGATGAGATGTATAACGGAGAGATCAACTTCTATCCGGCCTATGGCGTGGAGCCGGACATGAGCAACTTCGAAAAATGGGGTCACTACTCCCAGATCGTCTGGAAATCCACCACCTCTGTTGGCTGCGCCACTCAGTACTGTCCCAATGGGTTGGCCAATACCGGTGGCAATGTCAGCCCTTATTTCACCGTCTGCAACTATAGCCCACCAGGTATGTGCACTCGGACGTCTGTTGTCAATTGGATTACTGACCGATTCCTTAACAGGCAATTTTGGTGGCGAGTATGCTGCGAACGTCTTGCAGCCCGGGAACATGCCTACTGTCACGTTATAAGTGGCGCTTCGCTTCTGCATGATCTCACGATTCATTGGATGGGCCTCCAGCGCAAGGAAACAAACCAATGACAATGATATGTGGTGCTCAGTTCCAGGACGAAATGCATATGCAAGCACGGAGCGGGGGTTAGCGAGCAGTGTGGGATTATTTTCTTTTTCCTTTCTTTCTACAAGCCTGTTGCTTCACCATCTGAATGTCCTCGCTTGGGGTTCCATTTGGATGAGCTGAACGTCATGGCCTTCCTGGATTTTGATTCTTGACCACCGGGAGTGCGGCTTGAAGGACATTTTGGAGGATGAGAGTACCTGGGAAAGAGAGGTCCTGAGGAACAAGAAGGCTTGAGTCTGTAGAATAGAGACCCGAGCAGAAAAGTGTGTATCAACAGCTTGATTGCAAAATCATGAATGGAGTCCCCGTGGGTCACAGGCCTCTTTTTGATGGGTGGCGAGGTTGTCTCGGTTTTAACCCGGCCTCGTCTTCCGTCGTGTCTGGACCGCCTGTTAGCATCATCCTTTCACCCTTGCTACAATTCGGTTCCCCAGGTTTGGCTTGCGGAGAAACGGAAGTGCAGCTCAGCCACCAGAGAGTGCCCTTCCGCGAGTTATTCTCATGATCCGGTTTTGTCATTTTCGACACCCATCCGATCATCCGTCACTCATTTCTTCAGCTGGCGAGAAGGGCGAAGAGTCGCGACATTGGGACGAGAATGCCGTCTCCTTTCCAGATGTTCTAGAAGCCCCGGAATCCCAAGTCTTTAAAGGGATTCGAAGCCCAGTCGAGATCAGCTGGGAACTTGGGATGGTTCGAAGTCACCAATACGTCACAAGATTCTGGCCAAGTGGTGCTGGTATCCGTCAACCATCAAGACAGCTCCAAGGCCCCAACGGTTGCAGACCACTCTTCTGTACTTTTATTCCGCTAAACAATTGTCGCACGCAGACATAGAGTTCTCAGGTCCGATTCAGATCCCTTGACTCCTGCGCGTCTCATCGCCCATCCTCGGTTGAACCAAAGTGTCACGGCGCAGCAAATTCCCACACCTGCGAGGCCCGTGCTCTCAGACGGTCAGACCACTCAGCGCCCCTCAAACCGCCCAAAACGCGGGCGGATTTTAGCCTCCTGACGAGTCAGACTGCGCTCTGCCATTTCTACACTTCTGTACGTCCACATCTCTTTCCTTTCCTCCGAGCGCACCACTGCGAAACGCGGCGACAATTTGCCCACACCTGTTCCCTGTCCCTGCGCAGGCTCGCCCGCCTTGCGATATATTCCGGGCTGCGAATAGATCGTGGGGACCATATCGTCATACGACCACCATCCCTGCGGCACCCCTTTCACATGCACAGATCGGCTCTGTAAGAGGTTGTTTTGAGAGAGCATGCCCTCGGGCAAGGTTCAAAGGGCATGGAAACCCCTCTTGACAGTCTGACCTTGTTCCAGATGGCAATTTATGCAGTTCGCGCGACCTCTTCCCAAGCCCGAGTTCCTCTTTCTCTCCTTTTCCTCTTGCTGAAACCTACGTGCTCCTCGTCAGACCTTCGGGCTTCGCCTGCCTTTCCTCCATCGCGGAAATCACATTCCTCATGCCCTCTTACTATTTGCATGACTGCCACTACTTCTACCGCACTGCACTTCGCCTTCTGAGCATTGCCACTGTGTTGGCTGCGCTGTACGCATGATTCAAATATTGACCATGTCTTCCACAGGGACAGGAACGAGATACTTTGCCCGGCCCAAATCGCTTGACGAGACATTAAAGAGCTCCTCCCCCGAGAACGGCGCCCACGCCAATATGTCAAGCAACCAGGTGGAGCGGTCGCTCGAGGCGGCCAAGGAGGCCACATCCTCCTATACCAAGGCGGAGAAGGAGCCGGTGTCTTCAAAAATGGAAGTTTCCAAGCAGGGAATCACTTTTGCGGCTCAGGACAAGCTACCAAAGTTGCCCATACCTGAGTTGGATTCCACCATGAAGAAATATCTCGATGCCTTGGCTCCGCTACAGTCCCCACACGAGCACAACGAGACAAAGGCTGCCGTTCGGGACTTCCTCGAGAACGAAGGTAAGGATCTGCAGGAGCGATTGAAGAAGTATGCCACGGGCCGCACTAGTTACATCGAACAGTTCTGGTACGATTCGTACTTGAACTATGACAACCCCGTCGTCTTGAACCTCAACCCGTTCTTTCTGTTGGAGGACGATCCCACTCCAGCGCGGAATAATCAAGTCACAAGAGCTGCCTCGCTCGTGATTTCTGCTCTCTGCTTTGTCAGGGCAGTCCGAAAGGAAGAACTGCCTCCTGATACCTTGAGAGGAACGCCGTTGTGCATGTATCAATACTCGCGACTCTTTGGGACTGCACGAGTCCCCACCGAAAATGGTTGCATTATCGGCCAGGATTCCGACTCCAAGCATGTCGTTGTGATGTGCCGCGGTCAGTTTTATTGGTTTGATGTTCTTGACGACAACAACGACCTGATCATGACCGAGAAGGATCTTGCCATCAACCTGCAGGTTATTGTGGACGATGCCGAGCAGACACCTATCCAAGAGGCTGCCAAAGGGGCCATCGGGGTGCTCAGCACCGAAAACCGAAAGACCTGGTCACACTTGCGGGATCTGTTAACAAGGGATGAAGGTTCCAACAACGCGGAATGCCTAAGCATTGTCGACTCTGCCCTCTTTATGATTTGTCTGGATTACACCGAACCTGCCGATGTCTCGCAGCTTTGCGGCAACATGCTCTGTGGCACCAGTGAGGTGGAGCGGGGTGTCCAAGTCGGCACGTGCACAAACAGATGGTATGACAAGCTCCAGATCATTGTCTGCAAGAACGGCAGTGCCGGCATCAATTTTGAGCACACCGGTGTGGATGGCCATACTGTCCTCCGGTTCGCCAGCGACGTCTATACCGACACGATTCTGAGATTTGCAAAGTCCATCAACGGCCAAGCGCCCACGCTGTGGACAAGCCAGAGTCCAGACCCCTCGAAGCGAGACCCTGATAGCTTTGGTGACGTGAGCACAACTCCTCACAAGCTCGAGTGGGATATGATCCCCGAACTGCAAATCGCCTTGCGCTTCGCGGAGACACGGCTAGCAGACCTGATCAACCAAAATGAGTTTCAGACGCTCGATTTTGCTGGTTACGGCAAGAATTTCATCACCTCGATGGGCTTCTCACCTGATGCATTTGTTCAAATGGCTTTCCAAGCGGCATATTATGGTCTGTATGGCCGTGTCGAGAACACGTACGAGCCTGCCATGACCAAGACGTTCTTCCATGGTCGGACGGAGGCCATTCGGACGGTGACGCCCGAATGCGTAGATTTCGTCAAAACATTCTGGGCAGACAACGCCGCTCAGAAGAAGGTCGATGCACTGCGAACGGCGACGCAGAAACATACCAGCATCACCAAAGAATCGAGTAAGGCACAGGGCCCAGACCGTCATCTGTATGCTCTCTACTGTGTTTGGCAACGCAAAGTGAATGACGAGTCGGCCGAGATTGGCAGCACTACTGGATTTAGCTCAAACGGATATTCTAGTCCCACCGATATGAGCGACATGGGCAGTCCGAAACGACTCGAGGAGTCGTCTTCACCAATCAGCCGTTCCCGAACTGGGACCGAGTCCAGCCGCTCGCCGGCACCAGCTCTACAGCAGATGCCAGCCCTTTTCAGCGATGCTGGCTGGGACAAGATCAACAACACCATCATCAGTACATCCAACTGTGGGAATCCATCGCTGCGCCATTTCGGCTTCGGGCCTACCTCCGGAGATGGTTTCGGCATCGGATACATCATCAAGGACGACACTATTTCAGTTTGTGCCAGTAGCAAGCACCGGCAGACCCAACGTTTCGTAGACAGTTTAGAGTCATACCTCCACGAGATCCGTCGACTGTTGAGGGCCACCAAAACGAAAGACGCCGCAGCTTCCAAGATCACCCGAGCCAGAGAGGCAGAAGAAAAGGCGGGCAAGGACGGCCGCCTCAAGTCTCGCGGCCGAATTATCAAGACGGAGGCTTCCAAGGTCGATGGCTTCCAAACACCTACGAGTTTAGACACAGCAGAGGTGGAGGATGATGGATTGGGTGGATGTGAGTTTTCCCCTTGACATGCGGTGGATTGTTAACCAATTACTGACCTTTTGCTTCCCCGCCTCCTTCTAGATGGCTTCTTCGACGCCGGCATGCTGCTGCAGGCGCTCAAAAAGGATCAAACCAAACCGTCCGAACAAATTGCACAAAGGAGGAGGACTGTGGGCAAGAAGCTCGCCTTGAGCGAGTACTAGTACGAGTCCAAGCCCGAATTGGAGGATGGCATTGTGTTGGTTGGATGGCAATTTGGACAAATGGGAATGTGTGGCCGGGGAGATGATTAACCACGCGGAAGACTGACGACACCGAAGTTTTTGTGTGCGTTTTGCGGGGGATGGTTCGCATTCGCAGCTCCAGACCGGCCCGGGATGTTGTGCCTGGATCGACCAAGCGAACCAATTAGTAGCAGGAGGCGTGGGAGGAGGCGCATGTGTGGTGCAGGATGATGACACCAGCCACGGCCGATGTTGGAGTGCATGCGATGCGTGGTGCCGAAGCTTTTGAGATACCAGCGAGCGATATTCCGTTCATGTAGTCAACAGTTCAGCGAAATTGGTCGTTTTGAGGTCGTTGTATCCACCGGGCGCAGGACTGCTTCCTACGTTGTAGTATTCAGGCTGGTATTCCAGTGGCCTGATAGCGCCGATGCACGGCCGGCACTTCGCATGCCAAGAAGATAGTTCCTTCAACACGCTAATCCTGATTGGGCACCATCCAGGACTGCTCGATTCAACGTCCGACTCCCATCGCAGCCCAGTCCTGCGCCAGCACAATCAACAGCGCCCTCCTTCACGATAGACGTCACCCTGTGTTCCGGTCAAAGTTCGTGTTTAGAGTCCGCGACGGACCTCGTTGCAACTCTCTTCATGTGCTTGGACACGTCCTGACCCAACTCCATCCCCTCGCCACCCCCCCCATCAACCCGACCTCAGCCTTTTCCGCCCTTCCTCGTTCCGACCATGGCAGCAGTCACCATGCCCACGACCGCCACCCTCCCTGTTCCTAATGGGCTTGGTGCCGCTGCCTTGGACAATCCAGAATCCATGTCCCAGCCTCTTCCTCCGCCGCCCCAAGTCCATACCCCTCCTACTACGGACGAGGGGAGTCATAAGGATGATGACGCAGCCTCGAGTTCCTCCCTCTCCGAACTTGACGATGACATTGAAGATGAGGAAAATAGAATGAGATTCGAGGAGGCTGCCCGCGCTGGCGCAGAAGCCGAACAGTTCTCGGAGGTCAAACCGGACAGATATGAGAACGGAGTACCCATCTTCACTCCGGTATGTGATATATGACCGATGACATGGCCCGATGCGAGGTTGCGGAAAAGAAAAGCCAGGCTGACAAACACGGACACCAGACAATGGCCCAGTTCAAGGACTTCCAAAGATATGTCAAGGGTGTGGACCCTTACGGCATGCAATCTGGAATCGTCCTCATCGATCCTCCCGAAGAATGGTATATCACTCCTCTTCCAAGACATGCTGTCATCTGGCGGGCATGACTGTCTTCGCGGACCCCAACGCTGACTATATTACAGGAAGCGTGCTCGGAAAGCTCTGGACGAGATGGTCAAGACCATCCGGATTAAAAATCCCATAACCCAGGAGTTCCATGGTGCCCAAGGGATCTACACGCAGAGAAACATGGAGAAGATGAGGTCTTACAATCTTCCGCAATGGAAATCTCTCTGCGAGCAGACCGAGAACCAGCCTCCCGCCAAACGTGGCGAGAAACGCCTCAATGCCGACAAGTTGCTTGGGCGTGGCACAGCTCGCAGTAGAAAAACTGAAGCATCGGCGACACCTGAGGCTTCTAGAAGAGCCTCCAGTCGTGCCAAATCCATTCCTATCAAGGAAGAACCGACCGAACACGATTCTACCCTACTTGCCCCTCCCACCCCGACCAGTCCCGAGGTGAAGCCAGCCGCACTGGACAACGAGGAGGCAGATGATGAGGCGGTTTCCTCGACTGCTGATCCAACTCCAACCAAGGCCAAGAGAGGGAGAGGCAGACCACCTGGCACCGGCAGACCACGAGGACGACCGCCCAAGAGTGCCTCCAAAAAGGAATCTTCAAGCGTTGGTAAAGGGGCAGAGACAACCGTTGCCGCTCGTCGACTGCGGAATGCCCGCGAGGCCATTGATGAGATCGACGAAGAGGCTTTCCGCGATTTTGATTATCGAGCATATGATAACGACCAGTGGACGCCGGAGCGCTGCGACGAACTCGAAGAGAAGTACTGGAAAAGTCTCAACTTCAGCAATCCCATGTATGCCGCCGACATGCCCGGCTCTCTGTTTGACGAGGATACCAAAGAATGGAATGTGGCAAAACTACCAAACCTGCTGGATCTTTTGGGTCAACCTATTCCCGGTGTCAACACGGCTTATCTATATCTTGGGATGTGGCGAGCGACTTTTGCCTGGCATTTGGAAGATGTGGATCTTTACAGCATCAACTACATCCACTTCGGTGCCCCGAAGCAATGGTACAGCATATCTCAGAAAGACGCACCCAAGTTTGAAGCGGCCATGAAGTCTATCTGGTCGTCGGACGCCAAGGACTGCGATCAGTTTTTGCGCCACAAGACTTACCTAGTCTCGCCTGCAATACTGAAATCCAAGTTTGGGGTCAATGTCAACAAAGTCGTCCATCGAGAAGGTCAATTTATAATCACCTTTCCCATCGGCTATCACTCCGGCTACAATCTGGGTTATAACTGCGCAGAGTCTGTCAATTTTGCCATTGAGAACTGGTTACAGTATGGTAAGACAGCGCGTAAGTGTCAGTGCGAAGCCGACAGTGTTTTCATCGACGTGGACTGGTTTATCCGAAGAATGAATGGCGAGCCTACACCCGAGTTTGAAGAAGTTGAGGTCACGGACGACGAAGATGAGGACGAACCAACAGATCTACCGACACCTCCAAGCAGCGACAGAGGCAAGATCAAGATTCCACAGAAGAGGAAACGGGCTTTGAAGGATCTTGGACCCAACAAAAAGGCCAGGAAAATCATCAAAATCAGAAAAGTCAGCAAGAACCAACCCTGTTGCTTGTGCCCCAATGATTTCTCCTGGGAGCAACTTCTGCCGACGACGCAAGGCCAGCTTGCTCACAGGAGTTGTGCAATGTACACGCCAGAAACCTACATTGCAAGCCAAGACGGCAAGGAAATGGTCTACAATGTCGAAAACATCAGCAAAGATCGCTTGGAACTCAAATGCCACGAATGTCGGCAGAAGAAAGGCTCGTGCTTCCAATGTTCGTCGGCGAAATGCACCAAGTCGTACCACGCGACTTGTGCCATGCAAGCTGGCGTTCAAGTCGATAAGGGCGAAATCGCTGTTTGGCACGAAGGAGTGGAGTATCGCGATATCGGTTTCGACTGGAGATGTCGTCTGCATCGTACGGTCAAACGCACAAGAATCACGAGTGAACTATCTGCCTGCAATCACGCAAACAGCTGCTGGCAGAATGCAGAATTTCGACAGTTTCTTTTCCACCTTAAGGAAGGGGAGCTCATCCAATTTCAAGCCACCAATACCGACGATATTGAGGCTGGCCTGGTTATTGCTGGCTACGATGAAGGCCAAGACTCGGTTCTTGTCAAGATTCTACCAGATCTGAAACAGGTCAAAGAAGTAGATCCCACCTGCATCCTGTTTGTCGACTCTGCAACCTCGTATCTACAGAAGCCAAGTGCGAATGCGCTCGACCTACCGGAAGAGCTTCAGGGCAAGACTGCCTCACTCCCTGAATCCACAGAGAAGAAGCCAAGTCCAGGCGACCTGTTTACGGAAGAGCCAAGGACCGAATGGGCAGAGTTTGTCTGTTCTCTACCTCCCATTAATATAGCCCAGAAGCCTGTTGATCTGGGCAAGGACAAACAGCTTTGGTTGTACCTCGGAAAGACGTCATCAGAGGGCAAGGCATTCTATACGGCTGATCCTAACAACCCCGTTCATGATCCTGCCTCCAACTTCCTCGACCTCGTTATGCCTCCCAAAAAGGCAATGGCACCGCCACCTCAACCCAAACGTCAAGCGCTCTCTGCTTCGCACCCACTGGCCAACTTTGCCACCAAGAATGCTGCAATGGCAAGCATGAGACAGGCCATCGATAAGCGGCCTATGCAGAGTTCAGTCCTTCCGGGAACGTTCAGCGGAACAACACAAGATCTGACGATGGGAGGCAGCCAAGCTAGGCCAATCAAAGCCAGCCAGATCAAGCCGTCACAATATAAAGACATCATGACAGGTCAAGAAGCTCGCCTTAACGAGCAGGCCCGGATATTCCAACGACAGCAAGTCAAGGCTCGGCAACTTGACGTTGCAGAGAGCTCCATCAGTTCCGTGCGTCATCCTAGTATCGGGATTGACCATGATGCAGTCCAGCGCCAGAGGCATTTCCAACAGCAGGCATCTCAACATGCTAAGCATATGAAGGAGTGGTCAAACGATCCGTCACTGCCACCGCTCAAGCAGTACGAGCCCTTCCCGAGTTTCGCTACCCTCGATAACACTGGCCGGTACGGTCCTACAATGATGAATTCAAACATCCGGTCCCAACAATACGAATACAGCAGCGACTGGATGAACCCTGGAGCTGTGGGCCGGAGCCCAAGTTTCGGACATCCTCAAAATTCGGGTTTCAACTCCATGCTTTCATCTCAATACGGTCAACTCCAGTCCCCAGCCACTTCTCCCTTCCCTCCATACGTCCAGCAGTCTCACCTTCAGTTCCCCTATCACGGCAGTTCGAGTCACAGTCCTCCAGGATCATCGACGCCAAGCACTCCATATCAACAGTCCCGCATCGAAACCATCCGCGCGGCCGCAAGCCAACCCCCTCCTCCCCCACCCTCAGCCGAAGTCGAACGTCAACGACGGATCTCCAACCCAGCTTATCCCTTCAAAAGTCCTGATCAAATCAAGGCCCAAAGAGAAGCAGAGAAGCACTCTCCACCCGGTAGCAGGCCGAGCAGCTCATACATGATGCCCAGTCCCAGTCTGCAGCAGCACGACCACTCAGCTTCCTTTATGCAGCATGTAGGTTCATCTGCGGCGAGCCCCTCTATGCAACCGCTTGACCCACAGAATCCACCTCAATTTATCAATCCAAATGCGACGCAGATCAGTCCGCCCGGATCCAGTGCTGGACATCGCTCTGCGAGGGGAAGTTTCTCCGGATTAGGTCTGGGTTCAACCGTTCCTCTCCCCTTGACTCACATGGGCTTGAAAAGGAGCTCTTCGATGGACATGATGGATCTCGATATGCTCCATGACATGGCGCCCTTCCCCGCTGCGAGTATCAATCCACTGCAAATCAGCAATTACATTCCTAAGCGCTCGATCTACGATCCACTCAACACTACTGTCCATAGCGGTATCGTGCAACAGAAGCCTCAGCTCCCACTTCCCAAACCAATTCTACCGCATTCCTCGACAATCCAGTTTTCTCCCCAACCTCCAATGGCCGATCCATCCCGCCAACTGGCTCAGTCTCTTGAGAAACGTCCCCTTGGACCAACCGGCTTACTGATCAACGATCGTCCTATCCCAAAGCAACTGAGCGATTGGACTGTAAGGGGCGGGTTCTGGGCGAGGGTGGCCGGGTACTTTATCCAGAAACATAACGGCATGGCTAGTGTTTATAGGAGCCCGTTTATCGCCGTCAAGGACAAAGTTGGGCTGGACAGTTGGGAAGGAGGCTTGGCGGAAAGCTATTATGACAATCTGGAACCCTTGGAAAGGCAAAGGATTGATGCCGTGAAAGAAGGCAAGGCACTACAATGAATGTGAAGAAGATGCCAAGAATCTTCGTTGACATGTTGAACCATTGCAAGAAAACGAAGGGACCGGCACGTGAGTCGCGCAGATTCGTCCTTCGTGGCCGTCGATGAAGTTCCAGTGGATATGAATGTGATTATTCATGCAGGAATTATTGGACTGTTGAAGCGGATCTGAATGAAGGCACCAGAAAAGCAACGAGGATCCAGAAAGGCCGGATGCCACACCATGTACAGGGAACCGAGGAGGAAAGGGGTTCCATGCATACGTTGATTTGGGCTCGAACAAAGATGAAGGCCTGTTCATTCATTTACCCAATCTCCTGGGTCGGACAGCTCCGACCCCGACCAACATCTTTTCAGCTTTGGTACACTAAGTAGCAAAGAGAATATGAAACCCGAGAGCAAAGGACAAGTTTTTGGCCCCCTCGAGTGCTGCACCGTGCTTCCACCCCCTTTTTCCCCATTCGCGCCTCAGCCTCGCCCCTCTTCCGCTGTCTTCTTCGTCCTTCTTTACCAGTCCTCCACGCATCAAGCCTCGTAGGAAAACGAACAGATCCATGTATACATTTCCTCCCATGGGCAAGCAACGCCGCATCGAACCTCCGTACCAGGCTGTTGCGTCGACGGTTTGTCAAGGGAGATCTACGATGCCGGGATATCCCTGTGTTGTCTCATCTATGCCCAGGCCCTCGACCATGACCAAAGCCTTGTGCAGGCAGTGTCGCTTCCTGTTGTGAGGAAGCCCATAGTTTTCCCAAATGATCGGACACAGAGCAAGGGCCACCTTGTTGTCCTGGCTCAGCTTCGAGCCATTAGATCTTCTGTCCGCCGAGGTCATGGTTTCATGGTCGAAACACGCCCCGATTTTGGGATACTGCAGCTGGAATTCGAGGCCGGGTTTCGCCCTTCGTATGATCAAGCTGAACTTCAGGGCGGCCAGGAATGCGTCTTCCAACTTTCGATGGAACTGGAACTGATGATCGAGCCGGTAGTCTGAAAGTCCTCCTCCACTCGCGGCTTGGGCTTCATGGGTCGGGTGCTCCCACTGCATCAGATTGGCAGGCGGAGCGGGAGAAACACAGAGGCTGACAAGAGCATCGAAGAGATCCTTTGCAAACTGACGCGCAAGGCCCGGAATCATGGGTTTGATGACGAGATCCAGATAGGACAACTTTTCTTCCGTTTCCATTGATGCGGCAAATACCGGCAAGTCTGAATCTAGTTAGCTTGATGGCATGAGGTTTCTCTTCTAGAAAGGACTTACATTCTTCGCAAAACTCAAGAAGATTACCACTCATAGGTTTTGGTATCGCAGTTGGACACGAAAGGGAGAAAGGGGAGTCTGCGTCTACGAACACCCACTCCTGGATATCTTTCGATTAGCGACGCTGAAGAGGTGTTTTAAGACGCTATCTTTTCATGAATGAACATTCAAAGACAAGGCACGACTCACAAATATGGCAGCCCCGGCAAATGCGCGAAGAATAACCTGGGTACTTATGAACGGGTCGGCAAGAAGGCTATTCAAAGTGCTGTCTACACTGGTTCGGTCCCACAACAGGCATAGCGTCCGGCCCAATCTGAGTGAAGCCCGGGTAAGGTTGGATGATGTCAGGTGGGCAATAGGGAAAGCCTTGCAAAAGGCGTCGATGCCATGTTCGATATCAAGTGTAATCCCGGCGAATGAGCGAAAAGAGTCGATATTGGACGGTCCATCGCCCCATCGCCGGGCCTCACCGGAGATTGACCAGGCTGTATTGAGTATATCATCGAAGGATTCATAGCCTGGAAGCTTTACTCTGGACAGGAGAGCGAGGACACGATTAAAGGGCTTCGGGGACGAGTTGTCGATTTCATGCGCTGCGTTTGATGCAGCATCGTACGATAGGCTTCCACTCGAAGAAGAAGAAGAAGAAGGGGGATTGTCAGTAGCTGGCGCAGGTGCATTGCTGGCTACTGGCGATAAGGGGTCAACCGATTGCTGCTCTGGATCCTGCGGTGGAACTGAATTGCTGCCGTGCAGGCTTGAAGTCCCTGGGGGCGGAGAGGCACTTTGTTGGTGGTGGCTTCTGGCGACAAACTGTCGTCGATGTCGATCCCATTCGCTGACAAGCTTCTCCCCACTGACGCCGACCTTCTTGCCCAGTCCGTGCAGCTTGGTCTTGACTTGCTTCTCGCTCAATTGCGAGTTCCCCTTCTTCAGAATCGTGAGGAGGTGCTGTTTGATCTTTTCCACCGACTGGGCAAAGGTGTTGGCGCCTTCGTTGACGCTCTCGTCCAGCGCCTTGTATAGTCCCTTTGTCTCTTCTACTGACCACTGGCGCCGCTTTCTGGCCATTGTGTCTGTTGCGACAGTAAGGAGAAGCTCGGGTTTCAAAGATGTGCCTTGGGCACAGCTGCCGATGGAAGAGCAGAGTATGATCGAAGAAAAGGAGTGGTTGCTGGATTGGAAGGCAGAGGAAGGAGCATGAGAAATACTGGGCTGGCAGGGGCAAGAGCGAGAAGAGCAGTAAAACATTCCTGGCTTGGAATGCACGGCGGGAAATTGACCTGTTGGTCCAAGAATGTGAGCGGTGAGCCTTGGATGGCGTCTTTGTTTGCTACCACGCGGATCCCCTTTTCCCGCCATCTTTGAATTCAGACGCAATGCCCAAGCTGGGTTGGATGAAACTGAAATCAGCTCGCAAAGGAAAAGGTCTCAAACGGTGTCAACGAGCATTATCCGGGCAGTGGTGCTCTCGGCCAAGAATGGTTGATATCAGGCAATCACAAAGGCACAGCCTCGCCTTCACTGTCTTCGCTGCCTTGAGGGGTTTGTTGCTGTCGCGTGGAGAGGCAGAGATGTTCTACTACCTTCAGTTCATCATGTTCAGACCATTCAAATATCTGCGTCTCCTGCGAGGCCTGAACTCTCTACCATTCAACAACTTCATCACTTACTTGACACATATCCACTCACCTGAAGCAGACCAGTACCAACAACACCTTTATGGCTACACAGAATGTAGCAAGCCCAGTCAGGGAGTCAACTGGGTCTGGCACTCCGGGATCTAAACGAAAGCAGAGCGACACAGGCATCAACTCTAGCAAGAAGCCGAAATCTCATAGCCGCGAAAACCGATGCACAACAAGGTTCTCTCCAGCAAGCGTCACTCACATCATCGAAATCCAAGGGCCGCAAAAAGACCATTTACAATGTTCTCGTTTCGCTCGATCCTGGCACAGAGTTCTGCAAGGCGGCCATCTGCGTCCTTGAAAACACGGAATCTCCAGAGAAAATCGATCTGAAGAGACTGGAGAAGGTGAAATTCCCTGACGGCAACTACATCGCCCGTTCCCAAGTCGCATTCAAGAACATGGCCCGCAACAGGCAGCCAATTCGCATACCACTTTTCGGCCATGAGGTTGACAAGGCCCTCGAGAACAACGAGATCGAGGCTCACGAAGTCATTCGATACCTCAAACCCATGATCTATAAAGGTCAAATGGCGGCACAGAGGAAGCCTGAAGATGAGATTTCACAGTTGCAAGGGCTTATGGAGAATTTGCATTTCAAGATGAAACAAAATTTGAGTGCTGTTGGCGAATTCGGTACCAGCCATCAACTTGACGAATCCTCGGAGGAACGAAAAGGCTTGCAGAGCGCCATGGCCTCCCTGGAGGTGTTTGCCCAGCTTCTACGATGGCTTCTTCAATGCGCCATTAAATGGGCGATTGACAATCATCCCGAACTCGAGTGGCCCAGTCTCGAGCGGCCTTCAGACCTGGATAGGCTCCTCGCAAAGGCCCGAAACATTCACATCGCGGTCGCGATTCCAGCAGACTGCTCAACCATTCATAAGCAACACATTCTCGCAGCTGCCAAGAGTGCTGGTATACGGGAACCTTGGCCCTACTTGGTTTCTGAGCCTGCAGCAGCGCTCGAATACTATTTGGCAACTCTCAGACACAAAAAGCTGTCGCCACAGAATTCCTATATGCTCGTCGATATAGGTGGAGGTTCCGCTGATATGCAGGTTTGGTCAATCGAAAGTAAGTCTCCGTCGAAAGTCACCGAAATGCTTCCAGCAGTCACAGAATGGGTAGGCGGTTCCGAAGTCAACAGAGATGCTGTGGCATGTGTGATGCGAGCCATCCCAGACCTCGGTCAGGTGTTGCGTGAAATTCGAGAAACACGTATTTCCGAGGCGAGATTGCAAGTTCAGAGCTTCAGAGGAAGAGTAGGGGCTCCTGGTCCGGAATCTGTCAAAAAGATTGAGAGACGTGGATTGACAAGAACTATGCTCAAAGAGGAGATTGCCGAAGCGTTCGAGCAGGAAAAGAGGCATCCTGCCAACACCAGCGCCCGCCTCCTAACGGTCAAAGGTGTTCCCTTCATCCGCGCCAGCATGTTCTGTGGCGGGTTCGGCATTCGGCTTAAGGAGGAGAACATGAAGAAAGTCTACAAACGGTCCCTGGATGCTATCATTTTGACCATAACTCGCACTCTGCACCATCTTGCTGATGCGAAAAAGAGGGCTGGAAAGCAAGCACTACCTGTGGATGAAATCCTTGTTTGTGGCGGTGCCAGTTCCAATCTTCATGTTCAGGCAGAGATTCGCAAAGCCGTGAACGATTCGACGGACCATCTTGGTTCGAAACCATTCCCGGTCTATGTCAATTTCTTGGTGGCTCCCGGAGATCAGTACAATGTACACTTTGTGGCCCTGGGTGGCCTGTTGCTGCTTGCGAATCATTCCGCCCCTCGAACAAGGATGATGCAACGTGAATACTTCACTTGGGCTTTTCAAGACAACGACCATATGGAGCCGAGGCCTACACGAGATCTTCAGTCAAATGTGCAAAATGAACAAGTGGCCAATTTCTTCAACCGGGATGGGCAACCACTCGACTCGAACCAGAGCATTTTGCTCCGAGGCCAGAGCCACTTGCGCCTCGACCAAGTCGTCACAAACCAAGCGGGCAAGCAAGGTTGGTTTCTGGAGAATATGATCTGCTGGCAAAAGCCCGATACTCCTAAAATCACAGAAGGGACAAGATTTTCAGAAGCAAGGGGCCGTTTCGAGTCCTTCCCACCTGTGATCTTTCTCTCCAAAGACGATGTCTCGGCCATGCCTCTCGAGAGGATGAGGAACAGAATCTTGTATTACCAGTGCCAATACGTGGTCAAGTGGAGGCTCAGAGGCACTCACGTACGCATTGTAACAGAAATTTCTCGGTCTAGGCTCCTGGATGAAGACGGAGATCCCGGCAATGATGCATTTCGGTTTGATCAGGACCTGCACGCAGAAGCTCTGCTCTATCCCGTCGGCACTGCCACCAAGCGTGCTTAAGGGGCCAGTCATCAAAGAAATCGATGACATCGAGACCGAGCAGAAGGTATGACTGTGGCTGACCTGGGGCATATTTGGAACGTTGGGTGGAAAAGAAAAAGGGGGCCTTTCAACCCTGCAAAACAACCGGTGAGAACGCTAAGTCGCAAAGGCATGCACGAAACCTTGTCGGAAAAATTAATTGGCGTCTTCAGGCAACGTATGTTGAGGAAGTCGGCCTCAAAATGGGACCACGGCTGTGATCGTTCATGGGAATCATCTGCGGCACGAGACGAAGAGAACTCTTCGTCAACTATCGGAACAGCTATTGGCAAAGGGTATCTTGTTTTTGTGTGGGATCTTGTCGCAAGGGGTCCTCTCTTCTTGCTGGATATGTCATGCGAGCCTGACAAGGTCTGTTTGGGTGGGTATTCGGGGACGAACACAGTCGATGCGGCACTCAACTAGCTGGATGCTTAGATTTTCGAGTGACCGGCTATCGATCATTGAGTACATTGTGAAGCCCAGAGGGATAGATGATATTCGAGGGAAAGCGATCAGAGACCTGTGCCTTATGGATACATAGATGGCTCGAATCCCTCAATACTAAATAGCCTAGTGCTGTGGCTCCCACTTCCATCTCTCGCATTGACACCAATCAAAATAAAAACCGTCCAAACTCCCCTTCTCTGTTGACGTTCAAGAATACGGGCGACAAAAGGCCCAGAGCGCCCAGCTACTATTGCCCTGTTGCGCCTCCGCCTGGCCTCCCTGCCGGTCGCCACGGAGCTTGGCCATGGCCTCCACGCGACAACGGATCGACGCGATGTTTGCCGTGTTTTGCACCTGGATCGCCTTCTCGAGGGCCCGCTGGTAGTAGTGGGAGCTCTGGGCGCGGTCCTGTCGGGCGTCATGCATGTACCCCATGTCGGAGAACGTCTGCTGCAGGAACCGGGCCCTGTCGTCGGCGAGCTCGAAGCCGTCGCACAGCTTGAGGGTCTCGAGGAGGACGGGCTCGGCGGCGTCGATGTTGCCGTGTTGGAGGTGCTGCCTCGCAATCATCTGCAGGGACGTGATGTGCACGCCGCGGGGCACGTTGGGGTCGTGGGCAAGCCTCTGGGCGATGCGGAGCGCGTCGTGGAATTCTCGCCGCTGGTAGTTGAGAGAGCAGATCTCGTCCTGGATCCAGGCCCACTCCTCGACGTCCAGGCCGCTGGCAGGGCCAAACTTGTCGGAAGAAAGGCGGAGAATGGACGCCACTCGGCCGGCGTTGGTGTCGATCTCCCCCTGCGTCCACATCTTGAGCAAGGGCTTCAAGACATGGCCCTCGGTCAGAGTGCGGCCGGCTAGGGCTTGAAGGAAGTGAACTATCTGGCGCCGGACATCCGGGAATCGGCCCCAAAGCGGATACGAGTACAGGCGAAGGAGTCGCAGGAATATCCAGTAGGGAGACTTCTGGATACAATGCGACGCAAGACTGCAGGCCAGGTTAATTTCCTTGAACGCCTCGACTGTATTATTCGTCAATAGCAGGGGGATGGCGTTGTAGAAACACTTGTTGAACACGCGCGAAACGCCATCACCACTTTGGGGGTCAAAGGACGGGGGCTCCTGTCGTTGCTGTCGATTCGCGAAGCCTAAGGGACTCCAGAACGAAACGTTCCAATCTAGATACGACTTGGTCAAGAACAGAATGCGTTCGTCAACGTCTACGGTCGACCGAAAGGCGTTCGGGTGTAGGTCCAGGTGAATCTTCTCGCCTATCGGTGGCACTCCGGTTGCTCGCCGTGTTCGCTTTCGCCCCTGAGGTCTGCTGAATCGTTTGATTCGGTCCCATTTGACGGGTTTCCCACGCAGTTGAACCGGAGGTGTGGCTTCGTCCGTGCATGTAGATCGCGCCATCAAGCCCACGACCGCCTCCTTCTCGGCGGCTTTGTAATTCTTGAAGGCCCCCCACAGCGCAATCCGTCTCTTGAAAGCCTTTTCCCTGCATGGATGAGCCAGATCAGCCAAGACCCAAAGACGCTGATCACACAAGTAACCCACGTTGCATGGAAATTATATTGATCAGCGAGTATCTGCTGGATCTCGGAGAGCTTCTTTCCCTGGTGCACGTAGAGTTCGATGAATACGCCTTTGATGGAAGTCCATTCATCTTGAGAAGGACCCTCCACCACTGTCACTCCGGCAGGCTTGTGGTCTGTCATTTGGAGGCGCTTCGGAGCAGGAAGCACTAGGTAACAGGCCCAGGTGAGGCATCTCTTCAACCATGATCCTGCCTGCCCAGGCTTCAAGGGTAACGATCGTGATCTTTCTGCGAAAACGATCGAATTTGGTGTGCAAGAGAAACGCCAAAAACTCGTAAGCAAAACGACGTAGTTTTAGGAAGGCGCTAGCGCACCGACTGGAGCGCCGCTTTAGATCCAAGCTAGTCCTGGTTTGGGAATACAAAAGTCTCCTGCATATGCGGAGCTCGCAGCCTTGCGGCAAGCTACCCCAAAATTGTTTACTCCCTGCTCCTGACAAACCGATAAGGCGAACAGTACTCGCCCAACAATATTACTAGAGATACTACACCCGAGGTAGCCCATGCATAAAGCCCTTTGTGGACACTCTGCAGGACTACGGTCGCTCCCAGAAATCCTGTTGATTAGATCACCCTCGAGAGTGACGAACGAATTAAATGGTCGATCCGCGAATCTGGTAAATCCCGGTGCTCAAAGACGTTCAGAACCGCTTTGACATCCTCGGAGTCCACGAGCCCCAACCTGTCTGCTTGCATCTTGAATTCCTCCTTGAACCAGTCGTCGCTTGACATCGTCCCCACGAACAATATCCACAGGCGCATATTTGGCGGGTCGTTAGATATTGTGGTAAGCAATTCTTTGAGTTTCGGAAGGATCACCTTTCCTGCATCAAAACAAGTGATTCCGAAAAGCGGGATCCGCTCCATATTGGCCTCGAGACGAAGCCGGTAGAGAGCTGCCAGCGCCGCGCATTGCTCGATGTTGTCAGAGCTTGTATTGTACCGTTCCAGAATTGCCCTCATTATGTGAAGGAACTTGATGATGACAGCTTGTTGACCGGCCTGGAGTGTCTCGGACGCTTTCAGTATATCCAAGGCCACGAGAGCATTTCTCATATCGAGCAGAAGTCGTCGCTGAGGACATTGAATGTTGTTTGCGGCGTCAGCCTCAGGCCATTCAGGCCATAGAAAGCCTGCACAATCAGCCTCAAGGATTTCCCATGCGTTGTTGTCCATCATGAATAGCGGGTTTTCCAGTGTCAAGCTAGCACGTTGGATATCCGAGTGGAGAATGCAGATGAGGTCTGCAGCGCTGAGTTCATAGCGGTTGTTGATAACCTCTAGCTGGCCCAAGTGGACAGCCACAGCTTCGAGGTTGCGGCACCATGTCTCTGCATATAGAAGAGACATGACTGCCAGGGGGAGACGAGAGAAATCTGTCTGAGAAAGGTTTGTGCGGAGTTGCTGCATTGCCTTCGCCTTCAGTTTAAGAACAACATTGAAGGCCTCTTGATCGGGATTGCATCGCGCCTTGATGGCTGCAATACGGGCCAAAAAGCCGTATGCGGCCAATTCATCTTGAAGATATGCCGCAGATGGGTGAAGAGGGATCTTTGAGCTTCCAAATGCCGGGGAGAGATGTATCCGGTCGAATTGCAGCAACTCGTCGATCTGAGAGGTATGGGGGATGGCTAGACTGTCAAAGGGATCGTAGGAACCAGCAAAATAGGTTTCGAGCTGAGGGCTCTGCTTCCCTTGGTCTTGGAATGTATGGTACAAGGTGAGAGCCGAGGCCCGTAGGTTCCACGTCCGCTGGAGTCGTTTCCATTTTCGGTGGGCAGCCACATGCCGAAACACCTGGCTCTTCTGTGATGACAGGCTTTTGCGATCTGCTTGGCTGTCGTGGTGTATCCAAGAGTGAATTGTGGTTGTCGTAGCCATCTTCTCTTTTGCGAGTGCCAGTGTCGTGAAATCTCGTAGGAGAGAAGATTTGGTCCGTTATTTGTATATTCCTTTCAGACTTCAACCACGGCTCGGCTTCGAGCTGCTTTAGCTGCCCGTGCCTCCGCTGCTTTACATTCTCTCAGACGATGTCACTTAACTTTGCCTTAGTCATGGTCTTCGAAACGCTGCGGAGGCAGTAACTGCGCCGCAGACGGCCCAACTCACAAATTGTGCATTTCGACCCCTGGATATTTCGGCTGAAAGCAACCGACCTTAGATCTCGAGCCATTTGCTTGGCAAGTCTCGGGCGGAGAATTTGATTTGTGCTTTGCATGAGCCTTGCTATGGCAACCTCGTTTGGCGGCCTCAAAGCAGACCGGATCAATGTCAAGTCATCTCTGACATCCTTGCTCGCTGCAGCTCACCAGAAGCGCCGTTTAGGTTCTTGGGGGGTTTGAAGGTCTTTTCTGTGGGTTCTCCCTCCGGTCGGGGACTGGGGCGTTGAGCCAGCAGCTGGCTTTGTAGAAGCCGTCATCCACAAAGTTTCTTCCCCTGGAGCTCCTTTTCCCTTGTCAGACTATGCCGTGTTACAGCGGTTGAATTGTTCAGACTTCAGAAGCTCACTGGCAGCTAGTTAGACAAACGTTCACATGAATTACCCCGCCCAACACCGGCGAATAGGACGTGTAGAAGCTCTGCCAGCCCATTGGTGGGATCCCCCGGGCACTCGTATATGCAGGTTGAAGACGCCATGCATTGTGAAAAGCACGAATGCCATGGCTATCAGTCCCAAGGCTCCAGATTTCTCTGCCACAAGACATAATCAAAAAAGCGCGGCATCTTCGAGGACCTGTTTTTGGCTAGCACAATTAACTCCGCCAATAAAAGAGCGTTTGGTTTGACTTTAACCCTTTACGGAATAAGTTTGATTTCGTCTCATTGGCTACATTCCGTCCGTTGTATTCAGAGGACTGTTGTCGACAGTCTTCAAAACAGCGTTCACTTCACAAAGCAATCCTGTTTCGTTAGTCATTGTTGACAAGATAAGACGTTCTATCCAGCGAAGAGATTGAGTCTCTACAGTGATGTCATCTTCCTGCATGCCGAGAAGCTCAAGAAGTCTCATCGCCTCTCACCTCCCAAAGCGGTTAGCAGGTGAGAGGGATCGATATCAAGGAAACCTCACTCTTAACAAATATAGGTTTACTTATGTGACAGTACGTCCAGATGCGCTAGATTTAATGTATTACACGCTCTGGTTCATAGAAATGGACAGAGTAACCATTCGTATCCTAGTATTTTGGCGCACAGCGTGCGATATCTTCCAGAAGCCAAAAGCGCGAGATTTTGTAAACATAGTTTGTTTCTCTACAGGTAACGAATTCTCTCCATAGAAAGTCTGTAGATTCATTTTGAAGCTCCTGGAACGGAGTCGCTAGGAGTTCTCAAGTATAGTCCTGCGTTTCTGATCTTGAACCGGTTGTGCAATGAATCATGTTCATTGCGAGCGCTTGCTGTCTACCTGAATCGGCACATTCAAGAGTATTGAGGGCGCCACATTGGCTTGCCCGTTTACCGACCGAAGTTAAGCCTACACTATTCTAGATTAGCAGAAAAGCGCCTCTTATTGTTGCTAGTCGAAGACAGCCGAGCCATTAAAGGTGATGGATGGAGTAGGTTGTGCTTGTATAGGTATTGAAGGCCACATACCAACTGGACTTTAATGAAAACCATGAATATATCTCAAATAGATGTCCAATCCTTATCTAGTCAACTCCGCTTGTAGTACAAGGATGATCGTACAGAAGACAGTGTTGGGTGTACTCAACGGTTTTTGTGCGACTTGTAAAACACTATCCCAATATATCAACCGTGGAAAGGCGAGATTTTGTGGACTGTACGAGGTTTGTTCTAAGGGAATATGACTTGGATCTTGTATTTACGAGTATAAGAAGGTCCTCCAGCAGCCGCTGGAGCGTCGTAAATCTGGCGATCAACAACCAGGACGATCCAGCGTTAGTGGGAAAGAGAAGTCTTCACTAGCGGGTTTCAGGAGGCGCGAATTATCTCAATATAGAGCTTCTGTAGTGCAATTCCAAGAGATTTAACGCATTGCCGGGTTCAAGGATGTTGCCGACGTGTTGGTAATTGGGTATTACGAAGGGAGTGACAGAAACCCAAGACGTAGTACCTGAGTAGGTACGGGGCGCCCTCGACCCGTCTGCGAATCGCGTACAGTCAAACCCTTGACCAAAAGGATACGATGTCCCCAGCTGATCCCAAGGTCGTGTACAGGGGTGTTGGCTTTAGATCGCCATGCCTGTCATGCACTGGAAGCTAAAATCGACGGCCTATAAAGGGTTTACCTTATCCCTTCGGAATCCTGAATCGCTTCCTGCACCTTTCCAGTGCTACTCCCGGCGCAGTTTCTTCCGCGTAATCTTCTGGGGCCGTGGCCAAGATTGCTGAAGGAAAGTGTCGTCTGGCAGTTTGTGAATATTGGATACAGAGTTGAGGTGTGGAAAGGTTTAAGCGAGCCATATATGCTGGCCTGAGCAGCTGAGCTTAAGCGAGAGCTATAGGGCGATGAGGGAGCGACCGATATCGGGCTCGATGGTCACAGAACCTCCAAGGGCAACTTCTCTTCTTTGATGTTCCACAATAATATGAACGATCCCGTGATGCTTCTTTCATGGAATGACTACTTATCCTTGGACAGCTCGAGTGTTTGCTGATACCTCGGGTGGCACAGCAACGCCCGCCATGCCGTTGGGAATCCATCTCCTTCCGACGACGCATTCTCCAGGTGGTGCTGACCCTCCTCAGCCGCACGGTGTCTCTATGCTCACATTCGTCTTCCAGGACTCCAATACCTTGCTCGAGCCTTATCCGAAACTCACAAACTCCTCCACCACCACAGCTCGCGTGCGTTCCCTCCAAAGAAACCTCTCCTCGTCCTCCATGACCATCTTCCTGTTCTCACCCTGCCCCAATGCCATCAACCACCTCATCTTTGCCGCTTCATCGGCGAAGCCGATCTCAGTCATGACGTCGAAGTCAATGTTCCCCGGATCTACTTCCATTTTCGCTCGATCTGTGCCGTTGCCCTTTGAATCGGACGGCAAAGTGGGTACCGGCGTACCGTTGGCATCGACGCTCGCCCTCACAAACACAAACGCCGGGTCATCCCGGTGGGTATATCGCCTCTTGTATACCAAGGGCTGGTTCTCCGGGCCGGCCAGCCGGTTGATCATGGGAATGTGCTTCGTCTCATAATACGTGATGAACTCTTGGGTGGACAGGTGGGGGAGCTTGACCAGGAACGCAAAGGTGGTATGCATGACGACGTCTGCCTCGCCGTGCGTGTAGAAGGAAGTTGCTGGATGTTAAATGAGTTTGGAAACCGTACCTCGAAGGTATGTGGAGAGAACTACAAACGTGGCTGTTGAAGTTGGAGTCTCGGGCCTGGGAAAGCTCAAGCTTGCCAGATATACCTGTACACCTTGGAGGGAGAGATCCTCCGATAGACTTACTCCACGGACTGTTATATGCTTCCCTTCTTTCGTGGTAAGTGGTACGAAAAGGACACCTCTCTACAACTTCCACTCCGTCCGTTTTAGTCATCAAGACACGACTTTGCAAGCGCTAAGGATCCTACTGGAACCTTATCCGTCTCGGCCTCCGAGATCAGGAGACTGTGGATTTGACGTTTCGACTGCTGCGGTCATGAAAACATGCGAAGAGACCCCTGGATCACTCAAGACGTACTTGTGCGAAACACTGGAATCTACAAGGACAAGTGTGAAGACAAGATGATAGAAGTGGGTCTGCGGGATGACGGAGATCTTTAGCCAGATCAGCCACGTGACAAAGGGACAAAACACCCTTTCAGTTCATCAAGAGGAGATCGTGAAGGACGTGCGGTAAATCTGCGCGGAGTCCGTCACTTGAATGACGACAATGTGAGAATGTTTGAATATAAACACCTGGGTCGCTGTTGAAGTTAATGCTTAGATTCCATGAAAACTTTGAGCTCACGACGAAAGAAAAACATTAACGCGAGACCGGCTACAAGCACAACAAGATATTCTGCACAGACCAAAGAAACATATTTTGAAATATGAAGTGTTGGCATTGAAAGCTAACTCTAAGCTGCCAGGTCTTTTCCTCTGACTCTCTTCCCCCAGTGACCATCGGACTTGTTGCGATGATCCCGTAAACCTCATTGATCAATCCACTCACAGGATGATGCCGAAAAAAACTCTATGCCATGCAAGAGGTATCATTTCCATATCCCATTGACACCGCCAACGCCGGTATGATTGACACAAGAATTCAAGCCGCTCATGATCAAGTGCTTTTGGTCGTTTATGAAACCATTTAGTCAACCTCCTCGACAGTTGGGCCGTCATCGCCGTGGCCAGCACCGCCAGCGCCAGGGAATCCGCCAGGGCCGCCGGGCATACCACCACCAGGCATTCCACCGGGCATGCCACCTTCACCACCAGCGCCGTAGAATTTCATCATGATGGGGTTGGCAACACCCTCAAGCTCCTTCTGTTGAGACTCGTACTCTTCCTTGGTGGCGGTCTGGTTCTCGTCGAGCCACGAGATGATCTTGTCGATTTCGGACTTGAGCTTCTCCTTGTCGGATGCGTCGAGTTTCTCATCGACCTTGGAGTCGGCCAAGGTGTTCTTGAGAGAATAGGCGTACGACTCCAAGCCGTTCTTGGCGCTGATACGAGCAGACTCAGCCTCGTCTTCGGCCTTGTACTTCTCGGCCTCAGAAAGCATGCGCTCGATCTCTTCCTTGGACAGACGACCCTTGTCGTTGGTGATGACAATCTTGTTCGACTTGCCAGTGCCCTTCTCGACGGCAGAGACGTTCATGATTCCGTTGGCATCAAGATCGAATGTGACCTCGATCTGGGGAACACCACGGGGAGCAGGGGGAATACCGGAAAGTTCGAACTTGCCAAGCAGGTTGTTGTCCTTGGTGCGAGCACGCTCACCCTCGTAGACTTGAATAAGCACACCAGGCTGGTTGTCAGAGAAGGTGGAGAAGGTCTCGGACTTCTTGGTGGGGATGGTGGTGTTGCGCTTGATGAGAGGAGTCATGACACCACCAGCAGTCTCGATACCGAGGGACAGTGGCGCGACATCCAAGAGCAAGATCTCGTTGGTCGACTTGGACGAGGTGTCACCAGACAGGATAGCGGCTTGGACGGCAGCACCGTAGGCGACGGCCTCATCGGGGTTGATTGATTTGTTGGGCTCCTTGCCGTTGAAGAAGTCGGAAACAAGCTTCTGGATTCTGGGGATACGGGTGGAACCACCGACCAAGACGATTTCGTGAACGGAAGACTTGTCGATCTTGGCATCACGCAGGACACGCTCCACAGGCTCCATAGTAGATCGGAAGAGATCCTGGCAGAGCTCTTCGAAACGGGCTCGGGTGATCGAGGTGTAGAAGTCGATGCCTTCGTAGAGGGAATCGATTTCGATAGAGGTCTGTGCAGACGAGGACAGGGTGCGCTTGGCACGCTCACAGGCAGTTCGGAGACGACGCAGAGCCCGAGCATTGCTGCTCAAGTCTTTCCGATGCTTGCGTTTGAATTCGTTAACGAAGTGGTTGACAAGACGGTTGTCGAAGTCTTCACCACCCAAGTGAGTGTCGCCGGCAGTGGACTTGACTTCGAAGATACCCTCCTCAATGGTCAAGAGAGAAACATCGAAAGTACCACCACCAAGATCGAAGATGAGGACATTGCGCTCACCCTCAGCCTTCTTGTCGAGACCGTAGGCAATGGCGGCAGCAGTGGGTTCGTTGATGATACGGAGGACGTTGAGGCCTGCGATCAGACCAGCATCCTTGGTAGCTTGGCGCTGAGAGTCGTTGAAGTAGGCAGGGACAGTAATGACTGCGTTGTTGACTGTGCCACCGAGGTATGACTCCGCAGTCTCTCTCATCTTGGTCAAGACCATGGAGGAGATCTCTTCGGGTGTGAACTGCTTCTCTTCACCTTTGAACTCCACCTGGATGACTGGCTTGCCACCCTTGTCAATGACCTTGAAGGGGAAGTGCTTCATGTCGGCTTGGACTTCGGCATCGCTGAATTTCCGACCAATCAGTCGCTTGGCGTCAAAGACGGTGTTGTGAGGGTTCATCGCGACTTGGTTCTTTGCGGCATCACCAATCAGACGCTCTGTGTCGGTGAAAGCAACGAACGAGGGAGTGGTTCGGTTGCCCTGGTCGTTGGCAATAATCTCGATGCGGTCATCTCGGAAGACGCCTACACACGAGTAGGTTGTACCTAGATCGATACCAATGGCTGGTGCCATGATTACTGGAGGATGGAAGGAAAATGGGATGGGTGTGGTAAGGGAATAAGGTGTATTATGAAGAGTCTTTTGGAAAGACTGTTCGTTCCTGATAGAGGAGTTGTTTCTGAATGTGTGATCTGATGGTGAGAAAGAGGGCTGGCAGAGCCTGATCACAGAGATTTATGGGATTTCGTTGTTGTCAAAATTTTGCCAAGGCGAGGGCGGGACGCAGGTGGTAGAAGCGTGAAGAAGTGCGTGGAACTATGGTGACTGTTCTAGCTGCAGGACTGGTTCCCACTGGAAGCTGCCGGCCTCTTCCAGCTGGCGCAGGCGGTACCTGGAAGTGGGCTGTGAAGCTACCTGAAGCATCGCTACGATTCACCGTGAACGCCCTGCTTGTTCGTCTCGCCCAGAGGGAGCTTTGGTTAGGTGCAGCTGTAGCCTGGCTTCTATTTTTTTTGGTGAGGGATGGAAGCTGTCCCGCAGTGAGGGCCTGGTTACGTCATAAGCCATGCACCAATCACAGCCATTTTCGGCCAAATTCCATGAGACAAGGCTGAGGTGGGTTGCAAGGCGTGATTGGAGGGGCAACCAGGCGAAAACAAAAGAAAAAAGTCGCCTGATGCTTGCATCTTCGATACCCGTCAGGAATCTTTCACGATGCTTCCACTTACTGCGACACCTGGGTCAGCATGATGAAACGGCTGCATTGACGAACATCAGCCAATTCTTTCTCCTTCTGACGTGAACCATCGCCACAATGCGAGCTGCTTGTCATTCGCAGTGATCCACTGCCGCCGTGCAACATCCCCACCATGGCATGAAAACAATCCCTCCCCGCCAAAAGTCGTACAGGGCAACAAAGCAGATGCAGGCCGGAAGACTGTGCTAGAACATGAGCACTGTGTGGAGGCGCCTCGCCTAACCTGTTCTCCCGTCCCGTCCCAGCCCTATGGCTTCCCATTCGTTCTTCCATTCCCGCGTCTCTCCCTCATTACCCTCTGTGGTAGCCGCCATGAATTGGAATTGAGGGTAAGGTTAAAAGATCAGCAATATTTTCTCACAATATCACGCGACGAAATCAAACGCTCTGGAGAATGCTACAGATACAGGCAACTTATCTCACCACAAGGCGAACGAAGCCATGGCTGACGTTTTACTAAACCCGGGAGCATCCATAATTGGTTGCAAAATCTTCAAGATCAAGGCAGCCAGTTCGTTCAAGGCGTCGACTTGATTCTCGATAAAGGGGAAACGAGATCTCTCTGGTCATGGTATTGTCGAGGATATCCCCCATATCCGAGCCATGGATCCCTCGGCACAAATTGAGCATGCCGATAATCAACCAGGAAATGTAATAGCCATTTCACCTGATCGAATGTGGTTTGCCTACTTGTACATGCCACAGTAGTAATATCCGCACCATGCCGGTCATGATGGCAGCGATCAGAGCTGCAGTCGCCATATCTTGCTTCGTGGCAAATATGTCGAATCCAATAACGATTGCAATGATTCCAGGTGAAAGCACTCGAGAGGTTAGAATTTACGATTGGGTACCTATTACACAAACAGTGGATTGCTGAAAATTTCCCCTGTTCTTTGCACCTAATAAGACATCTGCGCTGTAGCCTCGGAGCTCTGTTGCTTCATAACCAGCGTCAACTTGCGTAGCCATCTAAGTATCAGGCCTTGAGCAAGATGAGGTTTCTCGTTAACTCACCACTGCAGTAGCATTTGTAGGCCGGTTGCGAAATCAGCGGACAGGAAGGGATGCCACAGCTCTTGATGAAGTGACGCATATGTCGCCCAGCTTTGCCAGTGAGTTCTTTCACGTGACCATTTCAATCCAAAAAAGGTTAGCTGCCCTGCGTTGCTTGGCGTGCTGTCGCGCAGCGCGCAGCGCCTCAAACTCGCATGTTTGTCCACCCGCAATTGTCGCACTTTGCGCACTCAACACCAACTGCTCTTTCGGTTCCGACCCTGTTCCGTTATTACTTCGACATCCTTGAGCCCCTCCTCTCTTAACTCTGCACTACAAAATGTCGGCAAACGGCGAGACCGTCCCCAAGGACACAAGCGAAGTCACCGACACCGGTAAAGGCAAGGGCAAGGCGGTTGAGCAACCCGAGATGATGGAGGAGGATGATGTCGATGACGAGGATGAGGAAGAAGAGGAAGAGATAGAGGTAAGTCTACGACACTCAAATTTGATTTTCTGGACCATTCTGACATGATTTTTGCCTCAGCAACTGGAAGCCGAAGCTGAAGAAGAAGGTACAATCTACCCCCTTTGCGAATAAACTCTCACACTACCACGCTTGTGATGGGATTCATGCATCGATTCCTTGTCATATTTCTATTCATCCATCCTTCGTTCGCCGCTTTCCGGAAAGGTGATTCAAACTGATTTCGTCACTCAGATGATGAGATGGAAGCAATTGAGCTGGAAAACATCGTCGAAACCCGAACCCGCCGCAAGCAGATCGATTGGGCCGAAGCCGAGCAGAAGTCCAAGGACGCCGGTGACGACTTGGATGATGATGATGACGACGACGATGACGACTTCGAAGAGCCCGAAGACGATGATGAGGAGATGAAAGGTTGAGATCGCTGCGTTATGACGCATCTTTCGAGAAGAGCATTGGAATATGAACTGTTCACGGCTGCGTTGGCGGCCGCTGCGAGGGTCTTACTTCAGCTCTCAGGGAAAGAATCACCCTAGTATGTGATTTGAATGGCGATGCTGGGCGGTCGGTTGGGCGCATGTCCAAAATTGACCCCGGACCCTCGTCACCAGATTCATGTTTACCTCGTTCCATCCGTCAGTCAATTTGACACGGCACTGAAGGCATTTCTTCGGGAGGCAAAAGACATACAGGCGCCTAGGAGTCAAGAATAATCTGCCTCACGGCAGGCATGGAAAAGCAATCGGAACGGGTTCTTGCCCCTATGGCAAGCGATAGACCGTTGGGTGGGTGACTTGCTACCAGACAGACAGCTCCGCAGGATCTGCTTTCTCTCTCTACCAGAAATCCTTGTAGGGAAGAGCCCAAAAAAGAAAAATTCAAAGCCAGAAAGTTTCCTCCATTCAGACTGGAATCGATCCTTTCCCACACTATCTCACTGTTTCTGTTTTCTCCCCCAGACTATGTGATCCCCTGTCTATACCCCCATCGCGCAGTATATGATCCCTGTCGAACGCCACCACTGACAAGGTCATATCCACTTCTGCGACCACAACCGCAGCTCCAATCATTCATACAGCCACAACAGCCTGGGTCGCCTTCGACGTATTGACACAGGACGGTCGGACTCCTTCTTCAGACCGACTCTCGCCAGCGGGTGAATATTGTTCTTGGGCACCCTCTACTCCCTTTTGTGCCCTTGCTTCTTGGGAAATTCCCCAGAGTCCAGCACACCTGGCGATGTAATTCAACTATCAGTCCAACCATCTACCTATCGACCTATAGATTTCCTCTCTATTCAGTCCAGGCCACACGATTCTCCCTTTTCAATCTCTACCTCGATGCATTCTGGCTCACTCCAAAGGAAGTCCAAGAAAAAAAAAAAAAAGAGATGTTTTCTCGCGCTTTCCCCCCTCTCTCGAATCATTCTTTGCAGAAAACTCCATCGGAGTAACTACAGATTAGCAGGAAAGAGCTGGGAGACAAAAAGGAGGGTTGAAAACGGTCTGGGGTGGTTTCTTTCCGAATTGATTGTCGGGGGGTTTCTGCTCTCGGTCTTTTCGTCCCCGTGAAATATCTACCTCGACATTTGACATCCAACTTATATAGATATCGACAACAGGCTGCGCGCTCGGCTCTGACTTTGGGATCAAAGGCCTCATTCTGGGTATCGGGCGATATCACATTCAAACAACGCATAAAAAATTTCCCACCTCCTTCGTCGTGCAATGTAGTTGCACACCCTTGCCCTCTGTATATCTTCCCCCCTCTACAGTGCACACCGAGGCGAAGCTAGGTTAGGCAAGGAAGCAAAGCAAACCAGGATTAATGGACCGAGAAGAACATAGACAGGGGGCAATAAGGGGCAACAGACCGCAGGCTACCGGTTTTTTTTTTGGTTCTTTTTTTTGATTTTCGGATGCCACAGATGTTTGTATTCTTCTGATACGAAGGATCACAGCAACGCATATGGTCCAGAGCCTCGTCGCTGGGAAGAGCATTGATCCCGAAGCTTGAGCTGAGCTGATGCTTCACGGCGGTCGCTGGACCTAGCGTAGTCTAGTCGTCTACTCCTCCTGTTTTTTTACAGCTCACAGGCTATGTGGTGGCGGTTGTGGAGGAGCAGGCCATTTGATCCAAGCGTTCGTTCGCGGGCCAGAGCACTCGCACGGCTCGCAGGGCCAGGCGCGAAACAACCAACAAGACAACTCCAGTCAGGATCGATCGATCGCACTGTGCTGCTCACCTCGCTTCTCCTCCATAAGCTCCCTGGTCTTGATCCTTCTCCTTCTCCTCCGTCCAAAGGTTCCAACGCTTAGCTTACGACAATCTTGGTCCTTCAATCCGCCACCGACCCAAAGCGCAGATTCGATGGCCCACTCCTCTCGTTGATCGCCAGGACTCTGGCCGCGACCTTGGCCTTCTCAGCCGCATTGGCCCGGGCCTTCAACGTCGCCACCGGGCCCTTGTGAGCTTTCAGCTTCGGGCTGCCCATCCTCATTGCACCTGAATGCCTCTTGGCGCTTCCCATCCCCATCCTCAAAGGCAGGCTCGTTTTGTTCGCAATCGGAGTGCCCATCCTCTTCCTGATCGGAGTGGCCGACCTATTCCTATAAGGGATGATGGATCTGTCCCTGGCCGGAGTGCGAGATCTGTCCCTGGTTGCGATTCTCGCTCTCCCCCGATCCGGCAGCCCCCACTCGTTTGCGACGGGAGTATCAGCACTGGCCATGACGCGAGTGTCCACGACAGAGGTCTCCATGCTGTTCTCAAGTGAAATAACAATCCCGCCTTGAACTGCAATGCCCGAGCTGCTCCAAGAGGGACCGTCCAGCGTCCCCTCTATTGGAGAGTCCGACTCGTACCCATCTGAAGAGTCCGAGTCACTTTCTGCTGGACTCTCTGTTGTGCTCTCATTCTGGGGACACGGGTCCCGTACGACCTCCTCGCCCTTTGAACTCGCCTCAAGTTGCTCTGCCTCCCTCTCCCTTAGCCGCTTGTTCCAAGACCCCAAAGCCGCCATTTTCAGGAGCGACATCTCTTCTCTCTTCTTCTTTTTCTTTTTCTCTTGTCCTCTTTCTCGCTCCCGGTCCTTCTCCGTCTGCGTCCGCTTGACAAGCATTCTTCCCCTATGGCCGGCGATTCTATAATTCATCCAGCGCTTCAAAATGCAGTCCCTGCATGCCCAGCGCTTTAGATTCCGCTCCGCAGTTTTATCCACCTCTGGAAGAGGACCAGAAAGGTCTCCTCGCACAGGCATTCTGTTTTCGTTCCATACCCGAAGCTCGCCCAAGGCACATCGCTTGTGGTACTTAGTTCCCGGCGACCCGCAATCTTCGACCGTGCAGTAAGTCGTGTCCATGTGCAGACGCTTAATCGGCAGTAGACAAGCACCACATTTGAAGTCCCGCGCAATTAGGTGTTGAGGCTCCTCACATGCCTCCTCGAGCTCCGCTTGCTCACATGGTGGACTTGGCGCCTCCTTTGAAGTTTCCAATTGTAGATGGGCTTCATCGCTCTGAGAGCTTGGCTCCGCCTCTCCGGTCGTGCCCGTCCCTGAGATATCGTGGACTTGAGAGTTCGCCCCAGACGACTCGTCTCCCTCAGATGCCACTGTCCCACTCGGTGCATGATCAAGTACCGCTTCGCGTGTCGCCATTTCATCCACCACTTGATCAGATGGAGGATCATGGAAAATGAATTCATTCACGTCTGCCACGACATTATCATCAATGACACGTCTCTCTTTCAAGCTGCCCAAAAAGTCAAAGAAAATCTGCCACAGCTCATCGTCCCCGTTCTTCAGCCAGACTCTTTGCTTTCTGACAAATCGAATCAGAGAATTCGACACATATCGTGAGTGCTCGAGCCGTTCTTCCATCCGGTGCCGATCCCAGCGTTTGGTTAGCTCGCGCTTGTTGTTGCTCCAGCCCTGTTTGTCAGCCACGGCATCAAGGCTTTCCATATGCGCTTCAATTTGCCAGCTATTGTCGACTTCGTCGTCTGTTTCACTATGTGGGTCTTCACTTGGAGAGATAGGTCGATGGGTACTGGAGGTCCAGACCTGTTCTCTTTCCGGGTACCTTGTCTGGAGGAGGACGGCTTTGGCCTTTTTGCGGGTAGGTTCCCGAAAGTCAGGAACCTGCGCCGCCAGCGGATATCGCGGACCCGTTCTGGTTGGTAACGAAAGACCGAAAGGCCGGTTACTGTTGAAGAGAGGTTGTAGAGGGGCTTCGCCCTCTGTCAAATCTTGATCACCGTTCTCATATGGCGGAATGGCCTCATCGCTCTCTTTCCTTCCGTTGCCCACGAGAGTATCAACCTTCATCTCGATTCGAGTCAACTTCTTTGTTGTCGGATTTCGGTGTTGTTTGGAAGGCGAGAAATCGTATTTCTCATGCGCTGACTTGAAATGTGACAGCAATTCATGCAATCTGTGCGAATCCCGCTCGGGGCATATTGGACAGCCGTACCCCTCGACTATGGTGTTGCGGAACTCTCCAGCATCTGCGTGCTCCCGGATCGTCCCAGAAAGTTTATAGCATATTTTCAGTCCGACTGGAGCTTCTTCGGGAAGAGGTGGCTGTTCCTCTTTGGCCCTGACAGGCAGTCGGGTCCTTTTCTGTTTTGCCAAGCGAAACGAATCGAGGTCTAGGCCTTTGCTCAACTTGCTCGTGGCTTCGTTGGCGACATCGGCTCTCTCCCACGTGGACTTCACTTGGAGACCGTATTTCGTCCGGTAGGTGCACCCTTCAAGCAGGTAAAATACACTGAGCGGGACGTTCCACTCAGGGGCGTCCGGAAGATGCATGTATCTGGCGACAATGGCGCCTTGCCGTTCTCCAAAGCCCAACTCGCGGACGTCCTTGTCCGCAGTAAAGTGGTCACCATCACTCTTACCCAGAATTGGTACAGGATGCCATAGAGGCTCAGCAGCGCATGGAATGATCTTGAGCTCAAGAAAATAGTTGTCGATAGGCTTCATAGCCGATTCGCCCCGAAGGTCGTCGGGAGCATAGATCTCGCTCGCTCGAACTCTGAAAGGTTCCTCTAGTTCCAGAATGACGAGCTCACCATGTACGCCATTGTCAATGTTGATTGAGCGACAGTAAGTTGATTTGGTGACGAGTGGTAGTGGCGAAGCCCCGGAGCCGCGATTGTCCCATATGGTCAGATGACATCTGCAGTCGACGTGGTCGAGTTTCTGACGTTTGGCCATCCTCTGCTTGTTGCTGATAGAATTAGTGCCGAAGTTGAGTTTCTTTCTGATGTTAGTGAGATCAAGCGTCATCTCCGCCTGGGGATCATCGTAGGGTTTATTGAGAAGGCCTCTGATGCTTCGCCGCGTCGTGGGCTCCCCATTTCGAGCGCTTCCGTTAGATGGACTAGATCTCGACGGCATCTTGAACACTATAAGTTCGGACCGACTCGAGGTGGTAAAAGCGTTGTCGGCAGTCTCCGCTCCGTTGGCTACAGCACCTTTCGCAGCCCCGCCTACCTCAGTGGCGCTCGAGTTGGGCCCGCCAGTAGCCTGGCCGATGGTTTTCGAGATATTCCTCTGTAAAAAGATCTTTTGACGTGGTCCCTTCTGATGGCGCCCAAACTTGGAATGACCGATCTTCCCGGAAAAATGTCTGCCTGGCCCTGAATACCTGAACGGAGAGCCAGACTTTTTCACACGCATGTTGATCAACTGAAATTGACGTGCTGCTCGACACAGTGTTCGACGCCCATTTCAGCGCGCACACAACGCCGCAATCACATGTCCGACTTGTTCAAAGACCAAGCAAAAGACAACAACACACCCACAAGAGGTGAAGACGTAAGTTTTTTGGGCTCTAAAGGCGCTTCTAATATCGAATGAAAATTGCGCTGGAAGCCGGACTGATTATGAGGATGTCTCAGCGCACCGCAGCATGCACGCTTAGACCGCCATCCAGATCAATGTTTTCCCGAAGTGAGACCGTATTTGTGATGTTTCGGTGAGACGCGATTGAGACTGGTGAAGCACGGGTCCCGTACACTAGTATGCTGAGGATAGGTCCAAACTCGGAATATAAGCCAAGGGTCGGTTGTGGTTGAGGATGGCGGCAGTGGGAATCTGGGCGTGTGGCCGATTCCTATCAGGGGGCGGAAATTATTTGCCAACACGGAGAGTTCCAGGGCGTGTCATTTGATTCAGATATTTATTGAATATCACATAGCCCATTCTGGAGGCGGGGTCGTCTGACAGCAAGCTCTTTACACGTCTGACGGATGCATCAAGCTTTCCGCTCCAACGCCTTCCAAGCGTGTTCCATTCTTCTCCACCTGCACCTCCTACACATCGTCCTTAGGTTGGACTGGAGGCTGTACGTCAACTTCGTCTCCCTGCTCTATTCTCATTGTCGAGCAGTCTGTGAAGCCATTTATGCCATGCAACAACGCGCTCCTCATCATTCTCCGACCTTGCTGTCCTCAAAACATCTGCCTGCTTCTTATTTAACAGTGTAGCTCTCCCATAACATTCACTAGACCGCTATACCGCCTGGATATACTTTGACCTCGGGTCTTTCCGGTAACTCTGTGCTTTGCCTATTCTTGGTTCGCAACGACCTGAAAATATAAACCAAGCCTCTATTCCTTTGTTTCTGGCCCTGCCTTGCTCCAGGCTCAGGATCTGTAAACCCTAGCACGGTCTGTTTCCGAGGTCCCCTCCGACTATGTTCTCTTTCGCCGTTCTAAAGCATGCAGAAACGGGGCGACCAACAAACTCCTCTGCGGTGACAAGTGTCAGCACGTATATTGTGTCGGAACTGAATCTGCGGACTCCGTAAGTCCCATAGCGAATGAAATTCATCCTGGCAAGCAACGTCATATGAAATATCAAAATCAGAGAAGAAAGAAATGACGATGCCTCACGACCCTCGGTAGAATTTCCTAGGGCGTCTTTTTACGTTGGGGGCGAAAGAATACACCCCTGTGATTATGGTATTGCGAAACAGAGTGACCAGAGTGAGAGTTAAGCGGATGTGATCGATCGGATGGGGAGGCTACGACTTGGTTCATCTGTCGCTGCAGTCCCATTCCCATACATGTGCTTTAGCCTCCGACCCCTTTGCATCGACGGAAGAATAGAGATGCTATTTCTTGTCTCTTCCCTATGGGAACCGGGGCAGGCATGACCTTTCATACAGCAAGCTGGCTTTACCGAACACTTAGTCATGACATCTCGATTCTCACCCTGGTACTGATGCTATCGGGTTCCTGAAGCCAATATTACTGATGAGCGCTACTATCTGCTCTGTATAGAGAACCAAGACCACCATCAATGGCCGAGCACGGATTGTGAACGATTGGTCCTCGCAACTATGAAAAGAGTTCGTGGTAGTTCCCTAGCGATTGCACGTCGTAGAGACTGTATTCTTTGCAGGGCTATCTTCAGCATGCGCCCATGCTTTCTAAGAGAGGGAGTCAAAGCCTTCACAAGGAGGTTGTCAATTGAGAGGCTTTATATGTTCAATCCTGAATGTCGCGATCTCAAAGCGCTCCGACCGCTTCCTTCTGTTTACCTCCCAAGGAGAATCTGCGTGCCCGTGTAAAATGTTCAACGGTCAGGGCCAGCTAGTTCACCACCTTGGAACTATCTTGGTGCAAGTAAAGATTTTCATGACCGATTTTCCATCTCATAGGAAACAGAAGCGGATTGTCATACCTAGTAGTATCCTGTTATTCGGCTGAATGTTGTTCCGTGTTCGCTTTGCGATACGATATAAACCCACATTAGCTAGCTTCCATCAGGTGCTGTTGACCATCTAAGAGTTAACAATGCAGGTGCAGCTGCGTTCCCGAAACAGGGCATATTGATTTCGTAGACCATGTAGCATCCTAGCGTGAAATGTACATCAAGAAATTCAAACAATTGCCCCGCTAATCACCAGCATTCACACCCGTATATTGATATGGCTCTGTGGCTTTCTCACCCGAAGAAGGCGTTAGTAAAAGTGTTCTCGATGCGAAAAGAGAATAAGCAAAATACCTCATTCCCCGCAGAAATGTGGTAGGCACCAAATGAAAGAAACGATGAAGAGACCGCAGGGAAATGATCCAGTGTCGTGGTGTCGAAATTGGCTTCAAGGGTCCTGGTCTTGTCTAATAAGATGTTATGACAGTAAAACGTGAGAACAGGCGAGAAGAATAGTTGCTGATATGAGAAAGAAGGCGAATACGAAAAGGCGACATGGATCTGGATAATAAACACCCTTATATATCAGGCTGGAGTATTCGTGGGCATATTATTCGAATGGGAGCCGTGAATGATGATGTGTTTCTGAGCAGGTGATCCATTGTGCTTGGATGACCTTGGCTAGAAAAGGTAGGAAAAAAGTCATGGGATTTTTGCATCAAAAGTTGAGGAGCTTGTTCAACTTGAGCGTGCCCTGAAAATCAGTCAACATTCATCCTGTCTCCATTTTGACTCTCCATCCCAGTCTGTTGTGTTCCATTTCTCTCGCCCTGTGCTTCACGCCCATCTGGAGCCGGCATCTCCGTCTCGCCCATCAAGCTCGTCTGCATCTTTGCACTCTGGCATCCTGGGCAGTTATGCACGACCTCGTGCGCAAATAGATCACAATCTATGCAGAAATGTCTCCGACAGACAGGGCACTCATATCTGCTGGTATTGGTTGTTGGAGGGGGAACTGCAGGCTGGGGAGGTCTGCTACCAGTAGTGGAGCTGGAGGCCCCCGAGCCGGTAATTGAGACACCGCCTTGCGTCGTTGACTGCCCATGCTGCTGATCCGTTGTCGTTGTAGTTGATGTGGATGACTGATGTAGCTTTGGAACAGGAGGAAAAGGCTTTAGACAAGCGAAGCAAGCAGTACTGCGATAAGCCTTCGACCAGGGGACTTCGAGCCAATTCACAAGCGGGAACAAATGATGATAGCTGCGTGCCAAATGTGTACTTAGGATCAGGGTCAGTCCGCACACGGGGCATTCACTCGGCAGACTGCAGACTTTGGTACTGCAGCGTGAGCACAGGTACCCGTCTCTTCTGGGGGTCGTGTGGCAAGCACACAATGAGGGATGATCCTCCACAATTCGGGAAGGGAAGCCCATCATCAAGAGCGAGGGCGCTGTTTTGTTGGCGCTGTCGTGGGTAATCGGTGGAGTCGTCACAGCCATATATAATTCTCGAAAGTGTTGCTCATGCAATACAACTCCATAGGGCGACAAATCGCCGTCATTTGTCCTAGAGACAAGTTCAGCACAAATGGCAACTTGCGCTGCAAGGCCAATGACCGTAGCACGGATCTTATCGTGAACGAGACTGTTGATTGTGTTGTGAATGTCGCCAGGATCCGAAGTGTGCAAGGCACCAAATACCAACAGTATCTCACGTGTCCCATGGCTGGGCGAGTGGAATAATCCAGCTCTTGCCATCTCAAGTGCATTTTCCAGAGAAGGACTGCCTTTGGGCTCTTCTTTCCGATATTTCTGTATTGCAGACAAGTGCGAGGTTGGGTTTCCAGACATATCACTGATTCTGATAGCGATACCGTCGCGCATGCCTATTATCCCAAGCTGAGAAATTGGGTTTTGCTCGAAGAATTCTCGGATGAACGATTCGGTATAGGACAGGGTAAGTAAGTATCGGGTGGGACGGAGGTCTTTCTCATTCATAGAGAGTGACATGTCGAGGATGAGGATCAGATGGCGGATGATACCGCGCTGGAGGGGTGTAGTGTCTCTGAGAAGTCTGTACAAAAGCCATGGTGAGATAGGTCAAATGAGGTGCACCTTTGTGTGCTTTTGAGACTATTCCCTCGTGTCTCTGTGATTCTTCCCGTCACTGGATCGATAGACCTACCTTTTCCTCTTACCCGCCTCAAGGAGACCCTCAACAGCGCCTGTAATAGTTCCATCGGCGCCTTCGACTAGCAAGTCCCAGGTTCTGGTTACCTCGAAGTTCTGAGCAGATTCACGAGCATTTGCTCTTCGAGCGGCTGCGCGGCCGCGGGTGGAGGCTCTAGGCAAGTCGTCGTCTGATCCATCGGCGACATATTCGTCCCCTGATGCCGGCATCACATTGGACGGGAAAGATGCGCAGAGGGAGAAAGGAAGAGAAGTAAGAAACGGCTAGTTTGGACACAATTGTCGCGCGCAGGACGAGGCTTGAAGTGGTAAGGCTGAAAATAATTTGGAGCTCCAGTTGGAGATGATGGCATCAGTCCCCCCCGCCAATGCAACACCGTTCAAATCATTACTAGATACCTACGGAGTACCTCGACTCGATTGGTAGCATCCCACCTTGTCGTGCCTATACTGGCTAGCCGTTGGGTGCTGTGACTACTCGGTACAGATCTATTTGTGCCTGAAGTAGGAAGGAGGGTTTTGATGCTCGAATTCAAATTTTATTCTTGTTTCACTTCGACATTCAAGGCTGGACCTGTTATCGCGGGCACGAAACGAACCATCTGCACGTTCTCGGTTTTCCCTCAATTCAGACAACTTTCTCTCTCTAGACACACCGGTCAGAGATTCCTCCAAGTTCGCTTTTGCTCAGCAGAGGCAAGGAGAACGATGGCACCCCCCACTGACCGAGATATCCTACCGGATACCGTAAAACCGCTCAACTATGACTTGTCCCTCTACAATCTCGAATTTGGTGGAAACTGGAGCTACGATGGAACTGTCAAGGTCGACTCAAAGGTGAAACAAGAAACACAAGAGCTGGTCATCAATGTCAAAGAGATAGAGATAAAAAATGCGGAAGTCCTGAGCAAAGACAGCGGCTCTACAATCACGTCGATGGCCGACGTATCGTACGACAAGAAAAGCGAACGAGCAACAATCAAGTTCTCGGGTAAAATACCATCTGGTGACGCTGTTTTCGCCATCAGTTTCAAGGGGATCATGAACAATGCGATGGAAGGTTTCTACCGATCCAAATACAAGCCTGCTGTCACTCCAGCTGCGGGAACCCCGACAGATGGAGAGCATCATTACATGTTCAGCACTCAATTTGAGGCTTGTGCTGCTAGAAGGGCATTCCCCTGCTTTGATGAACCAAATTTGAAAGCATCTTTCGGGTTCGAGGTTGAAATCCCAGAGGACCTGGTCGCCCTTAGTAACATGCCCGAGAAATCCACAAGCAAGGGCAGCAAGGACGGTTTGAAAAAGGTGGCATTCGAGAAGACGCCGTCCATGAGCACATATCTAGCGGCATGGGCCATTGGTGATTTCGAATACGTTGAGGGATTTACCGAACGCAAGTACAATGGCAAGCCCTTACCCGTCAGAGTTTATACTACCCGCGGGCTCAAAGAGCAAGGTCGTTTTGCCATGGAACACGCTCACAAGACTCTCGACTATTTCTCTGACGTTTTCGGCATTGAGTATCCTCTCCCGAAGTCAGATTTGCTGGCGGTCCATGAATTCGCGATGGGGGCAATGGAAAATTGGGGTTTGGTCACTTATCGAACCACGGCTGTTCTGTATGACGAAGAAAAGTCCGATGCCCGGTTCAAGAATAGAGTTGCCTATGTTGTTGCTCATGAGTTGGCACATCAGTGGTTCGGCAACCTGGTCACTATGGACTGGTGGAACGAGTTGTGGCTCAATGAAGGTTTTGCTACCTGGGTCGGCTGGCTAGCTGTCGACCATCTCCATCCGGAGTGGAAAGTGTGGAGTCAATTTGTGGTACGTAAGAAGTCCAGAGGTATTGTACCACTGTTGCCCTCGTTGACGATGATTCCAGGCTGAAGCTGTCCAAACAGCTCTTGAACTCGACTCATTACGCGCTTCTCACCCTATCGAAGTCCCAGTCCGCAATGCCCTCGAGGTCGACCAGATCTTTGACCATATTTCGTATCTCAAGGGTAGCTCGGTTATCAGAATGTTGAGCAACTACCTCGGCCAAGAGATCTTCCTGAAAGGAGTGGGTGATTATCTCAAGATCCATGCTTACGGAAATGCCAAAACGAATGACCTCTGGGCAGCCCTGAGTGCGGCTTCTGGGCAGGATGTTCAGGCGTTTATGGATCCCTGGATCCGTAAGATTGGCTTTCCTGTGGTCACAGTAGCTGAAGAGCCTGGCCAAATATCCATACGCCAATCGAGGTTTCTGACCACCGGGGATGTCAAGGCTGAGGAAGATGAAACGATGTGGTGGATTCCGGTTGGCCTTAAAACCGGTACCCCTGTCAAGATCGTCCACAGCGCTTTGATTCAAAAGCAGGACACCGTTCGAGATGTTGACGATGCATTTTACAAAATCAATGCTGATCAGAGCGGCTTTTATCGCACGAATTATCCACCTCAGAGGCTTATGAAGCTCGGTGCAGCTCACGAATATCTTTCAATCGAAGACAAGATTGGGCTGATGGGCGATGCAACCGCCCTGGCGATTTCAGGAAATGGTACAACGGCTGCTCTCTTGTCTCTCCTGGAAGGCTTCAAGGACGAAAAGAGCTTTTTAGTGTGGCAACAGATCGCTAGCTCACTGTCCAAAGTGCGACAAGTCTTTGCAGCGAACAAGGAAATTTCGGCAGCACTGAAGAAATTCACCCTCAAACTGGTCTCCCCTGCCGCAGAGGCAATAGGCTGGGACTATCCTGAAGGTGAAGACTGGCTGACTGGTCAATCAAGAAAACTCCTCCTCAGCACCGCTGCTGGCGCCGGCCACCGAGGAATCATCTCTGAAGGCCAAAAGAAATTCGCAGCTTGGAAATCCGGCGATGGGAAGGCCATTCATCAAAACCTTCGGGGCGTGATATTCAATTTGGCCGTCGCAAATGGAGGGCAAGCTGAGTATGACACCATCAAACAAGAGTTTATCAAGACTACCAGCGTTGATGGAAAAGAAATCTGTATTCAAGCACTTGGCCGCTCACAGAACTCGGATCATGCGTGGGATTTGCTAGACTTTGTCACCTCGGAAGAAGTCCCTCCACAGGACGCGCATGGAGGTATTATCGCTGTATCCAACAATAACACGACACGGGATGTGGCTTGGGACTATACGAAGAAAAACTGGTCCCGTGTCTTCAAGCGATTGGGAGTGACCAGTGTGATTATTGACAGATGGATAAAGGCAGGTCTGCCCAAGTACTCGGACTTCAAGGTGAGAGATGACATCGAACAATTCTTCAAGGACAAGGAGACTGGGCAATTCAGCAGAAGTCTGGTCATCGTGCATGATACGATTACAGGGAATGCACGATACAAAGAGCGCGACGAGGCTGAGCTGTTAGAGTGGTTGAAGGCACACGGGTATGTCTCATAGAACCTCCCGTTGTTCCACAAAACAGAGGTCGAAGGGCAAGCCCGGCGAAGGAATTTGCTACCACGGCTACCTACCGCCTTGATCAGGCTTGCGTGTCAGGAAAGGGTATGTTAGTGTGGATAGACACAATGAATAAGGAAGAACTCAGGGCTGCCCCATGTACATTCATCTATGCTTCCGCCTCGTGGCTATCTGCATCTGCGACTCTTGTCTGAGCTGAAAGCCCCTGGCTGCGAGCCATCCCGTAGACTAAGTCTGGACAGTAGCTGAACAGGAAGATGGAGAAACAGAGATCTTGCTTTGGCCCACTGGCTCCTGGTGATCTGCGACAGGTACTCTGCAGCGAGCTGAGCGGGCTGAGCAACGCTCTCATTTCCAGCAATGTATGGGTTCGTTACCCACAAGATCAAGTCTCGTGAGTGTGAACATGTGTGCGGTATTCTCTGTATTGCTATTTTGAGCGGCGCCTGATGCCACATGCGAGGGCTAGGTTGCTATGATGATGATGCTGGTCACTGGTGAGAGGGAGTCACGCAGCCATACAGCAACGCAGGCTTCCTTATTTGTGGCTGGGCCACGTGATCTGCCCAACCTTGTCATCATCAGCCACTCCGGAACGTTCTCTCTTACAGGCTTCAGCCGCCCAATTACAAGGATCTGGAAAGGTGACAAAGGAGCCTGAGCCTGCGCCTAACTGCCTACTACGTTGCCACTCTTTCGTCTCCAAGTAGCGGATCTCAAAGCCCAGGTTGGCCGCAAACGCCTGACGCCAGATTCGTTCTACCATCAAATTCACCCTTTCCCTTGAACTCAACGGTCTACTTGGCTTCACCGACCTAGGCTGTCCCTCAACTACTTGTACAAATCAAGTCCAACTGTTTCACGATTCCTGAACCTCCTGAGAAACCCCTGTTCCGTTGAGCACCATGAATCCAGAGTGGTAAGTCATCCAAAGTACCAACAATCGATCATCCTTTCGACTGCAACGTATCGGAGTGAGTCTTTCGCTAACAGTCTTTAGAGTCGTGCCTTCGAGAATCCGTCCTCCGAAGCCATCGCCCTGCTACTCCATAGATATTGACGCTTGTCCCACAGATACGATTACCTCTTCAAGCTCTTGCTTATTGGAGACTCTGGTGTCGGAAAATCATGCCTGCTGTTGCGATTCGCCGATGACACCTACACCGAGTCTTACATCTCTACCATTGGCGTCGATTTCGTACGTTGTTGCGATCCCTTGGCTGCTGCCCTGGGATTCCGGGTCAAGAGGAGTGGGAGGCTGACACGGGTTTAGAAAATCCGAACCATCGAACTCGACGGAAAGACTGTCAAGCTACAGATTGTAGGCATAACTTTCGCTCTTTGGCTTCGGTGTGTGATCTGACATCTGAATAGTGGGATACTGCCGGTCAAGAGCGATTCCGAACCATTACCTCTTCCTATTACCGAGGCGCTCATGGCATTTGCGTGGTCTACGATGTGACAGATATGGACTCGTTCAACAACGTTAAGCAATGGCTACAAGAAATCGACCGCTACGCCACTGAAGGAGTCAATAAGCTACTCGTCGGCAACAAGAGCGATATGTCGGACAAGAAGGTGGTCGAGTACACCATGGCAAAGGTACAGTGGCGCATACCCGGGTGAGCAGGCGAAAACGCAGCAATACTCATTTTGCAACAGGAATTTGCCGACAGCTTGGGGATCCCTTTCCTCGAGACCTCCGCAAAGAATGCGTCCAACGTCGAACAAGCCTTTTTGACTATGGCCAGGCAGATCAAGGAACGCATGGGAACCACTACGGTCAACAACAAGCCCACGGTCCAAGTCGGACAAGGTCAAGGCGTGCAGTCGGGTGCTGCCGGTGGTTGCTGCTAAATTGGCCACAACCGCCATGTCGACGACATACGGTACGAGGGAAACGCGCAAGAGAGATAGTCAATCGTTGGAAGCAGGAAAGGCATTGGCCCACGCTTGAGCAAGAGACAATCGAAGAGCAAACGTAAAGCATTCCTGTCTCTCAACATACAGATTTTTGCCCCTCATGGATTTTCGGAAGGCGTTGGGGCGCAAGATCGGCGAAAGATTCAATCCGATGTCTAGACTTTCTGCTTCAGACAGCCATCCAGTTTACACACACGGGCGAGGAACCTCTTTTTTGTTGTTGGAACGGTCTTGGGGAAACCTGTCTCCGGCTTCGGCAGGCTAATGATGGGATGTTTTGTGAGCGGAGCTGGATGTGGACGTCGATGGGACTTGCTCCGAGAAGGGAACGGCGTTTGTTGTCGACAAGAACGCCTTTTCTGATTTAGTCAGAGCTCCATCGAATTCACGAACGGTGTTGAACCATTGGATTTCTTATGCTCTCCTGTTTGCTTCCCTGTTCTACATGGATTATATGTTCTTTTTATTGACACACCATCCCCCGGACAAGCAAATCCTCCTGTGTTTGCACCATGTGCGTTTGCAGATGCAGTTTCTTAGTTGCTGACATACTTGATAGTGCATATATCAGAGATTGCCAGACCTCCATGTCACTCACTGGGGCTGGAGGAACACGCAAGAAGTCCAATGGCCATACCATGGCTTCATGCGACTGCTCAAAAGCCAGGGGTCATCGGTGCTTCTGTGCTTTTGCGAGCTCCTCATCAGACTAGCACCAGATGACCAGCAACCAGCGAGCGGTGGCAGAATCTCAGAAGTCGGTGGACGACGGCAGAAGGGATGTCGACAAGCGATGTGATGGCTCAGACGGACATGTGAGGCCATGTTCCAGACAATTTTGCGGACGGCATAGGCAAAAATGCCTGCTCTCCTCCTCCACGAAGGACTCAACATGGCTGCTGCCGGCCGGACCTGATGGGATCCAGGAAGATTTAAAAAGCCATGTTTCCCACCGTCCAACTTCACCTTTGACCCAACCAGCAGCGACACCAACGCGACACCGGCCTTCTCTTGTCCTGACAGCATGATCGCAAACTCTCTCGTCGCCGCGGCGATGGCATACACCACCGTCAGTCCGCTCCCCACTCTCCTGACCGACGGCGGAGCACCCTGCATGAGCTTGATGTGCCCCGGACCAGAAAACGGGTCTTCTCCAATTGATCCAACATATTGCACGGTGGTTGTAAACACGGCTGGATGTGTCGGTCCTGTCGCCACAGTCGCGCCAGGAACAACACTGAGCCCATTTGCACCATCGCCAGCAAACGGTACGAGATGGACCCGCGGACCTCTTCCCAGTCATGTCAGTCTTTCGCGCCAGCCTTCTGACCGTTCCTCAGTCACTTCAAGTCCAAACTCCGTCACTGTCACTCCTACGCCAGGGGTCAGCTGCACACCAATACCCACGGCATCTCTATCAATTTCTCCCACTGACACTTGCCTCGTGACAGAGGAACCAGCCGTGACAATATATCTATCACCGTCGAGCGCAGATGCGTTCCGCTCATCATTCTCAGACAACCCCACCACTTCGGTAAGCAGCTACTTCCTTTCGCCCTCTAGTAGACACCCTTCCTTCGTGTGCCTGCTGCAAGACTAGGTTGAAGGCAGATCCGCACCGCGCCTGTACCCAAAAACAACCTTTGAGACAACATTCAAGAGAGAAGAGAAGGCCAGACACAATCAAGACAGAGACAATCATCTCATACGGAACAACCTTTGATACAAAGCGCAGCCATTTCAACATCTAAAGTCCACGTGGCGTCATATCCTATCAAGTCGACAATCATCGCACAGGTTGTCAATTTTGTGAATGCGAGGATCTGGCTCCGCTACAATTACACAAAACACTCGAGTGTCCCATCACTGACTGGCTCTTTTCTAGATCGCAAGTTCCTTGTTGTCTCTGACTACTGCTCAACTTCAACCGTCCACCTCATCGCCCTTCATCTCCGCTGGAATAATGACCAGCTTATCTCCCTTGTCTGTCTCTTCAGCCTCAATCCCTTCAACCACGACTACGAGCACCAGCAGTGCTGCTTGGACTTCGACCGCATGCGTTGCTTTCGGAGTCCCTGATCCTGTCGCATGTCCAGGTGGCGCACTGAACCCTTCTGAGAGCTCAAGTCCTACGTCTCTTCCTCCGTCATCCTCTACCACGAGTGCCAATCCCGCTGAACCTGCAACTTCACACCTGACATCCCCTTCGTCCGCGTCAAGCACAGTAAGCACAACATTGTCGGCTTCATGGACTGCTGTCTCACCAGCCCTGACTTCAATTCCTGCCACGGCTTCAACTTCACCTGCAAATACCACCACACCGGGGCCTTTCGTCGATCACCCCTACGGTAGAGATCATGGACACCGTCACACCGCTATCGCAGTGCCCCTCGCAGTCGGAATCCTCATTCTCTTTTTGACGGCAATCTTCCTTTGGCGACGCTATCACCCCTCCTCATTCCACACAATCCTCGACTCCATTCCGGGCTTTGGCTGCTTTGCTCGATGGCGCAAGACACGAGAAAAGAATCGGCAGACTCGCGCCATACACCGCTTGGGTATCTTAACAGGAGATGGTCGTCGCTTTGATGGATCAGGATCAGTCGCAGGTGACACATACGCTCGGCATTTGAGGAAGTTTGAGGAAGATGCGGCGCGCGCAAAAGGGAGATACAGCTCCGACGCGGGTGGCCAAGCTCCTGGCTCTCCTTTCTCGACAGGAAACCGAAGTGCTAAGAGCGGCGGCACGCCACGGACCCCCAAGCTGGGGAGTCCCTGGAGATACACGCCGACCAAGGCCAGAAGCCCCAGAGACATGATCACGCCGTCGTCCGCAGAGAGCAACCGGGTCTACGGGTCGGGACGTCGGACGGACAGTTTGCAGAGCTGGGAGGAGACATGGTATGCCATGGGCACCATGGGTGGGAGGGAGGAGGAGATGGGGGAGGAGGAGATGGGGGAGGAGGAGGAGGCCGCAGGTGGACCTGGCCAGTCCTGGAGGAAGCTGGTTTGACTTGTACATATGATACCAATAGGGGTCGATTTGGACATTTGACAGGGAGACCTCCTGGGTGACAACAGAGAGCTCTTTACTGGTTACATCACAGGACCATTCCCATATGTAGTGGACCTTCTTGTCTTTGTTGGCAGCAGTGGGTTCGCCTTTTTCAGCTCTATACACAAGCAATATCTAAACGGCGGCCACCTCGTGCATGACAATGACGTTTGTAGAGGATGAAGACGGCTGCCGACATGTGTACAGTGCCATATGTTCAGCGTTTGCACCTGGCACCTGCCTCACCTTGATTTCTTGGACCGAGACTATGCTGTGCACAGTTTCACTACGACGTCCTCCTGCCTCCTATTTATCTGTGTTAGCTACGACGACCTCCTGAGACGTGACCTGAACTCCTCACCCCATTCCCGCCCAAGATGGACAAATCCTCCATAGCGCCTTGGGCACGACTGCCTCCTGAGATCAAAGCGAATATCATGGGACGCCTTGTACGAACAGACTTGAAGTCCTGCCGTCTACTGGACAAGTGTACCAGTCTGGCAGCCACGCGTGCTCTCTTCCAAACACTCTGTCTTTCGCCAAGTATGAACAGCGTCCACCGGTTGTCCAAAGTCGCAGCGCGGCCTGACCTCGCCAGTCAAGTGCATACCCTGCAGGTTCATCGGCACTATCTCAAAGCGGTGTCGTTCGACGAATGCATCAGAACCGGCCATCTGGCGGCCCGGCTTCAGAGACTGCCTCCTCTTGATGCAGCCTCGCATGCTCTGGAACTCTCGCGCGCATACAGGGACGAGCTAGACGCCCAACTTCGATTCCCAAACGAAGGTCCTCCTATGCTCTCAAGCTCGCTGAAGAAATTTCCGCGGCTTCAATGCTTTGTGCACCGCGGCACATTGACTCGAACCAAGGAAGGAGATTATCTCCTCGACGGAGACTCCGATTTGTTGAGACGGACGGGCATAAGAACGCTGGACGGTGGCAATCACTACCTGCTGATGAACTCGGTCTTGCAGAAGTGTCGGGGTATGAAGCCTGCATCCATCGACTTGTCATCGTTCTACTGGTGGGAGTTCTACAACTGCATGGAAATCCCACACGCAAAGGCGCTTTTGGAGAGAGTTACCAGCTTTAAGCTGACGTTCGAAGTGAAGAGTTTCGATCGACCGCCATGCCCTCTCAAGCCGACAAGCGCCCATTGGAGGAAAGGCCTGACAAAATACCTGGAGAGCCTCGCAGGATATCTGCCCGCGGCTGAACAGTTGTGGCTTGGTTTCGACGAATTGCCTGTCGGACATCAGAGAACCCATTTTGTTCGCCGCTACGCATTGACAAGAATGACTAGCCTGCTGCTCCGTTCTCCAAATCCCGAGACTCCTTTGTGCAGGTTGATTAGCCTCACTCTGGAAAACATAACGGCCCATCTGAAAGATGTATGCAATTTCATTGCACAACACTCCCAGACGCTTAGGTCGCTCACCATCATCAATCTTCGGCTGAGCGAGGCAGGTACACCCAGTGGAGGAATCTTGGCCTCAGTGATGAAGTTGGTCTCGTTCCTCAACAAAGAAACTCAGCTGGATAACTTTTCCTTGCAAGGCACTGTTCTGGATCCTGACGGCGCCAGGCTGATGTGCTGTCCAAAAGGGAAGGACAGTATTTTGCACGACGTTGAGGAATATGTTTGTCACCGCAGCAATTTCCCCTTCCACAGCCCTGAAATACTCCTTCGAGCGCTCGACACGTCTTGGCCCTCCGCCACGATCACAGGCAACAAGGTCACGATACCAGGTCCACGCAATAGTAGGGTTGAAATAATACTTGGGGGCGATGAATCGTGGTATGTTGAAGTGCCAGACTCTCCGCACCACTGACGAGGTCTTTGGCAGTCAGGAGTGGCAGGAAACGCAGGACGATGGAAGGTCTGTTGGGAAGGCGGATGGGATATGGATGCATGTCTTAGCAAGCGCTCGATGTAATCATTTGGCAGTAACTTGATTTGCTGCTGCGTGCTGTAGTCGTCTTATCAGTTAGGGGCAATTTCCATCAGCCGAACCTACAGCAATACTTGCAGCCACACCGGCCACTAGGTATTACAGAGCATATCGCAGCAAATAGAGTCCCTCCACGTGCACAGAGTTCCCCGAACTGTCTGAGATCGGTTTGAGCACGCAGAGAGTGCGCAAACAGCGGAAAGGTCTCTGCAGGAATTCCGTACGCTCGGATCCAGTCCAGAAGTCAAGGCGATGGACTCTCAACACCCAGGAATGTGGTTGCCCAGGACGTATCAAGATACATTGTATCGTCTCTCCTGTCAGCGCTGCTCTGTCCTCACTCTCAAGACTTCATCCGCGTCCCAACATCACCGACGAACCTTTCGAGGGAGGCCGCACAGTCCCGTCCCGTCGCTCCCCTGAGACCACAGAGAGAGAGGACCTCTTCGTCATGATCTGTGCTGGGTAAATCCAAACAAATTGGCACTCTGAACGTGTCTTGGGGTTTTCGGTCGTCTGGCAATTGCCAGAGGGTTTGGCTGTTGTATGTGCCCTGAGTGCCGCATTCGGTACATTTGTCCCACACATGCGGTGCTGGTGCAGGTGCCACGGTCACGCTGGAACGAGGTAGATACACCGAGCAGAACTTGTGCGATAGCGAGGGGAAGGAAAGCGACAAGACCTTTTGCCAATCGCGCAGAGGGGGATTTTCCGTCGTTTGTGTTGCGGTGTGCTGCCTTGTCTAGAGCATTGATATACATCCATCATTCTCGGCATCACCATCGGCCTCCACAGGGAGACAAAGCGTTTGGAAAGATGCATCCGATAGAAACGCGCCCTCGATTCTTCCCGAGACTTTTTGATTTCCTAAATCTCCGAAATTCCAACGAACCTGAACCTCCGAAATCTCTGACCCGCGATACTGCCCACAAACCAACCCCGTCGTCCGGGGGTGTGAATCATCATCACCTATCATCATCCATCATACTCGCCCGGTTTGCGGCTGCGACTCATAAACGCGTCGAGGTCCTTGTCGTAGATCTCGGCCTCGTCGCCTTGGCTGCCGCTCAGGAACGAATGCCACCTGACCTCCCCGCCTTCGATCATGATGGGCGTGGCGTACGGAGCGCGCTCGGGGCCCAGGTAGTCCCATAATCGACTCTGTGGTTTTGTGGGCAGCCAGTCAGGAACGAGCGCACCACTCTGCAAACCGAGTAACGACAATAACAACAACGTCCAGACCCGAGGAAGGTGTAAGGAAATCAGTACGTACCAGCTGGCCCCAGAGGCGCGCATTGACCTCCTTGCTCAACAGCATGGTCTCGGGATCAAAGTAGGGCAGCGTGGGCAGATCGTGGGTCTTCTTGGCCTGCATGCTCAGGTTCGTCCACTGCGTCTCGCACCACAGTTTCTTGCGGTAGTCATTGCGGTTCTGCTCCTCTTGTGACCCCCCGTGCGCCGACCTACCGGGCCGCGATGCAGAGGCGATGATGTCCCCCGCGGTCTTCCTCGTCGAGGTTGCTGCTGAGAATGATGACATGGCGTTTCGAGGGGGCTGCGGTCGGCGACGTGACAGCCACGGTCTCTAGAAGCGTCCTGGTGGACCTGTGACAGAGTGTTTACGGTGAACTGGCGACGCGAATCGTTCCTAGAATAGAGAGAAGAGAGAGAGAGAGAGATGACAGGCCGTCGCAAAGAAGTGATATAAGGCCTGGTCATGTGGTGCTCGGCAGGCTCGGGTAAATCTGCGCTATTTTTCCGATGTGCCACTCGTATCACTTGCTCAATGGTGACGTTGCGGGTTCATGTCAGTCGGTTATGGAACAATCAATTCTCGACGATAATTGTTTCTCTCAGCTATTTCGCTGTGGTGCTCGCGCAGCTAAAGTACAGGGTGTGATGTTGTGGGCTCCAGCCAAAGCCAGCAGTAGAGTACACAAAGTACAGGAGGAAGCCTACCCGCCATTGTCCCTCGAACAACCCTCGCTATCACATCGCTGACACAAGCGTCGTCACGTCATTGCATTTCATGTTTGACCCATCATCAGCTATCAGAACCAGCTCGCAAATCACACCTCGCTTTCGGATTTGTCCTATGTAGAAGCAACCTAGCTCACCACCGGCACATTGCTTTCACCTTTGTTTCATCGTCATGCATCTCATAGCTGCGCCGGGCAGTTTCGTGGAATGTTCGTCATCGTTTCTTGAAGGATAATTTCCAAGACATGATTTGGGGGTTGTCTGGATACCCAAATAAAGAGCCGCCTGGGCAGAAAGGCTATAATCACATATAACCACCCATTACAGCCGATCTCTTCCATTTCTGCGGCCATGCTTGTGCGCATGACGTTTGTGAGGGTTTGGTGTCGGACTGGCATCGTCTGCCATGGTGACAATCACGATTTCCTCAACCAGGATCAGATTCACCAGAACACCGTTACTCATATAGCTAGTCGTGGTGGTGAACTGACTGTTGGATGTGCATGGAGTTGTTGGCGAGGCGATGGGCGAAGATGCCGACATAGATCCAAGATTCTGTCCAACTGGAGCTGATATGGTGGTGTTTGCGATTGACGGAGAAGAGGTGGTGGCTGGTGCTGGAGCCCCGGGTATTGGTCCAATCGTCGCAGGCGCAGGGCCAGGCTGAACTTGGACATTACCAGGTAGCTGTTGCACAAAGTTGATTTGCTCGCGTTGAAGCACCTCGGGCACCTCCATCTGGCATTGTGTACCATCATCCACGTTTTGGAGTTTGAAGATTGGACAGTCATCCTGGTTTCCCGCGGTTCCCAGCGGAAGATTGCAGGCTGGGTCGTCGATGGCACTTTGTAAGACCCCTTCGTCCCAAGCGCACATAAAATCTCCATGGTAGCCATACCCAGTAGGGTCACCGTTGGCAAATGTAAACTCTCCATCAATACCTTTGAAAAGATTGGTTTGATAGATTGTCTCATAGAACAAGGCTGGCAAATGTACGGGATATCCCTCTGGACATCTCCCATTCTGGATCTCGTCTGGGTATGCGACATGGGTGGTATGATTTGCACTATCCAAATCCTTGCCATTCCAACATGACGGAAACATGATTTCTGCGCGCACTCCGTCCGCACATGTGGCATCAAGGAAAGTCTTGTTGCGGAGATAGTGGTATTCTCGTGCTCCTTCTGCTGGAAGTTGATAATTCAGACAGTTGAAGCCGAGAGCCTTTTCCATGAGTGCTTGTTGAGTTTTGTCACTGTCCTGCCAGTGTGACATTGGTGGATCTGGAACCGGGCCGTAAAAGGCGCGCTTGAGAGAGTTTCCTGCGATCATGCGGAAGTTCTGAGGGAATGCAACCACTGGTGTTGGTTGGTCTGCAGATGGCTCAGTGAAGTAATACCTACGGACAGTTAGAGTGTTGGACAAACGTTTGAGGAGAATCGTTTCTTACGCAGTCAGTCCGCCAGCAGTGGGAACCATCTCGAATGTGCCGTTTGCATGTTGGAAATACATGCGTGGGCTCCAGTAGACGGAATGGTCTTGGAGGATGGAGCAGCTGGTACAGTTGGAAGCCAGAAGCTCGTCGAGAGTAGGATCAAGTCCCATATCTGGAGGAATGCGTCAGTACAATTCTTGTGGGCTGTACGCGACAGTGTTGACTTACTAGAAGCACCAAACATAACATGAAGGTGTTGGGCAGGATTACCAGGGGCCATGATGGGGTCGACGCGACCGTTTCCCAATTCTCCATGGCAGAGATGACGGAAGAAGGCGCGAGCCGGGGTCAACAGGCAGAAGAAGAGTGCAAGGAGCATCAAGCGTGGCGCGGGAACGACAGCTTGAGCTTTGAGCTTGACTCTCGCGTTGGCCATGGCGGAGATTGGAGTGGTCTCTGGGATGAGCGCGTGAGAGAGGAATTGGTGGTCGCGGTAAGTCTTGTGGATTGAATTGGTTGAAGCGCGAGAGATCGGCTGGAAGGATGGAGGTTGGAAGATCAATGAACGAGTGGTGTAAGGGAGGGAAAATAAGGATGGACTGATTGATAATAAGGAGCGTGGGATGCCGGCAGACAAAGGGCAAAGTGAGGTGGTTGAGATGAATGAATGGACGCGAGAAGCGAGACTGAGGCGGATGATAGAGAGTCAAGAGACAAAGTCAGCGCTGGCATGTAGTAGAGGGGAAGGCGCTTTCGCCCACTTACCACTGTAAATTGCTGGGTGAGGCATACACTGCGCTTGTTGGTTCTTCACCAGCGACCTTCACTTGACCTCACCTCACTGTTGACCTTACAATCGACCAAGACGCGCTCCTTGCTTGCGCCCTCTGCCACTCTTGGTCTACCGCCACTAAACCGACCTGCGGCGCAAACGTCGATTCTGCCGACCGCAGTCTCGTCCTTGACTGTCTGCCTCAGCTAGCGAACCCGTTCCCAGTGACACGCGATCTCCCAGTCGCCGACTCGGTCAGCCTTTTCTCGTCCTTACAAACAGACCATCATCACAGACGATATACAAGATTGTGAAGAGCCAGGAAGAACTGTGACCGTCAATCAAACTATTTGCTGGGTTGAAGGATAGAGAGACTGCTTCAGTCAGCCAGCTGCGACGCCTTTCCAAGGTACGTGTCTCAACAGCTCTCTGGAAGCATAAGTTGTCAGAATTGCAAGGAGAGGACGTGGATGTGCAAGATGCACACACACAAACAGGAGGCAATGCCCAATAAATCCACAAAGACAGGAAGAACGCAATGCACACAATGAGACTGCAATCAACAAAGACTGCTTCACCAATCTCCTCTGCTCATCTTACAGACGTGGTCATTCGTTTGCACCTGTCTCCATTCGTTCCATCCTCTTCGCTTAGCAGGCCCGACCTGAAGGTCTGCAGCTGTGGCAGAACCATGGTTGAGTGCCCGGCTGAAATCCCAATTCCTGCTGGCTGCCTTCGCTCTTCCTGCATCAGCGGCAATGCAAAGGTAATGCAGGAGAAGGTCCAGCCGTTCATCTACCGTTCAACTCTTTGTTGTTGCACGTGTGGCATGGCATTTCTTTGTCATCGTTGCTGCACGCTGCCGTCTGCTAATCTCCGCCGAGGTACCATACTCTGGTTGGAGAGGCGAAAAAGCAGCTTCGATTGGAAGGAGCAACTTCAAATCGCCTTCAATGTCAATCATGATGCTTCCTTGACATGCCACGACTAGCCGGAATGTGCGAATGTGTACGCGTGTGAACAAAATGAGAACATCCCTTGCGTCACACTCCGCTAAGCTCAGGTACGAGCGCTTGCTATCAGCGACTCTCCAGGGCCTGGGAGAGATTGCTCCAGTCGACTTCGCAAGCAATCGCGGGTACATGGCAATCGTACCTGAGGTGGAGTGGAAAGGCAGAAGGAACAAACATCGGAGCAGAAAGAGAGTCCTTGAGACGACGACGTTTGTTAGGTTTGGTGAGCAGCGCTAAATTGGACAAAGCCGGTGCGAGATTGAGTCAAAACGAGTAGGGGTCCTCAGCCGGGTTCCGGATGCCGGTTCGCTGATTTCTGCCAGGGTTGTTCTGTTCGAGAAGCCTCTGTGTGTCCTACAAGCAGACCGACAGAATAAGGAAAACCACGATCGGGACCGCAACACGCAGACAGCACTCAAGGCGTCGATAGATCTCCGGATGATCCAATCGAAAGACTCCCGCAAAGTCTGCACTTGGCGTACCGAAGATCCTCGCTGATAGCCGCTGGTAGGCGAGGTGCCTAAAGCTTTCCCCTGTCAGGTCAACCAGGGGTTTGGAGTACTTAGTGCCTGTCGCAGGGCTCTGGACAACCAGAAGAAATTTTCTTAGGCACCGAAACCCTGGTATGCGGTAAAATTTGTAAGAGGGGATCATTAAAGAGACAAAATCCCACAAAAGATGGATGTGACAGCCATGACCTCAGCCGGTAAGCCTGGTACCCGTCAGATCTGCACGCTGGTCTAACTATCAACAGAGAGGGATGGTGAAATGGCTCTAACGCGAAGTATGTGGCACGAATTTTTGTGTCTTCCAGGAACTAACTCGTCTCTAGTGATGAGCAATAATATGTCTTCGTCTCATGTTCCCGAGGCTCGGGTTCTGATAATCATGACCGGGGGCACGATCTCCATGCAAAGGTCTCCCAATGGTCTTATTCCAGCTCGAAACTTTCTGGAAAGGTGCATGGCGCCCCGACCGGAATTCAACGATGGAGAGACCCATGATCCCATTTCTGTGAGGTTTCACGACGGACCCGAAGGCCTGGGCGAGTTCCAGAGTTTGCGGACGCCAACAAGCGTGTACGGGAAACGTGTCAGGAAAGTTGGCCATCTTCAAAACCCCAGAGCCTCGTCGCATAATGCATCGAAATCCGCCGTGACGAAAAGAACGAGTCGGAGGTGTTGCTAATACTCTCACAGATATGCCGTACTGGAATTCGAACCACTTCTCGACTCGTCATCCATTGACAGCAAAGGATGGGCGGAGATTGCGCAAGCGATATTTCGCAACTACAAGTTGTTCGATGGCTTTGTCGTTCTTCACGGCACAGACAGTCTTGCATACACCTGTTCAGCTCTCAGTTTCATGTTGCAGAACCTGGGCAAGCCTGTCATACTCACGGGTAAGTTGCGTCACCAGCGATCTTGCGGTGGGACGGAAGTTTTGCTCCAGGACCTCCATCTAACACGGCTCTTTCGAGGTGTTACCGGCGATGGTCTCGGTGGCTAGGAGGGGGATGGTCAGCGCTGGAATAGATGGCCGTTTTTCAAAACGGGGCTTTGGGCAAAAACGTGTGGACGAAGCTGACCTTTCTCAAAGGATCCCAGGTGCCTTTCTCCGAGCGCAAAAATGATGCTCTCGAGAATCTCCTCGACTCCCTGGACATTGCAGGGCACTTCATGATCCCCGAGGTTTGCCTCTGCTTCAACTCGACCCTGTTTCGGGGCAACCGAACCACAAAAGTATCAGCAAGCGCATTCGATGCATTTGCATCTCCGAACTTTCCTCCATTGGCCAAAATCACTGCCGTAGGTACCCACGTTGAATGGAATGCGGTCAAAAGATCGACCTCTCTGGAACCCTTCAGCATTCAACCAGACCTCGAGATACACCATGTGGCCTGTTTGCGCATTTTCCCAGGCATCAAACCGAAGATGGTAGAGGCGGTTCTGTGGACGGAAGGCCTTCGTGGGCTTGTCCTCGAGACGTTTGGTGCAGGCAATGCACCCAGTGGACACGACAACAAATTGACCCAGGTCATATCTGACGCTGTTCAACGTGGCATTGTGATCGTGAACGTCACTCAATGTCTGACTGGCAGTGTCAACCCACTCTATGCACCCGGAATGGTCCTTGGCCGAGCTGGCGTTGTTGCCGGAGGGGACATGACAAGTGAAGCCGCTTTGACCAAACTGTCTTACCTTCTTGCCCTTCCAGGAGCATCGCCAGAATCGGTGGCTAAAGACATGGCAACGTCAATTCGTGGTGAGCTCTCGGAGCACGCGGGGACCATTTTTAAACATCCGACGGGCGAGTTATCATCCCCCGTCACTCAGCTTACAGCCATTGCATACGCAATCGCCAGTGGAGATATTGAGAAGGTGAAGGACCTCCTTCGAAATGACAATCAACTGATCAACCGGGCCGACTACTCCGGGAACACACCCGTCCATCTTGCGGCAACTGGGCCTAATATTGCGATCCTCCGGCATCTTCTCTCGCTGGGTGCCTCGTAAGTTCAGAACAAGTCACTGTCGGCAGATGCTGTCCATATCGATCCAGGCTAACAAACCTTTGACAGGGTGCACATACGCAACCACACCGGATCGGGCAGGACACCTCTTTTCCTGGCTGCCAACGCTGGTTTATTGCCGCACGTAATGCTTTTAAGACAGGCAGGCGGACATCTCCATGCCGAAGAATTGGAGACGGCCAGACTCCACGCGAGCCAACGACCAGAGGTGTGGAAGCAGACAGGCCTGGGGGTGCCCTAAGGACCTGGAGACGGTGAGTTTCGAATGGGCTTCGAGGACCATCCTCAGGCCCTAGCGCAACTTTCCCAGCCTCCAGCCGTTCTAGCACATGGCTTCCAGAGGACGGTCCCCCTTGGTGGTGTGCACACTTGGTCGCCCATTGGATACCTACTACCGGGTGCTAAGTACACCAGGTCCGAAGTCCCTTCTGGGAAACAATGCCAGATCATCTGGAAAATGCCGCTGGCATTCACGCCTCGTGGCAGTACGGGACGCTACTGCTTTGCACTCGCTAAACAGGCGATGGCCAGCCATGAGCACACTCAGCAACCCAATTGTGCGATTTCCAAGACTCACGACACTGCTCGACGGGCTTGCGAAAGTCCAACACGATGGGGCCGCGGAGGTGCCCGGGGTCGAGATTGACACGTCTAACTTTGGTACCCGCCAACGGCGGCTTATGTTGTCCTCACAGCTGGAGCGGGATTGGGGACACTTGGAACCAAACAGTCATACCTACAACACCCACCGACTACCTGCTTCATCTGAATGAATGACATGGTCACCAAATGATCCTAGGACATCGGGTGAAGGCGCCACTGACGGAGACCTGGACCATTCTCGACCTAGGCGAGGCGAACCCAGCAAGCCTGGTTGGCACCATGGCATGCCGGGCGACCCTCACTTATGCTGGTTGCCACTCTCTCCCCCGCCTTTTCACAACCTGGCAACGGCCCCCGCATTTTATTCGCCAGCTGTGCCTGACCGTATGGCGGAAGTCGGCTGTCAACTCCTCGTCACCTACTACTGCGGCGTCGTTGTGCTACCCCCCCAACAAATTGAACCTATTTCAAAGGGAAATGATGGATTCGGGTTGTTATTCCTTACGGGCGGGCACTCAGGTCCGTCCTAATGTCGTGCTCAGCATGGACCCAGCACCCCGCCGCTACATTTCACTCCGGTTACGTAAAGAATAAGCTGCATCAGGTTTGGCGGTGATAGACCTTTTCACACACGGTCGCAGAATTTGCGCACCCAAAGGGTCCTCGAATAATGGGACCGAATTGACGCACGGAGTTCTTGTGACTCTCTTGCCCCTTATGGCGGAATCGGTTTTTTCTGGTTGTCCTCTAATCGTATGATACCTAGAAAGATTCTGAAAAGTACGGAGCGGTCCATTTTCGCTTTCTCATTTCTATCTTGACCCTATCGAAAACACTGTTGGCAACGCAGATTTTTTTTTCTTTTTTTAATATACGCTTGATCCTTTAAACGGAGATATTCTGTTCGCCTCTTGTGTCAGCCTCGCGCAGTCCATCGTCCCATACACACTCCCAGTTCCAGGCGTTAACTGTCTGACCTCGGGAGGCATATATTCGCCACATGCCCAATAGAAACAAGACCATAGCCATTGTCAACGGTACTGGTCGTCAGGCTGCGTCGGTCATTCGGGCAGTCGCAGCTGTCGGCTATGCTGTCCGCGCCCAGGTGCATTCGATAGAAGGCCTGGTGGCTGAAGAGCTTGCCGATTTACCCAATGTTAGGTTGTTCGAGGGGCCTCTGGTGAACAACCAAGTCCTCATCGACACAATCTTCGAAGGTGCTCAGATTGCCTTCATCAACACCAATCCCCTGGGTGGCGATGAGATCAAAATCGGCAAGGCTCTAGCCAACGCGGCGAAGAAGCGCAACATCCAGCATTTCATCTACAGCAGCATGCCTGACCATTCAATTCACAATCCACGCTGGCCAGCGCTTCCGCTTTGGGCATGCAAATTCACTGTTGAGAATTACATTCGGCAGCTTGGCCTCCCGGCAACCTTTGTTTATGCTGGAATCTACAACAACAATTTCACCAGCCTCCCGTACCCTTTATTTTGCATGGATTTCAAGGACGATGGAACCCTGGAATGGCGAGCACCTTTTCACCCAGATACCAAACTACCATGGCTGGATGCCGAGCACGATGTTGGGCCCGCTGTTTTGCAGATTTTCAAAGATGGACCCGGGAAATGGAACGGGCACAGGTACGTACCCGCGATCTCTTTTGCAGTAGGCCCCTAATTCTGGGAAACATGGCTTGTTCGCACCGCCCCGAACAGTCGAGAGTTTGTAGAGCGATCTTGTCCGGAAAATGTATCCAGTGTTACATGGCCTGGATGATCATATCCATTTTTGACGAGGTCAAAGTGGTGAGCGACACAAAGATAGTCTGGGGGCTAACAGGTTGATTCTCAGGATCGCCCTTGCATTCGAAATGCTCACCCCGCTACAAGTTTGTCAGGCATTTGAAAAGGCGTTAGACCGGCCGTGCAAATATGTTTTCAGCAAACGTGTCGAGGTGAAGGTGCCCATCCCAGACGGATACAGAGAGCAACTTGCCGGCATCGAAATCCTGTTTGGGGAGTACAATGCGCCGTACTTTCCCGGCCCAGATTTTGAGTATGACACAAGACGCAAAGGCAGCAATGATACCATCACAGGCAGAAGCAGCAACGAGGTGTCTCGCAAAACCAAATCGGGCAAACTGACGGACGAGGCTCGATCCCTCTGGCCGCCGTATAGATCCATCTATGAGTATGCCAAGGAGGCATTTGTTATTGAGGAAGAGGCAAACGGGAAAACTTGGATGATCGATAAAAGCGTCAGCACTTGAGGAAGCGGGCTTTCATCCCTCAGAGCCGACGATTCTTATGACCTTGACGACCCTGTGGTAATTACGTTTTGTGGTTAGGAACAAGCATAGCATGGGATGCATTTGTTTCGGGTTATTGGTGATAAAATTCCAGGACAGCTTCGCATTTAGATCCGAGACGGGAAGAAGGCGAGGGTTCGGTTCGTCTCGATAGAACTCATGCCTCTGCGTCGGCCATCTTAATTGTCTTCCAACAGCAGACTGAGGTGCAGAAATACGAGGTGCTTATCAAAAGTACATCGAGTCCAAAATCCGAAGGCGCATTTCTTCCTCTCCCCTCTTCTCTCCAGCATAGTGCGCGGGTTTTAGACACGGATCACATTCGACAGGCTAAACAGGACAGTGATCTTGCAGATCAATTAAGCCTCTTACCCTTGTCTTCATGATTCCAATACTAAGCAGAGAGGGACAGGACTATCATTACTGTTTTAACTCGTGTGCCCGGGGGCGCGTCCAGGGCCTCCCTGGTTCTTCATGTATATCCTCGAGGCCGATCACGGTCGAGGCACCGAAACAAACAGCAACCTAGAACGCTCTGGCCCGGGCCCTGTGCGGGAATCAAAGCCTTCCTTCCTACCGGAAGCTTTTCTCGCCCCTTGCAGAAGTTGTGTGGCCGCTTAAGCAGGCATAGGGCTATCGAAAAGCAGTAACTACTCATCGGATGTCCAAAAGTGACGAAGTTTGCGTGCATAGTATTACATGGTCGCGGCTGGCAAGTTCCACAGGGGGACCCTCAATTGCAATCAATGCGAGGAGGGGCTTTCCTAGGTTCTCAGGATCTTCTGGTCGTCTCCTCCCACTCGCACCAACCCTCATCATGGCGGTGGATTCCCTAATCTTCCACGTGGTAAGCCAGCACCGCTTAAAGGACTACCTAGGACGAATTCATCCGGTGGAGAGATCTACTGCAGAGCGGGATAAGCAAGGACACGGGCCCTATGTACCTAGGAGCCAGAAGCAAGATCCTAGCATCCACCAAGAGCCAGGGAGCATAGAGTGTTATAAAGAAAGCTGACTAAGGCACCGACTTGCTGTTGAATCCAGGATCCAAGGTTCGTTGAGTCTCCACGCCCCGTGTCCAGCCCCTTCTCAACACCCCCCAGCTTTTCTGTTCTTCGGTGGTTTCTGAACTCGATAGAGTGATAGACTGGTTTTGCGGACTGTTCTGCTGCGTCTACCACCGCTTGATAGACTTTTCAACTTTCTGCTCTTTCGCTTGCCGTTTCCAGCCCGGAGCCGGGACGCCAACATCCACCACCGCATCTAATAGAGCCGTGTAATCCGGATCCCAGGGCGACATCTGACTGTGGCCCAACATGTCCGACAAAGACGCCGCGACGCCGCGACTGTTTCTCATACGCCACGGTAAGACAGCCAATCCATTGTTTCCGAGATGGAGCCTCCACCTGGTGGTGTGGATGTACCATCTCTCTAGTCTGTAGGGAATGATTTGTGCCTCTACTCTACCTCGACAGCCGGTATTTTCAAGCTGACGCATTGCTGCCTCTACAGGTGAAACCGAATGGTCTCGTAATGGACGCTTTACAGGCATCACCGACCTCCCCCTTCTGCCCGACGGCGAAGAGAAGGTCCGCCAAACGGCCTCCGTCGTGTTCGGCCCCGGACGCTTAATAGACCCAAGCAAAGTGGCGTCCATTGTCTGCAGCCCGAGGCAACGTGCACAACGGACGCTCCAACTCCTCATGGACCAGATCCAAGACCCCCGCGCACGCACCGCGCTCGCCGGGAAGATTGACGCGACGGAAGACATCGCGGAATGGGGCTACGGCGACTACGAAGGCCTTCACCAGCACCAGATCGAATACCTCCGCAGGTCGAGGGGCTTGGACAAAGACCGACCCTGGGACATCTGGCGGGACGGCTGCGAGGGACCTGGAGGCCACACTCCCGCCCAGGTGACGGAGCGACTCGACCGGGTTATTGGGCAGATAACGTCGATCCACCGGCAAGGGTTGCAGGATGGCAATCGGAAATGCGATGCTGTGGTTGTGGCGCACGGCCATATCCTGCGAGCTTTTGTGAAACGGTGGCTGAAGCTGGAACTGGGCACCCCGATGGAGCTGATGCTTGAGCCTGGTGGCGTTTGCGGGTTGAGTTATGCTCACGGCGACGTCGAGGCCAGGGCAGTGCTTGTGGGCATGAGTTTCCCGGGCTCTGCATGATCCAACTCTGCGTCTTTTGGGCTTTGCCCATCCCCGTCCATGCTGCGCTCTTTCTCTGCCCCTTCGGCCTTTGGGTTAACAACCCTTGCCCCAGAGTGGCAGGTTCACAGACTCGCCGGTCTGAGGGATTCTCTTCTGGTGCTACGGGATCCTTCGCCTGTTCGCCTCTCTCCTAGACTCTTTGCCTAATTAGAAATAGATATGTCAAATAGACTCAAATGCTACCTCGGCGCAGAAGGGCTGTTCCTGGAGGGACCTAGGCAGAAGCACATCCCCTCTCTCCCCTTCATAAGAGTTGTGGTTTTCTGGGCAACCATGCAAGCTTGAGCACTTGACGTCACTTTTTGCGATAAGAGAATTGGTTTTATCGGATAGAAATATCGAGAAGGAAAAAAAAGCTTATCGCAGCTCCAGAGGATCTCGCAGCTCGCCTATCCGAACTCTCCACCACCACAGCGACCCGTGGCTCCCCCGATATCAACCCGACAACTACCATTCGCCAAGTCGTCCAGCTCACCTTGCCGAGTCCCTAACCTCGACCTCTCTTCGTATAATCAAGAGGAGGGCTTCCTCAGCCTCGTTGGTCAGCACACGCAGGCAGGCCAACTCCTACTCGACGAAGCAGTCGCACCCGGCGTATTGCTGTTGTGAGCGTCGTGTTTTCCCCCCTTATCACGTCCTGGGCTGGGGGACCATGCTCAGATGATCGCAGCAAGCTTCTAATCCAAGCCTAGCCCGAGCATAGATAACGGCGTGGGATCGAGCAGTCGGCGCGGTCACAAAACCTGCCCAGTGCCCACGAGCTAGGTCAGATCTGCATAGGGACTACCACGGCCCATGCGACCCCAGTGCCCATCGACCACGCCTTGCCAGAGATAACAAATACCCCCCGATCTTAGAGAACAGACACAAGCTCTCGTGACCAATTGCTTGTGCAGGTTGCTTGTGTCGGCCCCCCCAGCTCTTCCAAGCCAGGTACCCGGGATGGAGCTATCCACCTGAGCGCGGCATCTCGTCGTCATGGTCTCAGAGCCCGCTCGCCTCCGACGGGTTTCGATGCGTCGAATACGTCGCCTGCCAGAGCTGCTCGAGCCACGAAAGCAGCAGCTACTGCCGATGAACGAGGGGGGAGCTTGGAGCTTTGGAGCTCCGACCGAGGGATCAAAAGGTAGGGACGGTCCCCTCTTCTCTTGCGGTGAGTGTGCCAGTCTTTTTTTTTTTTGGCTCTATACCTGCTCGCGTGCTCGGGCAGAGACAGCTGTGCTGCGTGTTTTCCTTGAGTGCTGGCAGTCGAGCTTTCATAGCATCTGTCCCATCATGCGTCCCTCCGCCCTGCTCAAGCTGCTTGGTGCAGCGGCAACCTTGATTTCCACGTCGACGGCATCCCCAGTCGAACGGCGCGGCGATGTCGTCAAGCGAGCTGCACCCATCTCCCCCAAGGTCGTCATCATCAGCATGTTTGCCCCCGAGGCCGAGGTCTGGTACGGCATCAAGCAGTTCGACCTCCTCGCCCAGAACATCACGGTCTCGGGCCTCTCGCCCCTGTTCCCCGAAGTCCACTGCACCGCCAAGGGCGACGTCTGCCAGGTGGTGACGGGGGAGTCGGAAATCAACGCGGCCTCGACCATCAGCGCCTTCGTGCACAGCCCCAAGTTCAACCTCACCAAGACATACTTCATGGTCGCGGGGATCGCGGGCGTGAACCCCAAGGTGGCGACGCTGGGGTCCGTGACGTTTGCCAAATACGCGGTCCAGGTGGCCTTGCAGTACGAGTTCGACATAAGAGACATACCCTCGAACTTCACGACCGGGTACATCCCATTCGGCGTCGACGCGCCGGACGACTATCCTGAAACGTAAGTTTTTGTCTCCATGGAGAGAAACCCCCCCCCCCCCCCCCCCCAAAAGTTCCCCAGGAAATGCTTGTCCGGGGATATAACAAAAGGAGGGGGCGTATGCTTTTTGTGAGCGTGAGTGCAAGTGGCAGGGGCTAACCTAGACGTCGTGTCTCCGTGTTATAGGATCTACGGCACCGAGGTGTTTGAGGTCAACGAGGCGCTGCGCGACGTGGCCATCAGCCTGGCGTCGGGGGCCAAACTCAACGACTCGGCGGCCAGCCAGGAGTACCGGGCCAAGTACGCGGCGGCGAGCATCTACGCGGCGGGGGCGCAGGGCCCGAGCGTGGTGGGCTGCGACGTGGCGACGTCGGACGTGTACTACTCCGGGACGCACCTGTCCGAGGCGTTTGAGAACACGACCACCATCTGGACCAACGGGTCGGGCGTGTACTGCACGACGGCCCAGGAGGACAACGCGAGCCTGGAGGCCATCCTGCGCGCCGCCGCCAGCAACCTGACCGACTTCGCGCGCGTCATCGTCATGCGCACCGCCTCGGACTTTGACCGCCCGCCCCCGTCCGTCAGCGAGATCCAGAACCTGCTGTACGTCGACCAGGGCGGCTTCTCGCCGGCCATCGACAACATCTACCTCGCGGGCGTGCGCGTCGTCGAGGGCATCCTCGCCGGCTGGAACAGCACCTTCGCCAAGGGCATCGCGCCCACCAACTACGTCGGCGACATCTTCGCCACCCTCGGCGGCGAGCCGGACTTTGGCCAGCCCGCCGAGTTCATCACCAAGCGGCGGAAGAGGGACCTCGCCGGCCCCCGCGAGGACCAGTTCCAGGGCAATCTCAGGATGAAGCGCGCCGCCGAGAGCGCGAGGCGGCGCCTGGCCGTTGCAAAGGCCAGGGGCACCATGCCCTGATGGCGGAGTGACCCAATGCGTATAAGACGCTCGGCTCCGGGGGAGCTGGGCAGAAAAATATAGCACCCACCGACAGATTAATGGTATGACACGAGGTAGCTCTGAGTATGTGTACTCGTAGCTTGAGCAGCCCGATTCATGATGACCCGGCAGTATGTGAGAGAGAAACGTCTTAGATCTATGCTTCTCATTTATCGTTTTCTTTCCATTCCATCCAAACCACCGCGAACTGATATCTCCCAACTATTCACGGTTATTCCGTCCACTCGACCTCCATCATCGTCCTGCATTATCACCTCTTTCCCTTCCCTTTACCCCCTCCTTTTGACTTGCCCGTCTCCTTTTCCTCGCCATGCTCCTTCGCAAATCCGCCCTTGACCAGACTCTCCCTCGCGACTTGGTTGATGAGCCGAAACCGGTCCGGTCCGAGTTTGACCCCGCCATACCACCGCGTGACCACCACCATGCAGTTCCACACATCCATAAGCTGCATAAGGTGCAGCAGTCGGCCCCCTGCGGCAGTCTCACCGTCATCGTCGGAGTCCTGGACCGTGATGACCGCGCCAGTCTGCGAGTGGGCTGACTGTATGCGCCAGGCGCTTATGTTGTGCGTGGCACTGGCGACCTTCTTGTTGGAGGCGAGGAGATGCGAGAGGGAGGCCTGCGCTTCATCCAGCGACTGCACGGGGCAGGCACGGGCGACAAACGTGGATCGGCTGACCGTCAGGGGCTCCGAAAGGGTCCAGTTCGGCGGAGGTGTATCTGAGGAAGCTACGGCGGCGTTAGAGGGGACGTCCATCGCGGAGGATTCGTGGCCAGGCTCGGAAAGGAGGGCGTGGCCATCGTGGTGGATGGATGGGTGCGTGTGCGAGGATGAGGCAGACCTATTCGCGTTCGCAGCGCTTTGCTCGACGGCTTGAGTCGTCGCAAGTTCACCGGGCTCGCCCTCATATTGCCTCTGTGAGAGCAGCGGACCAGCTTCCTCGACCAAATCGAACAGGCACACCTGGCCCTCGGTCCACACCCTTGCGAGCACGTCGCGCAGGATGTGGACGGCGACCTCACCCTCTCCTTTCCGCCCACTGTCACCCGTTGACTGTGTTTTTAATATTTCCGGAGGGACATCCGGGTATTCCGCAGGGAAAGAGATCAGCAGGGAAATTTCAGATCCTGGGAGACGTAGAGCCCCGAGGATCGAAGGTCCGGCGGGGGATTGGAGGACAACAGTATCCGAACCGTAAATGGAGTTCAAGGCTTCGACCTCGTCAGCAAGAGCGACATTGGAGGTCGCGATGCCATCGTCAGTGTAACTGCCATCTCCCGAAGGCATGAGTTGGAGGAAAGACGGGATGAGGATGCGGACAAGCAGCGATTGAGGGAGGAGATGGGAAATCATTTCGGGAAAGTTGCCTCCCCGCCTCTAATAAAGTATTGGAGAAACAGTTGGCGCCGGCATCGGTGCCAGTGCTATTAATCGAAGCCTTATTCAGCCTCGTCCAGCTGCCATGAGCAATGGGACACGCAGCCATCATAAAGGCAGCTCGAACAAGGAGCGATGCCTGTATCCACCGGTCTGAGAGACCGAGTTGCAGAATGCAAACCCACTTCCAACATTCATTCGTATCAAGCAACAAGATTGATCTCCTTATTGACATCCCCTGTGCTATCCTTTCCCCGTCCTATCTTTGATTTGTGCCTTATCTCCTTCCATGAGCTATTCAATTCCACCCTTAAGGCGCCGCTGGGGTAGTTGATGGGAGACTCTCCGCCTTTGAAGATGAGAATGTCATAAACGCTCGCACCCGCGAGTCCACCAGTGAGCGTAGCGATCCAGGGTCCCCAAATCCACCACCAACTATCTTGGGTGAACACATGGATACCTGAGCCCGCCATTAATGTTATCAGACGGGGCCCGAAATCACGCGCAGGGTTGAGAGCTGCGCCAGTGTTGTAGGAGAAGGCCATGGAGAGAGCCATGACCAGTAGGGCGATGATAAATGCATGCATACCTGCTCCCGGCGGTGCGTTGTCGTCGTCCCCTAGTGCGAGCACGGAGCAGGCTGCGATCCCGGTGGCGACAAATTCGTTAAAGAAGGCAGCGACATTACTCAATCCTCCACGGGGTTGCGTGTAGAAGGCAGGTCCGACGCGCGCAATGTCTGAAGCCGTGTACTGGTCGATGGCGTCACTGTAGAGACCAAACACGAGTGCCGCCGCGGTGATGCTGCCAAGGAACTGGGCGGCAATATATTGCCAGCAGAGCCGCCATGGAAAGCCACGAAAGATGGACAGGACGACTGAGATCGTGGGGTTCAGATGAGCACCAGAGATCCCACCTGCAATATAAATTCCCATCATCACGCCAAACCCCCATGCCATGTACGCAGTAAGGAGACTTCCATAGTCGCTGCCCGCGGTCATGTGAACGATAGATCCCGAGAGACCCAGCGTCATGAAGACCAGGGTGCCGAGAAATTCGGCGAACGGCCTCCGATATTTCTGCCGTATGGGCCCCCAGGCATTGTAGAATCGTGGGCGAGAGGGGTCATGCAGTTGCGAGAACCGTTCTAGCAACGTGTCTCCTGAGGGATGATATTCTTCCCAGTCAATGTTCGGTGGACACTGTCGCAAGCCACTTTCGTACTCAGCCGTGTCTGCAAGTTGCTGTAGTCGTCGCCGGGCCGATTCAACAGCTGACTCACTCCTCACGGCCCGTTCCAGTTCGTGTCCAACGACCAACTCTTGCGTCCGATCTATGGAAGAATCATGGGCCGTCGAGCCGCTCGGAGACGTGTAGGCGTGGGTACCGGTCCCTTGAATTTCCTCATCCCTCTGTCCTTCTGTAGATGACGTACGGGCTTTGTCGTGTGCACTGATATTCTCAGCAACCAGTTCGCGTTCCTTCCGCCTCGTTTCTGCGCTGAGAATGCCAGGTTGTTGGACAGTATTGTGCGGGACAATTGGATCGCTAAGATATGAGGAGACATTGGCAGTGGTTGCTCGACGAAGGAGATCTGGCCCCCGAGTAGAAGTTTGAGTATCAGCACTTCTCCGGGGCGGATAGTCATGTTGCTGCTCTCCGTGCCTGAGAGGGCTGGCCTCCATCCGAGGTGCTGGGGGTATTCCAGTGGACGATTGTTGCTGTGCTGGCTCGCGAGCATGCCGCCGGGTTCGTGTTGGCTCCTCTGTGGATTCTCCCTCCAGTCTCGTGGTTGGAGACCGCATACCTCGACGCCTGACTCGGGGCAAAGGTGCCGCCAAACCCCAGATCGGCTCGTTAGGCGGCTGTCCATATTCGGGACAGGATTCTTGATATTCCTGACTGACAAAACTCCGTTGTTCTCTGGAAGGATGGCTAACTCTCGGACCTGCGAGAGAGAAAGGAACAGATTCGTGCGTAGGTACCGATCTTAATCTCCTCGCATCATGGGCAAATGAGTGGGGGCTGGCTCGGACTGAAGGGAGATCTCGCGACATGGCGTTCAATGGTGCTGAATGATACTTGAACAGAAGAGGAATCACGAACACCAAACGTATAAACGACTAAGAGAGACAAAGATGGAGATTAGTCCAGGAGAGACCAAATAAGAAATATCAACTCCCGGCCAATGTCACAGCTCAGCGGTAAGGAACCACGTGGAGCAGTTGGTCAGGAACGCTCAGAACGAGGCTCCTTCCTTCCAATGACGGCGCGGGTTACGAGGTTCAAGCGACCGTGAAAGGTATGCAGTGGCGATCATCAAATCATGGATCATCGACCAGCGACTCTCCGTCAGCGAAAGGGTGGAGAGGCACCGAGGGGTTCCCCTTGTCGGTCCATAGAGGCAAAGAGGAGGCGAGCGGAACGTATAACGATGGAGAAGCGAGGAACGTCATTGCGAACGAAGATCAGGGATCGGCGAACCCAGCCGTCCACCAACACGACGCCATGGAGCGAGTGAGGGATGAATTGGTGCCGTGATGAGAAGGAGGATGAATATTGCAGAGAGCAGTACAACGAAGAAGTGAATGACTCGGGCCAGACTGCGCCGTTATGTACTTGTCCCACGAGCTCACGCCCAGTAGCCTGCGGTTGTGCTCTTTCTGGCCAACCTCAATCCTGCAATCCTGCAATCCTCTGCCATACTCACTGACGACACCCACAGACACATCTCACACCCTGAGCTCCCTGACGGACCAGCATGAACCCGCTCCCCTCTCCGACGTGACCTCCGAGAATGCCGCCGCCATCGGAAAATCAGGTGCAGGGCAACCAGGATTTCCCGACCATCAACCGGGCTGACATTCCCCGATGCCTCGCCAAAGTCTTGAATAAGCCCTCATTCTCACTTTTTTCAGCGTTATTGGCCACCGATGCTGTACCAAGACCGCGGGGAGTCGCACTCTATGGAGAAGCGTATTCGCACAGTCAACGGAAAGCCTGACTTCTGCGTGGAAGAGCGGGGTGATGAACAGACAGCAGAGGACTGATGGGTTGTCATAAAGGATGGCTTAGACGGAGACTGAGAGAAGGTAACAGCTCTGATTCCTCGCATTGTACTCAGTCTTGCCCCCATTATTCCCAGACTACATACCAGCAATGAGCGGCAAATACCACATCAAAAACGCAACTGTCCTTTCCATCGACCCGTCTTTGGGCACGATCCAGAACTGCGATGTTCTCATCGACGACCATATCATTACCGACGTCGGCCCCAATCTCACACCGACAGCGTCAGAGCAATACACTGTCATTGACGCCACCAACGCTATAGTCTCCCCAGGGTTCGTCGATACCCATCGACACACCTGGCAGACCCAATTGCGCACCATCTGCTCCGATCATGTCCTAGGTGAATACTTCCTCCACATCCGCAGCATCTATGGCTCCTGCTACTCCGACCGAGACGCGTACTTGGGGAACTACTGCGGCGCTCTGGAAAGCATTGACAATGGTATCACCTTTCTGATTGATCACTCGCATATTATGAACTCCCCAGACCATGCCAATGCTGCCGTACAAGGACTAAGGGATGCGAAGATCCGTGCGGTTTTCTGCTATGGATTATATGCCAATCCTGCCTGGCCGGGCTCGTGCATGGACCCTGACCGAGAGACTAAGACGCCTGAATGGAGATTTGAGGATGCGAAGCGCGTGAGGGAGACGCTGTTCAAGTTGAACCAGCCGACAGACTTGGTTCGGTTTGGCTTCGCACCGGCGGAAATCGAACGCGTCGGTATTGATGATGCTGTCAAGGAAGTCGAGTATGGCCGATCATTGGGTTCGGCGATCATCACCGGCCATGTGTCGATGGGCAAGTACGATCGCGGCTTACACTTAGTTCGGCACTTTGAAGAGCGCAGTCTCCTTGCACCAGACCTACTGTTCAGCCATTGTGCTAGTTTACACGACGACGAGCTTGAGGCTGTTTGCAAGCGTGGTGTCTCCCTCTCCAGCACGCCAGACACAGAGTTACAGATGGGAATGGGCCATCCTGTCGCCTTCAAGGCAAAAGGCAAAGGGTGTACCGCCAGCATTGGCGTCGACGTGGTCTCGAACAACCCGGCCGACATGTTTCAGCAGATGCGGTTGCTGCTTCAGGCTCAACGACACCTTGAACATTACGCGCAAGCTGGCCCACCGTGGAGCATCTCCAGAGGTTGCGCCGAGGTTTTGGAGATGGCCACCATGGGCGGCGCAAAGGCTGTGGGACTGAAAGATGTGATTGGCAGCATCACGCCAGGCAAAAGGGCTGACTTGATCATCACCCGATGCGACTCGACCAGGATGACGCCGGTGCATGACCCTGTCGCCGCGCTGGTTCTCTACGCGAACGCCTCAGACATCGACACCGTATTTATCGACGGCGAAATGGTCAAACACAAGGGCCAACTGGTCGGCGTAGACTGGCCCACTGTCCGCAGCGAGCTCAGGGAGTCGGCGGCTAACATCATCCAGCGGTCCAAGAAGGCCCCCTTCGAGCAGATCAAGGAAGCTGTCATTGCGACCATGAAAGCCTTTGCCGGCAACGCCTGAGAAAGTGATAAGGGAAAGGCTTTGCTCTGCCACACACACACGTACGTGCCGAGATGTGGGAACTTGTAATGATGACGAGGCCTTTGCGGGTCCCAAGCGACGTGTCGGATTGTTATCTCATCTCATAGCCTCGACGATGGAGAATTTGGTAGCTGATGCAATCAAATACCGAGTACTCCTTTCGTGGAGGTTGTCAGCTGAATCCAGTGGTTGTATCAGGGGCCTGAGCCGCAAAAAGAGACTCGCTGTCTGAAAATAATGTGATTCACTTGAAACCCGTTCAATGTAACACCCTGCAATGTCCGGTCCACATTGACTGAGGACTACGGAGTACATGGATACATGTCTCGACATAGTTTTCCCCCTTTTCCCCATCAGTCATACTATGAACGTCGGTAGACCCGACATCTTTGTTCTTTTTTGCTTCGCCTCCCTTTGTGGTTCGCACCGACATGTGTCAATCCCTATCGTGGGAGGACGGGCACTCGTCGCCGCCTATCTTGTCCAACCCAGTCCAATCCAAGGTATCACGATAGCTAGGCTTCGCCAGCAATTACCCCCCATCGAGGGCGCAGGACGCGAATTCACTAAGCAGGGCCGGAAGGCCACAGCTCCAAAAAGTCGAGACTTGAGGGACTGGCCTCGAAGAGTGAAAAGTCCATCGCCTGGCCATTGGGGAAGGAATCGAGCATCTCGGGGTCGTGGAAAGGGCGAAAAAAGTCCAGCGATGGCATACCGGGGGGGCTTACTTCGATGGGCGGTGGCGGTGGCGGTGCGTACGGGAAGGGCGGCGGTAACGGCATCGACAATAACTCTCCAGAAATTTGTTGTCGCGCTCGGTCACAATCTCGCCGACTGGGCGGTGCGACTGCTTGTGTAAGGGAACGGGAACGAGACGTTTGTAGCGGCTTGGGCTGGATGGCGGCGTCCACCACGAGTTCTCTCCCGCGCATATCAAGTGCCGCACGACCTGTGACGAACTCACCATCACTCTCATCTTCGGGCCCAAGATCCGCGACCTCTTCGCCCTGACTGGGCAAGGCATTGCCATTTCTCCACAGTATACGGTTGTGCCCCAGGATGGACTCTCTAGCGTGGACCGCGTTGGTCCTGAAGCTTGTGAGCTTCTTTGGGTCAATATACTTCGGCTCGTTTTCGAGTATTGTAGGGTGGTTAGCATGAATCTGGTAGATGTACCGCACATGGCTTTCCTGGTCACAACGCGTATTAGCAAGAGTCAACCGTATTACTTTCCAATGGTGATGACTGCCCATACCAACAAGGCTGCAAACTTCCAATATTTTGCTAGGGTACGTATCATCTTGGTATTGGCCCTGACGTGTTCGTACGCCCTTTGCTTCACCGTCGGCTCGGTAGACCACATGAAAGGGATCTGTATGGCAGCGCCACAATATGCAGCATAGGCTACGAAACTTGGTATTGCGCTAAGTCGACGAAAAGATGAGAGGACTGCGTCGATCAGCACTGAAGCGGCGCAGGCGTTGTCGTAGGCCACCTGGGCAGACATCTGTCTTGCCGCAGACCACGTCGCGTCAGCTGCACTCCAGCAAAAGAGAGGCACTACTGAGGCGTGGAGAGCGCAAAGACACTGATGATGCACAATGTGAAGGAGTAGCAGGTTCGGAAGAGCCTCGTCGGGTATCTCTGTGACCAAGTCAACCGTCAACTGAAGCGAGTCTGGAAGTTCGGTCCGCCATTTCGATATCCGATCATCGAGGGCGTAGATCGCCTGAAGCCTCTCGCTAGTGCTGGACTCCGGAGATTTCACCAGAGCATTGACCTCGCACCTTGAATGCACAGTTAGTACAGGTGGGAGCTTGCGTTTGGAGGGTTCGCGTTTTGGGAACCTGTTCTCACCAAAATGTCAAGGCTTTGATTAGTTCGGCGAATATGCCACCATTGCTGTCTCCGGACTTCAAACAGACTCTGGCATTGGTCGCAACGCCAGCATCGAAATCCTCCTCGGTCCACGGCAACGTGAGGTTCAGAGTGTTTTCGGCAGACGCTCCCACAGCACACGTTTCGATGGCATGGCAATGCATGAGATAACAAGCCCAAAACCGACGGCGACGTATTTCTGACTGCCACATGTCTTCTTTACCTGGTCGGTCCGTTCCGAGCCCGAGGAGGTGCGCAATTTGTGCTGCAGTGCCTGGCATTTCGTCAGTCGAGATATGTCATGGCATGACGCGAGCTTGCTGCACAACCTTTGTGAATGACAGATCTACGCCATGAGCCCTGACTGTACCAGAAAAGTGCAAGGTTCATGAACGTCACGATGTGCTCGTCGGTTGGGTTCTCCACTTCTTGAAAGGCAAGCTTGCCTGCTTGGTCTGCCCACTCCGTACTGAAATCGTGGTTGCAAAGAGCTGATCGACCGTCAGGGCCTCGATAAAAACTGGGGATCAAAGGTCAGAAGTGTTCTCTAGTCCGCAGAAAGTTTGCTCTTATCTCACTTCAAAGCCCAGGCACATACGCTAAGGACGACATGAGGACGAGCTGTACCCGATGCTATTGCTTCAATGAACAGTCTCTTGTGCAGTAAAAGAGAGGCGTTATACACGCTGGCGTAATAGACGTCGACGAGAGTCATGATTAGAGTCATCGGAATGCCGACATAGGAGCCTTGGGGCGGAAATTCCGGGCGCACTGCAGGCCCATGCCATTGTGGCATCGGTGCTTTTGTCGCATTCTGAATCCTAGGGTCGGAGGGTCGTGTTATGTTAGGACTGGATGAGGACGTTGATGGCTGCGGCCGATCCGTGCTCACTGAGTGCGAAGTTGCTTTCGAGCTCCGTTGGCCATCAGTCGCTTTGTAGAGACATAGATGATTCGACCTTGAGCATCTTTTGCAAGTCGGCTTTTCTCCCGAGCAGCGAACCTATCACAACCTATCAACTCACAAGGTACGGCGCGATGATGTTGGGGTTTCATACCTTTTGGTTCTTGCACCGGCTGCAGGCTTTCCTCGGTCGACCTGCTCCAGCCAGCATGAGATGCGTCGTCTATGGAATAGGTCTCTTCCGTCGAATTTCCGACAGAGACTAGAATTGCGAGGCGCCCGTGGCCTCGTCGCAGAAGGGCTGGAGAGTTAGAACGTGAATCCTGGAGAACGCTGTCCTCGGGAAATGGAGAATGGAGAGGTGTGGGCTTCGGAAAATCACTTGACCTTCTGCCTGCGCCTGCGCCTCTACGTCTCGCGTATCTGCCGTCTTCCTCGGCTGGATGAGTAAGATGCAAGAGCCCTGCTCTCTCTAGTCTCCGGCCACGAGGAAGAGCATGGTAATTTAGGCAGAAGAAAATTCTTGTTGGAGCAAAAAGAGTCAGACGACAGGGAACGATCCATATCACAGATGCTCAAGTCGCCCTACACAAGCAGAGCGTGACACCCAGGGGAAAATGCCATAGATTGACGCTGGCGAGGACTGGCGGCACGGCTCAATCGTCATTGCCACTTCTCGGAATGTCCTTTCCTCCTTCTCCTAGTTCTTCCTGAAGTCTTTCTCCGCCCACAAGTACTGGCTGGCAGTCCTGCAAGACAAACAGCATCCTCGTCCAGTCCGTTTTGCTCGGATTTCTCCACGCGTGGTTGGTCCCCCGCTGCACTGCAACGTCTCCCCGCTTCAAAAGAGTGACGCTGCCATCGTCCAATTCCATCTCGATGGTGCCTTCCAACACTACCCCATAGTCGAGGCTTTGCGTGCGATGCATCAGTGGAGTGCCTCCCGGACCAAAATCAACAATACGACAGACGGTACCGCCTTTCTTGACAAGTCCGAGCTTACCACTGGACATGGTCGCCTTGTGGGTTTCGATGTCGACATCGTCGTTCAGTGAGACCGGGAAAGACGAGGTAGTGTACACCACGTTGAATCCAACGGCCCTTTCAGGGAACCAGTTCCATTGGTTCTGGGACGAAGAGTAGACTGTAGCTTTGCCAGAGGAGTTGTGAGTTGTGATATGGACGGTAGGGTCCGGGAGAGCAGAGGGAAGTGGTTCGGTAGAGGTCATTTTGATATTCGAAACCGAGACGATGGGTTGTGTACAAGGCTTGGAGTGAAAGGGAAGAAGAGCCCAGAGATGGTCAGCAAAGGGCTATATTCAAACGGGCTGTAGCCTGGTTATGAAGAGGAAAACCATGGTCCTGTTCATCCCACACCTCGGTTCCAAGTGATATATGGATTACCTCGTAATCTTCTGAAATGATTCGTGGACAAAGGGTTGGCACGCTGCACCCAAGAAGTTTACTCTTGAGGAGTTGCTGCATGCTCGGGAAAAGCATTGTTGTCCTACACACGAAAAGTATCGGAAAATTGTAGGATTGGCGGCTCGCATTTTGGTTGCGCAGACTTACCCATGCGAACTTGTGAGGCACGAGAAAAGTATCGTCCAACCCAGCCACGGGTTTTCAGGACGATATAATCTGGTGCTCTCGCAGCACATCATCAACGATAGTGCTCACTCTTCTTCGTCCGTCACAGCGGAAATTATTGTTTCAGGGTGTGGAAATCCTTGATGCTCAGAGCAAAGCTCCTTTCTCTCTCGGCTATTCGCAAGGTGACACTCGACCCGGAATGAGGCTGTGTTCTCTTCGGCCCCCTAGGTCATGCCCAGGAGGAATCTCAATCGAGTTGCAAGCAGGAGAGAACGACCCGTCATGGAAATGAGACTGGGAGCCAATTTGGCATGTGGGGTAACGCTTTGCATTCATGGTTCCTGGGCATGGTCGATGGTCGGGGGAAGCGTGGCCGGCGTCTCATATCAGCAGTTTCATGCTTGTCTCGTCCGAGAAACTGGAGTTGGATGACGACCATTTTAGGGTCCGCTGGAGCTCGAGGCATTAAACAATCGAATGTCTGAAGCAGGAAAGGAAAAATTTTCAGGTCAAAAACCCCGGGGTGGTTACCTATTTCAGGGGAGCGCTTCCGACCTTTGTCTGATTAGGTGGTTCTTGTGGACACCCGTCACCACAACGTGGGGTTTCACGCATGCTGGATGTCGGTAACAGGACGAGAAGCCCTGCACGCCTGGTTCCGTTTGAAGAGAAAAAAAGGAGAGACGATGGCGAGAAAAAGAAAATCGAGCTGTGCCGCCAATACTTACGCACTCCTGCTTTTGTCATCCGGAACTCGCAGGATCATTATTCCGCTTCATCCGTCATCTTGGTAGGACAGTCCCTTGTCCTCAAGCTGTACCGAGCATTCAGTACGGAGTACTCTCCTGGCATCTGCTGGAGGTCGGTTGACTATCCTCGCTATCTGACCTTTTACTCTATGTTGACAAGCCCAGCGCACGAGCCAGTGGGAAGCCTGCGTTTCCACAGCAGTCACCACTGACCAAGGGTGTCTTCACAGGGGTTCAATCCTTCTCTCGCAGTATAGCACTGACAAGATGGAGCAGCAAAGCCTTGGCAACTGTCACTATGCGGAATCATGTAGTTCCATGTGGTTGGGATGTAGAAGGTTGACGTGATGACGGTGTGCAGCCGAGCCAAACATGACAATGATGACAAGGTGAAGGAGGATGAGATGACCAGCTATCTTGTTGTGCAGGACGAGGCGAGTGGCAAGCTTTCCCTAGACCAGCTAGCTACTCAGATAGGATATGAAGAAGGGATTTGATCGGAGGCCGTATTCATGCCCTAAGCCCTACCCCTTTCCTGTTCGCAGTGGTTTGGTGACAAAGAGGGAGTGTGGGAGCGTTCACATACTTAGGGCACAGTGCACTGCCACAAGAATAGCAGCAACATACAAGGGGGTGGGTTGATGGAGCTTCTCCGGGCCGGTCAGATGCAGCACTGACAAAGGGCAGTGATCAGAGGATCCGGTTACGAATCAGGATACGTGTGTAGGTGGCCGGCTTGGGAAGGTGCATGGTATCCTAGTAGAGGAGGATGGTAGGAATGATGGAGATGATGACAAGACGGAGTACGAGGCGAGGAGGTACCTAGGGTATGGTTAAGGGAGTTTTGAGAATCACCACTGCGGGAGGTACCTGTGTAGCCACATCTCGAGCAAGCGAGGGCGAGGGCGAGGGCGAGGAAGGGTCATAATGATGTCTTATGCATAGCAGGGGCTGAGAGGGATTCGGCGTGCATTATTCAGTCTCTAGTTCGACTAGGTCCGACCAGGTCCCATGTTGTTGGCCACCCGCGTAAATGCACGATGGCGGCAATCCGACGGTTGATCTCTGACGCAAAGGTTGAGGCAAGAAGTAACTAAAGAAAGCTGAACGAAAAGGTACTTTTGTAGTGCTACCTGGAGTCTGTTGCCACCACCACTACCACCATCACCACCTGGGTAATGAGGGAGCAAAAGTCAACCACCGACACCACCTCCCGACGGTGCTACCAGGAAATGGATGGCAGTGATTGAACCACGGCTAACATTAAGCTAATCTGCTGCATCTCAAGTCATTCCGTAGCGACTGGTGGCGACGAGCCAATTACTAAGAGGCCTTTGCTTGGGGCTCCGTATTGGATGCTTGACTTCACTCACTCACCACCCACTCGTTCACTCGTTCACTCATTCACTCCCTTGGCTGCTCGACACACGCACTCACCCTCTCACCTTCTCACACACACTTTTTCCCTCGCTCTCCCCGCGCTGTTCGAACCTCTCCCTCGCTCTCACACACACGTCCACACACGACCACACGCTCACACATCTTCATCTGACTTTCTCTTTCCAGGTAACCTGACTTGAATTGAGCCTTCACTCTTTCGGAGAGGGGAAACTCCACCTTACTGCTCCTTGCTCCGTACATATTGGTGCTTGACCAAAGCTGCGGTCGCGGATCCCATTGGTCCTCTGGCCCTCTGGCCCTCTGGCCCTCGACCCTCTGTCGCTCCTGTCCCTGCTGATCCCCGACCTCTGACCTGGCCCTGCTCAGACAGAAAAAGAAAGGACAAGCTGGGAAAGTTGAGATACTCCGCAAGGCCCATGACTCGACAACCCACGAGGCCCCCACCATAGTTGGGTTGCTGGGATCGTTCAGGCACGCCTCCCCCAAACCCAAGTCCTCAAACTCAAGGGCTAGACGCTGACCCTTGATCCAGGCAGACCAGACCCTTTCGTTTAAGCCTACCACCCCAGTTCGCCTCAACCGCCCCGTTAGCAACAACCTATTTATCCTTGAAGTCTTCGAGAACATCCACCACCACCCAAGCCAAGAGACCCTCCACTACCACTACCGTCCACCCTCCCACCGCTGCCCGCCGGCCAAATCACTAAGCTAAACCCGATTCCCAAACAGCCAAGCAGTTTAAAAAGGACAAAGCACGGACAAGCAGCCTCGGGCGGGCAGCCCAAACCCCTGTGAACCTTTAGGCATTCATCAAGGCAGCTGGCACGTTTAAACTTTTTTAACTAACTACTCACCTTCGACTTCCTGCCCTCGTGGGGTGGATGGAACTCAACCTCGCCTCTCTGCCGACCTCCAACTCTTGCGCCTCGACTTCATTCCTGTCCCTCATTTCGGATTTCAGCCTCACCCTCTGTCTAACATTCTTCACCGGTTCCAAGGGTCAACGCATACCTAGCAGCTCCCGGATATCTATTGCGTGATTCTCTATCCAGCAGCCTTCATACGCGTCGCAAATTTCGGCCAACCACCGTTTACGCCCGCACTGCCCCCTTCGACCACCCGTCAACCGGAGACATCCCTATCATCCCAACATGCCTTGTCCTCCAAATCCCTCGATATAATGCACTGATTATTATCGCCAATTCCGCCAAATCGCCCTTGACACTTAAAATCCACTTTCCGCCATGGCTTCTGCCGACGGCTCGCCTGTCGATCGCAAAAGCAAAATCTCAAAGCGTTCTTCCAACTCATACACCTCGGAAGAGTGGCGGAGACATCGACCTTTAATCACCCAGTTATACTTCGAGGAAGGCCGAACCCTCAAGGATGTGGCCGAATACCTGAAAAGAGAATATGATTTTGCGCCCACGTATGTGCCCTTTGCCTAATGTTTCATTCACTTTACTTCCTTTCTTGTTACCCATCGGCGCTAACTTGTTCTGATACGAAGTGAGCGCATGTATAAAAGTCGACTCCATACCTGGGGTCTGGATAAGAAAAAGAAGGAGCACGAAATGCTCGATCTGGTTCGCCAAGGCCTGCAACAAAAGGGCGACGACAAGGACAAAGTCTTTTTGGTGAGAGGAAGGCAAGTTACCCTCGCCGACGCCTTGCATTACTTCAACCGCAAGGGCATCAAAGACCCTTCGAGCCTTTTGGAGCCTCACAGATCACTATCCGGCGAACTGTCATCTCCCGAGGATGCCGACGTCAAAACACCGCTGTCATCCAACGATGACGTTCTCAACGCCACCCAAGATGTATCCGATCTTGAAATGACCAGGAGTCCTATGGATATGAGCGAGCAAGAAAAGGCGCCCCTGGCCTTGAGATTGAGGGCTTCCGATGTTGCCGCCGACCGTCTAGCCATTTTACAACAAGCCTTGAATATACCCGAACTCCCGCCGATGCCACCATTCCGCACGATTTCTGTCGAGTCATCGGTCGCGCAAGTCACGGTTTCGGCCGAAGACCAACGATATCAGGATGTCATCTTTCAAAACATGCAAAACCACTACATGAATTTGTTCACGGCACGGAATTTGTCCATCCGCAACACTACCGGCACGTGGACTGCAACCTCGGACGACGCCCTGGCCGACAGGTTTTACTATTCCATGTACCATGGTTATTCATTTCTCTGGAACGGCCAGCGGGATCGAGCCTTTGACAATTTTTACAAAGCCTTTGCGCTCATCGAAGGTCTGTTAAAGGATGATCATGTTGGCTTCATGATTTACATCTTTGACCTGATCATCCGACATGACGGAACGGGATATGAAGAACCCTTACTCATGCTTTTAAAACACTTGGCCGACATGGCCAAAACCGTCTTCGAGTGCGAAGAGCACCCCATCTACATTATTGCTACGCACATGCACGATGCCACCGCGTCGCGAGCCTGGTTAGCCGAGTCCACCTTGCGTAGACTGCTCGATTTCTTCCAAGATAGCATAGGGTACTTCCACCCCGAAACGATCGCCTTGCTACAGACCTTTGCAAGTGGTCTCCTGAATCGGGAACATTTTGCCGAAGCCGCCGTCAGATTCCAGCAGCTGGTTGATGCTTTCGAAACCACTGTGAACAAACGATGCTACGAGGCTTGCTACGCTCTGCGGTCGACTTCGGAAGCATTTTTCCACATGGAAGAGTACACGCAGGCACTCCAAGCCATCAATGCGGCGCTGGAACGGTGCCAGACGTTGCCGCGGCCTGAGGAACGTGAGATCTACGTCCGATGCTTGCGAGGATTGGCCGAGATCTCAAATCGTCTGGGTCGGAAGGAGGAAGCCAACGAAACCATGCAACATGTGGTTGATATCTGCCGGGACGCATTCGGACCTGAACATCCATTCACGAACCGTGCTAGGATGCATCTCAAAACAATTTTAAAAGGCGACGCAACGAGCGACTCTGCGATCCCACCAATGGTTTACAGGCTGGGCCGCGGTGGCAACGCCGCCAAATATATCTGGATTTCTCGATCAAGTCCCACTCGATTGCAGGCTTAATGCGATCAGGGATTTTGAATCCTCAGAGAAAACAAAAGGGAAACAACAAAACAAACGACACGACTGTTACGACGTTTCATGACGGGATTGATAGGATGGTTGCGTCTGTCCGCCTTTCGCTGGTTTTACATACCCTTGTATCGTTGCATGGTTTTTTTGGGAACAGAGCGAAGTCCCCAGTTGGGCTCACCAGGCATTGGAGTGTTCACAGCACATGAGTACATGTTCTTGAGAAGGAAAGATTTGTGACGGCCTCTTATGTAGCTTGGAAGCTTTTGGCGGTGTTGAGGCTGGCTAGTTTTTTTTTTGGTGGTTGGCTTTCGGAGCATTTGCGCGGCCGTTGAAAGTTTGTTTACTTGGTGGCGGCGACGGGCCCTACCACGCATTTCGGAGTGCTCTGGGGCCGGACATGCGATCTCGGGTTGATTGCGTACGACATGCAGGATGGGTCTTCTGTCGAACGATCGGCGTCACAGTACGGAACTCCTGCTTGCAGACCTGTGAAGCGCAGAGCCACCAGGCGTACGATATAAAAGGGGAGACGCCTATCTCGGTGCACACGAGGACATTTCGTCGACAGGCACTTGGTGAGACATCGGACTGCAGTCTGCAAGTAGTGGCGGGGGATTGTGGAGGGCTATTAGGCTTTGTCCCGAGCCCGGGCCTAAACCGAGATACTTTTGGGGGCTGATTACAGCATTGTGCGTCGTGGTGGTGCTCGCACGACTCGCTGGGAAGGGGGGGGGACTAAGGCGACCTGAATTTAGCAGCAGGTGCAGCAATCTGGCCTCTCGTGCCTCTCGAAAGGATTTAGTGGCCCTGGGAAACTTCCGGGGGGCAGCCTCAGCTGCTTCAGTGCCTCGTGCTCGGTTCCTGACCCTTGACCCTGGGGCCTCCTGGACCCCCAAGTTACCTGCCCGTAGTACACTGCCTGCGCAGGTCTTATTTCCGCTGCTGGCCAATGCGTTTCTGCAAGCAAGATGCACACTATCCCTGCGTCTGTTTCCCAGTCCAATCTGTCCGTTCGCGCAGGTCGGAGCCTTTCCTGTTCACCTGCAAGCACTCTATGCCTAACAGAGAGCCAGAGAGCCAGAGAGCATGAGATGACGACCAAAGACTCAAGTTTCAGGGGGTCAATATCCTGTACGGAGTCCCGCGTAGCCGTTGACACCCCCTCCACATTTGGGTGGTCTCTCCCGCTAGTTGAGGAACCATTGAAGCCCCTCTTCAGCCACCCTAATCATCGTACAACGCCCAAGAACCCGCCGGGACTCGGCTCCGGATTTGTTTGCGCCGTGTCTTGTTTATTGACTGTCTTCTCTCTCACCGCGATTTCTTTATAGAGCCCAGGAGGCTATATTTCACGCGCAGTCAGCATTGGCCGACCGAAGAGACGCTCTCAACCACTCCTAAACCGATTCCCTACCCAATCTGCCCGCCATGGTGTCCGCATCGGAAAAATACTACATCAAAGATGCAATCTCGAAACCAGCCGTCCACCACGAGTCATTCCAGAAATTATGGGAGACCAAATGGAAGGGCCCTGTATGTGGAAGACCCAAGGGAAGCTGACTCACAATGACTTACGAAAATTTGGACAGTGCGCAATGGGCGTCTATCCCTTCATGTTCGGCAGTATCAAGGACTTTGAGCCAATTGCGGAAGAAATTATCAAGGTGCCTCTTTGCGACTTCTTCTCCCCCTAAAACTTCCGCTGAGTCCCACTGCAGAAAGGCTTGAAGGAGCCATACGACTGGGATGAGTACGCGCAGATATACTTCCCCAAGGCCGAAGAGCTCAGCAAGATTGCGGAAGAGGCGGAGAAGGCGGGTGAGATAGAGAAAGCCTCAGAGTATTACCTGCGGAGCTCCGCCGTCTACCGTGTCTCGCGATTCCCTACACCACGGTCAGAGAAACAGAAATATGCCTGGACCATCGGGAAAGAGATGTTTTACAAGGGTGCAGCGTCAGTGAAGTCTTCCAATGCGCAGTTTCGTGACGATGGCTGACTGGCGGTGGAAACAGTCTGCTGCCGCATCCTATCAAAGAAGTTCGGATTCCTCACAAGCATGCCATCCAAGGGGAGGGCGATGTCGTTCCTGTCAACTTTCTCGTTCCTCCGACTGCCTCCCCAGAGTCTCCCGCTCCGTGTGTCCTCATCATCACCGGACTTGACGGCTACCGAACTGAACTAGCAGTGTGGCAGCAGGGCTTCCTGGAAAAGGGGGTGGCTACGATTATTGCTGAGATCCCAGGCACTGGCGACTCTCCGGCCCTTCGTCAGGATCCCACCAGTCCTGATCGTCAATGGTCCAGCGTTCTGGACTGGATCGACACCCAAAAGGAAATCGACAACAAGAAGGTCATTGTCTGGGGCTTCTCGACTGGTGGCTACTATTCGCTTAGACTAGCTCACACCCACAAAGACCGAGTCTTCGCCAGCATCAGCTTAGGCGGCGGATGTCATCACGTAAGTCTACCTTCTGTCTATTCCCCCCCAAGCCGCAATCAAGCCCTTTACGAGGCTGACTTAGGTTTCAGATGTTTGACCGGGAGTGGCTTGAAAATGTGAACAAACTCGAATATCCTTTCGATCTCGCCAGCACCTTGACTTACAAATTCGGCTACCCCGACCTGGAATCATTCATCCAAGACGCTGGCAAGTTCTCGCTATTGAACGACGGCACCCTGGAGAAACCCTGTACCAAGGTATTGTTGGTCAACGGAAACGACGACGAAATCTTTCCGATTGACGACCTGTTTGTGGCTCTGGAACACGGCGGACCAAAGTTGGCGAGAATGGTCAAGGGCAAGAAACACATGGGAGTAGGTGTTCCACAAAACCTGTCACAACCTCTCAAGGGGCCCCGTCCCATTGTCGTATGTGCTTTGTCTGCTCGAAACTAACGCTTGCAAACAGGAACCGGACAGTTTCTTCATCATCTTGCGGTGGATCCACGGAGTGCTTGGACTGGATGGCAACATAATGGACCAAATGAAGCAGTTGCCCTCGCGCACGAAGTATTGAGTACTTTTGCGAGAAAGCGCATGGGTTCATGGGGCGATCAATCCGTCTTCTTGTATTTGCTCTTCAGCGTGAATTGTATAGCAGCTCATGGTGGTACAGTTTAGATGGATATAGGGAGCGCACGCGCAGGATAGCACCATGCGGACAGGATTTGCAGAAGTACGGAGTCCAGCGAAAAGCCATGTGTAGAATCCTAGAATTGCAGCACTGTTGTCGATAACGCACCCTTCCGTGGCTATCCAGCATTGCAAATTACCTCGACAATCTACGGGCTACGTTGTATATACCTCACTGTCCAAGCAGTCGGTTAGGTCGCTCAAGCCAGTGGCCAACCCGAACTCGGCCGTTGGGTGAACCACCAAGCTGGGTTAGCCCTATCCGGCACGATTTCTTGATTGGTACTGGGCCCTAAGCCTGCCCTATCTCCTATCTACCTAGCTGCTTCTGCACCGAGTAACGGGCACTGGTGGCCTCAAGCAGCGCCTATCAGTGGGCTTGTGCATTGGCGGGGATCGTCGGGCGGGACAGCCTATCTGGTAATGCACGCGACCCTCAATGCGCCGTCCCTCTTCCCTGCTTGTGTCCTCGCAGTTGTTGATCCTCAGGCAAAATAGCCTGTTTTTCAGTGTCCTTCTATAAATTCACGACACGTCCAATGGCCCTGTGAGGTTGCAGACGCCTTCAACCCGATCGCGTGTTAGATTTCCAGAGCTTGGGCTGGTAGAAGTGGGTGTTCACCTTTGGCTCTTGCATTGGGACCTCTATTCGTCTGCGCGCCGGAATCTGTGCTCGATTCTCCACCAGCTTCAGAAAATTATGCTCTGACGTCCTCAGCTCACCACCCACGCGATCGCAATCCGGAACCTTCCGCGGGATGACCTTGTTCTTTTCCAGTTCTCGATGACTGCGTTCGCTGTGTATCTGAGTGTGGAAATCTCCCTTCGCCAGAACATCCAAGTTTGCCAGACAGACGACGAAGCCGCAGCGCAGCGCAAATCCCGCTGAACACAGAATCGCACCATGGTCACCGTTACAAAGGTCCTTCGGCGGGCGAGCGCTGCCAATTTCTTTGACAATGGGAACTCAAGCGGCGAGTCTTCGAGAAGACCCTCAGCGGCTGACGCATCTACTCCTCGGCGGCCCAGTCTTGCGGCCTTGTCCCTGCGCCTCTCGTCATGGTCGAAGAAGTCGCATTTGTCAAAAGGAGACGAGACAGATGCCGACTCTACGTGAGTACTTTCATGAGGGAGCTGCGTGACAAGTCGACTGCGATGCTTATATCTGTTCTGACAGGCAAAAGTTATGGGATGCTGTCCTATCCTTACCGGATGAAATCGCAGCCCAAATCCTCTGCTATCTCTCAGTGTCCGACTTCTTCAGCCTCCGTTCGACGTCTCGATCTGTCCACCTCTATCTACGGTCTCACGCTGGCCCCATCACGCGATCTCTCCTTCTTCAGAACGCCTATGAGCGGACAACGGACTACGAGGGTAACATGAATGATGAGAAGGCAATATATCTCTACAACTACCTCCATACCTTATATCCGCCGCCACAGCCCTGCAAATCCTTTGACTATTTACTGCAGATGTTGAAAAGACAAGCCCAAGTGCAAAGAATGCTGCAGGTCATGATCAACTGGATCCAAATGAAAGTCTATGTTATTCCCAAGTTCAAGCGATGTGACAATTTCAACCCCTACAAATTCAAACTCATGAGGCGGTTACATCTAGCAACGTGGACCATATACCATTTCCTTGAAAGCTACCGGGCAATTCTTGTCACGGAGCATGCCTGTCATCCAAGGCTCGGGTCAACACTTTCGGGACAGGACAACTCCAGTGGACCCTGCCCTTTCTGTGTCCAATCTGTCAGAGATCTTCTGCGCACATACCCGGGGACCACGATCATTCCTGCCTATCATTTCTTCGAGCTCTGTCGACAACACCTCCGCGCTTTGAGTCGAGCTCCCTCGGCAGGGCCGATAATCCGATCCCGCAAGCCGCCCAGTGAAGCAGACCTTGTACAACTTGTTGTGTTTGGCGGCATTCCCGAGTTGAGTAAATTGAGTCTGCTCAAGGGGTCGTCAAATCAGCGGATCGAAGTGATCGGGAGCTTCGTGGATAGAGTCTCCAGTGCAGCGATACAACAAAGGATAGGACGAAAAGGGTCGCCTTCTTCTCGGTCTCAGGTCTCTTTACCGAGTAGCGCATTGTGGTCATCGTTCGACGACCTCATCGCCCCTCTTCAACCGCCCCTTTCCGTTATCCATCATCATACCATATCGGCCATACCAGAGCTCGAACACTTCATCATCGATTCAGATGAATGGGTCACCCGGATGTATGAGCTCGTCGGGCCAGGGGATCAAATAGTCAATGCTTGGGGATTTATCACGAACGTTCTCTCGGGAAAGAGCGACGATATTGAAGATTCTGGGGTTGAAAATGGGGCGGACAGCGATCTCGACTTTTTGGCACCTGTTAAAGGGTTTGATACTTGAACCAAAGATCACGGGAACCTTGGAATGGTGAGTCATCGTTTCATCTAACACAGGGGACTCGCACAGAATGATCCCGGACCGGCTCTGAGGCCTTCGAGTCGGCAGACCTCCTGACGCCAGTGCCACACAATCAAGCTCATGCTCTGATTGCATTTCCTACACATCCAGGCATCAAGATTTCTGTCTTGATGAACCCAGACACCTTCATCTAGCCTGGCTGTCAAACTTGACAAGCATTTGCGAAGAGGTCACCAAGGACAATAGGCCTATGGAATTGCAAGAGTCCGTCAAGAGGAGAAAGACGAGGATTGGCTCCGACGTGGCCACGAAGGAACCGATGTCTCGGACTCGATTTGACCTAGCCGATGAACGCATGAACAAAAGTGTTTCCGAACGATGTAGGACCGAGGAACGTTTTCAGTGCCAAAGGAAACTCGCGATGAGTGGCCCACGGTACCCTTACCAGATCACGGACGCAGCTGAGAGCCTGCCTGCCTTGGAAGCGTGGATCTCTGCGGCCAAAAGGTGCCTGAGCTGTGTTCGGGAGCGCAGAGGGACGAAGGAGGTCACACAGGCTGCAGCGGCGTAGGAAGCAGAGGATCGCCTTGAAGGCCAGCTGCCTGCATGCCTAGACCATTTCCGATCCTGGGGTATATCAGCGCTATACAAGCACTGACGGATTAACCTCTTACAATGGCCGTCTTTTGATCGAGTTGTGTATAATTACTATACGAAGCTCTTCGATTGCTCATGGCTCAATTCGTCTGTATAAATGCAACCTCTTCTCGTTTGCAAGATTGAGGCTCTGTCTGCTCTGTAGTTACTGTACCGTGGTTCTGCATAGCATACACCACGTCAGTCCAAAGGACAAGCAGTACTCCTTTTCGGTTGTTTTCCCTTTCCTTTTTCCTGTTGTGTGGTCCCAGCCTCACAGGCCCGAACCTCTCATGCCCAGGCGAGGTCGATCCTCTCCCCGACAACTTTGCTATTGAACCACTCGAGGATCTCGATGTTGGGGGTCAGTGTCTTGGCGCCGCGCAGGACGTCGGCCTCGGCGACGCGGGCGACGGCGGCGTACAGCTCGACGGTGGCCAGGTTGCGGGCGATGCACTGGCGACTGCCCAGGCCGAAGGGGATGGCGTCGCGGAGCATCTCGTCCGAGGGGTCGAGCCAGCGCTCGGGGCGGAAGGCGCGCGGGTCCGGGAAGACGTGCGGGTTCAGGTGCAGCGAGTACGGCGTGCAGCTGGCCTCGGTGCCCGCGGGGAAGAAGAAGCTGTCCTTGAACGTCCAGCCGCCCGGGGGCACGACGCGGGGCAGCCGCGACGGGTTGGCCATCGAGAGGCGCAGACCTTCCTTGACCACGCCGCGCAGGTAGGGCAGCGTCTGCAGCTCGTCGAAGCCCGGCCTCTTGCTGCGCGCCAGCACCTCGGCCCGCAGCTTCGCGTAGCACTCGCCGTGGCGCGCGAGCAGGAACAGGATCGTCGCCAGGTTCATCCCCGTGCTGTCCGTGCCCGCGAAGATGAGGTCCTTGCACTGCGCCCGCGTCTCCGACGGCGTGAATCCGGCCTGCAGCAGACGCGCCGGGTAGGACGTCAACGGGTGGTGGTGATGGCTCGAGGTGGTCGTTGTCTTCTCGGCAGACTGCGAGGAAGCTTCTTCGATGGCGATTTCCGCGTCGCGGACCACGCCGGCGACAAACTCGTCCACCCGCGCCAGGCTCTGCGACACCTCCTCGTCCGCATTCCACCATGCGTCCAACGACTCGACGATCTTGAACGCCCAGTTCGGCAGGTACCAGAACCGGCCGACCGCGACGAAGCAGTCGACCATGCCGGCCGCGCTCATGGGCTCGGCCAACTCGCGTTGCACGGCCGTTTTCTCATGCTGCTGCTGCTGCTGCTGGGGTGACTTCTCGGTGAGTCCGCCGTAGGTGGTGCCGAAGAGATACGACGTCACGGCGTCGACGGCCAGCCCCCGCGTCAGGTTCAGGACATTCAGCGGGCCGGCGCCCTGCTCGCTCTGCTTCTTGCCCTCGGCCAAGCGCTCCACGAACCGATCCACGCACTTGTATATGACATCCTGGCTCTGCCTCAGGTTCGCGGTCGAGAACAGCACGGCGACGGCCTTTGCGCGCGGGGCGCGGATCGAAGGGTCGACTTCCGAGAAGATCGAGTTGTGCATCTGCGTCGCGTCGGGCAGGGCAAAGTTCTCGTAGAAGGCCGGCTTGACGAAGCCCCCTCGCTCGGTGTAGATCGTGGCCAGCGCGGCGCCGTCAGAGATGTCGACGCTGTTCGGGCCATTGCGCACGACGGGGCCGTATTTCTGGTGGAGCGCCTCGACGACTGTGGCTTCGTCGCCGATCCAGGCGTGGTAGGTCAGCCAGAGAGAGGAGATGCGAGGGAGGAGAGGACCGGGGACATGGGAGAGCGGGTGGAGAGCAGAGATGCGGTATAGAGAGCGCAGGACGAGCAGAGTCAGCGGGAGAAGGAATATGGTCGAGATTGGATGCGCGAAGATGGCTGGCACCAACGCAGCACCGATGCTGGACAAGGCCATGACGTCAACCCGCCTTCTATTGAAAAGGGAAAAGAAAAAAAATCTAGATCTACACAGAGTACGGAAGCAACACGGACCTCAAGACGCAAGGGAGAAGAAACAATTATATTAGTCGGAGATGTTGATTTTGCGTTCGAGTCATATTATCGCACATGCAAACCTTCTCATCCAGGGCGACTGTGCCCTTTACAAGTCGATCTGGATCCCCGGCCCATTGGAAACGCGCTGATGGCCGCAGCGCCTTTGCTACTGGTGGGTAACTACAGAGCGTCGATGTCCTTCCCACGGCCCAGTCCCAGACGGACAACAGCGTACATGGGGACTTGAATGGGTTCTTTGATAACGCACCGATTGCGTGGAGGGTATAAGGTGAAGTCAGAAACACAGAAATAGACCATTTGAGATTCGGTGGCTGACGAGCAGAAGAGGTCCAAATTGGCCCATTAGACCTGTACCAGAACCCCCCCTCCCATCTAAGGTTCGCGCGAACGCGAAACTCCTTTTTGTATATCTCCTGGTTGTATTCGGGACACACAATTCCCAAGCAAGTGACTGGACAAGGCCGCTCGCTGCCATGGGTTCGATCCAAGGCCCCAGTGCAGGGCATACTGCAGAGTCGAGCCGCAAGGTCATTGTGGCGGGAGCCCAGCTGGGACCAATCAATGTCGATACTCCGCGGGAAGAGGGGATGAATCGAATGCTCAAGTTGATGGACGACGCGCACCAGAAACATGCCAAGTTGATCGTATATCCCGAAATCGCGCCCGTGACATTCTTCCCTCGCCACATCCTCGAGGGAGATGAGCTGGAACAATACTTCGAGCAGGAGGTGGACGGGGACGCGACAAAGTTGCCCAACCTGAAACCCCTCTTTGACCGAGCTCGACAGTACAAGATGGACATGTACCTGGGGTATGCCGAACACGCCACAGAGTCGAGCGAAGGCAACCATGTCCATTACAACACGGCCGTCTATTACTCGGGCGCGGCGGACAAGGTCATTTCCAAGTACCGCAAAGTCCACCTCCCCGGCACATTCGAGCCCTATGAGCGGAAAGACGCGACCAACCAGCTGGAGAAGAGATACTTCCTCCCAGGCAACTTGGGCTTCGAGGCGTTCCGGGCGCCAGGCTTGGTCCCTGGTGCGGTGAACCAGAAGTCGGGGGCCAAGGCCAACGCGCCTGACAGTCTGGGCAAAGGCGACCCCATCATCGGCATGCTCATCTGCAACGACCGCCGCTGGCCCGAGTCGTGGAGGCCGTACGGCCTGCAGGGCGCGGAGCTCGTTTTGTGTGGCTATAACACGACCGCCTGGGCGCCGGAGCTGATTGGGACGAACGAGAAGACGTCGACGCCGGAAAAGGCCAAGGCCGAGGCGCTGTTCCACAACAAGCTGTGCATCACGTACAACAGCTACGCCAACGCCTGCTTCAGCATCAACGTGGCCAAATGCGGCGTGGAGGACGGCAAGTACCCGTTGATCGGCGGGAGTTGCATCGTCGACTGCGACGGCGAGGTGGTGGTCGAGGCGCAGACCGAGGACGACGAGCTCATCGTGGCCGAGATCGATCTGGGCATGTGCCGGCGAGGCAAGGAGAAGGTGTTTGCCTTTGAGCGCCACCGCAGGACCGAGCATTACGGGCGCATCGTGGGACAGACGGGAGTCGTTGAACCGGACCTGTTGTGAGCCTTGGAGGGAAGCAGACATTGAAGCAGGTGAGATGCGAATGATCGGGCTGAGGGCTTTGAGAATATGCGTCGAGGGTTGGGTTGAGGTGATGTCCATGTCCCTGTGAGGGTCAACATGATGCCCAGTAAAGTTCCATACAGCCTAAACTTTTGGGTAGCCATCTTTGCCGCCAAAGCAAAGCAATGCACAAAATATCGTCTTCAAACATCGCCGAGCATGAAGCGACTCAAGACTTTACCAAGCTATTCCATGTTACTAAAAAGGCGAGTTATCCCTTACGTTAATTCCTCTGCCAGAAAATCGATGAAGCCGTCTTTGTGAGGAGCCTCGTGTTCAGTCTCTATCTATACTAGCTAGCCTCTTGGTAGCTTTGTAGGGTATGTGTCAGGAGTTCCTGACACTCGTCCATATTCCAGATGTTGGTAGTGTCATAGGCGCGCTCGTGGAATTTCGCGGCGACCGCGTCAAACTAGGCTTTGACCTTATCGTATAAGGCGCTATTTTATTCGTGCAGCCTCGAGTTGACGAGCATAGATACTCTAGATAGTGGGACGACGATTGAGGAAGCGATAGAGCTAGTCGTGGCCGATTAGTAGGAGGATTTTCGCAGAGACCGCATTTTGTCTTACTAGACACACTAATAAATTATAGTTGTTGCCAGGAAATCCGCCTTCGGTTTAGGCGGCCGTCCCGCTTCGGGTATAGTCGCATTCTGGGCCCGCCGCCGCTTTTGACGGCTATAAGAACCACGTCTCCCATCCCAACTCTCCCCTTCCCTGCTAACTTGTGTTTTCCTTCTCCCCTCTGTTCGCCTTTACACACCTTGTCGTGCTTCAAATAGCGGGATGATCAGGTCCGAGAACGGAAATGGGCTGTGGAGAGGTCAAGGTTCGCCGCTGAGTATTAGAATGGTATTCTAGTTTGCCCATGCAAGCACCTTACCTCCGTGCTGTGAATAGATATCTGGTTCTCAGTGTGCTACTTCCACGATTTGTATACAGCAGAAGAGTGCTGCTGCTCCTACTGACATCCTGAGCTGGTCTTGATGAAAGGTATGAGTACTCTGTACTGCCGGTTCGATTTTCCCCGCTCTCCGCTCACCATTTTGGGTCGCTCTTTCTAACTTACTCTGCTGCGGGGCGTGAGCCGGTGTCTGGTGCAAGTTCGCGAGTATGCAGCGGGGTCGGATAGAGGTGGCTGACTGAACGTGTTCAGCTTCGATGAGCTGCAAGGGGGTAAGTTTTGAGACCTGATGTGCACAAGGTGATGCGACCAGCCTCGGTTTCAGCCATTCCACACCACACGTGCGTCAATTTGGACAGGCCTGGCCAAAAACGAGTAGACCAAACCCCAACGCACCGCGTCAGCTACCTATTTTCAAGCATATGTGGGCAACTCTCTAGACCGGATGGTTTAATCCAGTTTCAGAATTGAGTGGAGCTGAAGAGCATCATTTTAAGTTCATCAGCCCGGATTTCAATCATTCTGGCTGTGGAGAGGTGTTTCTATACTTCAAATTGCCCGTGAATTGGCATTTGGTTCACTTTTTTGGGGCCAGGCCTTGCATGTCCCAGTTCTTTACATATCTGCTGCCGGGCTAGAGAGTGAGCAGCTCCGAACCCTGAGTACACTCGCTGCCGATAATGCTTCACGATCTTCAGCTTTCTGGCTTGTCCTCACTGATAACCATTACGACTTTGTTGCAAGCGGTTATTGGCTGCCTGACGACTTCTGCTGTGTGCGGGTTTCCATGATGGCGGCTTCCCGCTCTGGCTACCCCTCTTGCTAATTCCGCGACCAGACGTGTTGGGGTACATGTCCTCAATCTGTGGCGTAGCTGAAAGGCATGCATGGATGCCATCGGTCGCTGGCGTAGCTGAAAGACAAGCATGGATGCGTCACGAACAAATAATGCAGCAAGCTGCAGGGGCAGATCAGTGTGCAGTCCTGCCGAAAGACTCACATACCACATTCCCATCCCAGCGCGTAAGTGAATCGGTCGAGCAAACTACTTCCATCCAGCCTTTTCCGTCCGCATTGCTATTCAGATATAATTGAGCTACAGCAAAATGGGTATCTTTGCACGTCTTTGGACGACAGTCGTCACTATTACCCATTGGATCACCCTCTCCCCCTTTAACAATCATGAAGGCTATCAACAGCCAATTGGGGGCAAATTTCCGGTGTCAATCGACCTTCCAAATGCTAATCTACTGCGACCAATTTTTCGGCCGCCAGGCTCCAATATCCAAGGGTTTCAGTGCGACTACTCGGCAATGGGTCCGAACTGGATCGACTGCTCTACCACTATTCCTGGATGCTGGCTCAAAAACACTGTAACTGGGGAACAACTGGATGTTACTACAGACTATGAAGATGCCGCATTGACACCGAACGGTACCATCCGCAACTATACCTTGTACGTGACGGAGAATAACACAATCAACGCCGACGGTCTCAACTTCACGGATGCAAGAATGTTCAATGGCATATTTCCTGGTCCATTGCTTGAGGCTTGCTGGGGAGATACTGTCAATGTCACCGTCGTGAACAACATGACTTTCAATGGAACCAGCATTCATTGGCATGGTATTCGCCAGTGGAAAACTATGCATATGGATGGCGTCAATGGGATTACACAATGTCCCATCGCACCTGGCGATAGTTTCAGCTACGTCTGGAAGGTCATGCAATACGGCAGCTCCTGGTATCACAGTCATTACTCAGTACAATATGCTGATGGACTACAAGGCCCCATAGTAAATCTCCCCCACCTTCAACTATTGTCTAACTGCATCCTCGCAGCTCCTATTCTATTATCGAATCGCATGGAGATTTGTGCCTCAATCTAACTGTATACAGACACTCCATGGCCCCACAACCATACCCTACGATACAGCCATATCACCTTTGATTACGTCGGACTGGCGTACGTCCATCTTCTGGATTTCATCCTCTTTTTCGTCTCTACTGGTATTCTTGTATCTCGGAAGTTTTTTGGTAATGCTAACATGCACCCAAAAGTTCATAACAGTGCCTTTCAAGCCGAGTTGAGTACCACGACCGCTCCAACAATCCTTTTGAACGGAACCGGTAACATCACGCGCTTTTATGGACACAACACTCCTTCGAATCCAACAGGATTCAATAGTTCTACAATACCCAAAGGTTTCGAGATTACTTTCAATTCGACAAGCCCAAACAATCAAACAGGTGCAAGGCGATATCTGTTGCGAATTATCAACACATCCTACTCTACAGAAATTACTTTTTCTATTGACAACCATTATCTAGTGGTTGTTGAGGCAGATTTTGTCCCAGTGCTACCTAAAAACGTTACGTCGATACTGGTCGCTATCGGTCAAAGATACCACATCATCGTTGAGGCGCAGCCGGCTACTCTCGGTGCAGTCAATCCGATAGAACCCAATGGCAATTACTGGATACGAACCAACACCTCGGGGTGTTTTGACGATATCAAGGGCACAATTAACGGTTTCGAACGGACTGGGATACTTCGGTACACCAACAGCACTAGTGAACCAACTAGCAGTACTTGGCCAGACATTGCAGAATTGCCAGATTGTTATGACAGCCTTTCTGGGAGCCTGCAAACCGCGTACAATTGGACTGTCACCGCTCCTCAGAACGGTTTGAGCGGGTCACTTGGCCAAGGTGGGGAACTCTTCAACGTGAAATTCAATTCCAAAGGGAACACACCGCAATATGCGGCGGCATTTGTTAACTTTCAACGATCTCCCAATGCTGATTTCACACCCTTTCAAACTACTTACGGCAACCCTACATTCCTAAATCTCGACAACACCGCAGATGCTTGGCCCGTCGGTTGGGTGGTTGTGCCTGAGAATTATACAGACAATGACTTTGTATGTTGACGCTCTCTTCCACAGTGCTTGAGTTGCGCAGCGATCTGTTGGACGTTTTTGATTCTGACGTGGTCAACACAGGTCTATCTTGTTCTGCAAGGAGGAGGACACCCAGTAAGCAACACCTCAAGTTGATAAACAGACCATATTGACTCAGGTGTTCCAGATTCATCTGCACGGTCACGATTTTGCGATCCTTGAATACGAAGCTGACGCAAACTTTACTGTACACCCTTGGAAGGCGCCCTATATTGGTCCCGTGAGGCGTGATGTTGTACTCTTACCCCCGAGCGGCTATGCTGTCATCGCCTTCAAAACCGACAATCCAGGGGCTTGGTTAATGCACTGTCACATTGCGTAAGTTTTCGGTGATCAATGAGGTCAGGGAATTTGTTTGCTGACACGAGCATTGAACAGGTTCCACGCCTCTGGGGGACTGAGTCTCCAAATCATGGAGCGACAGGCCGATGCCAATACCATTTGGCAACCAGGAAACTCCTCAGCACTCTCGGTGGCCAATCGACTCTGCTCAAGCTGGAATTCATGGGCTTACGACTGCAGAAACTACTGGCCTGGAAGTATCAACGGATCTTATCCGGCATGCGACAATGCTACTCTACTCCAGAATGACTCTGGGGTCTGACCAGTGAAGCCTAAGCTGCACCGCCCGAAGAAGAGGATATTCGAATTGCTCTATGACTGTTAGGACTTGGAGCAATTTCTACACGGAATCTGACTTACCGGATTGTCGAGGACGTCGTCTTTGCAGAAAGGCAGCCTACGCACTGATGCAGAGGGAGCGGCATGGAAGATTGAGCGAGACAAGCAGCCTCGTTGGCAAGGCTGAGAAGGTTACACGTGACCGCGATAGCACGTGACCATAGTACTCCGATAGACTGCATCGGACTGTTGCAGTCCACCGCAGTCCATTGCGGAGCACAGTCATTACACAGACATATAGGTATGGACTGACACCCACAGGGTCAGTCCGTAGTCAATCTCAGTTATATTCTAACCCCTAGAGTAGGCGCTCTTTCAAGGGAGGAGTGTGAGACGATCCATTGTGATCCTTGCTACGCATCCTTGAGGCGCCATACACGGGGCAGTGAAGGCACCCATTGTTTTAGTGAATGAACGGTCCCGTTGTTTCTGAAGGGGACCGTTCCTGGTCCCACTGAAGCCGGCATGAGAGGGGAGTCGTGGGAGTCAAGTCTGCAATGAGGGAAGACAAGGGTCGGCGTCTTTGGCTCCGAGCTCCTAGCTGGGCAGTGACATCCAGCGCCTCAATACGGAGAGACGGCATTTCCTACATGGTGGCGCGGTGGGTGTTTGCTTAGACGGCTAACCGTGAGAGTCGAAGAAGCCTACAGATCAAAGAAACACCAAAAGTGGTTATCTCGGTCCTCGGGAAGATGTTCTCATCGTCCTTCGAACCCTTGGGACTTTGGAGAACGAGGTTGCGCAGGCTCATGGCTATTGGCCTCGTTTGCTCAAGAATACTGGCCTCTGCCTTGCAGTGAGCCTGGTCAACTCATACCAGCTTCCTGGGGAATACGAGGTCGCAGCCTGATCTCAATTCACAGAAGAAAGATGCTGCGACAGTGTCTCTCCTTGATCTTCTGCAGCTTGCAGACGACGTTCGATGCGCGATGCGCACCAAGATCGTCCGTGGAGAATCATGAACAGCCAACGACAAACCGACGCTCAGCCTGACGGTGCGTGCAGCAGTGCGGGAGAATCCGCCATCCCCTTCTCGCAAATAACCGCTACCCTTTCGGCGTCATCTGGCGAACTACTTCGACGGCCAACCTACATAGAACGCATTCGGTCCTGCTATCAAAACGACCCGGAGGCTTTCTCCTACTATGAAGAGCTGGTCGATTACATTGAAAAAGGGTTGAAGAAAGACCTTGGCTCGAGCGAAGACAAACCCAGAGTATTCGAAGTTCGGGCGGCCACGTCTTTAAATCATATCCCGCTGCATTTCCGTTCGATATCTTGGAGTGGTCAGCCATCTCGGAAAGACCGCGCGCAGTGATCCTGGAGGGATTTCCATCCCCTCATGCGGTTCTCCAGCTGGCTCAATGGTGGAACCTGCGCCCGGAATTCTTCACAGGACACATCTTCGGCAGCATTCAGAACCACCAACGCGGGTTCTACAGCCTTCCCACGTTGCCGTCGAGACAAGAGAACGTCATCCGCATCCACTTCGTCAGCCTGGTCAAGTCTCTGGTCGAAAGACCCGGCCTGACTTCGTTCCTGGAGAAGAGATCGGAGGTGGAAGAAGCTTGCCGACAATATGAAAAGCACCTCTTCACCGGGAATCGATTCGGTGTGACTAGGTTTCGAGAGATCAGCCAGCACGACGCATGCTACTGCAGCGTCGAGCAGATTATATCCTTCACGGTCGCTGCCAACAGATCACCGTGGGTTGGTGAGTTCAAGCACCCGACGATGACGACGGCCATCGTCACAAACAAGCTAACAACATATCCTCCTAGCTGTCTACCTTACCGACCAAGGCACGTCCCTCCTCGACGGCATCCGCCTCCCCTGGACCGACTACCACAGTGGCGCCACCACCCTCAACAGTGGCACTCCCATCGGCACGGTCCCTATCGTTCCGTACAATGCGCCTATCACCTCTGAACCCTTCCATCGCCGCCTCGCAGCCCGTCAGTCGTCCCGCGAAGGCAGCCCCTCTCCCCTCCCATCCCCGGACAACAAAACCAGCATCAACGGCCCGTCCTTCAGCCAGCTCCATCCGCTGCGGAACATCGTGGTCCACGACGAAACCGACATGCAACTCCTGTCCGAAGACCCCTTCTTTCTGATTGCCAGCCTGTTCACGACCTCGGCGCTCTCCTTCGTCCAGCTCCTCAACTACCTGCCGGTAAGCATCGCCGAGTGCCGCAGCACCGAAAGCGCGCTCCTCGACGTCAAGCTCGAGCGCCTGCGCCACTGCGTCAGCGTGATCTACCGCGCGTCGAGTTCGCGCTCGCCGAGAATCTGCGCTGGATCGCCCAGGGCGGGTGCAGCACGTGGCCCCGGGCGCAACCGGGGACGGACACGATGGTGCGGAAGGAGGCGCTGCAGACAACCCTGCGGACAGACCATGAGGCGCTGCAGCAGCGGTGCGTCATCATGCGGCGGGACTGTGAGTCGGCGACGATGTTTTTGGTGAGCTACTCGCAGCTCCAGTGTGCGGAGCGGAGCACCGCGCAGGCGAGCGAGATCCAGCGCCTGACGAAGCTGGCGTTGTTTTTTGTGCCGTTGGCATTTGTCACCTCAGCGTTTGGCATGAATGTGAAAGAGCTGCAGCAGCATTTCCCGTCGATCTGGGTGTTCTCGGCGACGGCGGTCGTGATCTCCGTGGCGACGTATTCTGCCATGTTCTGGTCGGAGGTATGGCACTGGTCGAGCTCGACGTGGAGGAAGCTCCGCGCAAGGGCTAAAAGGGATCTCAAACGAAGGTGGACTGAAGCTTGAGAGTTGTTTTCACTTGGGCCATACAACGGAGTATCACAGCACTCTCGCAAAAGCCACCGTCCATTACCTATCTTACACCCAACACACGGCACTTTCAGAGCATTTCCACAACGCACTCAACAGGTTATCAGTATTGACCATTAGCAATGGAATAGATGACTGCTCTTAAAGGTTCTATTTTAGTATCAATAAAGTCGCCGCTCGAATCGCTATATTTGCAGAACTAATTCTGTAGATATTCGAACAGAATGTTTGTTGTGGGAATGCTTTGAAAATGCCATTTTTGGGCGTAAAATGGGCAATGGACGGTGAATTTTGCTCGCATGCTGTGAAGGTTTCGAGAGACGTGACGCTCGTGAATTTTCTTATCGGGCTGCGAGGCTTCGGCGTCTAAGACCATCAGTTCCGTGTCGAGCGCCCATCGGCTTAGAATAGGGTCGGACCCCAAGAGCTACTCGCAGAGAAATTCGAAAGATGGCGCGGCGGAAGCTTCCAGAGGAACGATTTTCTCACTGGCCTCACTCATGATGTCTAGCCACGCCCTGTAGTCCTCACGAAACGCTGATCCTGGGAGCCGGCGCCAGGAGGAGTGCAGGACTGAAGACCATCACGACAAATGTTGAGCTTCATCGTCGCACTCATACCGTATGTGAGAAAATTCTTCCGCCGCCATCTCCCTTCCTCGACGGCTTCACAAGTTATGATCGAGTTCGACAAGGTCAAGCGTCTGTTCCAGGAACATCAGAACACCTTGGTCGTGTACGCGACACTCGTTCCCCAGCAATCCCTAGTTTCGAGAGACTCGCCAGGCTAAGCAAAGGCCGCCTCTACCGAGAATCACGAAGTACCGCCTAAACACATCCTCTCATTTCCCAAGTACCTCCGAAGCCACGACTGCGTTACAACAGGAATCCGATCTTGCTCCTTGCGTCTATTCCACCAACCTCCCAGACAGGTAGTGTTTTACTGAAAGGGCGACCACCCCGATTACGACTAGCGAGCCTCTCTTGTGGCTGATTCACGGCGGACCGGCGTTTGCAAATCCCAGCGCCGAGCGATGGAATGTGAGTTGGCTCGGCGTTGTCGAATAGGCAATGGACACTGGGCCAAAAGGGGCTCAACTGAGGTTCGGCTTCATTGCAAAAGCGCAGGTAAGGCCGATCAAATAGAACAACTTGGAGCGTGTTAACAAAAGAAGGCTTCGTTCCCTTGTGACGCTGACTACTTACACCCGTACAGATAAACGGCAAGCCCTTCAACGGATCTCGCAAGCCAATGCCAACACCAAGTAAGCTCTGGATTAGTGGCTCCCCTCCCAGCATGCCAAATTGTTCGACGAGAAATACGGCGCTGTAAAGGGTGGCGGCGCGCTCGGGGTCGATCCACGACGTGATGAGTGACAGGAGCGTCGAGCGGGCACCGAATCCGAGAGCGTAGATCATCGTTGCTAAACACGATAAGAGGAGCCAAGGTACGGGGAGGTGAAGAATACTAACCTATGATTAAAAAAGTCGAGCTCCAACTGAAGGCAACGAGTAGCGATCCGGTAGAGAGTAGTGACAGACTAGCCCTTACAATTCCAAGGTTAAGGGTTTGATTTGCAGGCTTCAAATATCTGCTAACCATGCTGATTAGGGCTGGCATGACGAGGAAGAAGAGAACGAGGTTGACAAAGGCGACTTCGCTGATGAGACCATTTGTCTGTTTCGAGAATGAGAATAAAGTTCGAAACGCGTGGGATACCAACTTGCCTTGGAAAGCTTCCAACCAAATCGAGCGGATGCATACTGTATCAGAGCACGCAGGCTGATGCCCCTGGATGTGCCGACGAGAAAGATTGCTGCTGCCAGTCGCATGTTGCGGCTCGAGAACATGAATTTGAGGAGTCGGAATTGATCAACCGAGGCATGAAGAACTGTGAGAAGGACGCCGGGGTGCTCTGGCGGCGTATTGACATCCGAAGCTTCCTCGGAATCCGTAGGCGTTGAATCCAAAACGTTGTGGTCGGTTGGCATCATGGCCAGGAGAGGGAAAGCTGAAAATAGTAGCAAATAGCTCACGGCAAAAGGAAGCCAAGGTGAGACGTCGGCAGTGAACGACGCTATCGGGGGACCTATGAGCTCGCTGAAAATGAAGCATGAATAGAAGTGGTAAAGGCCTCGAGTTCTATGAATGTGAGCTTGGCCGCAATTCGCAAAGCCATGGACGGTTGCAGAGCGTACCTTGTCTCTTCGTTACACACTTTTGCAACCATGGCAGCAAGCAGCATTTCAGCAGCGTATCTACCTCCTCCTATAAGAAGGAATACGGAAGAGGCCCATACCAGCTTGATGGGAAGCTTCGGATTCGTTGCTATTGCATTTTTAATTATTTGGAGCACAAACCGGTTTGGAATTCTTACCGATGACCAAGGTCCATGTCAGACTCATCAACATGCCCGCTATAATGACCATGAATACTCGGCGTTGGTCTCGACGATCAGCAATAAGGCCAACGGGTAATGCAACGATAATGGCTATCGAGGCATCAGTATTAATTCCGAACATGTATCAATAAGTCATACCGGCAAGGGTCTCGAACGAGGCTGTCCAGCCTCTGACTTCGGCCAAGGTCCGCTGAATGGGCGCGATCTTGCAGAGATCAGGATTCGAAATGTCTCCATGGTAGTATCGAGTGCATATAGCTTGTTCCAGAAGAGACACCATCGGCACGGTCAGAATCATCATGGCGAGTTCGCACAAAAGCTCAAGCGCAATGCAATACTTGAAGCTTGGAGAGAAGCTCAGCCAAATGTCGAGGATTGGGTGCGGGTTTTCGTTCTTCGGATCGCTGGTGGTGGCAGGAGGCTGCGAACTGAGGAGCGGTGCATCTTCTTCTGGCTCCATATCTGGATCACAGCGTTAGAATAGTGCTAGGGGAAGAGACTGGTAGCAAAGAGGAGTGATACCTTCTTCAAGCGTCAGCCTGCCGCGGCCGTCCTCAACAGGGCCTTCCTAGGTGTAGGTATTGTTGTAGCAGTGTGGAAGGGGCGAGGCTGGTAATCTTTACACGGCCCTTGACCGCATGTTTCGAAGCACTTGGCGCTGTCTTTACAATGCTTGGCGTATCGACATTAGCAAACAAGGATAAGGTTCTTCCCGAGGCTAGTAACTCCGCATTAGGCCCGTTCTGGATCTCGCTTTCTTTCCTTCGGTTTATCGTGATGGGATGGAAGGTGTGGGCGATATGGTATCGGAGGGAGCCTGGACCTGTCGGGAGACGGTAAGGGAATGCACAGAGAGTCGATATTGATTGATTCCGAATGATCAAGACCAACAGCCTCTCCGCGGAAAACTCAGCCAGCCCACGATTGAGACGAAATTGAACATCCGGTTGGGTTACAAGTGCGTTCGATTGCTGCTACAGTAGCCCTTTGCACGGTGTGTGGCAGGTCATGTCCAACCATACCGCCTACACCTGGATCCGGCAGTTAAGAACTCGACTCGTGGGTGCTGAAGCCCTTTTGGGCTCGCTTGGGGCCTGCAAGCAGGCTGGGACGAGCGCGCTTTTAACTCGACATGATTCGTTGATACAGATATGTTGATATCATTCCCGCTACCCGGTTGGCTCGCTGAGTCTTTCTACAGGGTTCGCTTAGTACCTCAAAGGGTCGCACTACCCCAGGGTTGCGGATCAGCGGCAAAACTGCGCCTCGTCACGAGCTGTGAGGTTGTGCCAACATTAAAAGACAGCGATGGTTGTGTTGAAGAAAATAGTGCTATCAGCCTCTCAGGACCCTAAGAGCCCTGGACAGGCCAAGCCTCCTCCTGGATACTCTTCACTTAGTGCCGTCTGTGCTGGACATGAGTCCTCTACCAGATCCCGCGTGCTCGGATCATGGCGTTTCAGTATGGTTTCACCAGCAAAGACGGCATATCATCGTGGAAAATGCTGCTGTAACATGCAATAGCTCTGCCTCTGGGCCTCACGATACGGCGGGAAGGTATGGAGCAGAGGCCAATCGTCTTCGTTTGCCATAGTTTTGGCGCTCACATTCTTAAAAAGGTAGATGCTTTTCATATAGGGAGGGTCTCCCTTTTTTTCATTGACGCTGTCAACATGCTCTGCTCGTTGCAAAGGAACAGTATCAGTTTCTTGCATCCTGGAAAGCACAGGCGGAGTCGTCTTTCTCGGTTGCCTTCATGACGAGAGAAATCCGCGCTTCGAAGACCTCTGTACCAAGTGTGCCGCCGTCAAATTTGGAACGATGAGGAAGACAGAGGTGTCGATTGTGCTTATGGAGCAAGTTCACCAAGCTTTTGCACCGTCGACAAGAGTTAATTTCGCCAAGAATCCACTGACCTCAGCGGAGCAGGATCTAGCGGTTTTGGAATAGTGCCTTGGCATGCCCAGTATTCTTTTCATTCTTGTAGGGCTGTCATTACACAAAGAATACCATACACAAGGAATTCAGCCACCAACGTTTTCATCCCTGCACCTTGCCCTTCACCACCTGCAAGTCTTCACAAAGAATTCGTTGCTCTCACAATGAGCTCCCCAAGCTCCAATCTGAAAGACAGCACGGATGTTTGCCCAACAGTGATGACTTCGGGCGACCTTTCTTTTCCGATTATAGACGGCATTTCGTATCTGGTCCATCCACAGTCTCTGGTATGTTTTCGGTATCTATCCGCCGAATTAAAGGTGAGGCTCAACTGAGCAACTAACATTCAACCATCTACTCAAAGGCTAAAGTCGTTGAGCCATCGGGCCAAACGAATCCCATCCCCGTTGTCGTGCTCACTATTGGTGATGCTACAGCTTCGGTTGACAAGGCTGTTGCACTAATCAATCGCTTTGCTGGCATCGACGATGTTTACTCTCAGTCTTTCGCACGCACTGTTGTTCTGCAGTCCATCCAAGGCAGGAATGGTGACGTGCACTTGGCCCAATTCAAGGCGTCTGGTTGCTTCTCTGCTGTCTACCATATAGCTTCAACCTCTCCGACGAAAGCCCTTCCTCCCGGTCCATATTTCCTGTCCCAAGGCAATGTTTGCCAAGCATATCGCTTGTATGAAGATGAACTGGACAGCTTCATTTCTGGCGTCATCCCCGACGACGTCTTGAGTCCAAAGAGGTTCGAATATCCTCGCTACTCCGGCGTCCATCTTGAACTTGCTCTGACCACCCCAGGTACTCCTCTCTCACTTCCCTCGGTCATAGCGGCCTCTGGAAGAATATTGCCGTTCCAAGTCGTCTTTACGCCAAACCAACCCCAGAAAAGCCTCTTGCTGGCGCGCGAATGGGACTGAAGGATATCTTCCGTCTTCAGGGCACTCAGTTGACCATGATGAGCAGGCCGTGGACCGAGCTCTACGGTCCGGACGAAGAGAGCGCTGACTACACAAAGAAGCTCATCGACCTCGGAGCAGTCATCGTGGGCAAGACCAAAATGACTTCTTTTGCATCACCGGAGGAACCTACGGACCAATGGGTTGACTTTCACTGCCCGGTCAATCCGCGCGGAGATCGCTATCAGAGTCCGTCGAGCAGTTCGACAGGCGCCGGCACGTCTCTTGCCGGCTACGACTGGCTGGATTTCTCCATTGCCGGAGACTGTACGACCGTCCTTCACCCCTTGTCTCACAACACATGCTGACCGTTCTGCGATGCACTTGAGGTTTTTAAATGTATCTTTCTTCTCTTAAGGTAAGGAGGAAGTTGCCTTCTAGTAACATGGAATAGCTTGTTAAGGTCTTTAGTCGCTTCATGCTCAGCGATATTTGAAGACGATATTTTGTGCATTGCATTGCATTGCTTTGGCGGGCAAAGATGGCTACCCAAAAGTTTAGGCCGTATGGAACTTTATTGGGCATCACCACGAGGAGCAATGAGAAGTCACCGCGTTGTGATGTCTTACGATTATTTAACCGCGCACCCCTGTTGCAGTGCCAGGCCCAAGGTTACTGTACAAGGAAATTTAGGCAGCAAGCTAAGGGCAGCGAATCTAACGGGTTTTCTCGCGCCCACCTGAAACAGATGCCTAACCGAGTGGCAGGCATAGCCGATCGCAAGGGGCCAGAGTACTGTAGGCCCCCCCCCCGACATGTTCGCTCAGGAAGACTCAGGGAGAACTCCGGGAGCACCAGGTGAGCCGGGGGGTGAGCACAGTGGCGAGCGGCTAATCAAAAACGGAGGGAGGATAGGACTTTATTATAACATACTATCCAGGTAGTGCGCGAAAACGTGTTCACCCTCGGCTTACCTTCCGCTCCCTGAGTGCTCCCTGAGTGCGTGGTAAGTTCATCTACTAGCCCTATTCATAGACATACCAAAAGCCGGAACACTTCCAGTCCAAAAATTACTTCAACCTTCGAAACATCGCTAAGAGGTTTGCAGCGCTTGCGCAATCGAGACGAGGCAGTCCATGTATCATGTCACATGAGGAGGCTGAGCAATATGCGCCTAGCCCGGATGGCCAGCACCGCGTCCTTGTTTTCAGCCTCAACGACACGGGAACGTCGAAGGTATAAGTTCTGAGACCTGGACGTGAAAGCTACCAACTTAATAATTGCTGACCATACAACCTCGATCATTCGTATCCGTCCCAACTCTCCCGATGGCAATGCCTTCCGATAATGTCGGTCCACAACGTCCTCCAGAACGACGATCAGCACCAGGACGGGAGTTGAACATGCCGTCGTGCTTCGAGCACCGGCCACTTGATCTTTCACAGCCATCCATCCGACTACTGGATGTCCTACCGCGAGATGGACGGAGTGAGATCCGATGCGCTGTCAAGCACGTTCTTCTTCCCGCTTCCTGCAAAGAACTTCGATACACAGCCTTGTCGTATGCTCGGGGCGACGAGAAAGAACCTCGACACGCAATCTCCATCAACAATCAACCGTATGAGGTCTTAAAAAATCTATATACCTTCCTCGATCTTCATGGTTTAAACGGCATCTCGAATCTCTTCATCGACGCGCTGTGTATTGCGCAGAACAATATCGACGAGAAGAACCACCAAGTTCAGCTTATGAAGGACATCTTCACGAATGCCGCAAAGGTTATTGTTTGGCTCGGACCATCTGCCGATCGCAGCGATGAGCTTTTCGACATGATAAGCGAACTCGGACCATTTGAAGTCCAGGACGGCATACGAGGTAACTACATATCAGGCCCGCAATCCAATTTTGATGTACAGCTACGACTTGCATGCAAGGCTGACGCCATCGGGTCGCAAACCAGCAAGCTTTGCCTACGCAAGTATTGGACGCGAGCCTGGATCGTTCAGGAAATCGTCCTGGCACGTGAGCTTGACCTCGTCTGTGGCGCAAAGTGGCTCCCTTGGATAGCCTGGGTATACTATCTCAGACTGCTTCTTGGCCTCGAACGAAACATGAAAAACGTCTGGAAAGCGCCACCTGCATTTGAGGCGCTGACTGCGGCTCTCAAAAGCTCTGTGATAGCTTCCTTGTGTGAACAACGGAGTTCCACGAGGCACCGAAACAAGTCAAGGCCTCTGTTATCGCTGGTTGCTAAATTTGCCAGATCAGAATGCTTACTACCACACGACAAGATATACGCTTTCCTCGGCTTGTCATCGGATGCCCAGACAGTGTCCGTGAATTACAGCTTGACACCGGAGAACCTCTTACTCGAAATGCTCTGCTTGATATCAAGGAGTGCTGTGGGGAAATCGTCCAAAAGAAAGGTCAATGGGAAGCCTACTGCTCAAGCTACTCGAGCCATTTTTGTGGCTCAAGTACACCATCTCTGTCATAGTTTGGGCTTCCATCCGGCGGCTCTAACACTAATGCTTGATTACAACATGTCAGCAAGAGCAAATCGTGCTCCCAGCTTCTATCGATCTACACAGATTGAGGCGGATCTTTACAATGCAGTGGCGAAGCTTCCCGCAAAAGAGGCGATGATGGAATATCATCTACCACATGTCCGAAGTATGCAACAGGCTGATAAGACATTGCTTTGTCTATCACAACCGGCATTCCATTTACGCGATTTCGTACTGGACAGACAGTGGCTATCGCCAAAATTGACCACCGCTATGGTCTACGACAACACTTTTATTTGCTTCTGCGTACGCTGTGAGAAGAAGGGCATCGATCTAGTTCGCATGGGCATGGCATGGATATCAAGAGGTGACTGGTTTGATATTTTTCGGGTTGACGTGCCCTCTCCACAACCTGAAATCAAAGGATTCCCTGACAATCGCGGGGGCAGGTATGCAGAGCTATGTTATCTGAGGGGCAGCTACATTGCAACGCGTATTGGGTCAAAAAGTGCCGGTGATGGTAAATGGTCATTCGATCCTCGTGTCAAGCCGAAATATGTATTGTATCATGATCCGCCTCAAGGCCGTGATGAGAATGCGGTACTGTCAATGCACCAGATTTTGAACCTCATTGCGCACGACGGTCGCTATCATCGCCACGGAAACACCATTAACTCGGCCAACGACATCGTTGGGAGGCCAGTTTTTCCCCTGAAGGAGTTGCACCGACTGTCTACTCCGGACGCACAGCAGCAGATCAGAGCTGCATACAGTCAAAGAACCATCGTCGAATGGAAGGACCCTGACAACTACCCCGACTGGACAGCTATCGAGCCTCAGAGGACAAAAAGCCCGCTCAAAAGGTCCATACTATTTTGAAAACGGCAGGTAGAGGCAATCATTGCAGATCATCCAGATCGCGACCAGGAATTCTCGGATGACGATTGGAATACGCCATCAGGCCTTGACTCATGAATCGAGATCGAGCAAAAGTTAAGCCGTCAGTTGAAAAGAGCAAAGAAGTGACAAGTTGACCTCAATCAATACAACCACTCACACTCAATTCTGGTATACGGTGACGGATCTCGGCGGAGGTGCATTGGGGTCTTTCCCGTTTTGGATTTTGTCCGCGCATCGCGGAAAAGTCAAGCTTCAGTTAAGTTACTATGAAGCGCTTGGCTCTCGCATACCGAATTCTGAACGCGGTTTCAAGCATACTCAGACTCGGCGCGAGCAAGCCTGTCTCTGTCCGACCTAGTCGTTCCCCATGCTCAGCCTTCTGGGCTACTGAAGTTTCTGCTGTCTGAGCTTGGGGTGGCACAAGGCAGAACCGGTGGTGATAGCACAATAGTGTAACAGCGGGCAAGCGGAATTGGCGAGCTGAGTCCTTTCGTCAACGTGCCAAAAGCCCAGGGCCAAGTTGTGGATTATTACTACCGTAACGCCTAGCTCTATTCCAGCTAATCAGAACATACTCGAGGGTTTCCGATTAGCTCTACTTAGTGCGGTTATCCTGATCTCAGCCTCCTCTTGGGCGTCTAGCAAAGATACACTATTGTCTAACGGATCAGGAAGTTTAGGTAGCAACAGGGATTTTGTCGGTTTCAGATTCTGTCCTAAACCGGTGCTAGCCGAGATGCAAGTATAGCCGATCACTGGAGGCACCAGATTTGGCTCCCGGTGTGTTTGCTCAGGGAGCGCTCAGTGATGCTCAGTCAAAGGCTCAGGGAAAGCTCAGGTTAAAGCGGTCTTCGTTCACCCTCTAGCATCAAACCGTAAATGGCAATTAGGTTTTTCGTTCTCGAGTAATCTAGGTAGTTGCGCGTGAGCCGTCCTAATCCTTCGATGTTTCTTTTTGAAATACCAACTCTGGTCAACTTTGGACGACGAGATCCATTTGGGACGCTAGAGGATCCCAATACGGATCATTCAAATGACTGTGGTCTGGGCTTTTGTCGTGGATGCTGTGCCGCACCTTGATTTCGTAAGGTAATGGAAGGGTGGGGTTGGTAAAGGGCGTTTCTGGAAAGGGAGGCGTTGAAATTGGGCTGTTGGGGTGGGCGGTTTGAATGTTTCTTCTGGTATGATGTGATTTGACAAGGCAAGGCTAGGAATAATGATGCATAAAGTAGGTGGGCGCGTGAGTGCACAGGTAAGTCGGTGGCTGCATCCTAGGTGCAGAGAAGAGGCGATCCTCAACGGGGTTGACATTCGGGTGGAAATTATGGAACATTTTTGGCAGGTGAAGAAAGAATTGCTTCGCTGGTATTTTGGACAACTCTGTTGCGATTAGAAGGTTGGCACAGTATTTCACTCGGTCCGTCTGATCAAGCGAGAAGCAATGTGAACCTGTTCCAATCACTTGACCCTCGTCAACAAGACCTTCGACATTCAATTTATTGATCTCCTTTCCCTCCCTACTCACGTTGCAAATTCCCAATTGCCTCTTTCACGCCAAAGCAAACCTCTCTGCGCTAAGTCCATACCTCCGTCCCAGTCGTCTCCCAATCCGTCTCGCCGTGCCAAGCCCCATCTTCGGCGCTGGATGCGGTTCGTGGATATGAATTCCCCGAGTGTTCGTGTTCTCCCAATCTAATCCATCCGGCGGAGTAAACTGCCATACAGAGCCATACAGCTTCTCCGCTGCGAAGCCAATCCTCGTCATCGCGTGAAGGAAATCTATCCAGCTAATTTCGCCGCCCTGGGAGGAGTTAGAGGGTGTTGGGAAGAGAGAGGCGAAGACCCTGTAAGCGCGTCGCGGGAGGGTGAAGACTGGGAAGGGAGGCGTCGAAAAGGAAGTCGGATCGTCGGGTACAGGTGGTGTTGCGTCGCTGGAATCGGGCGGGTGAGATGGGCCGCGGGTTTTGAACTTGGATGCTCGAGATACTTCGGGTCCTTTGAATTTGCCTGGTCTGTCGGGCTCGACGTTAAGGCGGGAAAATGAGTCGCTGAGAGCTTCATTTTCTTTCTCCTTGTTGGGCGGCTGGGGTACTTGTGGTGGGGGTGTCCATTCTGGCGTGCGATGGATCTCTCGAGCCTTCACATCGCGACTGAGGAATATCTCGTGAAGTGTCTTGTCGGTATATTTTCGAAAATGCGCATCGACAACCTTCCACAACCTATCCAGTTGATTTTCGGCTTGGCGGCAGGCGTTCACGTTTGTCACGTTGTGGACCCTTTCGGTGGGATATTGCAGGTGTCTTGAGAGTGGGACAACGATGCGCGCGAGATTCGGAGCGAGGTCTTCACGGAAAAATTGATAGACAGTTGCTGCATCTTCCGTTGCTTTAGCATACCCTGGACCTCGGTTTTCTGGACCCATCTCTATTTCCAAACCCGCGGCCCATGGAAAGAAGGTCTTTACCTGCCTAACGAGTTGTGCAATGAGGGCCAGGTCGGAGAAATACCCGGCGACGCAGGACGACGTTCTGCCCTTCTGACCAGGGTCGTGGTCAACGCATCGCTGTAGCTCATCTACGAGGTTGGGAAGCTGCGTTAAAAACACCTTGTCCGCATCCCACAGCATGGAGAATAGCTGTAGTAAGGGGTCCTTGCCGACACCCTGTTTCGTCTTGATCTGGATGACGGCCGTTCCTGGTTGTTGGGGTTCTCGAACAAAGCGCTCGCGCATTGGTGACGAAGCTGGCACACTGGACTTCAATTCTCCAATCAGGCCCTTTGAGATCATTTCGGCAGCGAAGCATAACTCCACCAGGGCGGTCTCGAGCTTCTCAGGCAGAGGTTGGTCATGGTTAAGGGTTCCGGCAGATTTGAACGCATCGTCTAGGCTGACTGCGTAGTTGTAAAGCACATCCCAACTGAGAAAGGACATGTAAGCCTCGACCGGTACGCTTCTTATCACTCGGTTCCAGAAAACCTCGTCATCGTCGTGTGGGTGGCGTTGGCCCCATACGTCGAGAAGGCTTTCCTGGCGATGCTGTGCTTGATCAATAGCCACCGATGCGAAATACCCTGGATCTTCTCTAAGATCCCAAACAAGGTCTTCGGCAGCTGCTCGCTTGGCCTCTACCAGGAGAACAAGCCGACGCGTATCAAGCTTGGCTGGTAGTCTATATGGCGCTTCTGCTGCCACTGAAGAAAGTTGTGCATAGGAGGTCTCAGAAGCAACGATCGGTGGTGGCTCAGGTTGCTCAGGAAGTTGGAGGCTGGCCAGCTCGTCTCGCGGAACATCGTGGAATAGTTGGTAGCAGCACTCGAGAAGGAAAGAATAGATCTTGCTCTGGATTTCCAAAACCAAAAGTCCCGTCCCAGGCTGGAACTGGAGACAATTTTGATGCAGCATGAACGCGTCGTCGTCATCGTCCCAGCTAACCAAGCGACCGTAGCTATCCGGATCTGATTCGCCAGCGATGTACATTGTGTATTGGTTGAGGAATACCGGGACAATCATCTTGCTAGTCTGTCCAACATGCGTTGCGTCGAGATCGGCGTGGGCAAAGGAATGGGGTGGATTTCGACCGCGTGAATTCAAGAATAATAACAATGCTCTTCCTTGCAGGAGATCTTCCTGGTTGACATAGGGATATTTGAAAGCTTCGATATTTCTTGACCTACCACGGGATCCGGTCTTCTCAAGCTCGTAGAAATCTGGTCGGTGTTGCTCGGGCATGTCTGGCCAAGCGGCTAAAAGAATTTTCTTGCGTTGTTCTTTCCTCTTGTTCATCCAGCGTTTTCGAATCACCTCCTCGCGACGCGCCAAAATGTCACGGAGGGTGGTCCAGCTATTGAAGATCTCTTTGGAATACGCCGTTGACTTGTTTCTGATTTCAGCAGCAGATGGAAATGAAGGAGGGACTGGTAGATTTGGGTGTGCCTGAGCCATCATGTCAAAAAATTTCTGCGGGTTGCTGTAGAACGAAGACATATCGAGGTCCATATCTGTTATTGATCTCATGATACTAGGTGCTAGACTGGAAGTATAGGGTCAGGAAAAAGAATTAAATTGTGCATAGGAATCTTTCGTGAGAAGCAGCGTCGTCAGCGAACCGTGGTGCAAAACTTGGAGGGGGGGAAGGGCAGGGAGGGTAGGACTTACCTACCGGTTTGAACCTGTCTCACCTGTGAATGAGGTGGCGCAAAGAGGGTTGTAGTCCCTTCAAATAAATAAGAATGAGAACATTATGATATTCTATAGGGTCACGTGATAGACTCTCATAGCCTTGTTGACATGCACCCAAACAAGGTCACAAAGGTTCAGTCGTACGCGATGGAAGTTTTAGTCACTGTTGTTCAGTATTTTGATCTCGGTGGCGAAGGCGGGAGCCGCAGTCTTGGCAACAAAAGAGAAGGTAAAACCTGCTCGCGCCTCACGTGCGACTCACTCTACGCGTGCCGCTTTTATAACCACCGAGGCCACTTAGCTCCCTCTCACCTTCGCGCTCACCTCGCTCGCCTTCACACTCACTCTTCATCCAATGACTGCGTTGGTCGTGAATAATGAAGTCTAGGTTTTGGGACTAACAGATCTGGCTGACGTCTTGGACGTCACGACGACCGGAGATCTTTTTGTGGTCACCGCTTCTTTGGTATACAAGTAGGTCAGGCTGAGCATCGAGACCGATCAGTCGGTGGTGGTGCGACTCAAGTACGGTGAACACACTAATGACGACCTTCCCTGCTCGACTATCCCAAACATACTACGCAGCTTACCACGGCTCAATCAGCATCACGGAACCCAGTGCACCAAACCCCTCACAAACCGCTTCACGACCGCTTCGTGCCCATTCGTTACAGCCCATGACAGCGGCGTCCGACAGATCTCATCCTTTGAGTCCGGGTCCACCTTGCCGGTATCCAGCAGCAGCTTCACGACCGCCTTGTGCCCCTGCTCCGCCGCCCTGTGCAGCGCGGTCAATCCAATCTCGTCCTTCGCGACGAAGTCCGCCCCATTCTCCAACAGCAGCAGCAGCAGCAGCACGTCTTCTTCACTCACGCTCTGGGCCTCCCTGTCCAGTGCTGCGCTTGCATATGGAGGATGACTTCTTCGCTGGATGTCAACCGTATGATAAGAGGGAGGTGGCGATGAAGCACGACCTATTTGTTAGATACTGACCCTGCGACGAGAGGCTGCCGTAAGAGGGGGGTTGGTTTGCCAGTTTTCAGACGGAGGGCTTCCGAACTGTGGTGATGAGGAAATGCGGCGTCGAGGCATTCTTCAGTTGGAAAAGCCGTTGATGAAAAGCGAGCGTCACACAGAGCCATGCTCCAAGATCGACGATGTGGAGCGACAAGCAGGTCAGATGGCAGAGAGGTGTGGTGTTGCTGCGCGACATGGGGCGCTCAGGATGCTCGTTGATTCCTTGCGAGCCCTGCCTGCATGCTAGCCAAGTATAGTCAAGCGCCGGCTCTATCGCAAGGGTGCCCAATTCGACAGGCGATTTACGACCGCCTCCGACGGGTCCTGTTGACCGCGGTTGCCAGCCTCCAACCACGACATCAAATGTATGGCAATCAGATCTCGGAAGACTCTTTCGGCAATGATCCAACGATCACCGCGATTGGCCAAGGTAGGATATGTGCATCTGGGTCCTGAGAAAGACATGTGCTTTTTGTAGCAATGTTGAAGGCCATAAAGACGTCGCAATTGTACCCAATGCCAAAGACGCATTGTAGTGATCCCCTTCATCGTTCTCTTTGCTGCTGTTCTGCGGGTCGGTCTGAAGGGCCTGTGCTCTTTTCCTCGGTGTTTCCATGTTTCCATCCTTACTCAATCAAATCAACAATATTGACATAATGGCATGACAGATGGTATGCCACGAGTCAAATCATTCTCTGCGCTTCACTACTTCCGCAGTTTGTCTAATGCGTCTTGATATCTATAAACCATGAAACTTGTCGTGGGCGATACTAGACGCGGTCGGTTACCTGCCGGTAGACACATCTATCAGAGCGAATCGGTTAGGGCAGAGCCCGTTGGTCGTCGTGGCTATATGTGTGATGAGTTTCCCTATCGTTATCGCCACTGGGTGGTGGAGACGAGAGGGCTTCTGCCGCGCTAGTCTGATGAGACGATGTTGAAGTCTTCCAGTCAAGATATACATGATGGTAAGGCAACTCGTTCGCCTCTGCCACAACTTGGACCGACACCGATATATCATATCCCGCAAGTGAGATGCGATTAACACTTTCCTCGCCCTTGATGGCCGGAAGTGCCTCGATCGCCGAGGCTTCCTTACCTGGAAATCCGAACGTGGTAGCGTTTAACCCCTCCCAAATTTCGGCGCTGACGATCCTCACCGACACCATTGAAGGGTCTCGTTTCATGTCATCGCCTACTTGAATGACCAAGACAAAGTATTTGAAGTCAGGGTTGCTCTCGTAGTTCCCTGGGATAAATTCAACGTGCATGTGACGCTCGGATGCCATCTCCAGAAGAAACTGGTTCGCGGGGATGTCCCAGCTCGCCCTAGGATATGCCGTTCGAACATGCCAGAATCTTCGTCCCAGCTTTTCCCAGGGCGTCCAGCGCAGACGCACTGCATAACGCTCCCACAGAGCCAGTTTTCGGGCCAGCGGTTCAGAGAGGTTATGAAGAATACACGCCGGCTCGTTGAATGGTTTGGTAACGAGCTGCTTTTGGAATGCTCTCAGCCGCTCCGGAGTGTCATGAAGGCGGGTAAAAAGTCCCGGACCTATTTTTTGAAGAAGGAGATATCTCTGTTTACGTTGTCTGCCCCGAAAGGAAGAATCACGATAGTTGAGGTCTAAGAGGTAGTGGTGGCGGTATCCTGGCACTGCATTCTGGTATTGGAGTTTCGCATTCGGGAAAAAGACGCCTTGATTCGTGAGAGAAAATTGTGTGCTCAATCTGCTGCCAAGCTGGCTACTATTACCACTGCCAGCATGAGCTAAAGGTTGCTGGCGAAGCTTGAAGGTGATGCAGACAAAATGGGCATGAATCCCGATGCTGTCGCTTCTCCAGTCCAGGCGAAGATGGACAGATCGTTGAATTTTCGAATAACTTCTTCTTGGAGTCGGATGAAGGCCATTGGTCCTTCCCCATAGAGCATTGGCATGTTGACGCCGAGAATTCCTAGAAGGCTATACGATATGTCCTCAATTCTTGTGGTCCGACGCTTGGCTATCCAGGATATTCGTGCCGCGATTGGATATTCATGGATTTCCTTCTCCGGGGGCATAACCAGGACCGCCTCAGGAACCCCGGTGATGTCTGAGATTAGTCGACTGAGCATGCTCTTCGTCCCGATTTCTTGCCATTGTTGGTTCAAGAACTGTAGATGTCGTGGCGCAAGTAGTTCTTGCAGACACCACCCGCGAGTAAACCACCGACATTTCCGGAAATCGTCTTCAAATAGAGCTGGCCGCGGAGAAACATCAGCAATATCGAGCGTGAAGTCGCTCAGGTATGCATAGCAGATTTGAGACCGCCGGTACCAGCCAAACATGGAATTGATAGCCTCGGTGAGTTCTGCACTGCTCGCTTTGTCTATACACACCGTATCAACCCACACATATGGGCACCCATCCTTCAGTGCCAGCTCGCAAGTTGCGGCAATTTTGCGATATCCTGCTTTGCTCGTGGTTCCGACGTTCTGAATTTGGGTGAATTCCCGGAAGGACATCTCGCCCTCTCCCCAGGTATGCGACAGAATGGCGTAGGCAGGAATGTCATCGCCGTAGAAGTGCTCTAGCGACAGTGTAGACGCGTTGATGAGCCACATATTTCGCTTTCGACGCAGTGTTGATGATTGGAGTCAGCCCTGCTCTAGGCCCAGTTTAACTTAGGCCAGCCCTCTGGGCAAGAGACCAGCCACTCCGGTAAAACTTTATCACGTGCAGTTGACCATGTACTGCTCTCTCCCCCAAACCTTCGGAATGTCAGTTACTGAGATCTGAGTGCTGGTGAAGCTTAGTGATAATCGCTCTAGCTAAGCACAACTTGGTGTTGGGGAAAGGCAGGAATCATTGGAACCTCCAGACCCACTGGATCTGATGCCGTGGAAAGAACTCAGACTCGAGCCACGGCCTGCTGCTCGAGATGAAGGAAGTAGAATCATGTTGAACGTTCAAACGCGCCATCAGGCTGAACGTCGAAGCTTGCTGGCATGCAGGCAAAGGTCTGGATGCGGCTTGCCGAGAGTAAATCGTCGCCGCTATTAGTGCACGCTGCCACGGCGTTCGGAGGTAACAAAGACAGTCATATAGTTACTGAAAGAATGTCGATGAATAGGGCTCGGTTCGCTGCTTAAGGGGGGGGACGTTGGCGTCCTTCTAGCCAATTACCAGCAGGCCTGATTTGGCCCCCAGCAGCTTGCTCAGGGAGCACTTCAGTGATAATCAGCTAATGGCTCAGTTAAAGCTCAGGTTAAAGCGACCTTCACTCACCCTCTACGATCAGACCGTATATGGCGATTAGATTTTTTCGTTCTCTAGTAATAGAGGTAGGTGCCTGTAGTTGCGCTGGTAGTGCCTAAGAGTGCCGCCGTTAGGAAGGGCAGGCGCCTGTAGTCGTAGGCCTCGCTAGCCCAAGTCCCCCTGCCACTATTAACGGCATGTGCCATCAACTGTTGCCCTTACGTGGCCCCTTGCTCAGAACTGCCCCCCGCTCACCGCTGGCCCCCCTGGAAAGCTGGTCAACGTGGCTTGGACTAGTCCGTCACTTGCTGGCGACACCTTGCTCTTTCGATCGAGGGATGATAAGCGACACCCAAATATAGCTTGGGAATGTCCGACAGCCTCCAACGGCCCTCGCCCTATCCAGCTTCACCTTGAGATTGCCGGCCTGAGGCTGTTTGATGAGCGTTTTCCCCAATCCTGGATCGCAGTTGCGCGGGTCAGCTCGTTGCTTTGCTGGGAGCCCGAGCAGGAATTAAACGAGAAAAGCTAAGTTGGACCTCTCTCGTCTCTATTATTGTTGTTGTTGCTATCACCTGTTCCTCTTCTTCTCGTGGGGTCTCCGTATTCTCTAAACTTGTCCCATCCCGACACTGACACCAAGATTCAAGGCAAACCCCTGCCGCGCACACAGCCCGCTCGTGTCAAGCACGTCATTACTGGCTCCCAGCTGGTCTCCAATTGGCGTGCCGGAGGATAAAACAGGCTTGCTCCTAGTCCACAGCCAAAGCCAAAAGCTCAAGCCCAAACCCACGAGGCGAGGGGCCCAGCGTCGGCCACCGCACCACCACCATATCTCGCCAGCACAGGCAAAACTCGCTTAGCCACTCCGGAGGTCGCATCTCGCTCTTTTGGGGGACATAATACCAAGAAGGGGGGAAAAACCACAAAAAAAGAAAGACCAAGAAACATGGCCGATTTACAACAACAACAATCACCTCCTACCATCCTTCAACCTCAGCAAGACGACCATCCCCTCTCCTTGCGACCTGGCGGCTCGAGATCTGGCTCTCCCCAACCGCAGCAGGCCCTTCTCTCCAGCTACGAGCAGCTCGAGACTGATCCCGCCATGTCCTCTTATCAGCGTGTCCCATCCGCCGGATCTGGCAATTTTGGGACTCAGTCACCGCCTCTGCCCCAGCAATCGTCGTCGTCGGCCAATATGACCAGCTACACCAGCGCGCGATTCCCCAGCCAGTACTTCCCTCCCCAGTCGCCCACCAATGAGCAATCCGGCTCTTCTGCCAACCCTTTCGCCGATGGGCCAGGAGGCTCGCGCTCTCGAAGCAGCACCATCGGCCAGAACTACCCAATCGCCGTCGCGCCGCCCATGCCAACTTCACCTCCTCAGCAATCCGTCCAACCACTGTTTGCCCAGCACAGCGGCCACGCCGGCTCCTCATCCCGCCCAGTTTCCCGCTCCGCTGGGTCTGGTGGCTCCGGCTCCATGGGCGGACCCATGCCATCAATGCCTACCGGTAGCGGAGGGAGTGGTCCCAGCACCCGCCCCACCAGTGCCAAATCCCCCTTCTCGCCACCCATCACCTCGCCGCCACGCAACCGCCCGCATCAGATCCTGCTGATCAACCCCAACTCGACGCGCGCCATGACCGAGGCCATGCTCCAGTCCTTGCGACCGGTCATCCCTCCGGGAGTCGAGGTGACAGGATACACGGCGCCGTACCCAGCACCCACGGCCATCGAGTCCACGACGGACGCAATCATGTCGACGGAAGCCGTGCTACGAGATCTCGCCAAACACGCCGCCTCGAACGGCGAGACGGTGCAAAACTACGACGGCATGATTGTCGCCTGCTTCAGCAAGCATCCGCTCATCGACGCCTTGCGAGAGTCTTACGATGTGCCCATCATCGGCATCATGGAGGCGAGTGTCTACGTGGCGCGCATGCTGGGTGGACGCTTCGGCATCGTCGCCACGGCACAACGCTCCAAGATCAAGCAAGATGACGACATCTCCGCCTACGGTCTCGGGCATTTCTACGTCGGAAGCGAAGCCACCCACCTCGGCGTCCTTGAGCTCGAGTCCCGCCCAAGAGAGGAGGTTGCTAAACGAGTTGCACACTGTGCCCGCGCGTTGGTCATGAAGGGCGCCGACACCATTTTGCTGGGCTGCGCGGGGATGACGGACATGGTCCGCGCGGCCAAGGATGCGGTCAGGGATGAGGACGGGCGCCGGACCGTCAATGTCATTGACAGCGTTGAGGCCGGCGTCATGATGATGAGTAGTCTGATTGGCATGGGCATCCCTACCAGTAAGAAAGGCATGTATAAAGGGGAGAAGGAAGGCAGGAGGACGAGAGGTCAGAATTGGTTGTGATTGTGAGGGGCTGAATGAATGCTGGGAAATAATAGAAAGGCGATTTCGATGGGTGAAGTTCTAGTGTTCCCATTGCAAAACGTCTGCGAAATGAAGGACAAGATGAGACGAGATGACTTTGGGCCAATTTGTGCAAAGATCGAGTATCCGTTGGACGAGCCTCTGCCGAAAGCACGTTTGTGTGGCAACACAACTATAGCTATATAATATAGCCAGCTGCACATATAACCCCAGACCACAGCCCGGGCTCCGAGACTTGAGAGCGGGAAGGCTTTTGCAATTTGAGCGATGAAGCGCATGGAGTTCCAACGGGTGTTCCGTACTCTGCCTGCTCTTCTTCTCCCAAGCACCCAAACATGTGTAGTGGAGGGGAGGGGAGGAACGGGTATTTCAAATGGGCGAAAATATATTCCAGAATCCAACTTCCGGTATTAAACAAAACGCACTAGGCACGTAAGGTAGATATGGGAGGTATGTAAATATGTATATATGTGATGCATACTGAGAGGCAGACTTGCAGACGGACAGGTAGAGCCGATCACGTCACGGTATTATAGCCCACTCCTGCAGACCGATGCCCTCGCAGCACGAGAAGTCGGGGTATTGACTGGGGATCAGTGGTGAGGCCCCGCGGCCCTCCTCTCGCGGCCGGAGATGAGATAGACGCTGGCGCGCATGTCGATGATGGGGTCGGCGCTGGCCTGCAGGCCGGGGACGCGGGGCACGGGGTCGAAGATGATGGTGCGCTGCTTCTCGTCGTTGTCGTCGGCGACGGCCTCGAGCTTGAGGGTGCCCAGCTTGACGAGCCGGCGCGACTCGGGCCAGTGGATGGTCACGTCGTCGGTCGGGTCGCCCTCCTCGGCGACCTGGGCCCACAGGGTGAAGGCGGCGCCGCCGTCGATGATGCGCGTCTGGATCTCGTTGTGCAGGAACGCCGGGTCCTTGGCCTTGGCCTCGTCGTCGGTCAGGTGGGCCTCGCCCGCGTCCGGCGTGATGCGGTAGCGCACGTAGGTGCCCGTGCCGTCGGCGGCGATCAGCTTGAACGCGTTCAGCCCAAAGTACTTCTCGGTGGCGAAGCTGGCGGGCGTGGGCTTGGGCGCGCCGACGAACGCCGCCGCCGACGGCGTCTTGCCCAGGTACACCTCGATGGGCGACGGGGTGGGGGCGTCGGGCGCGGCCGAGGCGCCGATGGCGGCCAGCAGCTCGAGGAAGTCCTCGCCCGTGCGCACGGGGAAGAAGGGCGTCGAGTGCGCGATCACGTCCGTGTGTTGGCGCCGCCCGTCGTGGTCCGGCAGCACGAACCGCACCGCGATGCCGCGCGGGTTCGCGTCGCCCGCGTTGTCCGGGATCTGCGGGATGCCCGTCGAGTTGGAGAAGCGCACGATGATGGGCGTCGAGCTGGCGTGGAAGTGGTGCGCCGAGCTCAGCGCGCCGGCCTCTGCGGTCGGCGTGAAGGTGCCGTTGAGGAGAATCCCTCGCGCGTGCGCTGATCGGGGTCGAGTCAGTTAGTCGGTCCCCCGGGCCATAGAAAGTGCTTCCATATGTTTGTGTGGGTGTGGACTAGGGAAAAGAGGACATACCTGGTCTGAAGCCCGGCGGGGTGTGGAATGCTCCTTGCAACGTCTTGACCAGAGCAGCGGCCGTCTCGTTGGTTTTGTCGTTGGTGGAGAGGGGCATCTTGAGGATGGGCTCGGGCTCGATGTGGTGGAAATGTGTGAAAAGTGAGAGGCTGCTTGTTGTTCTTCTTCTTCTGCTTCTTCTCCTTCGACTGACTGACGAGGTCTCGTTTGCATCCTGCTTCGAATGTTTCCCTCCATCCTTATATATACCACAACTCTGGGTGCGGTTCTTCTTCCCACGCGACACCAAACAGGGCCCGGAATGTCAAATACCCAGCAGACATCAGTCAGCAGGCATGATGGCACGGGCCAGTGAGGACCAGACTATTACCACTCTCAGCTCAGCCATTCCACCGCCATTGGACGAGCATTGGGCGCGTCGTATTCCTAACTCGCTCAGGTTCATGCACGGGCTTAGTCAGTGGATGGTGCGAAGGCTTATCGGCCTCTTGCTTGTCAGAGGATCAAGAAGTTGGTGAGCCGTGATTAGTTATGCCCGCGGTCGCCAAGTCGGTTCCTGAGGCTCCCATGGCCTGTTCTGACCACGATGCGACTCCTCCCGGCCATGTCCTCTCTCTTTGTGGTAGAGGAAGAGGAGAGGGGGGGTGGCAGGGGGGGAAAACCCCTCAATCGCGTCGCCCCCCATCGTGGTATTTGATATGGGAATTGCGTGCTCGGCACTTTCGGCTTGGCCCTGTGATTCACCATTAGCTCAAAGGGAATCATCATTGACAAGGGTGTCCATTCTACCGTTTAGATGTAGTGGTATCCCTATCCTGATTGAGAATATTGCCTATGTCTGATCCGGCAGCCACCTCGACGCTATTGAGAAAAGGTGTCTATTCTATTATCGGTTGCCACTTAATGCGGAACCAGGTTCTGGTATTAATCATTAAACATACATCATGGGAATAACTTTTTGCGGTCCTTGTTGGAGGTCCTTTTTCTCCTTTTTGCCCCTTTTGTCCCTTTTGTCCCTTTAGTCCCTTTGGTCCCTTTGGTCCCTTTGGTCCCTTTAGTCCCTTTGGTCCCTTTGGCCCCTTTGGCCCCTTTGGTCCCTTCGGTGACGCTGGTGACGCTGGTGACGTTGGTGACGCTGGTGACGTTGGTGACGCTGGTGACGATGGTGACGATGGTGACGATGGTGACGCTGGTGACGATGGTGACGATGGTGACGATGGTGACTTGAATCCCATCCTCTACCACGCCATGATCATAAACAGGCGACTGCAGTGATCTCCACAACTGGCACGTAAGAAACATGGCTTCAGATGAAGGTCTCACCTGCCCATGCCTCCTGGACACGCTGCGCTTCATCTTCCAGATCACCCTTGGCCCCGGATCTGTGACAGTCAAGACACTCGGGGGAGAACGCAGTCTTCATCATAGGTTTCCAGATCTTGATAGCCCATTCATGGATTCTGCCAATCCAGAGCTCGAAGCGCTCACAGTCTGTCGACACAGACCCAAAATCAAGCCTCGACATAACATATCCAGTGCCAGTATCATGGGCTAGCACAGTCTCGAAGACCAGGAAGTCGCCATTGCCGTACACGACAATGGCATAATGACGTAGATCGCTCCAGTGCCCATCATCACGGCCTATCAATTTGAGTTCTTTGACGTGGGAAGATAGAACACAAGAAGAAATCAGAGCCGCCCGTGCCGTCAGTTCTTGGGTAGGCTCATGATTGCCCTTTTGCAAGACGGTTAAATAGGGGAACATGAGTCTCTGTTGAATGATACCTGTCGCCGAGGCGGTGGTTGGGTGCGAATGCGTAAGCCAGAACGTGCCATGCGGGAGGAGTCTGTTGAGCAATGTATCATGTGTTTCGACCTGATTCGAGATGAGTGGGGTTGGATCGAGCGGCATAGGGTGCTCCATGACACGCGAGAGAGTTTGGCCAGTAGCTCCTGATCCAGAAGTCTTGGTTGTGTGAGAGCGGGGGGACGTCTGAACTGCAGGCCTAGCAGTCCGGAGGATTGATGGTTGTGGGACTTCTGCTATGAGTTGTGTGGCCGCAACACCAGAGGTACTCTCAAAGCCAGAGGTGCTCTCAAAGCCAGAGGTGTTCTCAAAGCCAGAGGTGCTCTCAAAGCCAGAGGTGCTCTCAAAGCTAGCGGTACTCTCAAAGCCAGCGGTACTCTCATAGCCAGAGGTGCTCTCAAAGCGTAACTCGCCAACGGAGAGAGATGCATTGAATAGTCTGTAGTAGGGATTTTTCAATCGCAGGGAAGGAAAGAAGAGTTTCTCGATCATGTCGTGGACATGATCACCATCCGCATGGAGCATTTCTGCTTCGTGCAGCAATTCTTCTACTTCATGGACATCAATCTTTGTAGTCGGAGGAGAGAGCTTCAGTAGCGGATAAGTTTTGATGAAATGTCCATCTGCAGCCGTAGGAGCAGATAAGTGCACGTCGATATTGTTTGCTTGGAGGTAATATGTGAGTGGTCTTGGTGGCATGGGGGTGTACGGTAGGAAAGAAAAGGGCGCTAGCTCCATCTCTGCTTCGGCGTGGGTGTAGTAGGTGGACTCGCTGAACTCACGTACTTCTTGCCAGAGTTCCTGGACAGCGGCCTCGTCACATAGATCGCTCTGAGTAAGCTCTGGTTCTTGTGGGAGAAGGGAACTTTCTGTATGAATGATGGTCAGTGTTTCAAGGTCCGGCTGGTTTATTGCTCTGGTCAAACAGGGCAGCGCAGCAGTGACTCCACAGCGGAGGCAGTGGCAGTTGAATTCGGACTTACCCTCCTCAGAGTCCATAGCTGTGAATTGAATGTCCATAGCGGGTATCGCGCGCCCCAAGCTTGAAAGAGTAGAAGATGGAGGACTTGGTGAATGGATGTTTGGTGGACTGTCGCGAAACGCGGCTGTGGACGTTATATACGAGACTCTTTGACTGTTTACGATTTTCCATTATCGATAATGAAAAAGTACTTGGCGCATCGGTATAACTCTGGCCGATGAGGATTGACGTCATGGATCAGTACGGTGGAGTGCACAGACCGCGTCTTTCTACCTCAGTAACACACCACGTGCACACCCAGCAGAATGAACACCTTTTCTCAGCAGCGTCGAGGTGGCCGCCGGGCAAGAACAAGGATAGGGATGCCACTACATTCATACGTTGGAATGCATTCTCTTGTAGACGGCGATTGCCTCTGAGCGAATATACTGTGGTACCCCTTTCTCGCCAGACTGCGCCGCTTCCTGTTTGTGATTAGCTTCACATATTCATAACAATGCTGGAAGTGGCGGTCACAGAAAATCATGCCAAAACAGTTGTCCCACTGCTTTGCGTCTGTGAGCATGTCGGAGAGCAAGGCAAACGGAGGGCATAGGTGCGTGGTGTCAGAAACACGGGAATCATCCTTCTTGAATACAGGAATGAACCTGCGTGCCGCGCCGAGACTCGCGGTTGGAAAGAATGTGCATCTATCAGCCCGTTGCCCAAGGCTGTCCCAAATAACTTATCCCCAACCGCAAGCTCGGCTTGAATGTGAGCTCCCCCTTTCCCTTCTTTTTTTTGGTGCTGCTCAATGTGGTATCTGTCATTTCCCCTGTTTTCCGAGTCCCGGCTACTGCTTTTCTGATGCTCACTTCGTGAACGTGTTTACCGGCAGTCGGTAGACGTCGATCGTCCAGTACGGCCTCCTCGTGCCCTCCCACTGCTTGCTTCCGTGCAGTCCCGAGGGGACGGCGATGTCTTCCCACGCGGTGTCGAATCCCGCCTGACGGAGATCAATTTCCGCAACCTATGGGTTTTTGCATCGGTCAGCCTGTTTCTAGTTTGGTGCGTCTCTTTCCTTCTTCAACGACCCCCCTATCTCGAAGCCGCTGCGGAATTGCTACCCGTGTTCATACATACCTTGGTGTACACGTCGTAGCAAATCTGCCGATCGGCTCCAAGGCCGTTGTACCACCCGAATCTCCCCGTGGGGCCCAGGAGCTGGACGACATATTCCGAGAAGAACTCCCTCAGCGCCTTGTAGTCTTCGGCAAAGGTGTCGTAGTAGATGGCGTCGAGCTGCACCGTGCCCTTCTCGACCAGTTCGGGGAGCACGTCCTGCCACCGCCCTTCGTGGATGGTGACGTTGGGCTTGTCGTACCAGCCCTGGTCGCGCAGCCGCTGGAGCACCTGCGGATGGGCTTCGACGATGTGGTGTTCGGCCGGTTTGTGCGTCTGGATGGCCGTGTCGACGATGCCCATGCCGTGGCCCACGTTCATCACCTTGAGACCGGCGTGGGGGATCAGGGTTTCGGCGTGCCGCTGCATGATCTGGGTCTCCCAGTCCATCATCACCGCGTTGTCGCTTTCGTCCAGCAATATGCCCGGCTTGTACCGTAGTTGGCTCTTCAGGTATGCGCGGTTATCGAGTGAGACGTCATCGAGGACTTTCTCTTCGACCGCCTGCTCGACTGCTTGTCGTTCTCCGTTCGAGAGCTTCTGCCTCTTTGGTGCCGGCCGTTTGTCATGTGATTCATCCCCGTCGTCGTCGCCGCCGTCGCCGTCGCCGTCGCCGTCGTTTTCATCCTCGTCCTCGCTCTCGTCCAGCCCTAGGGTCTCCATCTTGGAGAAGAGCAGTTCGGCCCGCACACCGGCGTCGACCATCATGTCGTAGATCCTCCTCTGCCCAAGCCGCAGAGCAATGCACCCGGGCGTCTCGTCCTCGCTGTTCAGATCGTTCCAGATGGCCCCGTTCTCGAGCAGCAACTCCACCGTCCGGACCGCGTCGACGTCGTCGTCACCCACCTCTTTCCCGGCCCCAGCGTTCCCGCACGCCGCGATGGCAGCGTGGAGAGGGGACGATGCGACCGGCGCCGTAGCATCCTGCACGTTCGCCGACCCAGTTTTGAGAAGAATCTTCAGGGCCGGCACGTCGTGGCGCGCTGCGGCGGAGATGATGCGCCTCGCGAGGAGGACGTCTCCTTCTGAGGCTTCCTCAGTCATCTTGCTTTCTCCCTTTTTTTTTTAATTTCCTCTAGGGATTTTGTTCCAGAGATCAGGACTGAGCGATGTGTTGGGGAAATTTTTCCACACAGAAAGTCTGATGAAGTAGGTTAAGCGACCATTAGTTCTGTTAAATCACGATCTACTAACTAGGGACGGCATAGCATGGTCGACTTTAGACACTCCCGCCCAGACCAAGGTGGATATCTTCACGCAGCACTCCAATCGCGTCCTGTATCTCCAATGTACCGAGTACACAGTATCCCCCTTGTCACAGCCTTGCGAAGGGAGAAGGTGATGTGGCAGCCAAGAAGCCTTGATGGCTATCGTACTCTTCAGGATTTATCCTGGCACGCCCAGTATCCATTGAGAGTACTCTTCGACCATTTTCAAATGACCACTACCCCAGTTCCCTGATCAGTGCCCGGTGCAGTGTTGACCTACACACTCCCAAACCAGGGGCAGGTAGCTCTTTGTGGGGGCTAGGATTGGGTTCAGAATGGTCTTTGCTGGGCAGAACGACAACTGACCTTTAATTCTCGGGCTAGCGGGTAGATCTGAATTCAAGAATGAGCTCTTTCGGCGCTATTCCACAATGTAGGTATATTGTCTACATGGTGACGATGCTCGAAACCCTGGAACGACCGACGGCGTATTTAGTCCGGCCATACTGAAGGTGAAGGGCGTCCTCAAGAGACCCTCGTCGCGCCGTCACTCCGCCAAATCAGTCCCTTAAAGGCTAGTCATTTCTTAAGGACGAAGCTGTCTATTGTCTATGTTCAAGAACTATTCTCCATCGCCAGCGGTTTTTTGGCGTTAACCCCCGCCGTAGTCCCTGGGATTCTTCCCTTGTACTGCGGGATCCATTCATTCTCAAACTTGCCTCTCGGCTGTCTGAGACTGTTCTCGACCCTCTTTACAAACATTCCACGGCTCTTGTCGCCCAACACGCCACCCTCGTCTCTGGCCCAGACCACTTCGCCTCTCACAATCGTGTATCTCGGCCAATTGCCGAACCGCACACCCTCAAATGGTGTGTAGTCGCATGTATGATGCAGCATCTCGTTTTTCAGGTCAAACGGTTCGAACGACGAGCCGGGCTTGCTATCGTTGTACCAAATGGTGATGTCTGCGTCGTATCCAGCGGCCAAGGTGCCCTTCGTGTTCAAGCCGTACAATCTTGCAGGATTGGTGGATGTGACCTCGACATACTTTTGGATACTGATTCGGCCGTCCTGCACACCCTTGAAGATAAGGGGGCAGCGCGTCTCCACGCCAGGAAGACCGTTGGGGATATCGGTGAATCGAGACACTCCATCCTTGAGCCCCAGTTGTTTCCCAAGCGGATGTTGAAAGGAGAACGGGCAATGATCCGACGAGACTGTAGTGAAAGTCCCGTTGGCGATCCCCTCCCACAGCGCGTTGAGATCGTCGTTGCTGTCCCTTAGGGGCGGGCTGCAGACGTATTTCGCGCCTTCGAAGTTTTCTCCCCGCAGCCGGTCCTTGAGCAGGTACAAATACTGCGGACACGTCTCAGCGTGGATCGGCAGGAGTTTTGTCTGCGCCTCGCGAATGTGTCGTGCGGCAATTGCGGAAGAGATGTGCACGAGCAGGATCGGGGTGTCCATTAACCGAGCGAGCGAGATGGCACGATACGTCGCTTCGTCTTCGGCAACTTTGGGCCGCGACACGGCGTGGTAGTACGGATCGCCCTTCTTCTGTTCGTAGAGCTGCTCGATGATCATCTCAATCATGTCCGCGTTCTCGGCATGCATCATCGTGGTCATGCCCAAAGCCCGTGTGGCGAGCATGATGTCTAGAATTTGACGGTCACGGAGCTTCAAGGGGTCGTAAGTCATATAGAGCTTTACCGAAGTTATGCCCTGTTCCACCAGAGTGGGAAGTTCCTCTTCGACAATCGATTTAGTCGGGTTTGTCAGGATCATGTGGAAACTGTAGTCACAGTACGAGAGCCCTGCCGCCTTTTTCGAGTCCAAATCAGAAAGCAGTACAAAAGGGGCGGAGGCGTAAGACTCACCTTCTTATGATACGCTTCCACTACAGGCAGTACACTCTCATCAGTCTTCTTCTGGAAAGCGAACGCCACCACGGTGGTGGTGCCGCCAGCAATAGCACTCCTGGTGCCGTTCTCAAAGTTGTCGCCCAGAGCGCCATTGATGTGCTGGTCTAGGTGGACATGGGTATCGACGCCCCCAGGTGTAACATACGCACCATCGGCGTCAATTACTCGCTGTGCCGAGAAGAGTCCTTGAAGAGCACCAATGCATACAATCTTCCCATTCTTCACGGCAATATCAGATGCCGGTGGATAGATCAAGTCACTCGAAGAGACCTGTAAGTCATAATGAGTACCGAGTTGTTCTTCAAGACATCTGACCACTTACAATGACACCGTTTGTGACCAGGAGGTCGCACTCCAGGGCAGGGGGTGCGTAGCTACCCATTGGTGTGATGTGTTAAGGCCGAAAGTTGACTGGTTTGTCTCCTGATTGTGCTGTCGCTGATCACTTAAAAATCGACGACTTTTGGAGACACAAAGGACCTGGTCCCTGCGCCGATAATCCTGAGAACCGAAAAGTACATTTTGTTGTTTCGCACTACCCATTGTACGACTTTCGCCTTTGGGATTTGCCGTCAGCCTTCGGGAATGCCGATAAAGGCCGTTAGGTAGCCTTTGAATCGATGTGCAATTCAAGTTCCGAAACCATATGGCTGGTACCTGGCAAGCCTGATGGTGATTGGCCAATATCAACGTTCGTATCTTGATCCTGTAGGTTGCCGCGACGCTTGATCGGCCATACTCCGCTAGCTGGGCGCGTTCCTCCGACACCAGCTTTCGGTTGAAAGAAGAATTGACTTGCTCTTCATTGATAATGTGGTGTTATTGGATACTCACAGCTATCGCGGACATGACCTTCCGACTTCGATGTGGAATGTTGGTTCACACGTGCGATTCCATATGCCAAACTAGCATGATAGGGCCCGGTTCGGGAAGGTAAGGAACACCCTTGGCCAGCCTTGTTAAGTGCCGAGTTGCGCCTGTGTATGAAGTCGAAGGCTTTGACGTGTGAGAAATTAGTTCTGGAAACCCTCAAAGTCCAGATTCACGCCGGTGCGTACGACGATCATGAGTCGGCTCTTATCGACCGTCTTCGATAAGGTCCACCAAGGGTCGTCCGCCTTCGCCTCGTCTTTGCCGGTCGAAGATAAAGTTGCCCGTAGATGTCTCCATAGACTGCCTCGTGTAGGCCCTATAAAAGGGAGAAGACCCAATATACGGCAGAAATCCGAACGCGGTCTTGGAAGGAAGACTGGCTCACCACACGATTCCCCCAGAACACTCTTCTTCACCTAACAGCCATGGGGTTCAAACATTTTTGGGACGAGCATGTGGTGCTCAAACCACATCCTGGCTCATTCGGGGCAGATGACCCTGACGCCGCCAAATACACCAATGAGGACATGGACCCGATCAAGCGCAAAGACCGTACCTATGCATGGTACCAGATGGGATTGTTCTGGATAGCTGAAGGCTTCAACGCAGCGCAACTAGAGGTGTCAAGCTCAGCCTTCTCTCTCGGACTGAATCCAGGGCTCTGTGTGGTGGCATGCTTGGTCGGAAACATCATCGTCTCCATTCCCTGCGCTGCATCTGGATACCTGGGTAGCAAGCTTGGTACCAACTTTCCGGGTACGGTCAGAGCATCGTTCGGCATGTTGGGGTCGAAATGGGCCATGATCGTGAGAGGGGTGCCGTGCATCATTTACTACGGCATCCAAGTCAGTCTCGCTGGCCAAGCAGTTCAAGCTTGCACCACTGCCATCTGGCCGTCGTTCGCTCACTGGCAAGTCAACGCAATTCCAGCCTCGGCCAACGTGACAGCGCAACAAATTCTGTGCTTCTCGATCTTCTGGCTGATATCGCTGCCGTTCCTCTACCTCCCGATCAAGACCCTGCGATACCTGTTCATCGTCAAGAGTATTTTGGTGCCTCTGTTTTGGACGGCCATGTTCACATGGTCAGTCACTGCAGCGCGCGGTTGGCCTGAGGTATGGAGAGCCCCGAGTAAGCCTCTTGACGGATGGAGTGTGGGCTATCTGTTCGGCATATGCGTCAACGCTGCTATTTCCGGCAACGCTACCTTCGCGGTCAATATCATGGACATCTCGCGGCACTCGAAGAACGACACGGCGGCATGGGCCACCCAGCTATTCGCTTTACCTGTGCTGGTGACCTTGACCGAATTTCTCGGCTGCACCATGGCGGTGGCATCGTCTGTCGTCTATGGCGAAGTGCAATGGAATCCTTTGCTGGTGATCAACAACTTCGAAAACCGGCCAGGGAAGTTCTTCGCGGGTGCCTGCTTTATCTTCTTCAACATCATGACCAATGTCACGGGTAATTCGGTCCCTCTTGCCAATGACCTGACGGGTTTGTTCCCCAAGTACATCAACATTCGCCGCGGACAATTCATCTGCGCGGTGATCTCGTTCGCTATCTGCCCATGGGAGATCCAAGCAAAGGCGACCACCTTTTTGGCTTTCTTGGGGGCGTACACGCTGTTCCTCGGCGCAACAACGGGGGTGATCATGATGGATTACTTCTGGGTCCGCCGCGGATACGGCATCAACATTTCGCACCTGTTCAAACCACACGGCATCTACTGGTACCAATATGGCTGCAATTGGCGGGCCTTCGTCGCTTGGTTCGTGGCCATCGCTCCGCTGTTCCCGGGGATGCTGTACTCGATGGGCGTACCGGTTCACAATCGGGGCATCCTCAATATGTACTCATGGAATTATGTCCTAGTAGTCGTCTTCTCTGGGTTGGTGTATTTTATCTGCACAACACTGTCACCCATCCCAGTGAGACCCGCTGACGGAGAGGAGGACTACGGCAAGCTGTATCTGGTTGATGGGCTGGAGCCGGCAAGTGAGAGCAGAACACCAACGGAATACACGGAAGGCCGAGACATTGAGAAGAATGAGAAGATTGTTGCCGAGACGCATGTGACGCCGGCCGCGATACAAACAGTGGTTTGAAGTGGATGAGGGTTGATGTAGATATAGAAATTCCAACTTTGCCAAGCCTGTCAATCAGCAGATTACCTGACACTTACCTAGTAATCTTCGAAGTTGATCTTTGATATCTCGAGTTCAGAAAGAGGGCTTTTAAGTAAAGGCTGCATTTCAATAACGACGTGCACCATCGTGCTGCATTTAACGAATATAGATGTCCAGTCACAAATAAACTGACGAGGAATGGAGCATTGCTCTTCAAGCAAATGAAGAAGCGTGTATCATATCCCCAGCCTCGGTCTACTTCAATGTGCCTCGTTGCTCCAGCCATCATCCCAAAAGCCTTGCGCGCGTCATGCAGTACCAAACTTGGTCAACTGAGGAGACCCTTCACTCGGTGGAGCGCTGAACTTTGTCTGAACGTAGACTTTCTGCAGGCCCTTTTCTCGCGCATCATATCGCTTGTACACCTCCTCCAATTCCTCCAACAACACACGATGGCTGACCATCTGCAAGACATCCAGACTGCCGTCTTGTATCTTCTTGAGGAGGTCTTCCCAGTATAAGTGCACTGGAGCTTGGCCATTGCCGATCAACCGGATACCGCGTTCCATGAGAGACCCGATGTTGAAGTGATTTGTGTAGCCGACATAGACGCCCGTGATGCCACAGCGGCCGAAGTTCTTAACGCTCATGATCATCTCATTGACGATTTCCGAAGTGTCTGTCTCGGCACCAAGGAGCAACTCAAAGTAATGAGCCCAGCCCTTCGCATACTCGCCCGCCACACATTCAATGGCGACATCGGGCCCCCCGTGTTCCATCTTTTTCAGAGTTGAAACAATGTTTTCGCCCTTGGGAAGGTCCGTGAAGTTGATTGTCTCGACCTTGGGAAGTTTGGACTTTACGAAGTCGAGTCGCCATGAGGCATCACCGCCGTCAATGACGATGACGCGCTTAGCGCCGCACATAAACGACATGGCTGCGCACATCTGGCCAATGGGCCCTGCGCCCCAGATGGCGACCACGTCGCCTTCCTTGACTCCCGTGTCCACAACGGCGTTCCAAGACGTACTCAACACATCAGACAGATAGAGACCTTTCTCATCGGGCACGTCATCTGGGAGTTTCAGGAGATTAGCATCGCCATATGCAACACGGACATATTCTGCCTGGCCACCAGCATAACCACCGGTGAAGTGCGAATAGCCCAGCATGCCGGCCGTGCGACCGCCATACATGACGTTCTCAATCTTATTGTCGTTGGTCCTCTCGCACTGGCTGCTCAATTTCCGCTTGCAGTACATGCAGCTTCCGCATGCGATTTGAAAGCTGCATACCACGCGGTCGCCAGGCTTAACTTTGCTGATTTTGGAACCCACGCTGTCCACAACACCACAGAACTCGTGCCCTAGAATGTCCCCCTTCTGAAGCTCTACCACCACACCGTGGTAGAGATGAAGATCCGAGCCGCAGACTGTCGATCCGGTGACTTTGACGATAACATCTGTGTCTTCAATTTTTGCAGGCTTGAAAGTCTCGACGACTTTGACGCTATTTTTCCCGTTCCATACTAGTGCTTTCATCTTCTTACCAGAAGGGTCCGCGTACTTTCCAGCATCTTTCGACGGGTTGCTCAGGTTCTGTTCGGTGTTGGCATCGCCTGTGTGGCCGATGATCTTTTCGACTACGGCTGCTGCTTGAGAGAGCGCCATCGTGAGGATATAACAAGTTTTCCGTGCTGGGCCAATACTTTCAGGGACTTGCAATTGTTGTACGGGATAAGGAGATGCCTAGAAGAGTGCAGCTAGTCTGGTTATATCCGTTCGTTCATTACAAGACGAATTCGGGGTTTGTTCATGTCGATGTTTTCATCATGACATCACGTACTTGAGAGCCGCAAGGGAGGCGCTCCCCTGCTGTGGCCTCTCGCCTCACAGGTCTGTGAGGCAATCATTTGTCGGAGAACGGCTCCGTCGCAAGGGTTTCCAATGCATGTGGTGCTTTTTGCGTTGGGAGGCTTTGCTCGTGCGTTGTCCTGGAATGTTCTTGTCAATCCCAGCATAGCGAAAGTGTGTTCTCTCGTGGCATTCGCTGCGCGTGTCTCCTCACGGAAAGGCAACATGAAATTCTCAATCTAGGCAAGGGTAGTGTCCGTGGGCTTGAAGAATTAGGAGCGCCATTGGCGATACATTCTTCCACCACGGACTTCGTGTGTTGGTGTGCTGTTTGTTTACCAAGCAGAGTGACGGAGACCGCAGCTTGTTTACCGGGTTGCACGTGACGCGTGCTAAGAGTGGCTCTGCAGGGGTTGGAGGGGCAGATGGTGCAGGTACAAGGCTCGGCGGGCAGCTGCGAACCCGCGTTTTCAGGGCGGCCATGGGGCGGACTGTCGGTGGCTTGGGCTGATGCGGGTGAGGGCAGGCATACGTAGACATCAACACCCGAAATCCAGAAATCAACAACTGCGACGAAATACCTACCTGGCGGGAGTCACTCTGATTCTGACACTACAGCCTCATCGTTGGGAAGGTATTCTCTCCCTCGTTCCCATATATCTTATTGAACAGCCGTCAACCATCTATTCCGCTACAATTGCATCTCATAGAATTCCTGCTAGATTCCAGCCCTTGTCCTCCCGCATCCCACGAGCGTCTTACCGTCTCACACCTCATCTGCCTCCAGAAGATTCGGTTTCCTCGAGTTAAGATTCCTACCCAAGTTGCCTCCCCCGCACCAATGCTAGAGGCGATGATGCTTGTCTGAGCATCTGTTGGTGGAAGTCTCAGAATGTCACCGCCTGGGTGACATCGGAAATCCTGGACCACACCGTGATCACCACTTATCTACCTGCGCACTCACCTCGAAGAATGTACCATCGGCAATAAGCCGAGCAGAGAATATGGAGCAAGGAACAGATGCTGCTTCGATCAAACCCGTCTCGTCTCTAAGATCACACTTCGAGGGCCTCAAAGTCAACCCGCCGCAGCCTGACAACCGTGGCAGCATACCTGCATCTCCGCAAGCGTTAAAGCCGATTGACAGACCCAGCCCACTGCCGCCTCAAAGAGCCTCTTTTGATCTGTCGCGGCCGACGTCGCCATGGGCCGGTGCTGGTGGAGTGCAGTCCAACTATGCAGGGCCACAAACTCCCACCAAGGGCACCGAATCACCCCCCAAACCTGGTCACCGACGGCCCATGTCCATGCTCCTACAATCCTCGCCGCAGCTAACTCCCTCGGTCAAGATAGACTCGCCGCGATCACCACCGCGCACATTCTTTGAGCGGAGTTCTTCCAGATCTCCTGAGCGGGTGGACAACACTCCGTTTGGCAAGGTGCGCGAACTCATTTCCCAACACTCAAGTCGCTCTTCAACCCCGGCACCTAGAGCGCCCAGTGCAGATCGTTCGGACATAGCGAAGACATTGGATAACACACATACTGGTACTGAAGCACAAGAAGAAAAGCCGAAAGCTGGACCTCCCCCAGTCAATCGAGCGGACAAGCCAAAGATACCTGTTAAGCCATCCGTGATTTCCATGCCGGGTGGTAATGTGTTGAATCCAGAGCCTCGGAGACCTTCGTTTGAAGCACGGATATCACCATTCAGTACCCCGCCAAGCAGTGATGAAAACTCTCCAACACAAAGCCCTGATGTATTGCCCCCTCCATCCTCGACGAAGTCCTCGGCGCCTGCTCCAGCCCCGACCAGAGCGACTCTCTCTCAAGTTCCTCCGGAGGCGAGCTCTGCGCGACCAAAGGATGCGCGAATGTTTGGATTCTCAAGCACGCCGACCGCGCCCGAGAGGAAGGACCCTAGGACTTTGGGATTCACAGCGCCTGAGCCACGGCCGCCCAGCCGCGGGTCGAATCTTCCATCAAGAGCAAATACTGTCTCCGAGAAGCCCACGAGGGATCCTCGTGAGCTGGGCTTATCGAATGGTAAACCAACACAGCGCCACGTTTCGGAGACCATTCGACACACACCTCCACCTCCGCCCCAAGTCGCTCCCGCACAGGCCCCGTGGCCACGGGCGAACATCGTACGTGATGCCCGTCTGCTTGGCTTCTCTGGTGCCCAACCATCGTTGGTGGAAAGGATAGCGGAGGAACCACACCCCAGTCTACCTCCCCGAAGAAACGTTGAACCCCCTCCGCGTCCGTCTAATGAATCCAAGAATCCGTTACGGTCTGTACAACCACAAAGCCATGTCGCCACCCCGGACCGTTCCAAGAAGCCTCCACCTGGTCAGCAACCCTTACGAGCACCGACTTTACCTTTGGAACAACATTTCCCTCCGCCACCGAAACGAGCAAGCGTCGATGAGCGAGTGCTTCACCAGCCGACACCGACACACAGATCTCAGACGTTTGCTGGCGATTTCTTGAGGCGACCTGCGGCAAATGTGAGTGCCGAAGACTCTGATGATGCAGAGGAACCAGTTGAAGAGCCTGCCACCTCTCGGTCCGAGTATCCGGACGCTACTCATACAAATCGGCGGCCTCCGTTCAGTAAAGGCAGTCTTTGGGACATCGGCACGAAGTCAGATTCACGACTTGCTGAAGTCTGCGGTCAATATTTGTGTACGGCTGGTTACGTGACCCGGGTGTTTGATATGTCTTCGGGAGATCAAATCATGAGCATCAACCATGGCGAAACCGTTAAGGTGACAGCTGTGGCTTTCAAACCTGCAGTAGATCTAGCCAATGAGGGCACCAGACTCTGGCTGGGCCTGAATACTGGCGAGTTGATGGAGGTCGACGTTGCAACGCACACAGTGATAACGACTAATTCGTCACATAATCGGCGAGAGATTGTGCGCATACTCCGGAACAGAAGAGACTTGTGGACAATTGATGATGAAGGGAAACTTTTTGTGTGGAAGGCTGACGAAACAGGCGTCCCCAACCTGAAATATAGCCATATCTCTCACAAGGTTCCAAAGGGACATACATTCTCCATGGCAGTTGACGGCAAGCTCTGGTATGCTTCGGGCAAAGAACTGCGAGTATACAAACCAGGAAATGAAAGCTCATTCACTGCCTTGACGCCGCCATTATCCCAACATGGAAATGGAGACGTTACTTGCGGGACTTACTCCAATGACGACAAAGGAAGAGCATATTTCGGCCACATTGATGGGCGCGTGTCGATCTACTCGACTAAGGACTATTCCACTGTTGCAAATATCAAAGCTAGCGACTACAAGATCAACAGCCTGGCTTTTGTTGGAGGCAAGTTGTGGGCTGCCTTCAAAACCGGAATGGTCTATGTCTATGACACTTCCAGTTCGCCTTGGAAGACGCAGAAGGACTGGAAAGCGCACGAGGGCCCGGTCACGCAACTTCTTTTCGACCCGAGTAGTGTTTGGACCCTTCAACAATTGCAAGTTGTCACGATCGGACATGACAACTTCGTCAGGCTTTGGGATGCCGCCCTCGAAGACGATTGGATCGAGATGGAGATGCAGCGGCGCAGTGGCGAATATTGCAAGTTTCGGGACATCCGAGCCGCAGTTGTCACCTGGAATGTTGGCGCGTCTACGCCTGCCGATTTGCGAGACGACTTCATTATCGAAGCGATCCACGCGTATGATCCACCAGAGATTCTGGTATTTGGATTTCAAGAAGTTGTTGACCTGGAGGATCGTGCTGTGACCGCAAAGAGCATTTTTGGATTCGGCAAGAAGAAAGACACGGTCAAGTCAGAACAACACCAAAGTCGTGTATATCGAGAGTGGCGAGACTATCTCAGCAAAGTCATCAGCCGGTCTACCACTGGCTATGGATACTCAGAACTCCATCTCTCCAGCCTAATTGGGTTATTCCAATGCGTGTTTGTTCGGCAAAGTGAGCGGTCGAGTATCCGAAACTTGCAAGCTGCAAGCGTCAAACTCGGCTTGAAAGGCCATTATGGAAACAAAGGAGCGCTCGTTACGCGTTTCATACTGGATGACAGCTCCGTATGCTTCATCAATTGCCACTTGGCAGCTGGCCAGACACACACCTCACATCGAAACAACGACGTAGCGACCATCCTAGAGGCCGAGGCCCTGGATTTGGAAAGCGACCCCGAAGTACGCAGTTCGATTTATATCGGAGGTGGCGACGGGACTCAGATCCTTGACCACGAAATATGCATCCTGAACGGCGACTTGAATTACCGCATTGATGCCATCCCACGAGACGCGGTCATCAACATGATCAAGCGCAATGAGCTGGACACGCTCCTGAAAAAAGATCAGATCATGCTGTCACGTCGCCGTGTATCCGGGTTCCGTCTAGCCCAATTCGTGGAGCTCCCCATCACTTTCGCTCCCACATATAAATATGACGTGGGAACAGATGACTACGATACCTCCGAGAAGAAGCGCGCCCCAGCATGGTGTGACCGGCTACTCTACCGAGGTCCGGGACGGATAGAGCAGCTTGAATACCGTCGCCATGAGGTGCGAACGAGCGATCATCGACCTGTCAGTGGGGTGTTCAGACTCACGGTGAAGACCATCGACGCCCAAAAGCGGGCCAAAATCAAGGAGGATTGCTTTGAGAAGTTCATCGAGGTGCGCAGGCGGATGGCGGAGAAGGCGAGCGTCGATTACTTGGTCACCGTGTTGGGCGTCGCTGAGCAGGAGGCTAAGCGGCTCATAACAGCCAGATGAAGTCATGATTGATGCCGGTATCGGACAGGAAAACTGGTTCGGGGGCGGTGCAGGCGCAACAAAGAATCTGTTCAACTAGCAGAATCGGTGAAGAACAGGCTCGTCTGGGCTCGTCATAGCTCTTAGCTTTCTGCGCGACATTAGGGCCGTTGTTGCGATGTGAGAGCCTTGTATAAAGGGTGGTAAAAGCCCTGCGCTATATGGCGTAACTATTGGAAAAGCCGTCGTGTTATCTGCGGGTAGAGCACCCCGATATTGGGCAGCGAGACATGTAGAGCTGGTGGTTTGACACCATATCAGGCACCACCGTGAGCTCTTGACGGCCCAGGCATGATTTGTCACGACCAGGTGTTTCAATCTCGGTGAATGTTGCTCGGTTCGTTGGTGACTGACTGCGCCTCATTCAGCAGTATCATCCCCGCCATCGCCCACCAACCAAACTGCGCCCCTCGCCGAGATTCCCTCATCTGCGTCTTCGATTTGCCGCCTATATCAACATCACATTCATATTCCTCCTCATCTTCTATCTTCGTCCTTTTGCCCTGTTCCCCAGTTCTGCCTCTTCTGCACGCGAATCCTTCTTCACAAATGTCGGATTTTGCGCCGCCTTCTGGGCCACCTCCACCGAGGGTCCCGGAAGGCTGGAAGGCTGTCTTCAATGATCAATACAAAGAATGGTGCGAACATCCGCGACCTTAAATAATCCATCAGCTGCCCGTTTCATTGTTTATCCATGCTCCGCCCCTGCTGAAGGTCACTGACATTGTTCCGTCTTCCCCAGGTTCTACGTCAACCTCCACACCAAACAATCGACATGGGAGAAGCCGACTGCGCCGGCTGCTGGTGCAGACGACGATGCCCCGCCTGGAGCGCCTCCTCCGTCCTACTCCTCCGGTCGGGATGCCCCTCAAGTGTCCGACGCAAAGCGCCCGTTAGAGTCGAACAATCCATACAACACGAGCAGTCCAGCCGGAGGCTCCCACGAAACAGATGAAGAGATGGCTCGACGCCTGCAGCGAGAAGAGAACACCCGCGGCGCGGCCGAGTCATACTATAACTCCGGTAACAGCAGTACTCCCAATCCTCCCGGCCTTCAAGGCGGCTACCCCGGTGCTCCCACGTCGCCCTCGAACCAGCTGCCTCCGCGACCGGACAGCGCTGGCCGATCCAAGGGTTTCTTTGGGAAGTTGCTTGGAAAGTCGGGCGGCAGCTCCTCGCCGTATCCACAGCAAGCACGTCCCGGCGCCGGCTACCCTTCCCAGCCAGCAGGCTACAATCAAGGCTACCCCCCGGGCCCCCCGGGTCCTGGATACGGCGGCGGCTATGGGCCACCGCAGGGAGGCTATCCCGGATACGGACCGCCTGGCCCCGGCTACGGCCCTGGTCCGGGATATGGAGGCTATGGTGGTGGCTATGGTGGTGGCTATGGTGGCTACGCACAACAAGCTCCACCCAAAAAATCCGGTCTCGGTGCAGGAGGCGCAGCGGCACTGGGTCTCGGCGGTGGTCTCCTCGGTGGTGCACTGCTAGCTGATGCCTTTAACGATGGGGAGCAAGATGCGTATCAGCAAGGTTATGACGATGGAGCAGACAACGGGGGCGGCGACGGCGGCGACGGTGGCGATGGAGGTGGGGATTTCTAAGGAGAGATTAGAGGCGCGGGCTTGTGCAACAGCAAGAGTGAGTGGCTGAAGTTGTTTCCGAGTATCACGATCATGAACGACGACTTGTCCCTAGAGGCCAGTGCGGCAGGGCTGGGGGGATCCCATAGGTGAAAGAATGAATCTTACTTCCAAGACAGGCGACGCATGGAAGCTGCTCAAATCTGAAGAAACCCGCATTTGAACCCTGTTGACTAGAGCGATTTCCGGATGAAGCGAGGCGCTGAGCCATAGCTAGGACGGGTAGCTTAGACCATCGAAAATGACCACTATGAAGACGACCAGTCCGTGTACTCGGGGTTTCAGAAGCTAGCCAGGGTATTCAATACCTTTGCAGCGCGAGACGAATGAAGTTGGGAGAATAAAGCCCGATCGGGATGGGTAGAACAGCCTTGGCCACCTGGGATACATCTTGCTTTCTCCATGCCGGAATAAAATCCGGCATATTAATCTCTGCGCCTCAGAGACTACGAGGCTATCTTTCAAGACTGACACACAGCACCGCACCGACGCTCATTGCACCCAAGATACCAGCCGCGACGGCTGCACTGAGCGTGAAGGGGGTGGCCAGATCCTTTTTTCATCGTCAGAAGATGCAGAATCCCAAGGTTTACCCATACCGATTGAAGAGCATCGAACGTGGATGACGAGCCATTTCCTCTGTCCAGGCTCTCGACCATCCAACGACACATCCGGTCAAGGCGTGGAAGTTAGCATCTCGCTCAGTATGCCGGTCCAAGACATCAGTGGATGAGAATGGAGAGCGATGACCCTTCACTCTCGAGAAGAGGAACGAAGTGTAGGTCACCGGTAAGAGATCACAAATCAGCTATACTGGAAGCTGTCTGTCAAGGGCCCAAATCTACGATATCCATGCTGATCCGCCGTCTGTCGTACGCCCAGAGGGTGCTGCAATGACTCAATCGGTCGGTATCCGCGAAATAGATGCCTTTTGAGCAAAAGCCTGACTGAAGATTGTGAGAAGCAGGATTCTGGCTCATTCCTGAGAGTTGCCGGATGATACTGTCGCCTCTCCCAACGACGAGCTTAACCTGTGACTTTGCCTGTGAGAGAGTTTCCTGTCTTGCGAACCGCGTCTATGGACCTCATTCAATAACGAGTTGAATGGTGGCGATCATTGCTGGCCACAAATATCAATCACGACTTGGTTGTGCAGAATCCGTGTCAAAACAAGAGACAATGTTTGCAGCGAAGCAATGCCTTCTCGAGCTTCGAAGCGTATAGCGTACCTGAATCAGACTGTGCTCGACTTCTGTCGGAGGCAGAGGTTCACCTGGAACCACTCCCTGTCGAAAGTCTCCCAGCTTTTCTTGAAGCCTCCGAGACAGCCACAACATATCCCGACCCGAATGACATCTTATTTGGTGGTACTATGGCATTGGTAGGTGCCACGCTGATCGGGCTGCTTGCTTCCCGAGAGAACCAAATAAATTTAACCGCGCTTCTGCTGACCTTGATGCTCAGGCCATACCCCTGGTGGACAGAGAGTCGTATAGAGATCCACTCTTCAATGCTGGGATTGTGTTACGAAAGCGCTTCTACGAGCGTTCCAGACATCCTAGGTTGTCGGGCCTAGTTTTCTAGCCTACATGCACTGTGAGCCCAGTGAGCCGTCCCCCCCAAAGAACACAAGAGGCCCAGCTCCGAGTACGCTTGAGACGAGAAGCAGGCGTAAAAGCTGCTCTCACAAAACATCGGCTATGCCAAGAGCAGCACTGATGCAGAGCATTTGTCACCGCTTGTCGCTGGCCTAACGTGATTCCGCACTGGAATTGGTGGTTCTATCCCAATCGTCCGGCTTCAACCACCACCAAAAGGGCCTTTCGAAGTCGCAGCCCTTACCCTTCGAGGTAGCAAAATGGGACTCCACATCCCCTCCCCTGGAAGAGACAAATTGCTCCGAGTTTCCCTCTGTGGAAGGGGCTATCTCAACCGACGGGAATCTTCAACTGCACTGTGGCTTTTGTTCGAACGGGGTCCAAAAAACCACATTCCCATTTCCCAGAAGCCCGAAGAAATCCTTCTGATCCCCGAAAAAGTCAGTCCACCATTTCCTCAGCCAAGGAAGTCTACGCGGTGCCGTGGACGGGGGGGAAGAAGGGGGGGGGGAGGTGGGCAACTCCTGGCCTCGAGCTGGCTATTGGCACGCGAGGCGTTGATGAGGCTGACTCAGAAGTTTGACCGACTCCCTCCTTGACGCTTGTGGAGCTGCGCGGCTCTTCCTCGTCCCCTTACTCGTACAGTCCACTGAATCACGCGTTAATCTTTTCTTTACCCTAACGAGGCTTTCCATCTTGCATGTCTGGACATGCTTGTAAGTTCAACCTCGTCTGAAAGGGGATGGTGGCGTGTGGAGACGCGGTGTGGTGTCACTGGTGTCACTGGTGTGGTGTGGTGTGTTGTGTTGGTTACTTGACGACCGGATCGAAACCGAAAACGGTTTCCGCTGCGATGGACAGAATTTCGATGAATGGATGGATGGATGGATGGATGAAATGCAGGCATTCGGACGAGAGGCCAATCAATCGTATCTGCGATTCCCCTTTGCGAGCGCCCAGCTGGCAGCTGCACAAACCATCCTTGGTTGAAGCCCCCACTGACTCAGCCTGATCAGTGATGAGACGGTGAATGAAAAAAAAAAAATGAAAAAAAAACCTGGGGTTCGAGATTAGTCATGGGCCCAAAAAATCCCCCGTCCGTCCCTTTTCGTCTTTTCCTCGCTCTTGTTTTCGTATGATTATCATTTATCAGGACGAACCGCTTTGGGACCTGGCGGCACAACAACGAGTAAGAATACGAGTCAGACGGTGAGAATGGGGGGGATGGATCATGATGTGGGAACGTGGACCTGGGATGGGGGCCATTGCTGCTTCAGCCTTGTCGGGTTCATTGGATGCCCGAATCCGACTGAGCCCCCATAGTTAATACTCGGAGTCATTAGTTAAGGCTCCTTCAACGGCTGGAACAAAAAGGCAATCGGGACGGCCCAGGTGATTTGTCCGTCGAAAGACTCAGGAATCTCCCCCTGCCCCTGCTCTGCCCTACTCGTAAGGAGTACTCTTCCCGCCTTTCCCAAGGGAGCCTGGACAAGCACAGGGGGGACATGGCGCATGAAATCAAATATGTCCCGAACACATCTGCTGAGAGAGGTGGTGGATGAGGAGATACTGAGTGCGATGACTGGATATGGAAAGGGGCATTGAATGCTCATTAATCATAACCTCGATTCATGTTCCTAGCCGACCAACAGCGACGGGAAAAAGCTGTATTGAGTCCCCAGGTACCTAGTAGGCAAGTTGGTTAGTCCTCCATCATGCTGTCCCCTGGTCTATCTATGTGTCCCCATTGCCCTTCCTCGTCAAGAACATTATTGGGGCATTCCCTCTCAGCTGTCCTGGTTCTTTTCGTTCTGTGCGTCTGCACCTCTGTCTGGGTTTCGGTTTCAATACCATTGATGCAGCCGAATACGAATCGTTACCGACATCCCTGGGCAAGGCCACCCGCCCACCCACCGTCCAAAAGAGCTCAGATCGATAGATATGCTTGCTGCGTTTCTATCGTAATCAATGAAAACAAGATGGCAAAACACTGGGCTGGTTATTCCAAGACTCGCAATACCATCCACACATCATTTCTCCTAGTACAAGGGCATAGTCCCCTCGGTGGTCTGCAGCGCCTTCTCCATAATCTCGAGGCCTTGGTCGAGCTGCTCCTTCGTGATGACAATGGGCGGCGCGATCCTGAACACGCCCCCGAAGCTCGAGTGGCTGCTGAGGTTGGCCCACAGCCCCAGGTCGTACATCTTGTGCGAGACGTTCCGGGCCAGGTCGATGGAGGGGGACTTGGTCTCCCGGTCACCCACAATCTCGACTCCGGCCATGAGTCCACGGCCACGCACGTCACCGATGCAGCCGTAGCGGGACTTGAGGCGCTGCAACCCGGCCAGAAGGTGGAGGCCCATGGCCCGCGAATTGGCGACAAGGTTGTCGCGCAGGACGATCTCGAGAACTTTGTCGCCCACGGCCGCGGGGAGAGGGTCATTTACATGTGTGGTATAGAAGCAGTAGTCGCGCTCCGTACACACGCGCTCGATCTCGGAGCTCATCACCACGGCGCTCAGGGGCAGACCGTTACCCAGCGTCTTGCTGAGTGTGAGGATATCCGGGACGATGCCTTCGTGGTTGATGGCGAACAGGTCGCCGCAGCGGCCCACACCGGTCTGAGCCTCGTCCACGATGAGCAGCATGCCCCGCTTTTCGCAGTGCTTCTTGAGTGCCTTCAGGTATCCCGTCGGCAGCACGTGCATGCCCGCCGACGACTGGATGCATTCGACGATACATGCCGCCAGGGAGCCACAGGAGGCCCGGTCAATCAGGTCCCACCCATAGTTGAGTTCGGTTTCCCAATCATAGGAGCCGTCCGGCTTGCGGAAAATGGAGCGGTAGGCATTCGGTGGGGGGAGCATATGCATCCCTGGCATCAAGGGGCCCTGGCCCTTACGCCCGAAGTGGTATTGAGTGCCCAGCGCCTGTGCGGTGACGCCATGCCAGCTCGCTCCCAAGCCGACGATTTCAAACTTGCCCGTATAGACTTTAGCCATCTTAATGGCGGCCTCGTTGGACTCACCGCCCGTGGAGAGGAAGAAAGCCTTGTCTAACCCGTTTGGCAGAACCGACGTCAGCCGTTGAGCCAGGTTGATGACAGGGGGCGACAGCATGCCAGAGAACAAATGGTCCAGGTTTGCCGCGTGATCATGGATCGTGGAGACAATCTCTGGATGACCGTGCCCTACGAGACAAGACATTTGACCTGATGTCCAGTCCATGACTCGATGGCCGCTGGCGGTGTAGACGTATAGTCCTTTGCTGCCTGTGATAATGTCCTTCTCGAATTTGGTGCCATAGTTGGCCAAGCAGGCCTTTGCCGTCTCCTGGAGTTGGTCTTCCTCGACATCGGTGTAGATGTTGGGGTTATCCCCAGATTTGGCCGGGACGGGGTTGTTGGAGGGTGACTGGACGCCATCCTCAATCATTGGAGCCATGGTTTCCTATAAAGTTCTTTGCCCGGGCGCAGCTGATCGCTCAACGGCCGAAAACACTGACAAAGACTGCAGAAAATGGGGCCGGCCAAGTTTTGGTTAGAGATTATGGGACTCGTAGTCATACACGCCTCTCTCGACTGGGAAATTTCCCTCAGGTAAACAAGGGAACTGATATAGACCAGGCACTATGCGACTTCCGTCGGGAAACTCGCATTGTTTGTGGTGCGGCCAGGGGGTCGACTTTACCCCGAGGAGGAGGGAATGACGGGAAGGGGGAGGGGTGATTGGATGCAGCTCGCATATCCATCGTGAAACTCTGCCTCTCATTCGAGCAAACGTATAGGCTCTGCGGAGCTGAAGTAGACGGTGTGCACCAGTGATAAGTGTTCCTCATCGGTAAGAGGTCGCACGGGACGTGGACTGCGGGCGCAGGGGATAGGCGATGTCATAACCACAGAGTAGCATTGACCACTGATGAGGCCAGAAAAGATCGGATTCGGGTGGCGATCTGCAATCACAAGGCGCCATTAGCCAAGAGAGGGGCGTGGCTTGCAGCCTGAACGAGTTTCCCGCATGACAGGATAGCCTTGTCGAGGAGCGGGCGAGGAGGGGGAGGAGAGGGAGAGGCGCACCCACCATTCCTTGATATAATAGTATGATGGCGCGCACTGCCACTGGCGATGGATTGTAGACAGGCGTTTCCTCTGCCCCCAACGGACGAGCAGGACTAGTCCAGTGTGCCTGGTCCTGTCAGATCAGCACCATGGCCCAGATCAAGTCTAGCAGCTCCAGCAGCTCCTCCATCAGCAGCGGCGCAGGAGGAACCAAGCGCAAGGCCGAGTCACGTGGCGGCGTCGCAGACCCGGGCGCACGTGACTGGCCCGCTTCCTCCCTCACTGCCTCACCTCGACCTCCATCTTCAGGCACAGCAGCAACGCTGACGCCGACCGAGTCCACCTCCCCTTCTCCCACGACGAGCCCCGTGGCCCCCGGCACCGCGTCGACCTCAATTCTGCTCTTGGCTGAGGCTCTTCCCCAGGACAACTCCCACCATCCGCCCACCACCATGAAGACCGCCCGTCCCTATCGCTCCCACAAATATCCAGCTTGTGCCCGCTGCCACAAACGGCGCTCGCGATGCACCATCGAAATTCCCGGACAGGCATGCTTACTGTGCCGTATGCACGGTGTGCCCTGCTCTTCCGCCACGGCCAAGAAGGATGATCGTGTTACTCCCAAGGTGGGCTTTGTCCATCGTTCCCTGATTGCCGACGATAAGTCTATGGAAGGCTTTTCCCACATTGTCGGCCCCGTCATCGCACGCGACACCCAAGTTCTCGACCAGTATCTACCCCAGGGGAATGGAACTCCGGGCCATGTGCCCATCCAGCCGAGCCTGGGGAGACGAGAGTCGCAGAAGGCCATCTATCATGTGCCTATCCCGCCCAGGAGACCCAGCCCGACGGACTGCAATTGCACCAGGAACATGCCGGCTGAATTGCTTGACCAAGTCGACCCTTTCCTCGATAAATTACTGGCCAATTATTACGAACATTTCCATCCCTGCTATCCAGTTACCGACGAAGAATGTGTCATGTCGCGAATCAAGGACAGAAGTCAGCTGCCTCAGACATTCTTTGTCAACATGATAGCCTACGCACTGTTTTATTGGGATACTTCGCCTGCATTGGTGGGCTATGCCAGACCCGATCAGGATTTCGCCTGGCAGACGGCAGTGGCGGCAAACATCGCCGACATGCAAAAGGGCGACCTGGCTACCATCATCTCAACTTGCATCGACATCTCTGGACGACCTTCACGATGCTTGGTGAAAAATGTCGCCGACGTAGCGCGGGCGGTCGCCTTGTCTCACGCGGTCGGGCTGAACCACGATTGTAGTGAGTTCAAGATCAGCGAGATGGAGAAGAAACTCCGGTGGAAGGCTTGGTGGGGAGTAGTGATACAGGATCGATGGTTCAATTTCGCTCAAGGAACACCTCCCTATATCTCCAAGGGCCATTATGACGTCCCACTTCCCACGGTTGAGCTACTTACTCAAGGCAGAGGCGGGTCTGTTAAGCATGTTCGTGCCGCCGAAGTTTATATCCATCTGTGTCGATTGACGGAAATCGTCGGAGATGTCCTTCCACTCATATACCATATACGGTCCGGAAACGACAGCATTGCCGCCGAACAAACCTCGAGATCGGAAATCGAACTCAACCGCTGGATGGAAAGCCGTCCGAGTTGGCTGAATCTGAACGACTTCAACAATCGCCCGCCCGTGCCGGGACTGGTCAACCTGCAGCTTTCCTATCTTTCTGTACGCATGCTTCTGCGACGCATAGCCTGGCACGAGATCAGCCAACGAGAGAGCGATCCTGCCTCGTCATGGCTGCTCGGTTGCCAAGCAGCTGCCGAGGATATCGTTCGATTCGTCAGTTCGTTGCACAAGCAAGACCTGATGGGCTTCTGGTTACCCTACAATGCGCATCATTTCACATCTGCCGTTACTCTGCTGCTCCGGTGCGCACTTCAGACAAGTTACTCGAACGTTCGGACGCAGTGCATGGGAAGCGCGAGGACACTTGTGGACTGCCTGAAGAAATACCACGACGAGTATCAATGGGATCTAGCAGAGACGGCACTGTCGCAGAGTGAGTCTGTACTGAAGCGCATCGAGGACTCGCTACCCAAAGCGCCGGTTGTGGGAACTCCCAGCTTGCCCGCGGTGTCGATGCGCCCTGAGCCAAATGACACGCGCGGCTATGTGGATGAGAACATGCTTGGTGATCCGCTGCCGGACGATGCCTTCATCACACCACAAGGTCAAGGCTCAATTGAGGAGTTGTTCCCCGAGATCTTCTCAGATTTCACAGACACTGCCTTGTTCGCTAGTTCGATCCATAATGAATACATGGATTGAGACATGTTACCTCTGGATTTCAATTCAATCGATTCAGCCCACATACGTGCTGAGAAATACTGGGCAAGCCGCGCATGCAGAGCAAGTCTCGACCCTCTGGTCTTCGGCTGATCTCCTGATATCGGGAGGGAAGTACTTACGGCGGCTACTCCAGTGGCCAACTCCAGTCCGACTCTCAATGAGTTCACATTGGCGCTGGAAGGTCGATTCAATCAGTAGTGCCACAAAAAACCAGTGTAGCGATACCGGGTGGTATCTCAAGTCACTAGGGCATACCAGCAACACACGGCAACCAGGGAAAATCAGCCTTACCCGCACGGGCACTCAATGGACCACCTATGGAACCCTCCTGAGCTCACTCTCCAGAGCGGGTATGTTGCCCCGCCAAGCTGATGATCGTCAGGGGCTTCCTGGTCCTTCCTGCGCTCATCGAGGCGATGGCGAACGCGATGGCGAAGACGAAGGCATTGTCTTAATGGCGGGGACCGAATGTCATGAATCAATAATCCTATTGGTGACGAAACCGACATTAAAATCCAACGACGTATCACGGTTCGCATGGGGGTCTTTATGGTTAAGTCCCTGCAGAGGGGGCAGGCATTTGACGTGGCCAAGTCAGCTGAAGAAGTTACGACAAAACTAGACAGGGCGGCAGGGCGTGACAGCATAGCATATGATATGATAGCATTTGCCGGCATGGTACGGGAGTACAGGATAGCATAGCACAAAACATTCAGGGGAACGCACACGCCTGATCGTGACTGGTCGTTGGGTCTGCCGCCTCCCTCTCTCTCCTTCTCTTCCTTCCTTTCTTCTTCAAAAGAACAAGGCCGGTCAACTCCAACAATTGACACCCTCACATCACCCGTGCATGAAGGCTCTGGCCCCCAAGACCCGCTTAGTGTCGATACGCAAGCGCGTAGCTGAGATCCCACCTCTGGTGCGAGGTACTACTGCTTTTGACCAGTTCTGAAGCTACCTATACGCATACGCATACGCGCCCGGGCACACATGTGTCCACACGTCCGTCGCGCAGACTTCCTTCCTTGCATCCTTCGTCCGTCCGTCCCTCCGCCCCTCTCGCCATCGTCTACCCATCTCTCTACCTCTCCAGCCCACCCGTTGAGAGCGCCCCGTATCCGAGTATGCACAAGCACAAGTACGGCGTCTGTGTCTGTGTATGTATAGGCACACACCCAATCCACACATGCCCCCCAATTGCAGTGATGCCAGACGCAGCATGTCTGGTTGGGCAGGAACACTCGCAGTCCGGGGTCGGCCGCGCGTAAGCCCGCATTGTACATGAACGAGTCTAGGCTGCTATGTATGTCGGTAGGTAGCGAGTAGGTAGGTAGGTCCTCCGTCGTGCACACCCATCCATCGCTAGACCCCAGGGGGAGAGAAGGGAAGGGGAGGGGAGAAGGGGGAAGAGGCGGGACGAGGGGGGGACTATCTACATAGGGTAATTACTCTATTCGGCATCGACATCTACATATTAATTCATTACAGTATTAATCAATACAGGAGTTAGGTATCTACCTACACAGATAGGTAGGCACCATACCACGGCCAGAGGTAAGGCTAATACACGGGTTCACATCCACATACACAGGCATACGTGTGGTACAAAAGTACTTCCTCCTCATCCCAGCGGTAGTCACTTCATACGAGCACGCTTATTTTGTTCGGTATGGGGGCCACGGCATTGCGAGGGTAGACCGCCCACTAATTACTTGGCCGGGGCATGAGAAGACAACGCGGGACGGGAGCGTCGATTGTTCGTGCAGGAAAGAAATAGCGGCGCCCTCTGTGGTGGACAACTTCATCTGTCTCGAGCCTCGACAGACCCGACATGTGGTGGATATTCACGCTTGCAAGAAGGGAGGACGGGGAAGGAGTTCTTGCACGCCAACCAATATAAATTGTTTATTTAGCACAAGTGTAGAACATGTGTGTTTACGCAGGGAGAGAAGATCGACATGTTCCTATCTTCCCACTTTGTCACCTTCACTTGCATTCGTCGAGCAGTTGACCGACATAGTCTCACTTCGGTCGACCCGTGCGTGTTCTCCCATTCCTGCTTCACCCCCGAGGTCGATCCTGGCCAAGTTGCAGCACCTATTGTCGCCCAGAGACAAAGGAAATGGGGCAAGGCAAACAACCAACTTTGCCTCCTGGCTGATTGACCACACTAAACAGCCGAAGCACGAAACCCCGACCACCAGAAGTCCCGGTCATTTCACACCTTGGGCTTGTAATTCCTCTTCTCCGGATCCACTTCCTCGCTGCTGACACCGTGTCCATAGGCGACCCTCTCCAGCTCATCAAACAGTCTCATGACCGTTGGGTTCAGAAAAGGTAGAATATTCGTGCATATCATCCCTGCAATGCCAGTCGTGGGATCAACCCAGTAGTACAGATTCCCGAGGCCAGCCCATGCGCCCGACCCGGACTTTCGACCAAAAGGTAAGTCTTCGTGGTTGATGAGCAACCCAGCGGACCAGCCCCGTTTCTCGGTCGGTAAGGAGGGTAAGAAGGAGCCCTCAAGCGACGCTTGTGGGACGCTTGCAGTAACTTCACCAACACCAGACCTGTCTACTTCTGGACCGAGCAGGTCCTGGAAAAGAAGGTTTTGGACGGTCTCGGGTTTCAGGATCGAATTGCCCGTGGTGGGTGATGTGCCGTTGTTGAGCAACGCCGCCAATAATTTCGCGTAGTCGTTCATTGTCGAGTAGAGGAACCCTCCACCTCCCCAGACCACGGGAGATTCGTTATGCTTTGCGTCCGGAACTCCTACAAGCCCTGCTCCGTCGGACGCATCCATGTGGACTAGGAAAGTGTTCTTCTTCCCCGGGGGAAGCTTGCCGCCCGTGTCGTTCATGCCTAGGGGCTTGCAGATGTGTTCGACGATATAATCGGGCAGGGCTTGGCCGGAGACTTCCTGGACCACGAAACCAAGCCAGTCGATGCTGATGCCATAGACATATTTGGTGCCCGGGTCGGCCAGCAGCGGGGTTTCGTAATCTTCCCAGTCGCTAATCCCGTGATATTGCATGGGAGTGCGACCCGTGGCCACACGGTATGCAAGTGTGCCGTGATCAAAGAAGTCGTACGAAAGCCCAGAGGTGTGGGTCAAAAGATGCAGAATCGTAGGTTTTGACGCTGGTGACCGCAAAACGGGCTCGGGTCTGCCATCTGCATCTGTCTTGACGGACTCGAGCACCTGAAGCTTCGATATCCGAGGAAGGTATTTCTCCGCCGGGTCCGAGAGCGAGATTTTGCCTTGTTCGACCAGTTGCAGGGCAGCAATCACGGTAATAAGCTTGGTGCATGAAAAGATGGTCATTGTGGTGTCCGCATCGAATGGAGCGGCATCCGGGTCCTGGAGATGAGTGGTTCCCAATGTCTCTTTGAGCAGGAAGTTGCCCTTGGAATCGATGATGAAGCATCCGACCCCTGGGACCTTCTTGTCCTGGACGGCGGCTTCCAGCATGGATCTCAGTTGGGCCTCCATGGTTTGATTTGGGCAATTGCCAGTGCCTTCGGTCTGCAGCGAGGAAGAAGTGAGGTGTAAATCGGGCCAACAGAAGAGCTTCTGCAACTCGCCAGAGGCCCTGTAGTTATAGCAACTAAGCTTCGCGCGAAGCGGGACTGGGAGCGACTGAGAAGCCGGGAAAGGACCGAGAGGAATGAGGAGAAGCGAGGGGTAGTGGAGGAACGAAGAAGTGTAACGGCAACTGGTGGCGGGACGCCCTGATACTTTATCTCCTAGATATGCGCCAACAGTCCTCGCCCATCTCGTGTGTCCAATATGTCCAGCGAATCAAGCGACCCGCTCTGACATCTCGCGGCGGCCGTGGTGGTCAGGATAGTGGTGGTGCAATAAGGGGCAGGGTCTTTTGCTGTCAGATATCGCCTGGGATCCCCAGGTAGAAGGATTCGTTCGTTTAGACGCTTGACCTAGTTGTCGCGAGGTGCCAAAAATCCGAAGCTGCATGATACCTTTTCCGCAGTGGGCGCCGTGGCCGCCTGACGTATTGGACTCCTCGAGGAGGCGGGTTTATGTGAAGCTCAATCAGGCACGAGATGCTTGTTCAAGACTGAAGATACAAGTCACAGGCAACTGCAGAACACAAGCCTTCCCAATCTAGTGCTTGATAGTGGATTTGGTCTCGTTGCGGGATCGGATCTATGTTTTGCTGATCGTAAAGTGTTTTCCAATCATGTCTCGTAACTTGTCCACACAATCCCTAGCTAGCTGTCGCATCCATCGTCTTGAGAAAGCAGCGGGTCGTCAGCAGGATTCCACCGAGGCGCATTGACTGGGCTGATTCGACCGAGTACTGGTTGTAATCGCTGCGTCCAAGCTAGACGTTACTGTATGATACCAGTGTGTCTGCTTCTGCTATCCAATTCTTGCGGTTTGTCGCAAGTGGGTTCACGATCGGATTGGCGGGGGCGTACTGCGAGTGGTGGAGAGCTCCAGGGGGAGGCATATGATAGGACATTGTTCCCCAAGCTCGTATCCCGCTGCTGACCGTCCCGAGAGCAGATGGAGTGAAAATACGAAGTGAAGACTGCTCATTCGGTGCTGCGGTGCCCCGAGATCAGGTATTCTCATGTAATCATCTCAAGCCTTTGGGGTTTCCGTCCTTCGAAGTCTTTGGCTAAACCCGAGGTCGGGATTGACTGCGACGCTGGATGAGGTGCGGCGTCAAATATCCGATTTACATGTTGTGGGCAGCGGAAAGTCCTAGGTTATTTGAGAAGCCGTGTCCATTGTCCTGTACAAAAAATCCACGATGCCATTTCGACAGAGGTTCACAACTGTGGACGGGTAAGAAGGAGCTGTCTATCGCTTTCTTTCGCGGATGCTGTCCGGGGCTCGATCAGTGCCAGTGCCAGTGCCAGTGCCAGTGCCTTTGCCAGATCCCGCCAGGTAGCCCGCGAGATCAAAGTTCTCTGCCGCAGACCCAGCCCCTCCGCCTTGCATGGCGCGCGTCAGACCGCCCATGGGGCTCTTTTTCTGCATCTCTTCGTACTCGGCGCGCATTTCGGGGTCCATGTTCTCCAACAGTTTGGGCATCCCAAACGTAAAGGCAAGAGCCACGACCGCCATGAGGATCATAGGATTCTTCAGGAGACTCAAAGGGTTGAAACCCTGGCGCTGTTCATAAAAGTTCTTCCTCGACAGAATCTTGGCAGACATGTCCAATTGCCCAGTAGGGGTAGCTACTAGAGCTACGCCTCGGTCATCCCATCGTGTTCCACGGTATGTTTCCCAAGCTCCTGCAATGACGGTACCGGCGGGGTCGGAGGACGAGGGAGAGATATCGATCCTGTAGGGTGCGAAGACGTAATCGTGACTATAGATGTCGAGAAGATGTGATCCGGTAGTGGAGATTTCCGGGAACTCAAAGTAGTTGCCCTTCCGCAGGACAGCCCGAACTGGTTGTCCAGAGCCTGAAGTTAAGACAGCATGCGTCGAGGCTGGCAGGACGTTAGGATTGGGAAGAATGTTGGAAGGCGTCACCGAAACCCGGAGCGAGGCAGCCAGCACGGGGCCGAAATAGCAGGAGAGGGCGAGTAGAGGCAAGATAAGGACAGCCATGGTTCTAGATCTGGTAGCAAAGCTCGGTGGACGTGAAACAAAAAGGATCAAGCGAACACAACAGAAATGAAGCGCCGAGTTGTTGAGCGGCGGCATGGCGGGAAAGAGAAGGCATATCAGGCCGCTTTAAGTGGCATGATGGATAACATTAAAGCAGCAACTATCACTTGACCGAGCGATACAACCGTCAGGTCACCTCGCCCATCCATTATTGCTGTCGCAAGATCCAGCATGGATTGCTATATTGATCTCCGGCGAAGTGTAACACAATGGATAGAATTGCACCACAAGCTATGGGCTTTACGCTCCAGAACTGGGGTACCTGCGCTTCTATCCTTTCGAGCAGCTACTTGAGATACATAGTTCGACCTACGCAGCAGCCCCCGAACAGCATACGAGATCATCATCGAGGAGTCAAATAGTGGCTCCCTTGTTATTGCTTCTGCTTCTTCCCTATCATACATGTCTTCATCATGGACTTCAACTCTTGATATCTGGTAACCATTTAACCACCAAAAAGACGACAGCCGCCCCCCCCCCCTTTACCATCAAAATCAAAAGCGTGCATTCGGTCGAGTCCGTGTGATGCCGCAGACAAGCTGGCAGCGCCATACGTACCCGATTAGCCTACTATCAACACCCTCTCTAGGAGACCTCTAGGTACGAGATCTCGACATCGGTCTGTTTTCTAATGTCGTCTCTGCGCTTGTGTCCTTGTGTGTCTGCTCCTGTCTTTGCCATGTCTTCCAGCATGACAACCTCATCACTGTTTGATTCGCTGATGGGATATGACTTGGGCCCCCCACCGGTGATGACGGTCGTGGAGAACCCCTTGGTGGGAGACGCAGGGTTCGGAAAAGACGAGACTCGCCCTTTGACAGAAGATCCATGATAGCTGTCGGAGAGCGGGTATGCTCCAGACCTAGATCGGAAATTGGTTGTTGGGTGATTGTAGGACGAGCCGCGGAAGATCCGCGGGAAGAATCTGGTAATCGTTGCCTTCAAAGGTGGAATGCAGGTGCAAATGATGGACGTGTTCACTTCGACGCCGAGCCACAAGTTATTCTGAGCCTGGTAGTCTGCAAAACAGGATTAGCTCGAGAATTCAAGTTTACCATTCACTGTGCCGGCGAGGGCATATTGAATCAATGTAGTATTCAGGGCAGAGGCGGGTGCTCACATGTGCTGTCCTTGGCCGTCGCTGCTGGGCCAAGGGTGGCAATACGAACCACGCAGGTTGCAATAATGCTGGTGATGCGTCAGCCATACATGTGGATGAGAGAACCCAGGGCTACATGTGCTTACAACAACCCCAGACTGAACAGGAGAGCCAATCCCAATTTCTGGGCCTTGGGTAGTTTAAGAGATCGGATTTGGATAATTGGTAGTGCTATGATCATCACGTCTGTGGCGATGTTGATTGAGGAGCTGGAGTACCAGATTCCCGGAGTCCAGATGCATTTGCCGGGTAAAGTTGGGGTCCATGCCTTCTGGATAGGGTGACATGCGAAAATTGTGGGAATGATGGTCCCAATGGCCGTGCCGGCGCATATGAACATGACAACAAAGGCGGCGATTCGGAAGTTGCGAGAAGAAGAGAAGATCCGTAGATAGAGGAAAAGCATGGACAGCTTTGCAAAGAGAGCGGCAGCCTTGTATAGCACTTGGCAGGCAAGGAAATACTTTTCGAGCAGTTAGCGTATGCCTATTTAGCCCTCGAAATGTTGCCCCAGAGCAACAAATGGGCTGCAACTCACTTTCCAGGCTTGCAAAAAATGTTCCTGGCTGACCGTGGCTTGGTGAAGTCCGAACCCATTCTTTGTTTCTGTAACAATTGTCAGTTCAGATCTGACATTTCACTTGAACTATATATCAAAAGTGTCGAACGTACCTCCGTAAAATAATCCGGTCATGGTGATCGAAATAAACTGTTGATGGGCAGTTAGAAGCCAGAAGTTACCAGATGAACCGTGAGGCGCCAGGCTACTCACCAGGGCCATTAAGACACACCAGTCGTCCAAACCAAGCATGTGGTTGATTGCAATGCGTGTCCAGAACCGCGCGATGACCAGAACTGCTGCAACCACCACCAGCGCGATATTGACTATAACCACAGTGTCACCTCGGGGGTTGGGAACACCGTTGTCCACAGCATCTCGTTTGAGCAACATTGTTTCCATCGATATGTGGTCGAGTGCTGGGAACTCGAGAGGCCTGTGGTCCTGCGGACTGCTGGGAGAAGGAACATATTTTGGGGGGGCGAAGGGCGGTATTAGGTACCGCCATATATGATGTTCGAATACGAGGTGTCTAGAGAGGCCGTGGCCAGGTTTCCAAGCCTCGCTCTCTTGTGCCGTGTTCTGAGCGGACCCAGACCAAGTAGCGAAACCCGTACCCCTGATCTGTTGCCACTAACAGTCGTCGCAATGACCGCAGACGAGAAACCACTTCTCGAGTAGTCTGGAGTGGACTGACTCGAGCCATTGAGGTGAGGCTGGGGCATGGGTCTTGGGCTTCGTCTAGTCCTGTCGCTAGCGGTTTTCCAGAATCCGCGCCAGGCACATGGTTCATGGGGGAGTCAAACGTGTTTGGTGATTTGAGCTTTGTATTTCAGACGACGTCGCCGTTGGCTGCGCCTTCTTAATCGAAGGTGAAGTGCTGCAAGGGGAGAACCAAGCCTGTAACTAAAAGACTAGGGACTGCGTGGCTGCAGACCCATCTTCTCTTAGCTTCTCTCACATTGCCCGCTTTCGGCAAAGGGAAACGGTAGGCCCATGATTCTGTACCAGGTACGAGGAAGCCATGGCGCAGGCCATCATTGCTTCACATCCGTCATTTCCGAGGGATGATGTAGGCTGCTTTGTGCTTGTCTCCGTCGACCGTATGCAAGTCGTCTTCGGCTTGAGGCATTGGTTCTCGCTCCCCACATGAACACTAGCAACTCGAAGTTCATCAGAGGTGCCTGCTCTTGGCGGGGTACCCATTGACCGTGGTGGGTGGGTATATTCGCTTATTTACATAATTGAGCCAAGGTAAGGTAGGTCGCTTCTGTGTGGGTGCGCAGCCTGATCGTCTCAACACATGTGCGTACAGGAGCACGTTGAATTATGCACTGAAAATGAGCAATTTGCCGTTTGACTGGCATCAACCTGCCGCCCCCAATTCTGTCGCCAGCTCCGGGAAAATGGCAGGGAGAGTTGGAAGGGGCGTGGTGTTTTCCCACTGAGTGGGCGTACGCCGACTCGATGGCGCAGGTTTTGACACAGCGTGAATAATCTCGCACGAATTTTGTGAATACGAGGTCCCTAGTGATAGAAGGGGCGTCTAATGTCGGGGCGAGCATCCCGGTACTCGTCGCAACTCGGTGAAATCGAACGATTGGAGGTATAACGAGTCAAACTTTTTGCTAGTAAAAGTGGCTGAAGTTAGGAGCATTTAGTATCCTGAAGCCGTGTAGTAAGTTGTTTTAGGTAGTGTCGCCAGACACATTTTGAAGCGACTGATATCTTTTAGTCAATTGTGTCAATCAGCGCATCCTCTTTCCACGTGCATGATAGCTTGAGTTTCGCTCCCGCAATCCTGGTGGATGGCGGGGTTAGCTTTGTAGCCCAGCTGCTCAGGCTGGGAATTTTCCGAGGATAAGTCCTCTCCTATACCAGCCGTTCTGTACTTACCGCAGCGTTTGACTTGCCTAGCAGAAGAGCCGGCTGTCCAAGGGGTTGAATAATCTCTTGGGTTACCGTACGAATAAGTAGGTAGGGGCATCGTCTGGTTCGGAATGCTAGCTTTGTACCAGGAACTCGGTGGTTCGACCTTCTTCCCCTGTGGTACGAGTACTTACTCAAGGATTACCCAGCGACCCCGGAAGTCGGAAGAAACCCTAATGCTCCTGCACTAACCACTAGCGTGCGTTCTGATCTTCTCGCTCCTTCTAGGCAACGGGCAGGCGGAGGACAGTTGATCAAGGGTGTGCATGGGGGCTGCGTTCGCTTGCAGGAGGGCCAGACCACCCAACTCCTGACCTAGCAACTGGAGGCAAGTGAATTATCCTCGATTAGTCCCGCTAAAAGACAGATGGCCCTGGTTAGATGCACAAGTTAAGTCCGCCAACCAGTCTCAGTTGAAAGACTAGGACGACGTGTGACCTGTGTTGAGACCCGATCCTTGAGCTGCAGTCGAAGTCCAGCCAGCCGGATGTTTGCCTGCAAGGGGCACTACTCGTATGCAGAAGCGATCCCGACACTATCATTCAGCGCAGCATGGGTCTGCAAGTCCTGGACATCAGTCGCGTACTTTGAGCCTCCTGCATAAGTCTTTTTTCTACTTCTTTGCGGTACCGCTGCTGTTGTTAGGTGCATTACATGTTGGCTGGTGTGGCGTTTTCTCTGGTGCCTCCCAATGGTGCCCCTGATAAGCACTGACAAATGAAAGAACAAATGAATCTCGAAATGAAATCTTCAGATCATTAAGTTGCCATTGCTTCTTCTTGCATTCTTATTGCCTCGGCTGCGTGCCTGGCGGTCCAAAGATGCACAGCGGAATGTTGAGTATAGGTATTCTGTGTGGTAGCACGATAAATTATAGAGGGCATGTGACAATAGTCTTTCAGTAGGTGGGACTAGAACAAGACTGAGAAGAATGAGTATCATGCTGGCAAGAAAAGAACAGCAGGAGATAAGAGACAAGAGAGGCAAGAGAGGCAATCAGAAGCTCTTGGAAGAGGGTTTGGGTTTTTTGTGGCATCCGATACCGGCATTTAACCGACAATCGACGATGTGGTATTGACACACTTTGGGGCTTCAGACAGCCACCAAACACTGACCACAGCTGCTGAACTCCCCTAGACAGGTCCGAGACTGTCCTCTATCCTCAACAAGTAATGGAGACCATCATTCACGTCTACGACCCGAAGCGGCCCCTGCTCCTTCTCGAGTATCGAAATACCAGCAGCAAGACCACTCCCCAGCCACTATCCTCCCCTCCAAATGTTCTTCTCTTCGTGGGCGGACTCTACGACAATTTTCGGTCGCCACGCTACGTCGATGACTTGGCGGCGCTGTTTCCGCGCGATGTTCCAAATCAGACATGGCGTGTGATGCACGTCCAGCTCTCGACGAACGGGAGGAGCTGGGGGTTGTTTGACCTGGATCGTGATGTAAGTTGTGCGAGTTGCGCCCTCTTTTGTTGCCATGATCTCTACAAAGGAGAGGACGTTACATGGGTCTCCTAGTCTCTCTGTTCCAATCTTGTAGAAGAACTTAGGACGTTGTCACCTGGGTTCACATTGACTTGAATGGAGGATGTTGATTTTGACACCTGAATCTAGGTCAGAGAAATCGCCGCTGCAATCACCTATATCAGAGACACGATAACTCAGTCTCCTTCGACGCCTGTGGTCTTGATGGGCCATTCCACCGGCTGTCAAGACCTCATGCATTATCTCGTCTCTCCTGTGTCGTCATCTTCTCCACGCCCCGATATCTCAGGCGCCATCTTACAGGCGCCCGTGTCCGACCGCGAAGCAATTTTGAATGGCGTCTCTGAGTCTGCGGCCGCAAAAGCAGCCTATGAAGCTGGCCTGCAGATCGCCTCCTCGACACCCAAGGAGAAACACAAGACGACAATTCTGCCCATGGACGTCATGAAGCCCGTCCTCGGCCCTGTTCCGGTGACCATTTCCCGTTTCCTCAGCTTGGCGTCACCAAATTCGCCAGAGAACCCGGCAATGGACGACTACTACTCCAGCGACCTGTTTGACCAGAGGCTCCGAGAGACGTTCGGCCGCATCGGCGCTGTTCCCCATCTGCAGCCAACAAGGCAGGGGATGAAGAAAAGTCTATTGATTCTGCAGGGCGCCAACGACGAGAGCATCCCCAAAACTGTGGATAAAGCCCTGTTGCTCTCGCGATGGAAGTCGGCGCTTGAGTCCACTGCCGAGGCAATCCTGTCCCGCCACTCGCTCATCATTCCCCATGCGGTGCACGACATCTCGGGCTCGTCTAAAGAGACGCGCAGAGCACGGCTTGTGGACATGCGTGGCGCGGTGTTGAACTACCTTCAAGACGTGGTTGGTGGGATTGATCCGCCATCGGGGACCGATGGTGACAACGCGATGAGCCCATGGGACATTCTGGAGAGGGATCGGAAGGAGATTGAAAGCGGCGACGACGCGGCGGACGGTACGGGGAAGGGAGTGGACACTTCTAAATTATGACCTGGGGATTGACCATTGACCATGACGAGCCGTTGTGGGACGACTGGTCATTCCCATGTGGTACGACGATGGCTACGACCATGCCGTGAATGGTATGGATGCATCCCGAGCCTCGTAGCCTCGTAGCCTCGTAACCTTGTAGCTTCGTGGGGCTTTTGCTATTGTCAGAAAAAAGGACCCGCTGGGCTCCTGCATGGGATGCCTGATTCTAACCGCTCGTCACTTCGCGCCTTACATACGGGGGGCGGGAATGATAAGCAGAACAGAATTATTCGAACCTCAACCTAATCTCTTCCCTCACTTCAATTGTTGCTCTGTGTTTGTGGGCTGAGGCCATGTTCTATGCTCATGTCCCTTTTCCTTCTTTGCGATCCTAACCTCTAGTTTTGTCTATAGGTGCTTCCCTTCGCCTGCAATGCAAAACCTAGCCCGACGCTTGCTTCCTTCAGAAAAAAAAAATACAAAACAAAATCAAGGTGAATTGATCCGGAGAGACCCCGCAATAGTATCTCTGGAACAAAGTTCCTCCCAACGCCATCGCTGAAGAAAAAGGGCATGAAACGACATCAGATGGAGAAGAGGACATCAATCAAGCAATGAGCATCCGGGCGCATTGATGGAAAGCCGCACCAATACCACCCTTGGAAACAAAACACCATAGGACAGAAACTACGTCTGGCTTTCGGCCTTCTTCTCCTCCATCGTCTCGGCCTCGGCCTCTTGCTCACCATCCTCTTCCACCTGGACGTCCCTGTTCTGCGACCTGATCTGCTGCATCACTTCGTGCGCCTGGGCGGCATACTTGCACTTCATCCTGATGCTTTCGCCGTATTTGTAGAAGACGAAGGGGAACGGGGCGCAGGCGAGCGCCAAGAACGCGGGGATCGAACTGGCCCAGTGGATGCCCAGGTTGTGGAACATTTGCACGGTGAAGAGGGGGAAGACGGCGCCGAACAGGGACCGCAGGACCGAGTTGGCCGCCAGCACCGACGCGGCGTAGATGGTGTACGCGTCGATGAGGTAGTTCATGCACGCGAGGAAGACGTTGACCATGCCGAACCCGAAGGGCGCCGAGGCGATGATGCACACGATCCAATGGATGGAGGGATAGTTGGTCCACGCAAACCAGAACATGCCGATGGGGATCGCGACGGCGCCCACGGCGGCGGGAGGGAGACGGGCTTCGGCGGGCGCCTCGCCACCGTGCTCGGCTTCGATGCGCGCGTATCGCTTGTTGTCCCAGATGGCGTAGATGACGCCGGAGATCATTCCGACAGCGACGCCGGAGAAGGCCAGCCCGCCGATACCCTGAGACCAGCCTCGCTCCTCTTCAAAGACGATCGGGAAGGCGCCGAAGAGCATGTACAGGGTGCCGTACAGAATGGCCATGTATATGGAGATGAGAAGGACGATCGGTTCGAGGAACAGCAATACCCATGGTCTCGAGAGGGCCTTGGAGAAGGCGGCCTGGGGCGTGACTTTGCCTTGACGTCTCTCGATGGCAGAGATATAGAGCTTGCCCGTGCGCTTGGTCAGCGCCTTGGCCCGGCGGGACAGAATGACGGGGGCATAGGTCTCTGGGATGACCAGGGCGCCGAAGATCCAAAGACAGCCTGTGAAGATGGCCATCACGCCCTCGACCCAACGCCATCCGATGGTCTCAGCGATGAAGCCTCCAACAACCGGGCCGATGGTAGGGCCCAGGAAGGGAGCGGCGGCGAAGATGCTCATTCCCAGACCTCGTTGATTGGCGGGAAACATGTCCGCAATGACGCCACCGGCGTTGGTGAGCGGCGAAGCCCCAAAGGTGCCAGCGAGGAATCGCATCACGATGAGACTGGCGATCGAATTCGCGCCAGCTGCGCCCGCGTTGAATGCGGTCAGGACTGCGTATGTGCCGATGAAGAGGACTTGTCGGCCATACAGTTCCGACAATGGTGCCCAGAGCAGGGGCCCGATGGCGAACCCTAGGACAAACAGAGCCACCCCGAGCGTCGCGACCTCTTGACTGCACCCAAAGGCTTCAATGAGCTGCTTTGTGCTGGCGGTGTAGGCCGTGGAGACGAACGCCACGGCCAGAGTTGCAAAGGCCACCGTGAGGGTGAGCGCCCACTTCTTCCAGTCCGGGAATTCCATGGGATTGCGAGGGTCGCCGGGGATGAATTCGACGATATAGGGGTCTTCCTCTGTTCCCGAGCCCTTGTATCGATGATTCAAGACTTCTTCCGTGATGAGCGACTGGCTGACCACGAGGCGCCAGTGGGGCACTTTTCTGCCCGAAGGGTCACTTTTCTGGCTCTCGACATCGTCTGTGAGGGTCGAGGTGGACGAGTTGTTCGGTGAATTTGACATGGTGTGTGTTGGTTAGGTGCTTCAGCCTACTGGGGGAAAAGAGCTGCGCGTGTTAGACCTCACGAGACAGGGAACGGGCGAAAGGGCTGTTCTTTAAAACAGAATCATGGATTCATTACGATATGCATCACCGCAGCACAGCGCCTATGCCTATGCCGAAACACCATATCTCCGCCCGTGGCGGCAGATCGTGGGCTGCCAGGGACCATGACCACCTGGGCATCATGTTAAGATTGTTCATCGATCTGCTTCGGCCACAACCTTCAGCTCGTCCGGCGGTCGGATGGCGAGCCCGTCGTCAAGGTTTGGAGTCTTTGTTTTGTCAGACAACATTGGCTTGGTATGCTGCTGGGGGGGAAAGACGTCGGAAAGCGTCTCGCCATCTCGTCACGAAGAATCTGGCTTTGGGCAGAGACTGCCGTGATAACCGCACAGGGCAGGGCGAGACAGACAGCATGCCCATACAATTGGCTGAAGGGGCCATTAGCCTTGTGCCGGCGTGGCTAGTATAACGCCCGATTGACGATTGTTGCATCATAAGCCATGCATAAAAGAGGCATAGATGGCTTGTGCTGGGGGCATAAGCTCTCACTCCTTGCCTGACAGGGTTACCGTCGCCTTTGTGGTGTGCTGCTTAGTCTTTTCCATGCAACCCAGCGACTGAGGGGCCCGGCCGAGCCTGGATATTTGCACTTGGTAGATTAAAACCCCGCCCAATCGCCGGGTGACGGTGGCATGCTCCCTTCCTTCAAGCACAAGCCTGCTGTCGTCCTCTTCGTATACAAGAACTCGCTCTGCCCAACGCTGCGGTGTTAAAGCTCGCTGTTAAGGCCACCGTCATCATACCCCGAACAACCCAGGTCATCCCATGGCCGGTCCTTCTTGTCTCAGTATGGCAGCTCCCGCCTGGCACATAATACTTGCTACACATGCAAGACTCCTTCCTCAATGGGGAAAATGCAATTGTCCTCCGACACGGACGCGCAAATATCTGTTTATATAATCGGCGGATGATGTGTTGAAACCACCCGCCCCATCCACCCCACATTGCCGCAAATCCCGGGTCCTTTGCACAGGGTGTGAAAATGCAAAGGTACAAAAAATAATAACAATAATATGTTCCAAGTCCATTCGACTGGCCAGGGGGCGTAGGTGTCGACGACATCTTGATTTGGACCAGGGACGCGGTAAGGGATGCTTTTGGCCAGAGATTCATATGATCAGAGACAAAACGAGATTCGCGGTTTGGAAAGCGTCGCGGCAGGGCAAAATTGCTGTGTGTTGTCCTACATACCCACCCGCTTTCGTCTTCCCCTGTGCCTGATGGTTTTTTTTTTTTGGCTGAACGCACGGTAGCAGTCTTACGGTCCCAATAGACCAATGGATCTCTCTTCTAGAACACAGACCTGCTGCAGAAGTTATCGATGCACCTGATATAACTGACGACGGCACTGTGGTGGTCTCCAAGAGTCATGTCGTCATGACCCACGTTCTTCATCCACGTCAAGAGAACCCCAAACTGACCATTTTGTATGAAGACATCTCTCAGTCAACGCATGTAACGTACCTAGTAGATTCTCTTTCGCATCGAGGAGAGCCATCATGGCAGAGACGACGCAAGAGCTCCATACCAAATACGAGCCTCATCCAGATCCCCAGCAACTGACGGGCCACGACCGCCATGCTGTAGATTACGAGCCTCACCCGGAGCACTCGTTGAAGATATCACCGGAGCACGAGACTATTGTCAAGTCCATCACAAACCTCTATTCGGGCAGCTGCAGCGAGAAGGACATGTCGGTGTACGCAGAGAAGGCGATCTACGATGACCCGCTCTCTTATTGCGACACCCGATACAAGATTGCCGGCCAGTGGTATGGCCTGCCCAAGATCTTCACCAAGTTGGCGACCAAGAAGGTTGAAGTGGTCAAGGACACGCCGACGGACATTGTCTTCAAACTAAGACAGGAGTACACTCTTAGGGTGGCCAACACTCCCAAGGAAGTCGACTCTCTCGTCTCACTGTCACTCGACGAGGCCGGAAAAGTGCGGTATCACAAGGACATGTGGAACTCCCAGGACTACAGCCATTCGGGCATTGGCAAGCTGATCAAGACCTTGAATGGTGATCATCTTCCAAAGATCACTCAGCCACCGGATTCATTGTAGGCGCCTTCACACCAGGCAGTCCTCCGGGGTTGGCAGCATGGTACCACCGGGCTCATTTCTGGGGTATAGATGCCTTTGCAGAGGGAGCGACCGAAGGAAGAAAGATATGCAATAGGATGAGTAAGGGTGAGCGAGCAAAGGTTCTGGCGAGAGATGGACTGCGCCAATCGGAGCGCAGGCGGGTGTGTTTTGGGGGCAACTGGAAACGGTTGGAGGAAAGGTACGGAGGGAGAAATCCCATGTGCTGGAACGAGAGAACTCGAGGGCGTTTTCGACAAAATGGCGGTGTGAAAGATGGTTGAGGCCTGAGCCGGAGCCCGTTGTCGGTGTTGATATTGATGTGTTGTAGCAGCCCTTCTGAGGCACCATGGGGATCCAGTCCATATTATCTCCAGGAGTGATAGCGATCACCGAAAACGAACAAAGTGTAACAGCGATAGAAAAGGGCCAAAGGGAAAACAAGCAATGGCAAGCAAGGCACGAAATGCCGTTGACCAACTGCGCGCAGTTTAGCCTCCAGGCTTGCGCTGGCGGGGTTCCGGCACTGTGGATGGCGCCCTCGAGTTCCTCCACTTCAAACGCCCCGAGAAAGATTCTGTTCCCTGCTGCTCAACTTGGCGTCATGCCTCCTCCTCAGCATATCATTCCCCTTGTGCTCCCTGCCATTTCACCACGCAGATCCTCATCCTGAAGGTGCCAGCTCTCTCATCCTTCTTCCGCTTCTTCTTCTGCAAAATGTGGTTTTCAATGCTCAACCAACGAACAACATCTCCTCCCCACGCCCTCGCTGTCATGCCGCTCCGCACTCCCGCTCCCTTGCTCCTGCCCTAATAACGAATGGAATGACCTGCCCTGACATGCGACCTTGAGTACCCGCCAGAACAGAGTCCTCAAGAAAGAAGGCGACAGTCTCGATTTGGGCCTCTATCCCCTTATCATCACCGGACTCCAAAGCCATGGGTCTGGCAGCAGAATGGGCCTGGAATTTCTGGGAGTTTTGCAAGAGAAATATCATCCCCGATGTCTTCATCAAGAGGAGGTTGAACTTTATCACCATACACTATTTGTATATGATGGGAATGACTATCCTGGGCTCGGTCATCATCTTCGGCATTGGTGACATCCCATACATCGACTCCTTGTTCTTTGCCTCCGGAGCTTGCACCCAGAGCGGCTTGAACACCATCGATGTGGACAACATCAAAACCGGCCAACAATTCATGCTCTTCTTCCTGGCAATGCTCTGCAATCCCATCGTCGTCAACTCGGCCGTCGTCTTTGTCCGCCTGTATTGGTTCGAAAAGCGTTTCGAGGCCGTCGTCAAGACCACAAATGCTCTACGACGAACAAAGTCGAGGCAGCGTACCATGACCATTGGAAAGGATGAGCCCGAGCCAGGTCTGCCGGGTGTCGCAGGGAGAGCAATTCGGATACTGCGAAACACCGGGCGCAGCCAAGGTCATGCAGATGCAGAGAAGCTCGACAACGGCAATGGAAAGGCAGTGGATTCGTCTGACACGTCTCAGGAGGACCAGCAGGAGTCCAAGGGCCACATCCCTGATCACCGTCCACCAATTCAGACATCTCGGTCCGTCGATGATGTGCGTGTGCCCCCGCAGATGGACCCAGAACAGCACATCCGCTTTCTCGAGAATCAACGAAATCCCAGCGACACGACTGCTCTGCGAATCCCCAGCCCTCGCGAGTTCGAACTGGGCGGCAGACCTCAAAACGTTAGTGCCAGCTTTGACGAGAACCCACTGCGCCCAATCACGAGCGAGCCCGACCTCTCCAATGTTAACGAGGGACGAGGCGATGTGGCCGCTGCAGATGACACTGTTGCTCCTACGCATATCACCATTGACGAACCTCAGTTCTTGCGAGACCGCCAGGACCGAACTGCTACCTTTCCCCGACTCAATACCAGACAATCCACACAACCCTCACATACCTACGATGCCCCTGAACCGGGATCCTACCTTCGTCGGAGGGGTTCAAACACCTTCCGATCGCTGCATCGCGTCAACACGCCGCGCACACAGGAGCTGGCCCCGTACCTGAGTTGGCAACCGACCATCGGGAGGAACTCATTTTTCCTTGGTCTGACCGAGGAACAGCGAGAAGAGCTGGGCGGGATAGAGTATCGGGCTCTCAAGGCCTTGGCCCTGATCCTCGTCCTGTACTTCTTCTGTTTCCACATTCTCGGTATCATCTGTCTGATCCCGTGGATCCTGCACACGAGCTATGGAAAATACGTGACAGATCAGTCGCAGGGAAGAGTCTGGTGGGGTCTCTTCACGAGTGCTTCTGCCTTCAACGACCTCGGTTTCACTCTGACCAACAATTCTATGCTCTCATTCCAGCGAGCAGTGTTCCCTCTGCTGTTGATGACCTTTCTTATCATCATTGGCAACACGGGATTTCCGTGCATGTTGAGGCTCATTATCTGGGCCACGTCCAAGTGTGTCCGGGAAGGCAGTCCCCTGTGGGAGGAGCTCCGATTTCTTCTGGACCATCCTCGTCGCTGCTTCACCCTCCTGTTTCCAAGAGAAGCTACCTGGTGGCTGTTTGCCATTCTAGTTATTCTCAACGGACTGGATCTAATCTTTTTCATCATTCTCGATCTTAATGATACCACCGTCACCTCCTTGCCAGGGGGCATACGTTTTCTTGACGGTCTCTTTCAGGCCGCCTCGACTCGAACCGCGGGATTTTCCGTGGTGAACCTCGCCGAACTCCACCCTGCCATTCAGGTCAGTTATCTGATCATGATGTACATATCCGTCTTTCCGATTGCCATTTCCATGCGAAGAACCAACGTGTACGAAGAGAAGAGTCTGGGCATCTACGGAACTCTAGCCGAGGAAGAAGAAGACGAGGGCGAGCCAAGCTATGTTGGCGCGCATTTACGAAGACAACTTTCCTTCGACTTGTGGTATATTTTCTTGGGCATGTTCATCATTGCCATTGTCGAGGGTGGACGACTGCAGAATATCAACGAGTCCGCATTTACTCTTTTCTCTGTCCTCTTCGAAATTGTGTCGGCATACGGCACTGTGGGACTTTCCTTGGGCTACCCGACTATCAACGCTTCCTTTTCCGCCGAGTTCCACGTCCTATCAAAGTTGGTGATAATCGCCATGCAGATCCGTGGAAGACATCGTGGACTTCCCTACGAGCTTGACCGCGCTATCCTTCTCCCCTCCGAGAGCCTGCAAGAGAAAGAAGCCAAGGAGGCCGAAAGAGTCATGTCTCGGGTGCAACGTCGGAGATCGTCCATAGGAGGGCATTCAATAATGTCGGCTGTCGACGGGAATATAGAAGGCCGCCAATTCCGGCCTGAAACGGGGCTCTCTTCGGGACTGCGAGATATCGATGAGAACTTGGAGTTTCCACGTCCTCGCGCCAATACGAATCGATCACACCACAGAACAAGCTCATCGGAACATCCACTGCACAGTGACCGACACAGCGAACCGCACAGCGCACGCCGCGGCCTGGGTGTTGGAATGTTCAAGCTGGCGTCTGGCGTGGAGGCCATCAAGGAGGAAAGGTTCCGAGAGTAGAGCATGAAGAGCATCTGAGCCGGAGAGCCTAATAGCCGGACAGCCGGACAACAAAAATTGTATTCATATTGACACGACGATTCCGACAATATCGATGCATTTGAGCAACGGCGAAGAATGGAGTACTGATTGATATGAGCCTTACAAGTGCGGGCTATATTGCATTGACATACAGCGACATGCTAACAACGTATGGTTGAATGCAGATTTAGCGTGCATGTCTATTTCAAAAGTGCCACAGAAGTGAACCACCGTTTAGAGATTCTTATATGCATGGACTCAAGAAGAGACTGCTATGTGCGTCGCGTTCATCCCTTCATCGACCTTTAGGGGGGTGAAGTCACGACCAACTCGGGACACGCGAATGGGCTAGCTGGCCTGGGGAACTCGAAGCCAGCTCGCCAGGGCTTTTGGGAGAATCCTCCGCCGGAAAAGGATCGTCAGGGTCAGCACCTGCAAGATTGTGCCAAGCCACGCCAAGACAAAGGACGTGTATTGTCCCGCCGCTCCAAGGCCAATTTTCCGGGCGGAGGCGCCTTGGGGTCAGGCCCCATTGGCTGCCGGTTCCTTTGCCAAGGAGACGACGTCTCACAGAGAGCCCCCTTTGAGGTTGGCATTGCTGTCTGGAACAACAGCAGATGGGCGGGCTGTCCTCCTTTGAGTTGAAGATGTGGCTGTGTGACGCTTTGTTGTTTCTACAGACCTTGGCTCGCCCCAATTTGTTGCACTCCCGTCCTCACACACCTCTTTCCTTTTCGTTGGTGTTATTGAAGACTTCATTCTCATTGTTCTTTTCTCTACTCCTGTTCTGCGTGCATAAACGGCCATCTCCCTCCAGGCTATTTCTTCCCTGAGCATACGACGGGGCGACTGAGATATCCCGAATCCCCCCCCCCCCCCCCCCGCCTGGACTGGGCACTACCCTCGTTAAACTTCCCCTTTTGTCGCTCTCTTTACTCAAAACCCCTTTACCGTCCCTCTGCTTCTGCTTCTGAGGTTTCCTTCGCAGAGTTGGATGGAGGCTGTGAGCTACAATTGTGCAATCCTCATTGATCAGCTCCATCCCGTGTCCGGATATTCGACTCACAATACACCATGAAGTCGCGAATACGTCCCTTTCTAGTACCGCTGGCCGGCTTACTTTCCTTAACCAATGCACTCACTCTCGACACAAGCAGCTTCGATTCCATCAAATCTGTGACCTCTACTTTAGCATACGATATGATGACCTACTATTCAGGCAATCAGTCCGGACAAGTGCCAGGCCTGCTACCAGGTCCGTGTGACTCCACGGCTTGTTATTACTGGTGGGAAGCAGGCGCGATGTTTGGGTCTCTGATCCACTACTGGCAGTATACTGGGGACGACAGCTATAATTCTGTCGTGACGCAAGCTTTACAGTTTCAGGTTGGACCCGAAGAGAACTTCAACCCTCCGAACCAGAGCAAGAACATGGGCGTGGACGATCAAGCCTTCTGGGCATTTACGGCCATGGACGCTGCCGAGGCGAATTTGCCGGATGTCGGGGGCGATGCTCCTTCCTGGCTGGCTCTGGCCCAGGCCGTATTCAACTTTCAATCAACCCTCTGGGATGCCGCCACATGCAATGGGGGAATGCGTTGGCAAGTTTACTCATTTAACGCGGGTTACAATTTGAAGAATACCATCTCCAACGGCGGCAACTTTCAACTGGCAGCGCGTCTCGCTCTATACACCGGGAACCAGACCTATGCGGACTGGGCCATCCAGATGTGGGATTGGATGGAAGCGAGCCCGCTGTTTCAATTTCAGGATAATGTCCTTTATATCTGGGACAACACGGATGCGACCAACAACTGCACGGACGTGGCTCACCATGCCTGGACCTACAACTACGGCACAATGCTGATGGGCGCTGCTGCTATGTACAATTACACCAAGGGGGCCGAGCCGTGGGGAACGCGTGTCGACCAGATCTTGCAAGGGGCGTTCAATCTATTTTTTCCCGCGGAATACGGCGGCAACATCATGACCGAGTTCCAATGTGAACCAAGCATGGTGTGTAACAACGACCAAAGCAGTTTCAAGGCTTACCTGTCTCGGTGGATGGCCGTTACGGCCTTGCTTGTGCCCAGCACATATGACATAATTATGCCAAAACTGCAAGCTAGTGCTGCCGGCGCAGCGCAACAATGTACTGGAGGGGATAATGGTCGAATGTGTGGGCGGCGGTGGTATTCCAGCTTTGATGGCTCATCGGGCGTGGGGCAACAGGTATGTCCTTCTGTGAAAGGGAGGTCAATAACATTGCGCTCAACTTGCTGACTTGGAATCAGATGCAAGCACTTGCTGTCATCGGAGCATCAACTATACATCCAGCCATTGCGCCCAAAACGGCGGGCACTGGAGGCACATCGGAGAGTGACCCCAATGCTGGGAATGATGCCGACGCCGATCCGGTCCAGTACTCACCCATCACAGTGGGAGATAAAGCTGGTGCTGGGATCCTGACGGTGTTTGTTATCGGCATCATTGTTGGAGGTACCATTTGGATCATCATGTAGAACATGTACAGGAATAAGAGGGCATCATTGGAGTCCATTCTGGTTCTACGTCCAAGCATATCATAGGAGTCTATAGCGGGCCTTTGTGCATTGAATTTGATCATGCGTCCCAAGAAAGGATTGACGCACAGCGTACCGAGTAGCTAGTTCTATTGGCTCCGTCGTAGCCTGACCTGCTTCTCAAGGGTCGAGGCTGGCTGGCGAGGTTAACAATCAGGCTGCGGATTCCCCTGGCTGGGTCCGTCGTGCACGTGTGGGGAAACCCACCTCGCTGCTCCAGACGAATTAATTACCGACTCACCGTTTTCGGCCAGTCAACAATCTTCCGTCTTTCGTCCTCCTAAACACTCCTTACTTCTGCGCATGGTGAATGACTACAATGACGTGGGACGGCTGTCTTGATTACGACTGATCTGCTTTGGAAAGTCATACTTTTGATTTACGGGATGGCGATATAGATCTTTTTTGCCTACGACCTTCGCCTCTTTGTCTGTTACAATATTCTCAACTCATCAAATTGCCACGCACGACTCGCTTTGAATGATCAACCTGGCCAACGGTAATGGAGAACGTGTCCAGTGCAGTGTCAGCTCAACATCTACCTTCGAGCGACCCATTAGAACCGGCCGACCATGACTCGAACAGCCCCCGGAATCCGACTCCAGCGCCATCGACGAACGCCACTGTTGCCCCAAGGAGGCACACAAAGGGACTGTCCCTGAACTTCCCTGTTCTGGTGCCTACCAGTGCGTCGTACTCTCAGTCCCCGACAATTGGGTCCGGAGTACAGAGCCCGATCGAATCAGCCAAATCGTCCCCTCGTATCCGCGCTGCCCCCTTCAGAGCGCCCGACTCCGCGACCGAACCGCAGGATCAAGCCAAGACAAGAGGGAGCGCAGAGTACCTGACACTGCTGGCGGCACAGGAGAGAAAAGTCCTTGAGTTGAGGGAAGAACTACAGCGGGCAGAAGCGGACCTGCTGGTGCTGAAGAAGCAATGGGCGGCATACGAAGCGAACAAGAAGAGGGACGAAGTGAGGCAAGTGAAGAAGCTGCAGCCAGTGGCATTGGGCGAGGTCGTTGGCGGTGAAGGTGTCGTTGCAGAGGACGACCTGGATGAAGAACGAAGGCGGAAACGGGCACTCGTCGAGAGAAGCTATACGACTGGACCTTTCTCGGCGAGTAACGCAGTATCCAACGGCTTGGTTAGGAAGGGGTCAAAGCGAGTTTTTGAAGGGGGCCGACATACCAGAACCTTGAGTCTGCTCAGTCCGACTTCTACAAAAGGCGCACTAAAACAGGCAGACGAACCACCACGCACGCGGGAAGACGCCGTGAACATCGATGGCGAAGAGATCAACAGACCTTCGCTCTCGAGGATGCCCACCCTCGACGGATTGATTTCAGGCGATGCCCTCCCCCTTGGCTTCGGGAAAACCTACAAAGACCTGGCGGCACATCGGAGATCTCTACCACCAGTCGCTGCAGATTTACTGGTGAAGCAGGGCAAACAGGTTTATGACGGAGTAAGGGAGGGTCTATGGACCTTCTTCGAGGATATCCGTCAGGCTACAGTTGGGGAAGAGGGCATCAACGGGACCGCTGCTCAGCAGCGCCCAGCGAGGCCGAGTCAGAAAAAGGCCTCAAGAAAGTCCTCCGACAAGCAAAGCAAACGCAGCTCGAAGGACAACGCTGAGAACCCCAATTCACGTCCCATGGAGCCCTCCTTCTGGAATGAATTCGGGCTCGATACTCCTCACAAGGGCTCAACTCGAAAGGAGACGGAGAAGCCCAACGGACATGTCCAGCAGAAGAGCAGTACCGACTCTTCGAACACCCCCAGTCTGTTACCAGATCTGAACGACAATGACGACGCCGAGGACGGCTGGGATGCCTGGGACTCTCCTGTGAGCACCCGAGGACCCCTAATCGCAGAGACGGAGGACATCAGACAAAGGCCAGAAGATGGAGAAGCTGGCCTTCCTTGGCCGGAGCTTGAGAGGATTACTCCAAGCAAGCTCACCCGGACCGTGAGCGATCTGATGAAGGAGTGGGATTCGAGTCAGGACGATCCCACGAAAACAAACGGGCTGGGTAATGGGCAGACGCACATACTCGACAGTCCGCATATGTGAAATGGAGCATACGAGATCGACATACGAGGAACACAGCGTTAGATTTATTTCCCGACTATCGGATCGTGTATTTTGTCTATTGACGCTATCGATGCCACGTGATTGACAGAACTGCGTGACTTTACATCATCGGAGCTTTATTGGTGATGTACGGAGTATTTCCCTTGTCAACAACGTGTGGGTTCTGCAAGTATTCCACAGTTTCGACGAGGTCAGACGACTTACAGATCGTTTTTGAATTTTTCCGCTCGACAGCAACGACCTATATCTCGCTGTGGTTATTGCGGAACAGCGCAAATTAATACCTCACATCCCTATGCTTGGGCGAATCTGCACAAGACGCCCGCGTCAATATGTAGCACATCGCCCTAGCAACACAACACGATCCGATAATTCTAGAAGGGCCAGCTGACCCTGTCCCATCCCTCTTACGGCCCGCTGGGACCCGAGGGCTTGGATCCATTTCAGTCCCTTCAAGCCGGGATTGTGATTGTTTCGGGACCAGCCCGGCATGGACGACCCTGTTACGAAGGACCTGGAGCGACTGAGAGTCTGGCGCAGCTCGACCTGAACAAGAACCGTGGCTACACCAGTCCCAGTCCAGACTGATAACGAGCAGAAAGGACCCCCCGTACTCGTTAGAAATTATGATGGAGCCGGATCAAGTAACGGGCCCCTGCATTAGCGTCGAACCTTCGGTGCATTAGTGGCTCTTGCACCCTCGCACCTTTCCCCATCCTGCGCCGCGTTGCCATGGCAGCGCAACAGTCAACATCAAGCCTCTGCCGCCATCCAAATTTCTGCGGGCAACGTTTCTTGCCCTCTGCACCGCCCGCTACCGTGTATCCTGTAGCCCGTAGGTATCTATTCCCCATGGCCGACCTTTCGGGATATCCTAGTCGTGAGGCTTGATTCGGAACGATATCCACGAGAGAGCCCCTTTTTTATGACCCCCGTCGTACAAGATACCTATATCCGCAGCGCCTCGGGCCCTGCAAGACCACCACTACCTCGCTTTTACCATTACCCTCACCTTCATCCTTTGTAACACTACCTCTTCCCCCCCTTGCTCTTGCATTTACTCTCCGGCGCAAGTTTGTTGCATTGTGGCATTTCTCAACTGGACGACATTATCAAATTTGTGCGCAGTTCCGACCCCGTCCATGACTCCCATGCGCGGCCAATGAACAGCACCGGGCGACCAGAAGTCCATTCGTGAGTGAAAGAGAAGATCATCCCACCACCGCAGTACCGAGGAGCAAAAACCAGCGCCAGCCGAACGGCACGCCCGCAATGGCCATGGCCATGATTTCCCCTTTCTCGGAAGCGCCTCACCAAGCAGCAGCGCAGCCGCAGAGCTACTTCGAGATCCAAGATGATTCCGCGCACGGCGATACACTTGCGGACAAATACCAGATGCTGGAAGAACTGGGTAGTGGCTCGTTCGGCGTCGTCTACAAAGCCATAGAGAAAGCCACGGGTGAAATCGTGGCTATCAAACATGTATGGAAAGACACATTCGGGCTGGCGGCAACGGGTTTCAGCTAATGATTTTCGAAATAACAGGTGGACCTCGAATCTTCCGAAGAAGACCTTTCCGACATCTTGTCCGAACTTTCGGTCCTCTCATCATGCTCGAGCCCGCACGTCACAAAGTACCGCCTGGCGTTCCTCCGTCGACAGACTCTGTGGATCGTCATGGAATACCTGGGCGGCGGATCATGCGCGGATCTCTTGAAGCCACCTCCCCATCGCTTATCCGAAAGCCACATCGCCATCATCTGTCGAGAGCTGCTCCTCGGCCTGGCATACTTGCACGGCGAGGGAAAATTGCACCGAGATATCAAGGCCGCAAATATCCTGCTCGGCATGGACGGTCGGGTGAAGCTGGCCGACTTCGGCGTCGCCGCGCAGTTGGTCGGGCTGAAGAGCATGCGGAACACTTTTGTCGGAACTCCTTTTTGGATGGCACCGGAGGTCATTCAGCAGGAAGGCCACGACGCCAAAGCCGACGTCTGGAGTTTGGGGATCACGGCCATGGAGCTGGCAAACGGCGAGCCTCCGCACGCCAACGTCCACCCCATGAAAGTCCTATTCTTGATCCCGAAACAGTCGGCGCCGAGGCTGGAAGGACCCGGGTGGTCCAAAGACTTCAAAGACTTTGTTGCTTGCTGTCTCACCAAAGATGTCGACAAGAGGAAAAGTGCAAGGGAGTTGCTCAGCCATCGCTTCATCCGGTCGGCTGGAAAGATCGAGGGGCTCCAGGAGCTGATCGTCCGGAAGCAAGACTGGGAAGCCAGCAAGGGAGGAGACAGAAACCTGAAGTATTACGCTGAAACGTTGAAAAACCTGTCGCAGGGCCGGAATGACGATGATTGGGTGTTTGAGACCGTCAAGGCCGTGCCGACCATGAGTTTCAAAGACTTCCACACCCAGCGGAAGAGGAAGGTGGAGAGAACGCCAGTCGACGTCCTGGGCGATGGCTTGGAGCAGAGCGCCGCACAGATGATGGAGGATTTGACCCTCGACCGGCGTACAGAGCCTGAACAGAGTCCGACCAAGCTGACGATGCGGAAGATCTCAGAGTCAACACAGCAACAGTACCACAAAGACCGAAGGGACTCTACTGATTCGTTATCGGGCAAGAGAACAAACAGAAAGCGACTATCTAGCGCCCAAGTCCGGCAGCCCCTGGGGGTGAACATGTCGTTTGGCAACAGCCCGAGCACCGTCCGACAGTTCAGACGGGTATCGCCCAACGCGAACACCAGCCCCAACACGGAAAATGAGGACCCGAATTCTAGCGTCATTCGAACTCCGTCCAAAGCCAAACCTGGCCTGGCTTCTCTGGTGGACATTGAAACTTCGCTGCTGTCCAAGCCGGACAAGGCGTCGAGGTTCTCGTCGACCGCCACGACCATCGCCATGGAGACCAAGGAGGCGAATCTAGGCCGCAAGCTCTATTCCAGCGCAATTGGCATCTCGTGTCAAGACGTGCTCAATGACACCGCCGACGAAGTCAAACGTGAAGCCGTTGCGCGGCTGGCCGAGGCATTCTCAGATTTGGAGAGCGTGGATCCAGACGGCATGTATCACATCATGCAGTCGATCATTTCAAAGATGAAGCAGGACGAGACGTTGAAAAGTATGCTACCACAGCAACCTTTAGCGGTCTCGCCGGAGAAGGAAATGCTGCAGTCGCCTCAGAAGCTAAGTGACCCTTCCCAAATATCGCAGCTGGCGACGGCATCACCGCAACAACCCATTGGCGCCAACGAAAGCAGACAAGTTACCCCCAGCACACCCACGGGGAAAGGCGCTGTGGGTGCCAAATTGGTGCTGGCGCAAAACAATCCACACCTCAAGAGTCATCGACGGAGGCAGAGTGCACAAGCAGCCATTGTCAAATCCCGAGACACAAGTCAGGTCTTTGCCAGTCCGTTAAGAAACACCAGTGTTGAGGAGAAGAGGAGAGCGAGTCTGTTAGAAGCTGATAATCAGACGGAAAGTGAGATGATGAGTGGCTTAGCAGGTGGGTTGGAACACACGAGACAGCTAGCCGACGCGTTATTCGAGAGATGGTGCGAGGGGTTGAGGGTCAGATGGCCAGCTGTTTAGCAGGAGGGAACGAAGACACCAAAAGTGTTCATGGAGTCCTGGACACTCATATTATTGGGACCAAAGGGCATAAGAGGAGGGTGATGGCCGCATTCCTTTTTCCATTTGGATGTTGGTCCGAAAGCTCCCACCAGCAGATGCATGTGAAAAAGTCTACGACGGAATGGTTTGGGATTCCCAATTTGCATAGCGACATGGAGTCGGCGCCTGGATTCGGTCGGAAAGGGGTGTCTTTTGTTTGACTTGCTTGCTCCTTTTCATTCTCACATGTCATCCTGAGGCACAACGGCGCGCGACGTTATAGCATCACCACCATCATCACCCCGACCATCACCGAAAGATCAACAACCGCCTTTGCATTGAAAGGGACAAGAAAAAGAGAAGACAAAAGTTACGATCTGATTTGTTGTTTGCACCAACTTTTTTCACGGCCGATACATACGAATTCTGAGGCGGGGGAAGAACAACGGAGTCTCTCTGGATGGATGTGGTTGACTAGAGCCTCAGAAGGGGGGGGGGGGTTGTCTTCGATAAGTCTTCTCTCATCGTGGAGAGGACTGGAGCGCTCGAATTCATAGAGAGGACCGAGCTCTGAGGACCGAGGACCGAGCCAGGGCTGCGGTTGGGAGCTGTGTAATTCAACCAGCCGAGTCAGGGCGGGAGGTGCTTCTCTGCTCGTATGGATGTATCAAAGGACGAGAATGTGTAAGAGAGGAGGGGAAAAGTGCGTGAAGGAAAGCGCGGCATCAAGGAAGCGGAAGGGACAAGTCCATGATCGACTTATGTAGAATACACCAGAAGAGACAGGGCTGGCGACAAGAGGCGAGCAGATAGATGGTGATCACACCTTCTGCATCTGCATCTGTATCTTCGTCTACTTCTGGCCCCCATGCATCTCTTCTGGACGACGCTGCTGTATTTTTATAGCCTATTAGATACCTTTGCAGGCAGACAGACAGGTACCGTACATCCATACAGACATGAACATAGATAGCCACTCTGCAAAAGAATCGCGGTCACTCAGCTGCTCATTCTTTCATGTCAGAGGAGGGGGATATGGAAACGTCGAATACAGCTTCAACTGGCTCCAATAGACCCAGTGTCTACGGCATTGTGTCCCTCGCACCTCTGTGCCTTTCAGAAGTGGCCCTTCAGTCACAGCGTAGCGTTTTGATGCAACCCTCTGCAATGAGCCTGGGTATAAGGTATATCATATGGCCGCCTCCTGGGCTGGCTACGGGCTTTACGAATACAACGGATCCGTCCTGTCTTTCAGACTCTATTTGGGCAAGTCTAATTCTGGAAGATTCACGGGCTACTTGGAGGCCAATGAGGCGAAACTCCTTTCAACACGGGGAGCCATTCGACCTTGAGGAGCTAAGCAAGGAATGCCAACCCCAGGGACGTTATACGTTTTTCTTGTTCAGTATGCCTTTGAATATTCCCGGGGGAGTAGCAAGTCCAGCTAATATTATGGCTATTTTTTGAACGGGGGCGGAAAGCGTGTTCTTATTCGTGAGACATGGTTGAATGGATGGGTACCAAGTTACTCAAAACCCGTCAAAACTCATGTCGACACGACTACGCGGCAGCGTCTAGTGGTCTAATAAGAGGCCATGATCTCCTAGCATGTGGCCCAGCTACAGGACAGCTCTCTTGCCTAAATCCCTTGACGCATCGCTATGAGCAAGGACTCTTCTTATCCAGCTCCTCTTCGCCGCTATCGCCGCTTTTGAGACTGGCGCATCCGGCACGAAGATATCAAAGGCGTGAAAACCTCCCGGCCAGACGTGAAGCTCTGTCGAGATACCGCTCTTCCACAACACGGATGCGTACGCCACAGCCTCGTCGCGGAACACCTCGGCATCCCCGACGTCGATAAACGCCGGTGCCACGCCTTTCAGATCTGTTGCTCTAGACGGAGAAACCAGCTCACTGACGTTCGGTCCGCCCCTCTCGCTACCCAGCACACAATCCCACGCCATCCGATTCGTCCGTGCACTCCAGAGTCCATCGTCTTCGAACTGCCTCGCTGACACCGAGTTGACGCGGTCATCCAACATCGGCGTCGAGAGCAACTGGGCACACAGATTTGGATGCCGCCAGTCTCTGGCGAGCACGGCACATGCTGCGGCAATGGGGGCGCCACCTGAGACACCGAGTACCATGATCTTCGATGGGTCAATGCCAAGGTTCGCGGCATGCTCAGCGACCCAAACTAACCCGGCAAAGCTGTCGTTCAGGGCCGCAGGCGCCGGGTGCTCGGGCGCAAGGCGGTATTCGACGCTGACGAGCACGACGTCAATGCCCGAAAACCAATCCCCAACAGCCTCCAGCCCAGCAAACCGGTCGCGGGAGATTTGACCGCCGCCATGGATGTTGTAAACGGCAGGTCGGGCGCCTTTGGTAGAAGTCTTGGACCTGTAGACAGAGAGAGTGACAATGCCGCTGGAGTTGTCTTCAGGACCGGGAATATTGAACTCGGCCTTCTCCATATCAGGAAATTTGGCCAGGTATCTCGCTTCGGCCTCAGCATCGAGCCGGCCGCGAATCTTTTCGACACTGGAGTAGTCTTCCTGGCGTAGGGCCGCCAGGAATCCCCTGAAAGCCGGATCGAAAGGGGGACGGGGAATGACACTCGTCGGGGCGTGGTCGGACATCTTCAAGAGGACGTCGAGTTCAGTTGATCAGTTTCTCATGGGGCGATCAAGTGCGAGATAAATGTTATGAACCAGGAAATCCCAGCCAGAGCCCAAGCTATCTTGGCTATGCTATTAATTCGGCCTGAAGTTTCTTGATGTGAAAGTCCTAGACCAATTGTCGTTGATGCTCGGTTTTCTAGAACTGCAGGTGCCGAGGTTGCGCGGAAATCTAGGGAAACACCAGGTAGCAAAGCCGGATTAGAGGGGCTGAGCAGATCGTAATATAGGGAAATGCAGCCACTGTCATATGGCCAGATTCGCGGTGGCAGCGTTTGATGGCAGTAATAGAGGCTCAATAGATATAATTGGGGGGCTTATGCTCCAGTCCGTTATCAATTACGGCCCACATTTTCGTTTTTGGGAATTCCCATTACTATTTTCGTTGGTGTAGTCGTCCGTCTCCTCTCCTCCATCACACACGCTCTACTCACCTTGTGGTCCCCTCAACTTCCGCTGGCTCGCCTTCAACCCGCCCTGGACACTCTCGACTTACTATCAACGCACTCACGTCTTGCGACTTGTAGACCAGGCAAAGAATGGAAGTTTTTCGACAGCGAGAGAGGTCTAGTAAACTTGTCAGCTGAAAAGTTGATCAGTGCGGCAAGAGAGTTAAATGATCTCTACAACGCAACAATGTCCTGATGAGAGGTTCTGATAATTAAGTCACCAGCCCATCTCTAAATATTTCCAACGCTACGGCTACTTACTCTGGTCCAAACTACCTAGCAGAGTATAACCACATTCAGAAACATAACTTCTACGTTGTTTCACCCTCACACCAGAGACCAGCTTACCACCTATGGTTCGGGCACGCAGTTCGTTGCTCTCGAACCGGCGAACAGCTCGCTGGGCTCCATTTGTCAACTTCATCCTCCAGGCTTACTCAGACCCCTTCTCCGCTGTCACTTCAACGTGGGTTGCCTCCATTCCATGCTCTTTGTCGATCGCTGCCACCTGTGTCTGGAGCGTGTTGAGATCGATATCTCGCTGGTACACCGCAATGCGATCTCCGTCCTAAACATGTGTTAGATACAAGTAACCCGCTTTTATCAAGAGGGAGACAAGATACGACTTGCTCCGTGGCTTGGAGTTGAAAAAGTTCGAGAGAAGGAGAGAAAGAGGACTTGATTTTGGGTGGGGGAGGCCAGGATTGTCCAGGGCTGACTTACGCCAAATAGTGCGCCCACTTCCTCTAGAGCCAGGCCTCTTGTGTTGGGGAAGTAGAGCCAGATGACCACAACCGAGGCAGCGTTCAGGACAATGAAGATCAGATAGTAACCCCATTTGATATTGCTGCTCACATGTCAGTCCTGCTGTGTAATGCTCACGCGCCCCATCATAGTTGGACAGAAGGAGGCGTCAGGGCACGCGACGCGATGGGAAAGGAGACACTTACGCGAAAGCAGTGGGTGCTGCCTCGGTCCATATTATGTTGAACAGAGCCTGGGTAGCCAAGGCTAGAGTATAGCCCTTGGCACGATAGGGGGTAGGAAAGACCTCGCCTACCCACGTAAAGAGCAAGCCGTCGATGAAGCAGCCATAGAAGAATCCGAAGAGGAAGATGGCCGCCACGCCTAGTCGCAAGATGGAGTCGGAGCCGTTGTCCAATGAAGTCGCGACGATGATGGCCTCGACCAGCAGACAGCTGCTTGCGCCGATGAAGCCTGTGACCGAGTAGCCCGGTCGGTTAAACCGGTCAACTACGAAGATACCGACCACGTTGCCGCCCCAGTTCAATGTTGCCCAGCCGCCCTGGTAGATGAGTTGCTTGTTGGAGGAGAAGCCGAGCAGGCTGTACAGAAGCGGACCGTAGTCTAAACCGGATCGAATTAGCTTTATCGATCTCAGCAGAGGATTGAGAACAGAAGAGACTTGAGCTCCAAAAGGAGTAAAAAGGGACAGATACAGAACCGTTTGAGGTGCAGAGTGGTGGCTGAGGCTTAGTTTAGGGCGCCACGACTTACTGACGATGACGTTCACGCCAGAGGTCGCTGTCATGGCGGGCCATACGATGCCAAAAATCGTTCGCCAGGCCATTGGGCGAGTCGCGACCATTGACTTGTAGGAAAGATCGAGACCTGCGTCGACTTCGGCTTGCCTGGAGATCTGGTAGTACTCCATGTCGGCGAACGAGTCGTCTTTATCGCTGGGAGATCGATGTAGGCGACGCAGCAAGGCGTGAGCTTCGGGGTGGCGGTCCATCATGATCAGCCAGCGAGGGCTTTCCGGGAGCCAAATACAAATAATGATGCAAATGATGGGGACAACCATGCCCAGCGCTGAGGAGAGAGATCCGGTTAGTGATGCGCTTCCTTTTTAACTTGTGCCTCTCGCAGGAAGGGCAGCTCCTACCTAGGATCGGGCGGAATGCGAGGACGCTCCCCCGGTAGTAAGAGAAGCCGTATCCAATCCAGTTGGCCGAGACATAGCCAAACCCAAGCAAGATGGCGCAAATCTGCATGAGGGCACCGCGTTGGCGAGGCGGAACTAGTTCAGATAGCCACATCGGAGTGACGCATAAAGTGATGTACCCACTGCAAGCGTGTTCACACCAAGTGTCAGCATTTGTTCCTGGCATACCGTTGCTTATTCCTACTCGAAAGATCTGCAATCCTTCTCGATTGTCACCGGTGGGCTCTTTGTCGTCAATACGCATCGGGCGATCTTCCCCACGAAAGGTAGAAGTGTATGGGAACGGAGACTTACGCGAATCCCGCGATAAAGCGACCGACAATGAACATTGCGATGTGGACGGAGCCTGTCTGGATGGCTTGCGCGATCACAAGACCGATCTGGGCCTGGATGGAGGTACTCTTGCGGCCCCAGCGGTCGGCGGCATAGGCAGCGTAGAAAGTGCCGAAGACGCCTCCAGCGTAGTACAGCCCGTTGGTGGCGCCAAATAGCTGGGTGGCATTCTTGGCTGTGATGAGGTTCATGTACTCCAGGAAGGATGGCTGTCCTCCCACGGTGCCGATGACCGCGCCGGTATAGCCATAGGCAAGAAACGAAAGCGACAGCCCGACCGACACCAAGAGCGTGTACTGGTTGAAATGCCGTTTAGGTGGCTCGGCGGACGTGAGGCCTTCAGAAGCAGCAGCAGTGGAATGGGCCATCTTGACGAAAGGGTCCAAAACTGCAGGCTGTGCGTTAGAGTCAGGAAGAGAGCTGGGGACAGACTCGCTTGTGGACGCACCGCGAAGCAAGCGCTGGGGTATTTGTACTTGATGCTGGATTGGAACCCCCCTCCACAGTATCTGGCCTCCTCCTTTCATCACTCTGGGGATGGTGGACACTAGTCTCGCCCTCTCGCGGAGCGGACAATGTGGACCGTTGCCAGGCCCAGAGAATTCCGAGGAAGTCTATATGAGGGCGGTCTGAGCTTGTACAGCCGTGTTACAATATATCCGTGGACATATCTACCAACCGCCTGCGCGTAAAGGCCACAAGCGGCAGATAGTGCACGAATTGGAGTCGGGCCCAAATCGATCTAGGTTAGTGTTTGAATTTCTGCACGGCGGTAAGAATAATGTCTTTGCAAGACGTCCACGTGTATCAAGGTGCGATTGACTAAAGGGGCAATGCATAGAGCTGGAGTCCAGAAGCATGAAGAACCACCCATTGAGAGGTACTAGACTCGAAGATCTTGAAGGACGATTGTGATAAACAGGCAACCAAGACTGAGAAGCTGAAGTCAGAAGGCGTCTTTCGATCAGCCGGCAGAATGGGACAGACAAACAACGTCGCATCATGAAACAGTAAAGTGGTAACAAGCAAGAATATTAATAGGCCCCCGTTACTTACCGGCTTTTGTTCTCGCATTGGTTGTCGTGGTTCTCCAAGCCTATAGCTCCTCGATTCATTCATAGACGTGTGCGAGACAGGTTACGAAAGGAGTTCGATCTTCAATCTCGAGGCTATAGACATAATCGTCCCACTTGTTCTCGGAGATCCTGGTTGCATGAATTAGGTAGAACTTGGACAAACACACACGCAGGATCGGCACATCCACACTCCAATTGCCAGCCCTGCAGTCTCTGCTGTTCAGCCATTGCGGTCTGGTACACTTTTGGCAAATTTACAGCCTCAACCTGAGCTGCGTTTTTCTTTAACTTCCATCCCGCTTCGAATCTCGTATCGTCAAGCTCGGCTTCATCAATAAGTGTCAACGTGCAGAGGGAAAAGCCAGCTGAATAAGGCTGGCCCGAGCGATCTTGTCCACGAAGGTAGGTGCAGAGAGGGCAGTGCACATGTACAATATGACCCGTCCCGCCAGGAAAGCCACTGCTTCGTCGACACGATCTTTCGAGATTGAAATCCGGGGTGGCTCGGGGATCCGGTACAAGCGGTCAAACAGCAACGTTGCAGGATCCATCTGAAGAACTGTACGAGGTAGGCCCGCGCCATTCCTCGATGCAATCAATAAAGTAGGAGCCTAGGGCCACGCCTGCCAAAAGCTGCTTTGCTATCGGAGCTGCTAAGCTATCCAATATTTTGAGGCCTCTTCGGCCCCTCGCCAAAGATATTCACATTCTTCCAGTCCTCGGTGGGAAAGTCTGGCGTAAGCTTTGCCCACTTCAATGAAGAGACCGATAGGAAGGAGGAGAGAAAGATGGAAAGCTAACATGACGATGACCTAGCCAGGCGAAGAATTATGCTTGCATGGTCTGCACGGAGATGGCTCTGGTCATCTCTGCAGATTCCTTGGCCTTTTCGGCTTTCTTCCAGTCCAGGCCTTGTCGCATGGGCACGTTGGGGTCATTGAGGCCCCAGCCGAATGGTCCCATGTCGAACACGGAAGCTCTTCGCATGTCTCGTGGGTATCGTCCAATGTATTGGGCGCCCGCCTGCGCCCGGTGCAAGACTGCCGTGTTGTCCCACATCACAAGATCACCGTCGTTCTGCCATTCGACGGTCTTTCTGTACTTTGGCTGCGTACAATGAGCCCACAGCTCGTCCAGCAATGCCTGAGATTCTTCGAAAGACATGCCGTCGAAATGGTGACAGTATGTAGTCAGATAAAGGGTTTTGCGGCCAGACGCCGGATGTGGTACCACGATCTTGTGCTTTGCCATGGGGAAATCCTCGGGCTCGATGTCTTTGAAGAAGTCGGGGGCAGCCATCTTTCGATTGAGCATGAGCGAATTGTTGGCGACCAACGGCTCTAGCCTGTCTTTCATCGCAGAGGACAAGTCATCGTACGCTTGACGGGCATCCAGGAACTATTTTATATACCTCTTAGCGCAGGAATGGACAAAATTTCTGGGGCTTCAGCTCACCTCCGTCTCTCCACCCGTGCCCTTGGGAGGAAGCTTATGCGCTCGTAAAATGGATACCCCCGTACGGCGTGCATTGAACGCAAGGTCGGCATGCCACAAAGTGTTGCCCTGGTCATACATCAGGCCAGCCCGCAGGAGAATGTTTTTCAACGCCGCGTACCTTGGCCATTGCTAATTTAGCTGGGTCCCGCTCACTGAAAACGTTACCCTCACTGTCGATATTGCTGATGTCGAAGAGCTCCACTGGAATGCGGAGTTTATAGCCATTCTTTACATGTGGTGACATGTCGTCGAGCTCGCCGAATCTTTTGGCAAAAGCAATGTGCCGGGCATCATCAAGACCGGCGTTCCGGCACACGAGCACTCCATACTGAGGGCGCACTTGTCAGTGTGATCATCCGCGTAAAAAGCTCTCCCGCAAAGATCTCGCGCAACGCACCTGATCTAACGCCGCTTGGATTTCTTGAAATACATCGTCCGACAAGTCCGAGCTCCAGTCAACGCCCTCTACCTCAGCAGTGAAAGTAGAGTGAGTGGGGATGACTTTGAGAACTTGCGCTGAGCCCATGGCTGATCAACTGACAAGATGGCGAAGATAGCTTCAGTTGTCGTTGCAGGTAGTCCTGACAAAAATGCAGAGATAGAAAGAGCCTAGTATACTGGTCTGGCCCGGTTTGGCCTCGGAAGGTCATCTCATTCTAAATACCCAAACCTTCAGGTGGTGTAGTGTGATGAATGATTCTCACCCACAAACTATTCTCTTCCCTGCTCGGGCACCACCGACCCACTCGTATATCCGTGGATAAATGTCTGCAGAGGTTTTCCGCCCCACACCCACGCCCTGCCCGCCTGGTGCACTCGAGAATCTAGATGCTATTAAAGCCATTAAATACATTCCAGAGGGTCGTGAGTCGACTGGACAAGTGCTCAATCTGCATTGATCTGTTAGAACGGATCGCGAAATCGCCTTTGCCGGAATGCAACCCGTCTTCGATCCAGATTCAGCTGAATTCCCCACCCGCGACAAGCTACCACCAATCGAGGGGGCGCCGGAAGGAGCGTGAGTACCTCTGGCAGCGTGTTAGTTAGCTGCATTTGAAACTTACACTCTCTAGGGCTTGGGTCTGGGGTAAAGATGATAACGTACGTTGCCGTTGGTTTATGGGGCTCCCTTGTAGCCTAAGCCAAGCTCCTGATCGAATTATCAGCTGGGACGATTGAATCTCCTCACGCCCAGCAGAGTCGCTCAAGCTGCCAAAGAAATCAAGTCAGGCGTGATTGTCCCTCTATAGTGTGTGGTCACATAACCTTCTCCTATTGTCCCACTGACAAGCGTTCTAGCCTTCCTCTGGATGTCCCTGAGGTTCCTGCCTTTGGTCGTGAAACCTTCAAGCATAAGATAAAGGCACTGGTCCTAAACCTTGGCTATGATGATCTCTACGAGCTGAACACCCAGAGTGGCACTCAATGGGATGGCTTCCGCCATGTGCGTCTGCCGTTGACTTTCCCTCTCCCCTTCACTCTTGCGTGCAGAGGCTCAACAATATGCATAGGTTGCGAATGCGAAGTCTGGGTTCTTCTACAATTGGGTAAGTTCGACTTGGCAAAAACCGACGGTGTGAAGAAGGACAAGAGACTTGCCTCACCAGTTCCATCTCGCCTTCTGGTGTACGGATTCATTGATCTGGTCTGACGAGAACAGACCACAGGATCGGATATCGATGGTCCAGAGCCCACGCACAAGTGCTCGGTGCACCATTGGGCTGAACACGGGATCGCTGGACGGGGGGTTCTGCTCGATTACAGGCGTCACGCAGAGAAGAAGGGCATCCACTACGATTCTTTTGATTATCATGCCATCAGCTTTGACGACTTGGTGGCAGTTGGGAAGGACCAAGGTATCAACATCTTGCCCGCTTCCCAAGGCGGAGATATCCAGGTGGGAGATCTCTTATTCATCCGGGCCGGCTTCGTGGCCGACTACCATGCCAAGTCAAAGGAAGAGAGAAAGCAAGCCGCGCTCAGACCTCATGTCTATGGCCCCGACGATCAACAACGCTGGGCAGGGGTGAAGCAAGAGAGCCCCATGTTGGATTGGTTACACGATTGTTGGTTCTCCACCGTCGCAGGAGATGCTCCGGCGTTTGAGGCTTGGCCATCGCAGACTGGTACGTCGCAAGAGCCTACTTTTCCCCTGCAAAAATCACTGACTACACGGATCAAGACTATTATCTGCATGAGTATATACTCCCCCTTTGGGGCATGCCGCTCGGCGAGATGTTTGACTTGGAGAAATTGTCCAAGACATGCGAGGAGCAGAAACGATGGACCTTCTTTGTCACCAGTGCTCCCGCAAACTGCCCAGGTATGCATCAGTCCCCCAACTGGGCCTCCGTCTCGCAGCAATCAACTCATTCCCTGTGTCCTTAGGTGGAGTGAGCACTCATGGGAACTGTGTTGCTATTCTGTAACACTACCAAGCATCTGTGCTTGTCTACCGCGGAGCATCGTCACCAGCAAACGCTACGAAGTTACAGGTTCGTCAAGAATGAGGTGGACTTTGACCCAACTAGCGCAACTTCCAACCTCATTTGTGATGGATCTATTTCCTGATGCCATTGGCGAACGGTGGTAGAGACTCTTTCTGAAAACGTTACTTCTTGCTGTAGCCGAGGTTCGCTACTATAGTGTCCATAAGAAACTGTAGTATGCTGGCATCCGTCTTTCTTCCGCTCGACGCTTTTGGAACAAAAGGGCGTTCCGATCGCATAGCTGTAGCCGTTAGTGGCATCTCCAAAACTGAAGAAATCTCGCTGAGAAAGAGAAGAACCTCTGCGGTCCCGGCAAGAACAACCTGGTGAGGAAGTCCCGCAAGATCATCAAAGATTGGTGAGACTCTCGGATCCCCTGGTGCGACGTCGTCCGGAAGTGGTAGTTTGACCAGAGTCGGGTTGTCCCTGGTGAAGGTGACCAAGAGGTCTGTGGCCGTTGCCCGAGATTTGAGAGTGTCTTCCATGACTAGGACTAGCCATGGAGAGATCAAGAGGAGCCCTCCTGGTAAAGCAATACATGTTGAGGCGCCTCGTGCGTCTTGAGCTCCTCGACTTTGAGAGCCCATTCTCCCGACTTGTCGTCCAGTATAGGCTTTCTGGCCTTGTGGTCAAGCATGATGAACTCATAAACTCTATAGATAGGCTTTCGCTCGGCCCTTCAAGTATTCATGAAGCTCGACAGCCCCGACATAAGTGCGACACAAATGCGAATCTCCCCTCGTGTATCGACTTGGGAGGCACAGATAGGTCCTGATTAGTCGAAATGGTCAGGCCATTATCCACGGAAAATGGAACTCGGGGCGTTCACCAATATCCGATTGGCCCTGGCGCACTTCCCCCGGGATTTGGAACACGTGCGTACCATTTACTCCATACAATGCACGCCTCCACGGCCCTTGGGGAGCCCACTGGCCCGAATCCATCTGGCTCAACTTACATCTGCATAATGGTCATGTGGAGGGGTGAAGGATAAGCGTCTCCACCGCCTGCAGGCAGGGATGTGGTGGTGTAGGGAAGGAGGTACATGTCCCTAATCAGATTGATGTGTTTGGCTGGGCATTTTGCGCTGAAGACTCTCCTTCCCCGTTTGGGGTGCTTCTTTTCCTCCACGTTTCACCCCCGCAATATGTTTGTGCCCCGGTATTCCGACCTGCTGTCTGCTTTTTTGTCCAGCTTTAGAAAGTTCCAAATATGCCTGCCAGAAACAATCATCGGGTGATGATGAGCCCTAACATGGCCTCAGTCGACAGCACCGATTCTTCGAATGCGCGACGAAAGTGTTCAAATGCCTGCGTTGCGTGCCGACGTCGCAAAGTCAAGGTACGAGATTCCGATCCCTCCAGTTTCCAAGCTAAAAGCTCGCCAGTGCGACAATTTGGCACCCCGGTGCTCAAACTGCGTCCTCTACAACTCCGCTTGTGAGTTTGCTCTGGACAGACGCAAGTAAGACTCCGCGGGGGGAAGATTCTGACCTTGCGCTATTACTGATCCATCCAAATAGGACGAGGGGGCAGGCGGCCAAGAGCAATCGTGTCCGGGCAAATCTACAACGACCCGATCGCGTCGTGGCCGACTCTCTACAGGCCCAGAGCCCCGAGCCCTCGACAGCCAGTCGCCGATCAAAGTCTCGAGTAAATGATGCGTCATCACTGTCGCCTACGCCCCGTACCAATATAACGACTGAGAGCACAGAGTCGCTGGGTCCGTTTGATGATACCGCCTACTGGGAAACACTGGTTCGCGACTCTGGCTCAACCCTTGCCCATGTGGATGATCCCGTACCAGAAGACGCAGAGGCTCTGCCCAAGGTGGCGGAGCCAGGGAATACAGGTGCTTACTGGTTCTCGTTGCGCCGCCTCGGTGTATCAAATGGACGGACGGAGAGGCCGACGCCGACATTGGCTGTTTCAATGTCGCCAGATACGGCCCTTCCGCAAAGACCAGTATTATCCGCTTCCGTTTGGGGCAAGACGGACCTCAGGAACCTTTTAGCACGACGGACTGGTCGCCTCCAACAAGACGAGGATAGCTGCTACACTTTTTCAGGTGGGATGAGCCTACGAGGAATCCTCCCTGAAGAGGAACCGCATACTCCACTCCCGCCGGAACGGCAACAGGTCGAAGTCAGGGACTCTTTCAACATCGATGATAACGACTGCACTCTTCTCTCGGAAAGTCTGGATCACCTAGGGTACCGAGATCGTTTGACAGAACTTTTCTTTATCTGGTACAACCCCTGGTTAAACGAGATCGATGAAGAGATGTACTTTGTATACAAGTCTTCTTCTCCTACGGCCCAGGACAATTTCTTTTTCTCGGCAGCCTTGGAAACAGCAATGTAGGCGCCAGGATTGAGAAGGAGCGTGAAATCTGCTGACACTATGTAGCCTTGCCATCGGCGCCACATATTCCCAAATTTACCAGCCAATGGTCTCTGGCCGTCCCTGTGAATTGTTTGCTCGGCGTGCCAAAGTCCTCATTCAAGCAGAGACATCCAAAGCCTCGCTTGCATCAATACAGACACTGATGTTGCTGTCGCAATATGAATTCGACCAAGGGCGCTTATCGCAAGGTAACTGACTTCGCTTTTGACATGTTGGAAATCAGATCTCTCCTGCTAACCACGACTTCATAGGCTTCCAGCTCCATGGTAAACGAAACTGCTCGCCTTGTTCACAAATGGGCTGCTGATCTTAATTAGATACGGCAATGCGCATGGCCACTTCTCTTGGCTTTCACCACCAACACGACCAGATAGAAGTGCCGCTACCGTTCAAGCAGATGACTGCAGACGCTCAATACGTCTTGGCCAACACTTGGAAAGCGCTTTTATTACACGACATGTGAGTGATTCTGATACCCTCTTTCGCCACTACAGCCTTCACCTTCCTCCGTCGCCCGAATCTCTCGTGGATTAGCGCTGAGGACGATCAGCATCTGGCGTATCGAATGCGGACGTCGATGCACGTCGGTCATCGAAGACCTCCTCTTGTTGCCCTCGAGCCCCTTGAAGAGCCCGGGATGGAGTCGCCATGTTCAACAGGCCCGAGCTCGATCCTCGCTGTGGGCCTACCAGCAAAACAGTGTGAACGACTTTACGATCGCCATGACAGAGCTAGTCAGCATGTCAGCCCGCGTTTCCAATGACCTGTAAGTACTACTGCTTGACACATTCTACCGCTCGTGGGATCTAAAGTCTTTAGCTATGTGGACAGCAGCAAACCCATCGGCGAGGCTGCATATCGATGCAGACGAGACATGCACGTCCGGCTTCAAAGTTGGATGCAAATTTTACCCAGTGCGTTACAGGTGAATCTCACCGAAGAGGAAAATGCGCAGTGTAATAGATCTTTGTCGCCCCACACGCTTTTACTACTGTGAGCAGGACTCAGATTCAGGCATGGTTGTGGTTGTTTCTAACTGTGTCAGCATGTTCTACCACGAAACCAACATTCAGTTACACCGGTGTTTCTTTACCCATGAGCACGGCGGTGATACTGAACCAAGCGCCTCTACCATGAACCCCTGCTTCGATTCCGCAAACGAGATATCCCGTCTGCTTTTGGTTTTCAACCACAGATTTGGATTCCAACATCTGCACCCTGCTGCCGCTGGTCCTATCTTACTAGCTGCTCTTACCCATCTTCTGCATTCTTCTTTAGATACTGGGCATCCCGACCTCCGAACAGAACAATATCGACGTCTTTGCTTTCATGCGCTCTCAAAGCTGGGCCAGAGATTCTATGGCTGCCGGAATAGCCTTGTCCGTTTGGAAGCTCTGTATGAGGAACAGAACCCACCTTTCAGGGCGGGTGCGAACGGGGCGAGTCGTAGGGGAGCATCTTGACCAGCACCTGCACAAGAAACCACCGGCGGCTGGTCCAACACATTCCCAAACCCGCGATTTCATGACTCTGTAAAAGTTGGGGTATGCACAGTCTTTACAGCTTTGCCTGCTGAAAGATCGACCTGGCCTCCTGGACCGAGTTTTTTGACGCCGTGGCCAGGAGGGTCGAGTCTCCGTGATACAAAAAGAACCGGAAGCCCAGTTGGATGTTTCTCTGCAAGGCCTGAGGCGTGCCTGTGAAGATCCCAGCCGGTTTTCCCGCCTTCTTTCCGGCCGCGACGATCGCCTGAAGGGCCTGGATGAAGACGTCTTCGGCGCCATCCCCACCTTGCAATCCCAAAGACACTCGGAGATCGTAGGGTCCCACGAACACGCCACTGACGCCCTCCGCCGCCAAAATGCTGTCTGCATTTTCCACGCCGCGCGCCGACTCGATCATGGGGAGAATGGCAATGTTCTCCGGCTTCCTCGCCGCGTCAAAGTATGTGAGCTGCGATCGGTCCGAGTCTGGATGGGCAAAGGCGGCATGCAGCGGCCCGAAGCTGCGGGCGCCGTCTGGAGGATATCTACTGTTCCTGACGACGGCCTGTGCTTGGTCGCCGGTCTCCACCATGGGCACAACAACGCCAGCGGCGCCACTGTCGAGGGCCCATTTGACCCATTCGAGTCCATGGGACGGCACGCGCACCAGAGGTGCACAGGATCCCTTCGACGCCGCCGCGATGGTGCCGACCGCGATAGTGACCTCGCGTGCGCTCATCGGGGTGTGTTCCATGTCGAGGATGACACAGTCATATCCGGCATTACCAATGATCTGGTATGCATGGATGGAATCCAGGCCGACGAAAGTCCCAACCAGGAGTCCCTCGTCACGGACGCGGGAGGTGAACGACCACATGATTGCAGTTCGGGCCACGATAGTAGGGAGTTGGGTTTTGTGCTCTCGAGCAGTAGAAAGCCAGAAAATGTTGGGGGTTTTTTTTTCTCTTTGCTCAAATTTGTAAAGGTGTCGAGGGCGCCTGGGTGCAGACCTCTCCGTAATAATATGAGTCCATCATCCGCATTTCTGGCGTTGGGTTAATTTTCCGTGGACTTTCGAGTGCGGTACCCCTGGAACTCCGCCAGACGGGAAAACCCAGTCCTTGTTCTCCGTGAAACCATCCACGCCTCACGCCGATGAACCGGAGCACACTCCCTGAGGGCCGTGGAGGGAAGCCGAGAGCTCGGTGCGGTCGGGACGCATTCCTATCTTCCTTGACCTCTTTCGGGGGCTTTGGGACATGGTTTCTTTATGATAGTGGCGCGGAACTTCGGAGTGTAATACTTGCAAAGTGTGTTCTATTTTCTTCCTCTTCCTCCTCACAAGATCAAGTATGCTGAGCCGTTCTGAAGTTACCGAGCACTGCTCCCGCGAGTCTTGCTGGGTTTCATCATCAAAGGCCAGGCTGACGATGTCACGAATTTCCTAGACGGTCACCCTGGCGGGAGTGAGGCTGTCCTGCGACAAGCAAGCTGGAAATATATATGGACGGAGGGGTGATCACCACAAACCCCCTCCCCCCTTGCTCGAACCACTTGGACAAGGGCTCCTGATATGTGCGTGAATAGTCGTGAGCGACGAAATCGAGCCTACAATGCGTCTATTGGGCGTCACGAAACTGTCTCAATTGAGGCCAGAGGCGATCAGTTTTGAGCTGCTCGGCCGCGAATTTCCAGGTTCCTACACACTTGATGAGTCTTCATCATTCTGGGAAGACCAGGTTGTGACAGTCATGTTCATTAAAGAGATTGTTTGAGAATTTGCAGACGTCATCGACGACCTAGGGGGAAGAAAAAAAATGGCAGCACGATTAATTCGAAGGTAGCCACAAGTCCTCTTCGCTGAAATACACCTCCCCGATGGTGGGAAAAATGTTCGCTACAGAGCCCATGGGAAGGTCCTGTTGTCCGAAGCCGAAATCATACTCGTCTTCCAACAGGGTTAATGTGCGGGCTTGGCCACCGAGGCTGGCAGCGAAGCCGGCGATGTCGTCTTCTGCGTAGGGTGTGGCGGCCGGCAGGTTCATTTCCCAGTTGGAGTTCGGCAGGTCCATGGGGTCGTCCTGTCCAAGGCCCATGCTTGAGCCATTGGAAACGAGACCCTTTGACGCGCAAAGCCCTTCTTCGATGCCTGGCGGCGTGGGGCGCAATGTGCTCTCTGGATCCATCGGCGCGACCGTAATGTGACGGTCCGACATGTTTACCCTCGAGCTACCTCCGTTGAAGTCCTCGGGAGCACCAGAGTCCAGTCGCCGGTCCGGCCTCGAGTATTGTTGTGTGGCCAGCCTGTCAAAGTAGACCAAAAGGGGTGTGGCATGATCGAATCGCTCGCCGAGCTTGGCCAATACCGTTATGCATTGTCCAAGGTCGTGATCGTCGGCTTGGCCGTCGGGCTTTGCTCTGAGATGCAGAAAGCGGACGACGGCGCCTAGGCAAAATGGGAATATCCTACTTTGTATTAGTCAATCTGGACAAAGGCCTAAAGAACTGAGCAAAGAGGAAACAAGCATACACGAATGACGGCAGGAGCTCCCCGAGGTTTTCCTTGAGGACGATCTCGGCCACGGCGCATATTTCCTGGGCCACGGCGCGAAACTTGTGGAGGCATTCAGAGCGCCATTGGCGCGGAATGCTGGCAATGTGAGGAACCTCCTCGGGCGCCGGATAGATGAACGGTCGGTACAACGCGCCAACCACGGAGAAGAATGTCGCTTGCAGCAGAATCTGGAAGACGCGGACATGCAACGTCGAGGGAGTGAGGGACACCTCTGTGTCTGAGGGGGTAGAGCCGGCGGATTGCGACTCGGACCACTGTCTGAGCTCGTCTTCACAACGCGCCACCTCTTGTATCACATTGTCCGTGTAAGAGACTCGGCCGTGCCGGTGATTCGAGCCCGCTCGTTCCAGGATCGTCAGAGTTGTTCGGATCATGATGACACGGTTTGCGCAGATGCAGAGCTTTGCCAGTTCGATGAAGATGATGGCTTGATCATGTTGCTGATCCCTGGTGAATGCTGGCTGTGGAGAAGCCCTTCGGATGAGTAATCTTGCGCTGGAGGATTGCTCTTCGTCGAGGTCAAAGTCACGCAGGCCAATAATGCTGAGAGGGGGGCTCATGTGTTCGACGACGGTGCCGCGTCGGAGCGAGAGGACGAGCATGCTCTCCCGAACGAAGCATGCCCACCAGGTCCGGCGCAACATTTTGCTCCGTGGAGTAGACGGGTCCATCCCTTGCAACATGGAGGGTATGTCCAGGATCTGAAGAAGAGACTTGGCCGCGTTTATCCAGAACAGCATGTTGCGATCATCGTGTCTGTCTTCGACCCAGTAAGTCAACAAAATCATGGCTTGGAGAGTTTGAATCTGGTCCCGATGTGCTTGGAGGTCATAAAGTGTCCTCGCGCGCTTGTAGAAGACCCGCCGTGCCACTGCCCGGGTACTGAAGCCCATCTGGTGGATGACAGCGTCGTCGACAAACTGCAGAGTAAAGTCAGCAGTGGGGTTCGGATCAAGGCTATTGGCCTTAGAGGACCACCTAGCGTAGGAACTAACCGCGGTAGCAGTAAACAACATTGCCTGCCAAAGCAGCAAGCTGACCTTGTCCTTCTCTCGGACAGCTTCATGGCTATCATGACTTCGTGCGATGGCATTAATCTGGCTGATAGCTAAGAACGGGACCGCAGGATGGACCAGTTGTAGATAGCACTGCAGCAGCGCTTGCGAAGTGTTCGTGTCAGGCACCGACAAGGCACCCTTCCTCCCCAGATATTCCTGGTCCACTGGGCTAAGGTCTGAGTCAACCTCTTTGATGAAGGGGGGCAGACTCAGCGACGGGTGCCTTCCAGGATGTCTCCCTTCATCTTGTATTCTGGATGCCATCATGCTCGACCGCGCCAAATTGTCGAGGAAGGGTGGTCGACTGCCGAGGTTTGTCAGCGGCTCAAGGTCTTGTAACTTCTGTCCCTTGTCGCTTCTCAGTTGTTTCAGACCGATGTGTGTCGCGTTGCACGAGACTCTCGCATATCCGACTCATCCAGGCACATGTCCTGTCTCTGCCCTGATGTTGTTACAAGACGTCTTAACTTTTCGCCTTACGCTGACCAAATTCTGCCTGGCTTTTCACGGCGGCTGAGCTCTGCTTTTGCGGGGTTGGAGAGGAGTCGATGTTGCTTCGCAGTCCTCGCTAGCTGGCTAGTATGAGTGATATGAGGACCAGTCCCAGCGGTTGCCTCGGTCAACGCGGCCTGGACAGGATACGTCAAGGTGCTGACCATTCTCTTCTCGCGGGAATCGAAATCCGCAGCTCAGACGTATCACATACACAGATACAACAGTAAACCGAGTTCACGCGTACCGATCGCGAGTGGGGTGGATTCTCAAATCATCGAGCCCGATACCAACCAGCTTTTGGACAAAGGTTTGGCTGGCTTCAACTGGGAACTCGGCAACGTATCCGGACTTGAGTTGGGGTGTCGTCCACAATCACGTGTGCAGTTCATGGCACGTGAGAGTCCAAGGACATGCTGCCCTAACCCTATCGGGAATGTTGCCCCGCTTTCTCACGACGACACCGCCTGGTAGTGTTCCCGCCTTGAGTGAGATTCAATCAATTAGGTGCTTGTAGGTCAATTGCATCAACCAAGTTAGTCCCACAGGTACAGGTCATCGATGAACCTGCAGGCGTCAAGGAGTTTCGGCCGCGAATCGTTCCGGTGCGGGGAGTAGTGCACCGGGACCAGGCAAAATTCCGTGGAAATTGCAAAGCATGTGACCAAGTCCAAAGGTCTCGACTGGCAATCCGCACCCCCAGTTTCCCATTATACTCAGGGGCGAATGTTGACCTCTCCAAAGTCCATTTCCGTTTCTACACCCCAGGATCCTGCTACTTAACCTGAGCTATGGCTGAGCTATTTTGAGATGTGATAATATATATCCTTTGCGTACATAACCACAGCGTGTCTAGCTAGGGCTTTCGAAAAAGAATCGCGAATGTATCTGAGTACGGAGAATGTATATGAGTCCTAGGGCGAGGCGAAGGCAAATACGTGGGTAAGAGCAATGTCCAGGGCAGTCGCAAGGTCGACGACGAGGGTGAATATTCTATGCTTCTACCCCGTACGCAAATAGATAACTAGCTGCCTGGCCCTGACTAGATATGTTCGTCCCCAAACCCTGACTTACTAGCACCTGTGCGAGAAAGAAGAGATCGCACGCCACCAATAGCGCTAGATCAAGCGTCATATATTCTGGTCATGACAGCAAACATCGCAGACTCGACTTCCAATCACGCATCCCTCTCGGCCAACCACTTTCGCCAGCGCGGTGCTCTCCTGCGTCGCCATCTCTTTCCATAAATGTATGTGGGTATGGCGGCAACCATGGAGGCCAGAACACACAACCCAAAGAAAAGGAATGTATACCCATATCCTGCCGCAATGATGAAAGGCTGCACCGAGTAGGAGATGGCGAAGTTGATGCAGGATGAACAGATAGCCAAAACCACAACGAGTTCTCCTGCAATCTGTGTTCTGGTTAGTACGAACCTAATATGAAAGGTAATAAACGGATTGACTCACCCCTGGGAAGCATTCCATAGCGTACGCCGTGGCAATTGAACAGGCAGAGACTTGGTGAGCGATCATGCAGCCCACTCCAAAAGCGATTGTCATCCAGTGGAGGCCAAACTCGGCGCCCCAGCCATATAGTTGATACCCGACAGCAGCGTAGACAAATGACAAACAGAGGGTCCACAGTCTCATTTCGGGCTCCTTCACGCCCGCATTGCGCCGTGCAAAGAAGATCACGACGTGATCGCCGAGAACGCCAGTGGCCCAGCCGACAAAGTTTCCAACCAGGGCGGCAAAGAAGATCAACCCCGTCGAGGTCGTCGACCAGTTGTAGGGTGGATCGGTCATGATCTCAGAGATGGTATTGAAGCTAACGATGCCAGCGGTGCATCCAAAGGCAAAGATTACTCCTGCAATAACAACATTGGGGAAGGTGAACAGCACGAAAGGTCTTCGGAAGTATTGCCAGTACGTGGTCCGATCTTGCGGGTAGTAGACCCACAGCTTCAGCTTCTCTGAATAGGTGCGCTTAGGAAACTGCGCCTCCAATGTGATGTCGTGTTCGATCTCGCTTGGACTTTGGCTCTGCGTCAAGGTATCACCAGGAGCTTTGCTGTCGGAAGAGTGTGGGAAAACCACGGACTGCGTCACAGGAGCAACGCCGGCGACTTTGCCGAACAAGAAGCGAGGGAACATGGTTTCCTCAAAAGTCAGGAGGAGGAGGACGAGCACGCTGGCATCGATGATCGCGACAATGTACTGGGACCATCGCCAACCCGGGCCATCCGCAATGCTGCCACCGCTGATGAGTCCGAGGATGCTGCCGAGTTGCTGTCCGAAGAGGTACACTGACAACATCCGCCCTCGCTGGTGAACAAAGAACATGTCAAAAACACTCAACTGGATGACGGCTTGGTAGGCCGAGGTGCCGATTCCGTTGCACGCCATGTTCAACATCCACGACGCTGTGCCGTTGACTTTCCCAAGCCAAACACCAGTAATCATGCAGATAGTGGTGGTAGCCAAGAAGACCGGCCGTCGACCGACTTTCATGGCCATTGGGATCCAGAAGATATTGACAAACCCCAGCAGGAGATAGTTGAGAGCACTGCCACCATTCATGTTCGTCAGGCTGACCCCGGTTTCTTCGGAGACTGTCGTCCAAGCGGCTCCGAGGGTGTTTTCACCAAAAGAAAACGCGCATGCATATAATGCGAGGAGGAAAAGCTGGTAATACTTCTTCCATCGATCCCATCGTAGAGGGTCGCCACCAGCGCCTGTTGGTTGAGGAATAAGGACAATGTCACTGGTTCCACCAGCGTGTGCTGCTTGCAGTGTATGATGCACTGGGGATCATAGTTAGCCTCATGGTCAATGGGTGTCCCACTCATGAGGACTCTATACTGACCATCAACAAGTTGTTCCGTGCCAGGCACGTCAAGCTCGTAGATCTCGTCTGCCATTTTGTCCAAGACGCCAGCGTCAAAAATCCAAATTGCACCACTAGCCAGGGGGGAATAGTGAGAAACGAAGTTGGTGAAGCTGAAAGAACTCAGACGGCACTTTATACAGTTATACAAGCACTTGCCGTCCTTTTCATCCCCCACGATATGGTTATTGCTATCTCCTCATCTTGGGCCATTGATACCTGAGGATGCGGATACCATTATCGAATGAAAGGTCCAAGCGGACGAATGGGAGGAGGTCAAGGTGTGGACATGGGCATAGACCCATAGAAAGAGGGCCTAAATATACAGTGGAGTCGGTTCCCTGTAGTTTCATTTGATGCGCTTGTACCTTCAAGCACTTGTGCGGGGCCAGACTCGCACCTGCAGGCAATCACCAAGTCGATCCGGAGAAGAGCGATATCGATGTGGCCACTTGTCGGGGAGCCAGCCTATTGCGCAAGCGGATCGATATGCCGGCCTGCAGACGTGGTCGTCCCCAGCACCAATATCGCATTCGGCCAGAGAGCAACTTCCCCCGACTAACGGTATCAACCCGCTCACGCCAAAGACATGTTTCCGCAAAAAGGCGCGACAAACTGCTCCCAGTCACTTTCTGGGAGAGCAGATGCGCTGGCTGGACCTTCCCGCAGTTCTCGGGCTTGCCAGACCTTTTCAATGACTGTGCGGATCCTGACAGTGTTGACCATTGAACCAGTCAGCATTTCTAGGACGTAGAGGATGAACGCTCGCGCATGTTTTGGAGCGTCGCCGGCTTCCCAGTACAGTTCAAGGTCTTGGTGTGGATGCAGTTCAACAGCTGCAATGAAAAGCGGCCAACTGATGCCGGACACCAATCGAGACTCCAGCGAAATGCTGATAAGGCGCAGGATTTTGGACACTTGCTGCGAAACCCACGGTGTTGAAGGGCTGGCTCCGTTCAAGGCGCACTGCAGATAGACCTCGGCGGCGAGCCGTTTCAGCTCTCCAGATTGACTCAGTATGTCGTCGCTGTAATCCAACACCGTTTGCTTCAGCATACTCAGTTGTGCCTCCAAGGCAGCTGCCGCGGCCTGGAACTCGGTGGTCTGACGACTCAGCGGATCTTGTCGTCCCAATTCAGTGATCCGGCTCAAAATGGAAACCAGCTGAGGAGAGCAACCGAGCCAAGGTTCGCAGTTGGTCTGATCATTCGCCCAGAAGTCGCTCCCGAAAACAGGATCCTCACCGCAGGCCGTACGGCCCATGATGTCCTGAAATGCAAAGAAGCGTTCACAGAAGAGGGCCAGAACACCGGCATCTGTGTGTTGCACGAAGGTTGGCTGGTTCGATCTGCGAATCCGGATCAAGTCGCGGGCCCCTTTCAAATGCACCACCCACCGACTGTCACATTCATTCACGATCTCAAACATACAAAGCAGAAGCATGACCACCAATGTTTCTGGGACCATAATGATCGACGTTGAGTCGCCATCTCTTAACATGGTCCGGAGAGCTCGGAGAGCTCGGTGGCTGAGCCCTAATGCCATCGCCTTGTAATGTGATTCTGTTCGAGATCGATGACAGGCAGCCAGCGCCGGCATAGAATCCATAGTAAGAGATGAGGTGCTGATGGCGAAAGGAAGGAGTAGCGTCGCGAAAGGAGAGACGGATGTTAAGCTCGAGATAGTCATTGGACATATCCTTTCGACGTAGTAGGAAAGTAGGGAAGACTGTTCTGGAGTTTCCCATGGCGGTAGGATACTTAGGGACGACGCTATTCGGGGCTGACCGGACCGTACCAGGCTCTGTGTTGTTGGCCACGGGCTGAGGTAGCATGCAGCAGCGGCGTCTGCTTCGGATAATGTCGAAGCTGCAACTCGATGGGGGTGGCCACCCTCTATTCCGGCCTCAAACTTGTCCAATTCGTGCAGAGTATCCACTGTGGTGTTCACAAAACTGTAGGGATAGATGTCTGGGATAGGACACCACCATAGGGCTGCATTCTCGTGGGTGGACCAGTCCGACGTCGGGGAAGGCGAGGCTGTCTTGTATGGGTCCTTGGACCAGACACCGGCTCTGCCAAACTTGAGACCCTTGGAGACGTAGTCTGTTTCCCACTTGAGGGCAGTTGTGGTGTCGCAATTCAATCCTTTGAGTAAGCATTGGCGACAGACTGGCTTCTCTTCGCTACACTTTAGCTTTCTTGCCCTACAAGTTTGGCATCCCGTCCGCGTGCGCCGCTTGATGAGCACATTGGTGGACTTCCGCGGCCGGGGCATTGGGACAGCCACCTGCCAGGAATCAGAAGCTCGTGCTGGTCAGGGTGGTGACATGGAGGAACAGGTTAGAATAGACGGAAAGGCTTCCAGGGAGATGGTAGTTGCGAGATAAAAAGATGGAGTAACGGTCGGGGCATGAGCTAGGAAGTGCGAGTGGAACGAAGTTGTGTTTGAGAGAAATGGATTCTGGAGGGCGATTGGGTGGAAGTGCGATGGTTGTGATAATGGCGATAATGGACATGGTGATGATAGTGGCGGGGCAGCTGCGCGGAGACACTCACTGGTCGCCTGCGCCCTTCCACCCCCCGCTGCGCCGTTGCAGATTTCTCGCCTGGACCTTCTCCCTGGTAGTCCATCTCCGTCCGCCACACCGTTCCAGATCACGTTGAGGGCACAGGTATGATTCAGTTAGATGGAGCAACATTCTATCCACTCGCCTTGGGACGGCCCACGATGGACATTTGGGATGGCTATTATTTAAGTTCTTTCGCTGTCTTCGGATGTTGTTCATGGCCGTTTCTGATTTTATTCATTAGTTGACAGGACACCAAGAGCGCCATGGCATCACCGCTAAGTACCGAATCCAAAATCCTTATCGTTGGAGCTGGGACTTGGGGCTGCAGTACCGCGCTCCATCTGGGCCGTCGAGGCTATAAACATGTGACCGTCCTCGATCCTTATCCGGTTCCATCACCCATCTCTGCTGGTACCGATCTGAATAAGATCCTGGAATTGGGGTCTTTCGCTGGTGACGACGCTGACGAGCGCTATGTGTCAAACAAATTGCTGGAAGCAGCCACTGAGGGATGGCTTAACGACCCCGTGTTTAAATCCCATTTCCACGAGACGGGCTGTATCCTGGCGGCGACGTCGGACGAAGCTCGTAGACACATGAACACGCGGGATGGGCCCAGCGAGGAAGGTGGGTGGATTCCGCTCAGGACTAAGGAAGACTTCCAAGCAACCATGCCCAAAGGCGTCCTGACAGGCGAGTTTCCTGGTTGGCAAGGATGGTGGATGCAGAAAGGAGCAGGCTGGGTTCACGCCCGCAAGAGTATGCAGAGTGCCGCCACAGAAGCCGAACGGTTGGGAGTCAAATTCATCACTGGTGAACAAGCAGGCCGTGTGTCAAGTTTGATATATGGTTCCTCAGACGTTCAGGGTGCCGTCACTGCTGATGGCACTCAACATCACGCGGACAGGACCATACTCTGCGCAGGCGCCAGCGCGGCGGCTCTGTTCGACATGAAAGATCAACTTCGACCCACAGCCTGGACACTGGCCCACATCAAGATGACTCCAGAGGAAGCCAAACTATACAAAGACCTTCCCGTGTTGTTCAATATTGAGCGAGGTTTCTTCATGGAGCCCGACGAGGATAATCATGAGCTGAAGATGTGTGATGAACACCCTGGGTATTGTAACTGGATCCCCGACACCGCTGGCCCAGATCCTCACCAGATCAGCTCTCCCTTCGCAAGACACCAGATTCCGCTCGAAAGCGAAGTGCGCTGCCGGGAATTCTTGCGCGAGACCATGCCGCATCTTGCAGACCGACCTTTCTCTTTTGCGCGGATATGCTGGTGTGCAGACACTCCCAACCGGGCATTCCTAATCTCCAAGCACCCAGATTACGCCTCCTTGGTGTTGGGCGTGGGTGGCTCTGGACATGGATTTTGTCATATCCCGGCAATTGGAGGCTTCATTGCCGATGCTATGGAAGACAAACTCGACGACAAGTTGAAGCAGAGCTTTCGATGGAGGCCGGAGACAGCCAAAGGAAGGGATTGGAAAAATCTGCAGGGTAGGTTTGGTCCGCAGGGCGCCAATCGGGTAATGGATTTTCAGGACATCAAGGAATGGACAAATATTGGTGAAAATCAAGGGCAACAGGATGCCTAGGCATATAAAATTTTTGTTTCTGAGAGAACACGAGCCTCTTCCTTCGAGGATGCCGATCGACCACGTCAAGTACGCCTGAGGTACGCCTACAGCGACATCTCATCCAATATCATGACGAGATGTACGTCCGGCGAGGCGTGGGTCGAACCCTACTCTTTGCCACCAGGTTAACTTCATTGGAAGGGTAGAAACCAAGCTGGATGATGTCCGGCTATCTACAATCATACCGAGGATCTCGGTTTCAATATCACAGCGCCCTCGAGGGTTGAGCTCGACTCGGCGCATCTAGCTCAGGTGCTGTTGTAATTTTGGCGATAGTCCTGCCATCCATCAGCGCATCAACAGGTGATTCAGCACAGCGCCAAGCAAGATGAGCAGCGAAATGGTAAAAGCCCCGCAGCTAAGTGGATGGCAAGCTCGTCAAGCTGCCCTCGCTGCTTGCTTGCCACGCTCGACTAAGGGGTCTTTGCCCATATTTGGGAATGGCTCCATTTCCCCAGGATGTGGAGGTGGAGCATAAAGCCAATCAGAGGCGTCTACCCCAGTCAGTGACCTGGCACCCCCGCCCTGTTGGCGGGGCCTAGAACGTGGCCAAGCTGCGACACTGCGAGCGCACTATGCTGGAAACGCCCAAGATTACGACCTTCCCCAATTGCATTTCTTGGACAAAGAAGCACCAAAGCTCGCTAGCAGGTGGGAGGATTCTGCTGATACATAAGTGTCGATTTCCGGAGACCGACTCAGCTTGACACCTCCCTCTTTAGTTCCCACGTTTCTCGGTCTTCTCTGGCTGGACTGTCGCAGCAAGCAATCCATCCCAAACATCAACCATGGCGGACGATAAGATTCCTCACC